TATAGATTATAAGGCTTAAAAAATAAATACTATCTAGTAGTATTAGAACTTTTAGTTATTAAAGTCGGAATTTATTAAGAGGTAAACTAGCTTAATACTCTTAGTATAAGAAAAGTATATTTAAACTTAGAAAAGTAGTACTTATAATACTAAAGATAGAAGCTCTATTAAGCCTAAGAGTAATAAGTATATTTAAAAATATAATATTAACTAATATATAAAGCTTAGATAAAAGGAAGTAGTAGCAGATACTTAATAAATAAGCTATATATAATTAGATTCTAAAGGAAGATATTATATTAGTAGATAGAATATATAAGGTTAAGTTAAAGACTACTTTATTTTAATAAACTATTAGAATATATAAGAGAGAAGTAAGGTTTTAAGATTAAGAGTAGATTATATATTAGTAAAAAGATCTAGCTCTAAGTAGCCGCTAGCTAGCTACTATAAGCGCTATTTTCGCGATTTTTAGCCTAAGTTATATATCAATTAATTTAATAGCTAGTAACTCCTAAAGTAGTATATACTAATTTAAATTAATAATATAGGCGCCTAAGGCAACTAAAGTGCTATAAGTACTTATAAGCCTAATTAAGACTAACGTATAAAATAAAAATAAGTCTGATTTTTATTTATTATATAAGATATATTAGTAAGCTTAAAAAGCTTAATAATACTAAGAATCCTAAGGATATTAAAAGTACTTATAAAGATATACCTTATAAGGGGGTATTATTAGGCTTATATTATTTAATTAGATAAAGTAGCGACTTACTTCTATATAGAATTTACCTAAATCGAGTTATAAGTACGCTAGCGATTTTTTAGTGTAGATATTTATAGTATTAAAAGCTTAGCGAGACTAGTTTTAAGGATATATATAGAAAGTACAGGTCTTTTTAAATTCTTAGTTAAAATTCACGCTAGTCTAACTATTTTTAGTTAGTTTAAAATCTAAAAATAAACTTAACTTTTAATTTTTAATTCTAATTAAAAATACTATATCTTTCCTAATTTAGTTTAGCTTAAATATAAAAGTAGGTCTTATAAAAGGCGCTTAGGGCGTATAAGGCAGCCTTTTATTATTTAAAGCTAACGTATAATAGCCTCTTATATTTTAAAGCGCCTTAAGTGTAAATAGCGACTATTTAGCGAAAATAGTGAAAATAGTAGGTAGTACGTGTACCTGGCGCTAGAATTTTTTACTAATATAGAATATTACCTTTAAGTAGTTATTATACTATTATTTAATATAATTATAGTAGAATAATATTATTCTATATCCCCTTAAAGTCAAGAGATATTCTATATTCCTTATTTTATAAAGATAATAATTAAAGCTTTATCTAAGAATATAACCTTTTATTACCTTTTAATTCCCTAGTCTTTCCTTAATAAAGTAATCTTATATTATTAACGTTTTTAAAGCTTTGTAAGACTAAGCTTCTTTATAGACTTTAATCTCTAAAGGCCTTAAGCTCTTAGTTTCTTTTTAATTATACTTTAGTAGAGATTAAAAAGCCTTCTTTAAAAGCTATAATATACTATAGCTTTTTTTATTGTTTTTGATTTAATATATAAGCTTTTATAAGTTACGTAACCTCTTTATTAGAAATCTATACCTTTACTTTACTTTTAGTTTTTTATTAAATTAACTTAACTTACTCTTAGATTATTAGAGAAGGGAGACTTTTATTATTAAATTAAATTGAAACCTTAGCAGAGGTATTTTTAATATTAGTTGTAGTTAACTTAGTTAAACTAGCTTTTTGAGTAGCCTTAGCTTAGTAAATATACTATAAGTAAGTTAAAAAGATAGCTTTATTAAGATCAGTTGCGTGTTTCCTTATAATTACTAACTCGTGAAGTAGAATTATTAAAACTAATATTATAAGGCAGAGATTTTAGTAGGGTTTACTTATAAATTTAGTCGGTTACTATATGAATTAAAATAGACGGTTTTTAATTCGGCTCGCCTTTGTATAGCCGTTTAAACGACCCTGTTTTTAGCTTTATAAACTAACGCTAGTTTTATAAGCTAAAAACGAACTATAGTCCGTTTTAATAAGTATAAAACTATATATAGTATAAATTATAATTTATAAAATTCTTATAAAGATATTATATAAAAGAAATATATAATTAATAAAAATCCTATAATTAACTTTTTATTTATATATAGTTTAATTAAAATAATATTTATTAAGTATCTTAAGTTAGAAATACAAATAATTATTAATATACTATTAATTAGACTTCTAATTAAAATAAAAAGTATTTAAAAAGTATTTAAAAAGTATTTAAAAAGTATTTAAAAGGTATTTAAAAAGTATTTAAAAGGTATTTAAAAAGAGAAAAAATAATCTATAAGATATAATAAATTATTTCTTAAAGTAAGATTTAAAAATATATTAATATATCCTATAATACTTACCTTATAAAAAGCTAAGATTACACTATATTAATAATCTTCTATAATAAAAATATTAAATAAATCTTTTTTAAGATACTAATTATATATATATAAAGTGACTAAGTCTTATATAATATAATTTATTCTTATTTTAATAATTTTCCTTTTAAATATATTTAAAAAAATATATATTTAAAGGAGATTTAACTAAAAATAAAAATAAAAATAAATTTAGTCTGTTTTAATAAACTAACCCGTTTTTAAGAAACTAATAAAACAAACTTCAGTTTTGACTTTTAATAACGAACTATAGTTAGTTTAAGTCCTTATAAAACGAACTTCAGTTAGTTCCGTTTTTACTAAGAACGGCAAAACTATTGACTACACTGCCCGTCGACAGGAGGTATGGCAAATATGGCTTACACACATCTAGCAATCTGCACCGTACCTCCTTGAACCTTTACATATTTTATACTCGTTACTTTCACGTAGCGCGTGGCACATAGTTGGCAAGCAAGGAAGAATTTCATTGCTCTGCTGCTTGGAAAATCGCATACTAAATGATAAAAGCCAAAATAGAATCAATGACCAGTCTCTGCAGCCAGTCACATAGGCGAAGGGAAATATTCCGACCTCAAAGAAAAACTGAAGGAGGATATTAAAGTGCTGCCATGGAGGAATTCCGTTACTACTCCAGGTTAATGGGGCCAGATAGGGTGGTGGGGAGGGCTGCTCACCTTCTTAGGTCAGACATTGTAAACACAAATGATGCCTTCAGTAGAGCGTTGGCAATATTCCCGCAGCTCACTATCAAGAGCTCGAACAGCCTCAACTTCATAAAAAATAATGTAAGAGCAAGTAGTAATATTTCCAGTCTAGCCAGTGGGTACAGTTTGGCACCAAAATAAGGAAACGGCCACGGCATGCCATTTTTCGCCCTAATGTTTTCCCAGGTATGCTCGCTTGGCAAGGAGACCCCCAGGACCCTGTTCCTGCCAGTCACGCGTTGCACTCAGGCTGTCAACTTACCTAGACCCGCAGGCCCGTACCATCAGAAGTACCCCTAGGGTAACAATGGAGATGGCGGAGGCTGCTGAAAGGAAAGGCAAGGCCTTGTTGCAATACTGACGTGGTTCATGATGGAAATTTTATAGGGAGAGAGAAATTTCCATCCGTGTTTATTTGAATAGGACGTTTTGGAGAAGTTAATAGATCTAATTTGGCGGTGTATTGCAAGTTTTCCCAAGGTTTGCGAACTCGAGTAGCACTTTTAAACAATATAAAGAAAGTAAAAAGTAGCTACTAGATATCTAAATCTGTCATATATAAGTTCTATATAATTATTAAAAAGGGTATAACACTAAAGTTAGTTTATATAAAGTACGTAGTTGCTAACTCGCCGTATTAAAGGCAGCTTTAGGGATACAGCTGTATTCCTCAGGTTGCCTAGCATACTGATCTTCAAGCGCAGAAATTACTACGAATCCTGCGACGATGCATTACAATCAACGGATCGAGAAGAGGTATCAAAGATACTGCACCAGGAACTGGGATGGACACTGTCTCTGCCTCCTCGTCCCTTTGGTATATGCTAGACGATACAATAGGAGACCAACCCATTTGCTGATGGTACCATCTGAGATCCATAACCTGTGATCATGGGCTCAAACATCAGGCTTCTGCAAGGACCATGGTTTGAACGGCTGTGTATTATTCGGGATATCAAGTTTGTCGTAAGGCCTATAACATTACGCGGAGGGTATATGCTACTTTGGACTCAGCCGGAAGTCGCAGCAAGACATTCTTCGACAAAAGGAAATGCGCCCCCACCTCACGCTCACAATCTTTTGCATTTGAAAGGGGCCCACTGGATCACTCAGGTTACACTTAAGTCGATGTATTAGGTTGACAAGAAAGATCTTAGAAATGCTTTACCTCTATTTAGCACCTAAGGAACAAACTGCCTAAGTCATGCGGACAGAGTTTATACTATACTTGGAATTGTTAAAGATGATGAAGATAGAGTGATAGACTACTCGACCCCCATAAAACGAGCGTATCAAAAAGTAGGTAGGGAAAAAGTCTTAGAAACGAACTCGTTGGATATTTTTGCCGCGTGCATGAATCCAAACAGGAACCTCCCTTCCTTGGCCAAGATCAGCCGCTTTGGATCTTCACAGATATCACTGGGCAAAAAGACTCCCAAAGCTCCCCAGTATCCCAGGCTAGTGGGTATTGTTCAGATTCGTAGATGTCCGGAGGCGAGACTATTTCTATTATACAACGGCCAAACCTTTGGTCATATCACTCAGCTACGCCGGGCAATTTACAGGGCCCAAGGGAAGTCAAAACTTGATTGCAGGACCTCGTGTCCGAGTGGTAGACATATTAGTCACAGTGGTTCCAAATGACTCCACGACAAATTCTGCTCAAATGGATTGGTTTCCCTAAGTTGTGCTGCAAGACATCAACACCTGGGACGGTGGCAAGAGAAATTTGGATTTTCTGGGCGGTTAACGCATTTCATACTCCAGCGTGTTACAATAATGTACCACTCATCGACTTTCAAACCCCTGCTTGAGGGAGCGCATGGGCTGTACTGCTGAGAAAATACAGAAATTGGAAGCTAATTCTCGAGTGGCTATGATCTGATACCCTACGTGGTATTTCACACTTTCCAGGAATATTAAATTAAGATTACATCAAGTGAAGAAGCTTCTCAACAACCAGTATATGGCATTCTCGCAATATTTTGACCGAGTATTTGCACGAGACCGTTGACTTCCACCTGTCTACGAGACCAAGATTAAAGTATGATATCCGCTTGGACCAATTGGAGAAGTACATCATTCGCCATCAAGGCTCTGGCAGCTCTCTCAACTCTTCTTCGTCGCTCGAATGCCTCGGATCTGCATCTGATTGTGTAGGACCGTCATTTTTTTCATGCTGGTACAAATTCATATTCACGAACATAGCAAACAATCCCAAATCATATCCGATGCGTAGTGTACCAGCTGCTACAAATGCAATCCAGAATCGCTTGTGTCCAGCAAGGATACCCGTCACCGTTGGCCCAGATGCGGAGGCAAAAGTTCTCACCATGCTCGTAATACCCATGATCGCCGTCCTCTCCTCGGGCTTTACCACTGCTGCGATGAAGGCCGCTCGAGGTGCTTGATCCATGTTGTTCAGGCCTGTTCGGATCATGAGAAGGATGACTGTCACGGCCAGGCTTGATGGGAACGGAAAGAATAGAACGGCAGCGCTTGATGGCAGATGCGTGAAAACCATCGTGTTGACGAGACCCAGATGGCGGCACAATGGCGATGCAAAGATCGTCGAGATGAATGACAAGAAGTAGCTGATCGAGACGACATCCCCTAATGTTGACTTCTTCACGTGGAACTTCTGATCCATGTAATATGTGGTCAGAGTGTAAGGCGTCATGCCATCTGCGAGGGAATCGATGATGAGTAGAAGCCATAACTTGTACATGGCAGAGCGGGTTTCTGGCGAGATTTCAGAAAAGAGCCTCTGCGTCTGGACATTCTGTGACTGTTGCTCGAGGCCCTGACTACCGACTTCATCCATCTCTAGGCTTGCATCATCGTTCAGCAGAATACCAGCCTCTTCCTCCATGGTTTCCTCAACTTTCCGAATCTCGCACTTGTCGCTCAGTAAGGCCATAAACATCAAATTGAGCAGTCCCACCCCTGAGTAGACCCAGAAAACAGCATGGTAAGCATCGATAAGTGTCCAACCATCGAGATGCTGGATGTAGTGAACAACACGACCACCAGACTCTGTCCCCATCGATTGGCCCAGTGTCGCCACAGTCACATACCACGAAAGCACATCCGCTCTGGTATTCGGGCCCGTGAGACCAGACAAAATAGACTCTTCGATGGCTCGGAAGGGTCCGAAATCACCGCCAGTTGCGCTGACAACGCCAACTACAGCAGCAAACAACAAGATCCAGTAGTTTTCAAACAGAGCGAACATAGCCCCAGAAAATATCATCATAATGGATCCACCAATGAGTATACGGCGCCGACCAATACGATCTGCAATTGCAGTAAGGAGTACTGAAAGTAAGACATCTCCAAGAAGAGTTAAGGTCATGAAAAGCCCAATAAATGTGTCTGGAAATTTAAGCTCAGAGAAGAAAAGAGCTAGGATTAGGGCAACATTGCCGAATGCCATCATCCGGCAGCATCGTGCTGCAATAATAAACCAGGCATCTCGACCAGTGGCATGTAGAGAATGCAAGCCGAGTTCTCGGTAGAGCCATTTGAATTGGACGAGCACAGCCATCACCATGGCTCAGCTCAACTGGTATCGAGAAGAAATAAAGAGGGCGGTGGGTTTCACGAAAGGAACCTTCAAGACTCACGCAAGTGCCTGAATGGATGACAAAATTTTGACTGCATGCTCTTGATCATTTCAGAATTTCATTGGCAGGAATCGATCGACTTTCTTTCAAAGGTGGGGGTATTGTAATGTTGGTGGGGGGAGGGAGCGGGGTTTGAATAAGCTAAGAATGCCCGATAGTTAGCGGTTGGGGAACAACATCAATCTATGGTGTTAGTTAAGAGAGGTTTGGCCCGGAACGATTTTTTGCCTTACTAAACCTACCTGCCGCAGTGCCCCGTACTACTGCACGACCTTTTAATACTCTTATAACCTTTATAGAATATGAAAATAGTATTTAAAACATAGCGGATCTTTCTATTAAGTCAGAATTAGTATTAGAGGTATAGCTATAAAGCTAGAGATAAGTACTTAAGAGAAGGATATAATACTACTAGTATAGACTTAAGTGATACCGCTGAGGGTACGCTAAGTACCTAAGTTATTAAATTATCTAGGTAGCTTCAGTTAAATACTACGTAATAATAATATCACAGAAAGACTTTAAAGTTTTAGAAATAATAGAATAGTATATAAATATTAGTTTATAATATAAAAATAGCCTTACGCCTATATAGATATAGGATAATTTACCTCAGTAAGCGCTAGTAGGTAGTGTGCAGCTGATTTTAGAAGTTTAGTAAGGCAAAAATCGTTCCGGGCCAAACCTCTCTTAACTAACACCATATCAATCGCTACCTATCTGACATCCCTGAATCCAAACCAAGACGGCAATCAAGCGAATCATGTGTATGTGTTGAAATCAGTAAATCGAAATCGTCGAGTAGTGGATCTGAGAGGAACCATGAGGCGATCGCTGGCCAAACTCTTGCTTTGGAAATACATGTAGACATTTCCGCTGAACAGAACACTTGACTATTTATTGTACGACCCGCAGAAGCCTTCTTCCAGATTGAACAAAAATCATTAAAACCTAATCTACTCGTACTGTTCAGTACCGAACAACAAAGAAAATACTTAATCTGCTGAAGTATATCAACTATAGTTGCTTCAAATGGTGGCAATGCTAGAAACCTAACGATCTAATTTACCGCAACATATCTCCTAGCTAACTCACAAGATCGCTCACTTCCTTGTAGTTCAGCTGGCTCGTAATTGTCGCTGAGTATTTGAAAGTAGTAGGTATCAGTTGGGAGAACTATAATACTCCCTTCGGAAGAAAATCCATAACAGACCGAGTTACGTATGGAGATAGGAGGACAGCAATACAGAATGACAGTTCATAGGATTAGACTGCAGTTGAATTAGAGATGTTACAGTGTCGCATCAGCCCCGGAGAGGACCACCAGGACAAACTCGAGCGGTGCCAAGTTGTTGACGAGCTTCAAAGACCGTACGGGGAGTCTAGTTAGGTCACCGTCTAGGGATTTTGATGAAAGAACGTGTGATCATAGGACGGAGATGTGCTAGTCTTGACCAAAATGGCGACATAGGTGCCTGTTGAGCAACAACGTGTGTTACGATGTTATCCGTACGCTTCCATTAAAAGTGCCTCATAATCGTGCTCTTCGAAATTCTTGCGATATAAAAGTCCCCAGAGACACGTTGGAGCTCTTGAGTGGTACCCTGTAATGCAAAGAACCCGTACTGAGAGAATCTGGAGGCGGCGACTTAAAAAGGAGGAATCGAATCTGCGTCCACGTACCATCAATTAACATGGAACCTCGAATGGTGTATGAAAATTGCTACAGCGCGCCGCTCGTGCAGAAGTGGTTGGTAGAAGGTGTGATATAAGATAAGATCACGAAATGGCCCTTGATAGCATTCCCTGAGAGAATATTCGAAACACAATATAGAACTAGTGTCGAGTGTAGCGGTTCTTGCAATATCTAGCCTCGTATATCTAGATCGGATCCTGGCCTGGTAGCCCTGGAGACTCTGTATGAAGTCATAATGATTGAAGTTCTCGATCTGCCGCAATGAAAGGCAGCGGTATCTTTGGTGCTCCAACGATTTCCAAGGATCTATCCTTCATGCTGATATAGCGAGTAGCCGAGTAGCTGCAATCATGACTGTGGCATTAATACATTGTAGATTATCCTTATGGGTTCAATCTCCTTTATCATATCGTTTCCATAATCTTGCACAATACATTGCGAATCGACCCATATATAACGTAGCGCAAGAGCTCGGGTTACCCAAATGGCGTCCTGGATTGTTATCAGAAGGCGGAATCCATCTCGTTGCGATGGATCTTGAAACAAAGCTGTTTTAGTTGTGAAAAGGCTGGAGGCTGCCCGCAATAACCCAGAGCTGCATACTGGCCGCGGCTCCTTGAAATCCCGAGGTGCAAAAAAAGTCTTCCGGGATCGTCGTCTCAGCCAACGACAATGAATTGATGAGGGAGGGAATCCAGCGTAGATCTACGAGGGAGACCAGAGCCACGACTTTCTAGGCATCCAGCCAACTCCTTATTGATAGTCTCAAGTAGAGATCTACTTATGAGCTTGCACATGGGTGCTGTCTAGCACACACAAAAGCGGTAATAACTGTTATTAGGAGAAAGGAAGCTATTCGTCGAATAGTTAAGTGACTCTTACACATTACCAATGACAGCCGTAGTCCTCGTCCTCTGCTGTAAGTAATCGTACCTGATAGCCCTCGATACTTGGCTCTGGGAATAAAATGGTTTATTCGACTTCTACATGTCCAGCTAACAATGACATCGATGAGAATGGATATATGACGAACTGAAGTCTCTACGGCATCCAGATCACGTTGTTAATATAAGACTTTTGACCTTGGCGATGCTCGATAATAACAGAAATCCTTGCGCGACTGTTGTCGGCCACGGACGGCTTTGCAGATGGGAAAGCCACAGGCCAGATAAAGGCTCTTGAATCCAGACTCTGGGGGCTGGGTTCAGGCTGGTGACGCCCTCTGGTGAGCTCTGCTAACGCTGCATGCCTGATAAGCCACTTGGGTAACGGGGCTCCTTCCAGGAAAGCAGGTCACCGGCTGAGTGTTTTCCACTCGACAGAACAGAGTCACCTCGAAACCAAGACCAAGACCAAGGGCACGTACTGTAGATGTGAAGGAGGAGATGGGCGCTTGCTTCATTATTGCAGCATTATTGGGTTGGTCCCTTTTCTGTGGTCTGCCAACCTGGCTAAAGCTTGCGGCCCACGCCGGGATGGTCAAAGCGAAAGCCAAAATCGCGTTGTGTCGCGTGTTTGCCGCGCGCGACAGCCAGAACCTCCAATTGTTCTTCCCAACACCATGGCAACTTCACCAACACAGCGCAGCACAACATCCACTCACCAACGCACCGTATTTTGGAGACAACCCAGCTTCTCCCATAATCCCATAACCACAGGACTCCGCAAATACGAACCTTATAGACAGAATGGCAAGATTTCTGCAGTAACCCGTGTCTACAACCGTCAACGCGTCCACCAGAGGCCGAAACGCCCACCAGAACCACAAACAATAGAGAGGCTACAACACAACAGGACTGCAAAGTGCATACACAGGCTTGAGCAAATTCTAGAGGCCTAGCATGCTTGCAGACGCGTCCGGTGTGCAATAGCTATGTATCTGCCACGCTCCCTCATCTCGAAACTTTACCTCCATCTTCAAAAGACACATCATCCTCTCTCCCCACCAGTTCTCATCCTTGTTGCGCTTGAGCCAGATGCGCTTTGCGGTTGCCGAATCCTCACCCAGCTTCTGAAACGGGACTACATACCACATAAGATACAGCCAATCGCAGGCTATGGTGACTTGGAGAAGGCTGGCAAGAATGTCATTCAACCAATGATGGAAAGCAATGGTGGCAGCGGAGGTATAGTAATCTGCCTGGGAGTGGGAGGATTGGTTGATCTGGGTGGTCTGTTGGGCATTGATGGTGAGGAAGCAGAGAGCAGCTACGGTGGTGTGGAGGTCTGGGTCATTGATTCACGTCGACCATGGAATTTGGGGAACGTTTTCGGGGGACACCCCCCACAGGCACAAATAGAGGAAGAAGGAGAACCAGTGGACCTACCCCGCCTTGGAATCGATGGAGGGAAGATTCTACGCAACTACAAGCCTGGTAAAGGAGGAATAGTGGTCTTTGATGATGGTGACATTGAAGAGGATTTAGCAAGCGAAAGAGATGCGTATCTTGCACTGGTTGAAATGCCAGAGGTTGAAGATGACGACGAATACCTTAGCGGAAGCGATGCAGAAGCCGAGGATGATGAAAATCCACCAGCAGTCTCGCAGCCGGGCCAAAAACGAAAGTCGTGGACGGATCGAGATGACGAGGACGAGAGTAGTGATGAGGAGGATAGACCACGGCAGCGGAGAAGAAGTAATTCGGTAGGTCTTCCTCCGACCCTTGCTCGCTCGCATTTCTAATGTTCATCACAGTCAAGTCCGATTGCAGATCCACCAACCTGGCCTCGCCAGCGTAGCTTACTTTCACTTGATGGACCTGCAGCTTTGACTTCGAGTGTGGGCTCGCGTTCCGTCTCTCCAATACCTGGGCAGCCTCTGGTAGCTCTCTCGGCACGAGTTTTACGGCGTCGTTTAATGAAGATGCGTCGCAAGCACGAGTTGGTACTTCAGAAATACTACTCTCTAGGTTCATCGTACTCTGAGCCGATTTCCTCCATGATGTACTCTTTGGCTTCGGAACTTGGACGAGAAGACAACGATCTGTTGTGGATGAGTATTGTTGGGGTCACTTCGATGGAGCTGTATGGGCGTTCAGCCGTGGGTGTTGCAATTACAACGCAAAAGATATTCGCGTCACCAAATGGCTGGCTCGGCACACGAGGATCACGAATACGACAGCTGCTAAGGGACGAAGTTCGACGTCTGAATCCTCCCGAGATTTCTGATACAACTTTCAACTCGAATCGGAACACACCAGAGAACAGCGGTATTATTCCGACAACCGCTCGAAGTCCGACAGATACCAGTATTCGATTATCCCCGGAACCAAAATTTCTCTTAATCCGACACTGGAGTCTTTATGATAGCATGTTACACTCTCCATACCTCTCAGCGCGGCTGCATATCTGGTCAGAAAACGGTAGGAAGCGACTGCACAAGCTTCTCGCTAAGATGGGCGTTAGCCTCGTTCAATGTAAACAGAGTTACACCCATATGGATATGGAACTGAAGAGAGGTCTCCGAGGCAAGCTACTGAAGTACTCAGAAATGTATGGGCTTGATGACTTAGTCCCATCAGCTGACACTGATGGAAGAGACCATGGCGGAAACAAAGAAGGCTGGGGCTTCGTGAGAAGCTGGGGATGGCGGGCGACATTAAGCGCCCAAGACGTTGGTGTTGTCGTTGGAGCTTTGCTTGAGGTTGGGAAAAAGGCAGTTGGAAATCTCGAAAGCGGCAGTAATGATCGAGGAAGAGATGTCAAAGAGACTTCTGACGAGGATGGGACCGAGCAAGGCGAAGAATGGGTTGGTAGATTCTGGGATGCTTACGATGCCTTAGAAAAGTGAGTTTTAGCCTCGATTTCGCGTTATACCTTTCTGACAGCCAGTAGAATCGAGGAACTCAAAGCAGCTCTTCCGACTGCGCAGCTTCTCCATCGTGCCATCCTGCGCACTGGAACAGGAATCATTGAGAAAAAACAGATCAGGCATCTTAGAGCTTTTCGAATGTGTGTGGTACGAGAAGGTCCAGATGTCTTGCTATTCACACATCCTGCTGCATTGACGAAGCTTGCCCTTTGGGTGGGTGAGGCCATCGCTGAGCAAGAAAAAGAGACAAAAGGCAAGCTGGGTCATGGTGGACGAGGAACACCGCTTGTTGTCGCTAGCTACAACGAGAAACGGAATGTGTATCTCGTAGTTGGTGCCGCTGGAGCTGGAGGTGGTGGAATGGGATTTGGCGACAAAAAAGCGGCAAAAGAACGAAAGGAGAAGCGGGATGCTAAACTTGCAGCTCTAGAACTAAAGAAAAACAACAAGGAGAAGGTGCGCGAACAGAAGAGAGAGGCTCGTCGTTTGGCCCTAGGTGACGATGAAGACGAGGAAGACGTAACAGAGTCAGAAGGATCCGACTCTTCAGATGACGAGTCGGACGAGGAAGAAGGCGAGAAGTCCCAAGTCCGTGGATTTGGAAGGAACAAATTCGGTAACGCATTTCAAGAAGTCGTCGAAGAAACCAGTGCGAGAGTACGCATTGATAGTTTTGAGCATTGTGTGGTGGAAGTGAGGAAAGAGGATCTCACCGGCTTTTTGGAGAGCCTAAGTACAAAGACATTGGTCGGGGGTGAGTGAGGGGAGGTATGTTATATGACTCTGGGGGTGCGGTTGGATGTTGCTAGGCGTTGGCTGCGGGGAGTAACGGCGGGTCTAGAGTAAACCTTTGCTTGTTGATATTGAATAAAAGGAATACGATGATGCACGAAGTCCTTGACTCTTGACTTGTTATGCAGTGGACAGCGCTTGAGCGGGTTACTGAAGCTGCAAATCACGTGCGCTCTCAGGCGTTCCTCCTCGCTTGATGACAGGGCAATCGGTGTTACAAATAAGTGGCCGATTGAGGCACGTACAGAACAACAAAATCAACTTCTTCAGGGCACCACTTCTCAACGTATAGTATTTAAAAAGAGAAGTCCTTTTCATAAGGTCTTTAAAAATACTTCTGAAAAGATTTTATCAATTAATATTGTATTCTTTTCTCTTAAGTTGCGATAAAAACAGCGCATTCATTACAGTGTCGCGTCCTGCCTTGATCGGCCACTTATTTCTAACACCGATAGCAGGGCTTCCTTTTAAGTTACCTAGGTACCTAGGTAGGTATTCTCCCCTTGAAAATGTGTATGCAATTGAGGGAACAATTAGCGAAAATCACTACCTATCTACTTTAAAGGAAAGATGCGGCCGAGACCAAGGGACAATACAGCGCTAAGTTAACAGTAACTGCACCCCCTCGCTTGATAGTCGGTAGACTCTCAGTAGACTCTCTATTGAGAACCCCTTAAAAGGTTGACGAGCGCTACCTAGACAGCCGTGCAACTATCCACTTAGTGAAGCGCTGTATTGTCACTGGGTTTTGGCCTCATTTCGCCTCTAAGGTAGGTAAGGGGATAAAACCAACGCTCGTGATCTTACCTTAGAGGAAAAGGCAGGAGTAGATGAACCATTCTATGACGGGTCTAAGATGATTCCCCACGAGAACAGTTCTTACTGAAGACACGTTCCTAAGATCACCCTAGGACAGTTTCTTTACTTGTCTAGGGACGGTGCTAGACGATATGCATATGCCCTTAACGAACTAGGGGACAGAAGTCCGTGCTTTAGGCTTAAACAGCTTAAAATCTGTATTTAAAAGATTAATAAGTTTAAATAGAAAAATCTTAGGTAACAGAATTAATTAGTATATGATAAAGTATTATTATTGTTAAAAAGAATTACTTCGTATTATTTGTTATAAAGTTATAGGACTATAAAAATAGGCTAAATTGTTGAAAGAGTAGTGTTCCTCACTCAAGCGATCCAGCCTATATTGCACGGACTTCTGTCCCCAAACTGCCATTCGGAACCCCCAACTTTTTTACAGGGCCTAAAATTAGCGCACGTGCCCTGTACCTAGTACTTGCAACCATGAGCATTTTAGCGCCTCGCTTCAGCAGCACTGCCCTGCAAAAGTGTGTTTCTGGCATTTAAGGGGATAGTTGCCTGGTTGCCTTATCCCAAGCTGAAATCTCGTAATCCGATTATTGCCCTTCAACTAGGTGCCTTTGATTCTAGCCCGCACGTTGACCTTGCAAACTGAACTTCCCTAAATCGATCGATTTAGATACTCTTAAGAACTGAAAGTAAGAGTTGATCTTATAGTAAAGTACTAAGTGTTCAGGTAAAGTGAAGAGGATTTAGGTTTAATTTCCTTTTTAAGAAGGACCAAAGGGGCTCTTACCTTATAAATAGAGATAAGAACTGTTCCTGAGAAAATAACTGTTTTAAGACAACCCAAGGAACGTTCTGGTTATTTGAAAAAGGAAAACTTCTCAGAGAGGTGACTATCCCCTCTAAGGTAGTGACAAAACTACCTAGGTAGGTAGGTAGGAGGCTAGCAAGTGATTCATTTGGCTTCCCGTAACCCCGCATCCCCGGCACTACCTGCGGCAAGCGACTATTCTTCAGTACAACAGTTCTATTAGATAGCTGGTTTGTCCAAGTCGCAAGGGCTGGCATGTTAAGTATGAGCGCTTGGTAGAAGCTTCTCAGATGTGACATATTCCCGTTCCTCCTCCCTTTCCCTCTGTGTGCTCCCATCTCATCTAATCGTCGGCGTAGCCCCCCCAGAGACCCACACTACCACCAACCCCCCCTCTGGTAGTCGGTGGAATAGTTTAGTCGCGTGGATTAGTTTAGTCGCGTGGATTAGTTTAGTCGCGTACGCGTATTTCTGAGCTATAGGCGTATATCTGAGTTCAGTTGAAATTGGCCTGAGCTCGACTTTGTCCCACCTTAAATGTTCTATAAGAGATTTGTATGGCGGGTAAGCGTCTAAACTATTCCACGCGACTAAACTATTCCACCGACTACCAGAGGGGGGGGGTTGGTGGTAGTGTGGGTCTCTGGGGGGGCTACGCCGACGATTATTCTGTCGGTCCATTTGACTGGCCAACTCTCCATCCTCAACTGTCTCATTTGTACTCCTAACATTGCAGGGTTTATTTGATTCAATCCACAATGCCATTCAAAAGTTCACAACCGGACATCGACGGTTTGTTGCATCCCCACTCCAAGACCATTCTAACACTCTCCAGTACCTATCAATATCACCACTTGGACATGGCTCTTCAATTCTCCCGCCTCACCTTTAAAATCCGAGTCAGAATCCACAATCGCCGGATTTAGCAATGTCATAATCCAAGAACGCGTTCCTTACATAGACGTTAAAGCTCACACAACGAATCTCTCCACAGCCCTCGTCAGGCACCACGGGCTCCAGAAAGGCGATGTAGTCGCTCTATTCTCGCCAAATACCATTTGGTATCCCGTGGCCATGCTTTCTGTGAACAGAGTTGGTGGCATTATTTCTGGGGCCAGTCCAGCTTACAATGTCGAAGAAATGTCTTATGCGCTGAAGACTGCCAAGGTGAAATTCTTAATGACCGTCCTGGAAGCATGAATGTTGCTGCAAAGGCTGCCGAGGCCGCAAGAATTAGCAAGTCGAGGATCGTTCTTCTTGAAGGCGAGTTGAAAGGGTACAAGACAATTCAGGAATTGATCGAATGGGGAATGAAAGAGAAGCAGCAGGTCATGGAGTACAAATTGAAAGACGGGGAGAAGAATGGTGATTTGTGTGGGTTTCTGAGCTTTTCTAGTGGAACAACCGGACTACCGAAAGCTGTGAGTGGTATTTTATATTGGCCAGATCTTTGTTTCGAATCTTCTCGGAGTTTTTAAGAGGTTGAACAATCGCCAGGTCATGATATCTCACCAAAATGTAATCGCTCAATGTCTTCAAATACGCCAAATCACACCCGATTCACACAAAAAGATCCTCGCTGTGCTGCCAGTATTTCACATCACCGGTCTAGTCCATACACTCCACCTCCCGATACTAATCAATGCTGAAGTCTACATGCTCCCGTACTTCACAATGGAAAGTATGCTATCCACAGTCAGCAAATACAGAATCAAAGGACCCCTATTAGTCCCACCGATTCTCATCAGACTTGTCCACGATCCCATAGTTAGTGACTATGATTTAACCTGCGTCGAGCGATTCTCATTCCCTGGCACAGGTTTCAAACAAGGCTACGGCATGACCGAATCATGCTCGTGCATTACGGCTCACCCGCCCGAGAAATACGATTACAAGTACACACATCGCGTCGGGACAATTTGTGCCTCCACCTTGATCAAAATCGTGGATGAGGATGGCAAGGAACTTGGTACTGGACAGGCCGGCGAGATACTGGCCAAAGGACCAGTACGTACACGCAAGCCCGTTTTCTTCTACATGTAACTTTCTCGGAAGTGGGATTCTCCTGAGCCATATTTGTCTTGTCGCTGTCATAAACCAATGCATACAGCCAAGTACTGACCCCATTTTGCTCATAGCAAACCGCACTAGGCTATCTGGGAAACGAGAAGGCGACGAGGGAGACGTTTGATGAGGAGGGGTATCTATATACGGGTGATCAGGCGGTATTTGATGATGAGGGCATGGTCACCATTACCGACCGCATCAAGGAAATGATCAAAGTGAAGGGCATTGGAGTTGCGCCTGCCGAATTGGAAGATCTACTTCTGGGCCATGACAATGTAGGGGATTGCGCGGTGCTGGGTACTGCTGATGAATATAGCGGAGAGAAGCCAAAGGCGTATATTGTGAGGAAGAATGGTGTTAAGAGCAGTGAAGAGAAGGTTGGAAGACAGATCTTGAGTTATGTTAGGGAGAAGAAGGTTAGATATAAATGGTTAGAGGAGGTGGAATTCATTGCAGAGATTCCAAAGAGTGCCAGTGGCAAGATTTTAAGAAGGTTGCTGAGAGATAGGGAGAGGGGAGGGCAGGATAGAGGGGTCGTTGTGAGGGATGAGGCGAAGGCGAAGCTGTAGGCGGTTGCGAGCCGTATGATGTTTGATGGAATGTTTGCTAAGACTGCCTGTGTATAGCACCTTAGCGAGAAATGTCAAAATTTGTTTAATGTGATGTCTTGTGACTTTCGAACTCGCTTTCACTGCTCCAAGTGAGGCAAGGAAGGGTGACTCGGTAGAGATGGACTATAAAATTTGCAGGTCTCCTACATGAAGCGGTGGGTCAAAGCAAGTGGTCTAATTGTGCTTCACTCCGAACGCTCATGGAGGCCTGAGTCACATCTCAATTCACTTGTCTTGTCTCTCTGATGGCTCGGATTTCTCTCCATTTGCTGGGCAGATAAGCCAAGACCTATTGGATAAATGCCGAACTCTTGGTACAAGCTTGCTGGTTGATTGTTATTCGTGCGGTACGTGTCCTTCCATAACGCCCTTAATGCATTTTCTATTACAATCAAGACTCCGAAAACGCCATCCAACCATCTCTCAGACCCTGATAACCTTGCCTCCAAAGCCCCAAGTACCTAAACACATAGTCTGTAACTGGCATAGCGTCCTGCAGTTTCTGACTTCCGAATGATCTTCACCACTTGCCCTCGTCTCAAGCCATAGTATCGCGCAACTGGGTCGCCCAGCTGGATTCTTGGCAGCTGTGTATCCTTCAGGCGATATCTCAACAAGAGTGCCGTCTTCTCTTTCTTGCTCAACAGCACATGCTTAGGTACCAGCTCATGATGGGTGATGTTAACCAAAAGATCCGTCTCAACGAAACACTCGATTCTGGTCTCGCTTGCAACGGCAGGAATGATCTTGAGAGCGGCTGGGGTGATGTTGACATTGGTAATGAGGATACCGGTAGCAAAGTTGTTAGCAGAGCAATGCTGGGCAAAGGTACGCATTTGCTTGATTCCTACGCTAGTATCTGGCAGGAACTCGACCCAAATGGTTCCAATGTCTGAACCTTCACCATTGTCATTTTCATAACGGGTCATCATGACGTCGCTGGGACGGGCAGAAAAGTTCATTGCTTTGCGACTGCATATCTACATCAGTACAATATGCCCTGTATGCTGAGCGGTGGAAGCAACAACTGAAGTAGCTTACTTGACGCTGCCATCCTGGCTAGTGTATTGGCTCTTGAAGTCGTCAAAGGAGATTTTGACCTCTTCATCTGACAACTCGTAGCCCCGATCCTGCACCATCTCATGGACTGTCCGCCATGCGCGCCAGAGGCGAGCAGCTTCTCGCTCTCCAAGCTCGCGCTGCTTCCTTTGACGGTCTTCATCGCGCTCGTCCATTGTAACAGTGTACTGAAACCGTTGCTGTAGAGAAGAGGCCAGGTCGGTAATGGAGGGTATCAAAACTTGCAGTCGCTGTACTGTTTTGGGCAGAGCAGAGAGCTGCGATCGTGATGGCAGGCTCGAACAAAGCGGAGGTTCAAGCTGAAGTAGAAGTCGAAGTCAAGAGCCGCGCTCAGCAAGTCTGGTCTGGTAATTGTTCTAGCTTAGGTTCAAGTTCGCGTTCAGTCAGGAAAAGTATTCTAGGGCCGACAGATTTTCCGACGGTGTCCGGTAAAAACCAATCCAGCTCCGCCCCGCCCCGCTACTTGGCCCATGCTCTTTCTTCGAATGCCTAGTCCCTTTCCCCTTCCCTTCCCTTTTATTTAGTAAATCTGTTCTCAGATCAACTCGAGTCTCTTCCCCCAGTACCTATACATTCATCCATTCCATTCCGTTTCGCACCAAGGTATTCGTTTACTCTTGTGCCTGAGACTCTACTGCACATAAGAGGCAATTGAGCTCCTCCTGTGTGTGTCTCCTCTTCTGCTTGCACATCCTCTTTGCCAATACCATTAGCAGTATCAGTACCAGTACCAGTACCAATACCTCACCTTCTCCCTCGTCTCCTCACTGCATAACTATCGAAGCAATGGCAGACGTCGCAACGCCTTCGGGTGCAGCCATGTTTGATGCTGGTGCTGTCCACAAGAAGCCCGAGAAGCCTGATGAGGAGGCTTACAAGGCAAGCCTCAAGAAGGCTGAGAAGGAGCATGCCGACGCGATGACAAAATTGGTAGGTCAAGTCTTGACGCTGCTGTTAAGGGGCTCCACTCTACGGTAACTTGTACAGATGCATTCTATACTAACAAAATCCACAGAACGCTATCAAGGCCAAGCTTGACGTCGCAAAGCCTACTTCGAAAGATTCTCCCGCTGCTAAGCACCGTGCTGACCTCCTTGCCCAATTGAAGGAAATTCGAGAAAAGCAAGGTGCTGGAAAGGCTGGCCGCAACAAGATCTTTGACGACATTAAGAACGAGGACAATAAATTGAAGGAGCTTATTGCCCAGCAAAAAGTAGCTCGCAGCAGAGTCTCGTATAAGAATGTCGATGAGCTGGATCGCGAGATTGATCGATTGGAGAAGCAGGTCAATGGCGGAATGATGAAACTTGTGGATGAGAAGAAGGCTTTGGCTGAGGTTTCGAACTTACGCAAGCAGCGTAAAGGTTTTGCGGGCTTTGATGATGCTCAAAAGCAAATTGACGAGAAGAAGGCCCACCTCAAGAAGCTCCGCGATACACTTGATGACCCCGAGTCCAAGGCTCTTAGTGAGAAGTACAACAAGATCCAGAGCGAACTGGACGCCATCAAAGCCGAGCAAGATGAGGCCTACAAGGGAATCAACAGCCTTCGTGACGAACGAAAAAAACTTCAGGATGAACAGCAAGCCAAGTTCACCGCGATCAAGAAGATCAAGGATGATTACTACCAAACGAACCGCGCAATCCAGAAGTACGAGTACGAGGCACGACAAAAGGCTAGGGAGCGCAAGAAAGCTGAGAACGAGAAGTACCAGCAAGAAAAGCGCAAAGATCGTGCCCAGCAAATGCTTGCCGAGGCCAGCGACAAAGCCTACCTCGACGAAATTCGCCGCGCCGAGTCTCTCCTTAGATTCCTCGACCCATCATACTCCGCTGAGAAAGCACCATTGCAAGCACCTTCGCAATTCACTGCGACTGCTCAAAGAAAAGTCGACGATGCCGGTATCAAGGGCTTCAAGGTCATCAAGAAAGACGAAGAAGACTACTTCGCAGGCACTGGAGGCAAGAAGGGCAAGAAGAACAGGAAGGCCGCTGCTGCGACTGGCGATGCCCCTCCGGCATCAACTGGAAAGTACAGCTGCCCTCCAGCTGTCATGGAAGACTGTGCTTCCATGGGGATTGAGCCACCCATGAGCCCTGCCGAAATACCCGAGGTTCGAGAAAAGGTTAAGGCTAAGCTGGAATTCTGGAAGTCTGACCAAGAGTCTCAGACCAAGAAGGTAATTTCATTTTCTCTCCTCTTGTGACAGGACGTGACTAATACTCTTTGCAGAACATTGCCAAGGCTCAAAAGGAGGTTGAGCGTCTTGATGCTGAGGAGGCTGCAGCATTCGCACCTGGTAGCCCCAGTACAGCACTGCCCCACGCCAATGGAGAGACCAAGGCTACTGCCTCAGTTGATGAAGGTGGATCAGTCGCCAACGAGATCGCCCTTGTCCAAGGAGCCGTCTCGGATGTAATTGCGGACTTGAAGGGCGCCTCGGTCGAGGAGAAGGCACAATAGAACCATCCATCTGTCGCCATTTCTCTCCGTATCTTTAAACCATCTTCATGTATGGCAATGTAAAGATCGGGTCGGTTACCGAGCTTTTCTCCTTTAATTTTCTACCCTTCACATACTTCTAAAAATAGCTCACGGAATAGGGTGAAAAGTTCATGAACAGGTTTTGCATCTTGCTGGAAGAAATGATAGGAGAAGATTTCTCACTTTGTAATTTAGGCGCGGCTGGATGCGAAAAGCATTCACTGAGCGATGACCAGGGCTCCATTCTCTCTACAGATAAGGTGTTGTGTTTGGATTCACATTTCAGCATGCATGCATCTGTTGGCGCCGGACTTAATTCATGATTGATAAACTCGCATCCCTGTTGTCTTCAATAACTCGTCCTTACTTGGCTTCCTTCACCATTCGTATTAGGTCTTCCCAAGGGGAGCCCCCAATCGAAAAGGTTGTGCTGACCAATTCGTTCAGGGAAAGCTTCGACAGATGTGAGCTCAATACGGAATATAGGCAATTGCAAAGTAGTTTAGATCGACATTTCCACGGGCTTGTGAGTGACAATGGCCTTGGTACAGGACGATGGGTAAATTGCTGTAGACTACCGACCTAGTGGCTGTCCAATGACTCTACTGTATATATATCAGGACGACACCGAGACCATGATCAGAGGAGCTTTCCTGGGGAAAATGGACCTGGGAGTCGAAGTAAGGTTGAGAGAATGTTGTCTCGTTTCTGAACGGAGAAAGGATCCGTCCGGAACGCCTACGCTGCAAGTGGTCACTACACTTAGTTCTTTTGTTGAGAAGGAGGACAAGGAAACTCGTAATTTCGTTAATATTATCCATGACCTCCCTTCTGCATTACCTCATGTCTGAAGAATGTCCAGTCCTTTCTTGACGCAAGTCGCTGATGATGCCCCGCGTAGAGATGTCCTCCAGCCTTCCATTCCATTCAAGTTATTGGATTCGCGGCTGCTTTCCACTGCACAGCATCACTCCTCCGCCGACTTGGCTCAGAATCCTGGCTGAACGTAATTAAAGCCTCCCATTGGTGGAGCATACATCGCCCCTTGCCTGACCCTTTCTCTGTCCCGTCCCCCAACAGCAGTCGGTGGAGCAGGGACTCGCAGAACCCTTTCCCTCTCTTCAATCAAGTCCCTCTCACCTCTACTCCTCCTCCGTCTCCGTCTCTCCTCAACCTCACTCGGCTCTCTTAACCTGACTTTCCTCTCCCTCTCGCGCCCGACACCCACGCCTCCCATAGCACTTAGTGGGGGGTCTCGAATCCCAGGCTCATCGTCACTTGGTAGATTGAGATCCACCAGCCCAAAGAAATATTCCAGCACTTCCGGATACCGCTGCACGGATGCCTTCCAGTCTTCGTCTATCCCTCGCTTAAGCTCTGCGTCTGCAGCAGCTATTTCGGATGGATGTGGTCGTGCTCGGTAGTAGTATGCTGCTCTTTCAGTGACACGGTGGATGGTTTGGGCGTGTTGATCTTTGCGCCGAGTGGTGAGCATGCTGAAGTAGGACAGGATGTAATCTTGAGCATGTCCGCGAACCCAGGCGCTGCGGAAGTCAATTGGTGAGTGCCATCGGGCAACTAGTAGATATATGTGTGGGTGTATATATTATATATATAAATATATATATTATATATACATATCGATATTGAAGTCGGCTTGGTTGAAGTAGGGCATTCACAGGGAGAAATCAACATACCGGATATCACTGAATACACTCGTCATCATTCTCTGTTCGGCCTGTCGCACAGCGAGGTCTAAGCCCTTCGCTTCACATTCGCATTGGGCGAGCGCAGGCTGGCTGCAAATAGCACAGTCGGGATCCATGATCTTGACTGGCTTTTTGGTCCTGCTATGCTTGATTAACATGACTTCAGGACGTAGATGGGATGGCATCTCTCTCATCCATGGACTAGTCGAGATATATCACTGGGTGTGGGGTAAAGTAGTGCAAGGCGAGGGAGACAGGATAGTCCTCCCGGGTGGGTATCAACCACGCCAAAGAGAGGCAAAGGAAGAGCTTCCTTTTGTACATGGACTGTAAATGACAGATGCTCATTGGAGAAGCGCATGATACGGGCGAATGAGCGGTAAGTCAGGTCATGAGCAGAAAAGCGGTGATAAGGAGGGAGGGTGTGGGAGCGAGAGGAAACACCCACCTTCTGTTGTCTCGGTCTCGGTCTCGGTCTCGTTACCTCGATCACGTTTCGCTTTCTACCTGTCGCTTTCCCTCGAGCCTCTAGGTTGGTACAGTATCTTGTCGTCCAGCAACGTCAACGCGTAAAGTCGACGCAGCGCAGCGCAGCGCAGCGCAGCACAGCTTTCTGTTTAGCAGATCTCCGATGGCAAAACTAGCATGGACAGCACAGCTTACACAACACCTAACACACAGCACACAGCACACAGCACACACAAAGAGGGCCAGGCCAAGTCCACTTGACTTGACTCGACTGGAGTTTTCGGGCGTGGAGTCGAGTAGAGTAGAGGGACACTCGACAAGAGCTAGCAGCAAGCAGCTCTCTGCTTGCGGCTAGGGACGGTACAACAGTGGCTCAGGAAGCAAGAATGAAGGCATTCGCAGCGCTGATAAAAGTTCATAGCAATCTGTCAACGTCAACAGCAATGTCATGTTGCCGGCTTTTGGCGTGTTGTGTAGGTAAGGTAAGGTAAGGTAGGGTAGGGTACCTTCGGTAGCTTAGGCAGTGTCGGGTTCCGTTGTGTCAGGTCGTTTTCGTTTTAAAGTGGAGGCTTCGCAAATAGCAGACTCGCGCTGTGCGGCACTGTGTCGTGGCTCGACTCGAGACTGCTGGACTGGACATCGCGTGCACGAGTCCGCTGCAGCGCCAGAGCAAAGTGCTCGAATCAGGAAACCTACCTAAACCTGGTTGGAGGGAGACAGAGGAGAAAGGATGGTGGCCAATGACGAGACGTGGAGGGGGATGGGGGCTGCAGCATTCCATTAACCTTAAGGTACCTTAGGTTCATGCCCGTGTGCTAGCAGTGCGTGCAGTGCATGCAATTTACGAGTACATTATAATACCTTACCTTACTGTACATTGATTAATGGTAATAAATTACATGTGCACGAGCGTGATCGTGGATTCGAGGGGTTATAGGTACCTAGGTAAGGTAGGTAGGTAGGGCCAAGGCAATAAGGTAGGCAAGGAAGGTACGGAGGTACTTTATGCTTCACCGCTCCGGATGGATGTGGAAGTGAAAAATACCTGCCTACCTACATAGTACCTACCTACCTAGTACCTACCATACCGAGCCTACCTACAGTGAGGCAATATCCGCATGATGTCGATCTCGAACTCGAATGCTGGAGAACAAGTCAGGGCAGGGCAGGGCAGGGAGGTGCGATACGAAGGTACCTAGGGGACAATAAACAAACAAGCTTAGGTACCTACCAAAGATACCTTAGGTACTTACTGTAATAGTGTAATCCGGGGATCGGGTTCTACCTTATTATACTGTACAGTACTGTACCATAGGTACCTAAGGTAATTTACCTACCTAGGTAGATAGGTACCTTACTAATAAGGAACTCATCTCACTGGTTGCCCCCGTGGTCAATTACCTACCTTATTGATACGGTGGCCACAAGCTACCTACCAGCCACCCTCCACCCCACCTGCCCATCACCTTTCCTACGGTGACCTGCATGTCCTCCGAACCACCGCGTGCAGTGTGCTCTCAAATAGTTAAATAAAAAGTATCAAACTTACCTACCTAGGTAGTCAAAGACAATCACTCTAAACTCGGGAGGAGAATGCCGCCACGGTGTTCGCATCTTCAGGGCACGTTAACACCCTTCCTGTACCCCTTTCTTCTGTCTCAGACCTCTAAATCAAAATCAATCTTCTTCCGACACATTGTCAGGCGTACCCAAGGCCGCCATGAATCTACGACTCCTGTTCACCAGCTGCCCGAAGTAGGCTCACACCTCAATCCTCCTCCCACCGACTATTCTCGTACGATATTCACCGACCGTGCGACTGTGACATTATTTGCTGGTGGCGGTGGTCATGGTTGTATATCATTCCTCCGCGAGAAGTACATCGAAGCAGGCCCTGCAAATGGAGGCGATGGGGGTACTGGAGGGAATGTCTACATCCAGGCAGTACGGGGCGAAACATCACTACATAAACTCGCGCGACGGAATATCTTGAAGGCTGGACGTGGGAAAAATGGCCAAGGCAAAAGTCGAGGTGGAGAGCGAGGCGATGATATTGTTGTACAAGTCCCAGTGGGCACTGTGGTCCGCGAAATCGAGAGAGTTGACCCCGTAGCCATTGAGGAGGAGAGACTGAAACTTGAAGCTGGAAAGGAAGATGGCGTCGATGGAAGCGGACCCTGGAAATGGGATCGAGAAAAGTGGTTACTCTACCCAGCGATTACACCCGAGGACATTGCAACATCAGAGTTCCCTACGCTCCCTAGAGGAAGAAAGTCCGCTCTTATGACGACTCAGGTAAAGGCACCTGTTTCGCTGGATCTGAGCAAGCCCATGGAGCGGCCTTTATTGCTGGTTGCTGGTGCAATGGGCGGGCTTGGCAACCCGCATTTTTGTACCAAGACTGTGCCACGGCCGAAGTTTGCAACCAAAGGGGAGACCGGAACGAAGATTGTTCTGGAGCTTGAATTGAAGCTCCTTGCTGATGTTGGACTTGTGGGACTCCCAAATGCGGGGAAGAGTACTCTATTAAGGGCTATGAGTAAGAGTCGTGCCCGAGTTGGTGACTGGGCGTTCACCACTCTTCAGCCAAATATTGGCACCGTCGTATTGGATGACCACAGAGGTCGACCTTTGGCCACAGCCAGGTATCAGGATGGAGAGCCGAGAACGCACTTCTCTATTGCCGACATCCCCGGATTAGTGGAAGATGCGCACTTGGATAAGGGACTGGGAATCAGTTTCCTCAGACATGTTGAGAGGGCTCGGATATTGGCATTCGTGGTTGATTTAAACAAGGGCGATGGTATAGCGGCACTCAAAGGGCTCTGGAAAGAGGTTGGCGAGTACGAACGCATGAAGATTGCAGAGGAGAAAGACAAAGCTGATCCTATTGTCCAATGGAGTCCTTTCACCTCACCTGAGGATGCTCTTGCTAATCGCCAAGAAACAATTGTGGTCAGCTATGGGCCGACATTTGATAACCCCTTGGGACCTGAATTGCCTAGCATCGCTGGCAAGCCATGGTTCGTGGTTGCTACGAAAGCAGATTTTCCTGGTACGAAAGAGAATTTCGAGAGTTTGAGGGCTTATTTGGAAAAAGTCAATGGAGGTGTGGAGGAGCATCCTAGTGGGCAGAGGGAATGCTGGGCTGGGAAGGTGGAGGCAATCCCCGTCAGTGCTATTAATGGGCATGGTGTGGACAAGATTACGGAATGGACGGTTGGCCTGCTGGATAATTAGAAGGACGAGCTATAAGATACGCTGCAAGAAGTGTAAAGTATACGGACACATCCTTGCCCCTAAAAATAAATTAATATTCATCAGTGGGTGGTACGTGCGTCCCTTCCTGATTGAAGTATTCACTTGAGAAGTCTGTTCGTATTGATTTCAACACAAATTGGTACTTCCATGCTCCCTAATCGCATTGTCCTCTTCTCCTCGAATTATTTTCTGACTTGATTCTTTGTCCCTCGCGCTGCACAATAGCCGGCTCATATATCCACTTCTTTCACGCGTCTTTCTCCCTTTTTGGCATCTTCAAACAAACATCACAGTTCTTCCTCACCTCACTCAACGGTCAAAGGTTGCTGTTTTGACATGCTTGCTTTACATGATAAGCTCAGCCAGACATCAATGCAACTGGTCAAAGAGGACACTTCCTCGTGTTTACAGAAGATGTATCTTGTTGTTACGTAGCTGCATATTGTATCTATTGATACGGAAATGCTGACCCATTAGCCTGCTTGTATGTGGGATAGGTCGAGTTTGTTTCGTTTCTCTTATAAAAAGTGGCAAAATCCGCATTATGGAGTCACGAAAACCTAAGACTTAGTCGGTCTTTCGTGGGCATTATGTTTGACTGAAAGTACCTCAATAAAGTTTCATCTGCGTTGGGCTGCTAATTCAGAAGCTATCCCGCGTAAACAAGAATTGGCCAATTAAGGCAAGGTGGTTAACTGCGGTAAGCTGTGGATTTGTTAAAGTACTGCTTCATGTAAAATTTCTTAATGCTGCACGAATACTTAAACAGCATTTCAAAAGACAGTCTGAAAGTGTAAGGTACTTTTTCTTATTGAGTATTAAGAAATAAACTGTTTATTCAACTGGTTGCAGTTTTCACGTGCCTTAATCAGCAACTTTATTTACGCTGATAGAGGGTGACGAGTAGTGCTCGCATAGGCCTGCTAATGCTGTACGCATATAAATTAGGGCTACCGAGGGTGCAACACGAAGGAGCAGTCGCCAGCAAGGTTCAGATGAAAGTCATGAGAGTTATGTGTAATCCGAATTTCCAGCTTGCGAACTCGTGCTAAACAGTACTAGTTTTGGAACTCCCAATCTTCTTCAAAGCGACAGTACTTGACATCAGGGTTTCCCTTGAATATGTCATCGTATTTTTCGATCGCCGTTTCCGGGCTCTCAGCCTGCTTGAAGTAGTCCGTACCTAAGCTTCGGAGAGTTGGGTTATGCCACATCGTTCTCATCCAAGAAAGTGTTTTGGGAGAGGCATGCAGAAGAGGCAGGTTGTATGTTCTGAATCGCTGTGACGTGAGTCAGTAAATGCACTAGAGTGAGATGGCAATCAGAAAGACAAAGAAGTGTCAACTTTCCCATAGAACTGGCCAGAAGAATGCGTCCGCAATCGAAAAACTGCCAAACAAAAACCCATGATCATTCTCTCCAAGCACATCAAGTCTCGCAATAGTACTACCCCTAGCCTGGTCCCATAATGCGAGAAAGCGCTCGACTTCCTCTCTAGCCTGTTCCGAGACGGGAACTCTACCTTCGTACTTCGCCACAAAGTTTGTATGATATGTATTCCTGATTTCTGCGAAACCAGAATGCATCTCGGCGACTGCGCTTCTCGCCAGAGCTCGAAGGTGTTGATCTTTGGGCCAGAGGCCAAGCTCCGGGTACTTCTCAGCGAGAAATTCGCAAATGGACAGCGAGTCGTTAATCTGGAGATCAGAAGACATTGATAGAGGGGTCAGAATTGGGACAAAGCCGCTTTTGGAGTGATGTTTCACCTGAGGCAGAGTCAGCCACATTGTTGTTTCAGGAATAGCAGATGACTTGTACATCGACAAGCGGGATGTATGTTGCTTTGTAAGGAATTCGAAAGTACTCGAGAACTGTTACAACCCGGGCTGTCCAGCCTGATTTCCTTGATTAGTCCTGGCTCGACGATATCATGGCTATGCTCACTAGAATACCTGGTGTACGCGCCAAGAAGGTGGACTTCTGGCTCTCCATCGAAAGGAAAGGTGACAGGCTCACTTCTCTCCATGACTTCTTGTGCCCTTTCTTTTCAGGCTCCAATGAAAGGAGTATGTTGGAGGTCCTCAACAAAGATACGCTGCTCGCTCTCAACCTTTGTAGAAACCGAAATATTGATAAAGGCCACGAGAAGGGATGGAAAGTAGGAGTCAACGAACCAGTGTTCACTCACGTACTTTAAAGAGGACCATTAGCGGCCAAAGGCGCACTTGTCATTGACGCCCTTAGAGTCACATGATGTTATCTATGTTGCAGGCACATTGTTGGAGTCAAACAGCGACCGATGCCACCGTCCAGGAGCGACGATCTATCTGTTGTCTTTGTCTGTTGCTCGCAGATTGTGGTGGAGTCTTCGCGACGATTCCAAGGGAAGACAATGGAAGTGCCAAGTTCCGGGCGCAGATGTTGTAAAAGCTGGGCAGAACGATATTTCTTCTTGGAAGTAAATGCGACAGTGCGACACACACCACAACATGATCAGTCGTACACGTCACTTGCATCGCGGGTTCTACGATGCTTCTGCCACTCGTTACTTTGATCCGTCAGTGCCCGCGTCTGTAGGTTTATTCCCGGATCAGTCGCTCCGTTCGTTTCGACGCTTCTCATTGCTCATTGCTCTTTGCTCTTTGCCCATTGCCCATTGCTAACACTGCCCATTGCTCACCATCAAATTGTTCGGATGAAGTTGTCTTCAAGTTATGGAGCTTTGAGACATGGCGGAGTTGACTCGCGTCATGGTCTGGTTGTGAAGCTGATGAAACCCAAGGTGCGACAGAGTATCGCGTTGCTATGGCACTATCAATCTATTCTGGATCTTCGACACAAAGTAGACTTTCCGAGTCCGGGTCTGGGGCTCGCACGTGGCAGTAAATGCCCTGGTGTGGTGCTGTGGCAGTTCCCGTGAAGTTTGTTTTGCCCGTTTCACCTGTTTCCCCAAGCATCTCAGAGAGCCCGACTGCAGGTGTTTGTGTGGCTGGCGGCAGGAGAAAGTGGGGTTGAACTGTCTGCCCATGAAGCTTCTCCAGCAAGGTTCGACTCTATCATGCCAGAATAGCCGTTTTGAAACCCAGCGCGAAAGTTAAATGCGCTATTCGGTATTTTATAGCTACCGATTTCAGACGACTGATGACAAGACACCTGACTTGTCCATATGTATATGTAGGTACCTAGGTAGGTGTGCATTTACCAGCTTCCCTCGAAACAAGTATTCAATTTCCATTCAACCTCACCCATCATCACCCATCAACCTCTTCCCCAGGCCAAACGACGCTGGAAGCTATCGCCCGTCAGGTCAACGAAAATGGGACTTGGTGCAAAGATCGGGGGCAAGATACGAAATGATCCAAACTTCCCCCGGCTGGGAAGGGGTCTCGTCTTGGGAGCCAGAGGACTCCGTGCTGGCACGGGGAGATACTTCACTAATAAAGTTCCGATAGTCCAATGGATCTCAGCGTACAACCTGAGATGGATCATGGATGACGCCTTGGCCGGTTCATCTGTTGGCATGCTTCTTATCCCACAAGCGCTCATCTATGCGACAATCGCGGGTGCCCCAATCCAGCAGGCACTTCTTGCGAGTTGGCTCCCAGGAGTGATCTATGCTATAATGGGAACTTCCAGAGGTGCGTCTCGCGTTGTGGAGTTTTGACAGACAAACAGCTCAGCTACTAAATCTCTCTGTAGATATTAGTGTAGGCCCAACTTCCGGAACTGCATTTTTCACTGCCACCATTGTTGTCGAACTAGGGAAGCTCGGGATTCCTCCCGCACTTGCTGCGGCAGTTGTCTCCTTCTCTGTTGGCATTTGGTCGTTGATATTCGGCATACTCAATCTCGGCTTCATATTTGATTATGTGTCCACTCCTATGTCATTGGGATTCACCATGGGTACAGCCATTGTGGTCATCAACTCTCAGATTCCGGCAATCCTGGGACTACAAGGAGTGTCACCTGTGTTCATAGACATGATGCCCGAGATCATCAAGAGGATTGGGGAGACCAAAAGTATCACAGTTGCCATCGCAGTGTCATCAATCGTCCTCCTCGCATTTTCGCAATTTGTTGGCAACAAATGGGGTCACAAGAATGCCTTCATCCGCATTTTTGCTGCTAGTCGGCACATCAACGTGTTAGGACTATTTACGGGAATCAGCTTTTTTGCTAACAAAAATCTGGATCTACCGCTGTGGTCCGTTCTCGGACCCGTTGCTACGACTCCTGTCGCCGCTGTTCCCGACCAACAAATCTTGTCAGGTGTCTTTGGGTCCATGATCACACTCATGTTGTCCACAGCCCTCGAGCACGTAGCATTGGCGAAGACATTTGCCCATAAAGGTGGCTACGACATTGATCAGAACCAAGAAGTCTTCTCCATTGGAGTTATCAATCTCGCCAATTCATTCTTTGGCGGACTCCCAGTCGGCGGATCAGACATGGCCAGATCATCAGTCTTAGCAACGTCAGGCTCAAGAAGTCCGCTCTCTGGAGTTTTCTCCTCCGCAATGGTCTTCCTTGGGATGTTTGCATTGAGTAACTCATTGAAATTCATTCCTTCAGCCACCGTTGCAGCAGTCATAGTTGTTGCAGTATTCGACCAAATGCCGCCGCAGAAACTCATTGTAGCATTCTGGAAGATTTCCTTCGTCGACTTTCTACAGCTCTTTCTGGCATTTAACATGACACTGGCTCAGTCAGGAACCGTCGGTGTCCTTGGATCTTTGTTCTTCATGATCGTCTACACCACCATGCGAATCATGTTTTCTCGGCCGACCGGCATCGTCTCGATCGATCTTGAGACCCAATACAGCAACAACAGTCCTCCCGTATGTAACTCTCTATTATGTTCTACTCCTTATAGTTTAGGTTCTCGAGTCCAAGAAATGCCTAGAGGGCGCTTTATCTTCCGAGAGGGCTTCAGGATCCCATTCTTAGGACTTGAATCTCTCCAATGCTAACTTTTTGCAGTGGTGGGCGAAAGAAGATCGCATTCCCGCCGGTACACAAGTCATCAAATTTGAGACTGATGCAATTTGGCTCAACGCTGATAGGCTCAAACGTCACATCATGGATACCATTTACACCTACCAGTCTGGCCTTTCCAAAACTGCAACAACTGGTGAAGGGCGGCCCTGGAACTATCATCTTAATAAGCATATTGTTACAATCAGGAAAGCTGCTGGCATAAACGACGCAGATACTTTCATTCCGCGTCTGCGAGTGGTCATCTTTGACATGGCGTCAACATCTTTCATCGACATATGCGCAATTCAGCTATTCGAGGATGTCAAGAAAGAATTGCGGCTTTATGCTGGAGATGGAGTAGAATTCCGTTTCGTGGGAATGAACAAAGGTGTAAAAAGGCGGTTTGAACGAGCAGGATGGAAAATAGCGTCACCCTTTGAACCGATAGTGGGAAGTGTAATGGAAGTTGAAGGACAAGAGGTTGCCGCCGAACCCAAGATTACGGTGCCTGACTTGTGGTTTGATCACTTGCCACATGCAATCCAGCATGTCACCCATATGGGACCGGAAGATTATGATCTCGACAGAGTGTCGGTGGACATGCAGAAGTATTAAGGATCACAGGACTTTGTTGATCAAAGGACTTCATCTGAGATCGTTTTCGAGTTTTCTGTTCTGGGCTCGGCTTTCTTCCATTTTTGTAAATGGAGGAATTGTTGCCCTTGGCATGGACTGGAATGAACTAGTGGAGATGCCCTCCCGATACTATCCAATGACATCTACGGCTCTGCTCTCTCTCCTCTTCCCCTGGTGAATTGAAAGTCTTGTTTACGCCGCATTAATCCAATCCGTGTTAACCAAAAGTTCAAATGTGTCTTTTCAGTCAATATATGAGGGAGTTCTCGTTGACGTAGAGAAGCACACTATCTGGGAAAAGCTGAGAGCTTTAAAACAACCGATAGGACTGTAACATTGCAAACCAAAAGGGATTCGGTTTGAGCTTTCTAAATTTTCTGGCTGCTTTGAAACTCTGCAACGTCACATCTTGACCAAGAGCGGTTGATTTCATGACCGTATCATCCACTGGGCGGCTCTGACTGAAATCAGATAACATCCAAGATGAAGGTTCCTCTTTTCAGCTCCGAAAAGTTTTGAAGTCTCATTGTTCGTACAGTATTTCCAATTTTGTTCGGTGCATGTCGCTTCTAACCGAAAAAACTGAGAGGCGCACCCGCTCCTTACAGTCCAAAACATCACATAATTCCCGAGGTGAAAGATCTGATGGGCTACTGTGGCACTGAGGCATCTCCTGGGCCACCATTTGCGTGGCCCAAAAATACTAGTAGTAATAGCACGAGAACTCAAATCGAATTTATAGAACGACCAAAGCAATTCGATTTAATGGCTGTTTTTGACATGATTTTGACTCCGCGTTGGTGCCCGCGCATGTTGGGCCTTCTGTCAGACTCATGTAAGCGCTGGGTTTAAAATAAAGTCATGCCAGACATTGAAATCTTTCAGCAGTACCCTTTGAAGGGCAGGTACCGCGAGAGCGATTTGGTTACACAATAAACTCTGCAGAACGATTATCATCCATCTAGCATATGAGACAAGACTACTTAGAGTATGCAGCGCCCGTTGTAATCGGTCGTCGAGAACTACTATCGATCATTCGTGCAACGCGATACTCCAGAGTCCGTGACCCTCAAGAGTGGCGGTATGCTTTCGAGGCTTCGTGGAACATCTGAGCAGGCGACTTCGACGAGGAAGATTCCAAATAATGTTGCTCGTGTTCAAGCATTGCACTTACAGCTATTTGGAGTCAACTTGAGGGCGCCAACTTTTGAACGCTTGCTTAGGAGACTAGTCGTCGGATGAGAAGCTCACTTCTTGGGTACCAGACGTGCAGAACTGGCACTACACAGGTCTGGATCTTATGTCGGCGCTTCACGGATATCAATGCGACAGAGGCTGCGGCGTTGCAAAATACATCCTTTGCGAAACTTTGATGCCCTGATTTGCATGTTGACGAGACTGCCACAAGCCCGAGTATGGATGGGTTGAAAAGGGGCAATCGTCAAGAACCATCCCGTTTGAGGACACTCGCTCTCGCCGCGGCACTGTCAATGCCAATTCTACTTCGAAGGACCTTTTAGCGACGAGCGAGGAGCAGGTATTGGTTCTCTTGGAATCTCACTTAAAAACATGGGTCGATGTACTTCTCGAAGACTCGATCACTCTTGGCGGTCATGAACCCAGCGACACAATACAAAGTTGTTACACTGACTGGCGAAGGAAAAGAATGCTACGGGCAAATCTCAAGCATGTGCTTTCCATCAGAGCAAAACAGCAGGCTTACCTTGGCGAATTCGAGAAGATCCTCGTGAAGGGGATGTTAAAGATGACATGTTCACTATGGTAACCGGTCAACTTTGTCAGGTAACTTACGGGGTTGCCAAAGTTAACGACGAAACCTTTTCACTCTTTGACGAAAACCCGCCCTTTGAGATCAGATTACTGCACCAGGAGTAGCATGTCAACCAGGATCATCGATTCCCGCCACCATGTTATCTATGTAGGGCTATGGATGGAAAAAACATTACAGCTTAGATGATAGAGATGCTCTCTAAAGACATCCAGGGCAGTTTGAGAATACAGAGTTCCCTCCCAGTTGAGCTTCTGGGAAACATACAAACGAACGTTCTAGATACAATTGTAGGGTTCTGTGAATTATTTAATTCCCTTCTCTTATACCTCCGCACGTAAGACATCATCACCGACCCTGTGCCCATTGATTCTTGTTTCGAGAAACTTCAGAAACTTTGGATGGATCGACTTCGACTCTTCAATCCATTCAGGAGAGTGACCTTGGATCTTGGCTCCGCCTGTCGTTTCCGCTTGACTATTCACCCATCTCACCAGTGAATCCACGTATTCCACTTGCGCATTCATCAAAGAATGAAAAGATCTGCCATATCCTTTTACTTTCGTCTTCTCAGCATATTCAGTACGCATGGCCGCCTCTGACGGAGTCTGTGCGAACCCAGCGAAGACTGCTGCTACCGTGATGGCCTGGTACTCGAAAAGAGTGAAAGTTGCAGTGTAAAATGGTATCCCGACAAACGTCAGAGTTGGATCCGGGATGTAAAAGATGTCCTTATGGAGGTTGTGGATTTGAGAACCATCAGTGACAAGGACTGTATCGCTGGCTTTCTCTGGTGTAGCTGAATCGTCATGCAAACTGACCAAGAATGGCAAGGAGAAGAGGTAGCCTGTTGCAATGATGACTTTGTCGACTTCAGTTAGTACTCTCCCGTCCGTGAGAGTGATGTTCCCAGGGGTTTCTTGGCCCTTTTTTGGAACCTCAAAGCTAGCAATCCCCGTGACACGCTCCGTATCTGGTGGGATCCAGTCGAGTGGCGTGTCAAATATACCCCCTCGACTCGATTGATAGATTCTCTTTGCTCCGAGGTGACTTTCCCTTGCAATGTCTGTCGATGATACTCCTGCCCCGATGATCAAGACAGTCTAGGCTATCATTAGATTTGAGTTCATGAGAGTGTCAGGAAGGACTGACTTGGCCTTTCAACTCATCTGGTTTCCGGTAACTCTTCGAGTGGTAAATTCGGTCTGGCCAGGAGGTCTTCCATTCCTTTAAACCAGGTATATCTGGAATCTTGGCCTAAGCGACAGTCAATATAGGAGTAGATGTTGTCTGGTGAAAGGCATCACCGACGGCATGATAATGTCCAGAAGCTACTACAACACCATCAAACTCCTGCCCTATATTAGTATAGCTTGACTACATGCTGAACAACACTTACCTCAACAGAGTGCCATTTTTGTCCCCGTCGTGGTCCTACTCTAATAAATGTAGTAGACCGCACCTCCCACTTAGTACTGACTTTCCTCAGCCCCTCGACCCGAGTGTTGTACCGGATCAAGGGCTCAACTCCAAATGACTTGGAATAGGATTGGATGTACTGCTGTTTGATACGAACGTTGACAAAACTATCTGTTCCAGCGGGCCATGGATGGCCCTTCATTTCTTGGAGCGATGTTGGGACGTTATTCATGAGACCTGAGTAGGCCGGGCTGTAGACATTCAGCGTGTGAATGATAATTTCAAGAAATAGTGCTCACCCGGGAGGAGCAAACCTCAACTCCTCAAGGTCCAAGTCAGCATCGGCTCCGTTGGTTCGGCCGTACTTGGAACTTTCGGTCTTGCCATCAAACTCAGCTACAAAATCGGCAGCGGAAGGCTTGATCGAAGGATATGGCGGCTCTATGGGCTTTCGCTCATCGTAGGTCCTAATAGCATAAGCCATTGCAAACAGAAGACAAAGGCGAAGTTTACCAGTTGCCACCCGATGTCTTATATCTCTCGAAGACGACAACATCTACCCCTACAGCCGTAAGATGTCTTGCAGACGCTACACCACTCTTCTGAAGTTAGCATTGATGACTCGTGAATATCGTAGCGTCGATTTCTTCCTCCGAAATTGGGCTGAGATGCTCTTTAAGTCTGGAACGTTGCTAGACTCACCACACCAGCTCCAATAACAGCAACGCGATGCTTTCTATGAACCATTAGAGAGAATTCGAAGCTAATTATTTCCAATGAAAGGCTCCAACGATCAGCTCCGATGTCCTGGAAGTACCAATGCCGGTTGCTGACCAATACCAAATGAAACAAAACAGACCCAGGCAAGAGCTTAATTGTGACGAAAACTGAAGAGCAAGTTTGAATCTAAGTAATACAAATGGGTAAATCATTCAGTCATTTGTGCTGAATAATGCGGTGCCCGAGAGACGCAATTCCTCATGCTCGCAGCTTATTTCGCCATCTTCGCTTAACCAACCAAACAGCCAATCATAGCCAATGAACGATAGAAGTCAGCTTTATCGTGCAAATGATTGGGGCCATGGACAGCATATAATTGCATTGCATCATCTTATAGCAGAATAGAGAGTAGAAACGACCTGGAGACGTGGCACACAACGTGGTTTGGTCTGTTTTCCATGAGCTGTCTGCTGCGGTCGCAGTCCCGCGACAAGTCCCCAACATGCGACAGTAACTTCCGCTCCGATGACGATGATCACCTACAGAGACAATCCGGAGCGGAGAAATATATACGTACCCATAGACTTGAGTTCGTGTACCGAACTGATGCGTTATACAGATTAGCTCACGTGTCCAGGTAAGTGACAAATGTTCTGAGCATGTCAGCACAGCAGATAAATATCATCTGATCAACAAACACAGACCACAAGAATGAAGTTACAACCCTAGACGTACATACACCCAGCATACCGCAGACAATCGCAGAATTTCGAAGTCACCCTGCTTCTTCGCAGTGCGCAGATTGGGACAAGTGTGATGAGCGACGTTCACATCAGGTCCACTTTAGAGACACGCATGATTGACCGTTGGTGCTCAGTTCTCTGTAAGCTGTGCGCTGTTTGGCAAGAGCCGCAAGCCTTCCAAGTCCTTACAAGGATGATCAGGGAGTTTCTATCCTGTTTCTCTTAGCTCCGCCGTATATTTGCTCAGAATATCGAAAATAGACAATCAATATACGTTTGTACAGCCAGAAAACTTCCTGCATGGGTTGCTCGGTATTTTCCTGAAGATGATCGGTAGCAAATCTAATGCGATGTCATAGATTTACTTTTGTACCGCTATTCAATCCTAACAAAGACGCAGCCGCCAAAGCAGGCATGAGAACTACTAACGAAGAACTACAGACACATGCGACTTACCACGTGTGAGATTTCGTAATTGGCGGCCCTTCAGGGCGGTGAGTCTTTATGTAGACTGTCCTGTCAAGGCGTGTGCTATATCATGGTGAATGCCGACTACAGAATCTCACCAGACTTGCCACACCCTGTTCCGCTTGCTGAACCTGGACCACACTCTGACGGGCGCGTTTTCTTCATCTGAGAAGTTAGGAAATGATAGAAGACTATATGGATATTAATTTGCAACAAGAAAAAGGCCTTGCGCGCTGGTAAGTGGTATACGGCTGATATTTGGGGGTATGGAGAGGCAAAAATTGATCCGGGCCAAACCTCTGTTAACTTACCTCTGATACTATTCCCCCCCCTAAACAAACGTCAAAGGTGGACTTTTATAGGCTAAACACCTGGAAGGCGTATTTTAACTGGTAGACGACCCTAGCGATACTCAGGGCACGAGCTAAATTCTAGTCAATTGTAAAAGCAAGGGTAGCTATAGAAGGTTCGAGATGGAGTTAAAGCCCTGCTCGAGGCTCAGTGTTAGTATCCTTATTAGATAGACGCCCTAGCTGACTACCCACACGAGGTCCAGTTTTCATGAGGTTTAACGTTTGTTTAGGGGGAGGGGAGGGGGGGATAGTAGGTGCACCTTGGTCCTAATGTTAAATTGTGGGCCGGCTCAGTTTATCATTTAGACTTGAAATAGAAGAATTTCAAGCTGTTTTAAGAGGTGACAAGGGTTTAAAGTGTCAAATTTAGGTATATTGATATAGCAACCGTGAGGGGAGCACGTAAAAGCAACTGCATAGGCGCCAGTGGCGAGCTAGCATTAAGACCGGGGGGTACACTGTAATTTACGTGGCCGGCGTAGATTTCCTGGTTCGGACGATACAGGATATCATGGTCCCCTGGTGATATACGCAGTAAGGAGTTGAAAGTATGAGGCCATGGAGCTGGGATGGCCAAAATCCTGTGGTCCGCTTGTGACAGCAGACAAGGACAAGCGACGCGCTGTCCCGGCTTATCCGATCCCAAGCCAAGCGCCAAGCTTCATCCCACTCAAGAACACCAGCAATTGACACTACAACACACACAATATCAACCAACATGACATTGTTCGAGCTTTCCAAAGGCTTGGAGGATATTGTCAGCTTTTGTTCAAGATCATGGCCTCCAAAACCTTGACGAAGGTCTCGCGATTCGTCGGCAGTGCAGGTACCAATTCCCATTTCGAGGTTTTTATTTTCTCGGACTACATCTACCACTTTGCTGGACTGGACTATTGTGAACTTCGACACGTACTTGAACCTTTGACGGATCGTCGCCGCGGAGCCAAAACAATCGAGCAAACAAGCTAACAGAATCTTATTTCAGCCGGACTAGAAAAGACGCTACGTCTCCTGCAATCGTGTTCGCAAGTGGTAGCAGCGCATTATTCACTCCCAATTGCTGCTTCACCATGGCTTCGAGCTCGCTCACAGCTGGCCCTCGGTATGTTGTATCCGAAGTATGCCCAATGCTGGCAATCCAACTCAAAATGCCTTAGGACGGCGCTATCTTCGTGTTTTGAAGTTCATCGATGCTTTTGTGCTTGCTTTCGAGGCCTTATCGATGCATAGTGATCTTGTTGCGGTGCTGGAGTTCGGCAAGTGGAGTTGTCTGGGCATGTTCCTCTTTTTGGAAAGCTGTACCATTGTAAGTCTAGAAGTTGCACGTCATGAGAGATTCTCTCCGAAGCGGAAAATGGGCGGTGTTTCGCTAAAGGAAACATGGCATGGGGTGAGTAAGGTTCGAGGCTAATTGGTGCAGCTGGATGCCATGGGAGTTTATCAAACATATTGGGCTGCCGGGTTATTTGTTGAGGCCATGAAATTTTGGTTCTTTTCCTTGACTTTGGGAATCTTTCTGGCACTAATGGAGCTCTGGGATATGAGTGGGCAAGGACCAGTAGTGCGCGAGGGAGACGATGGAGAGAACAGAAAAGATGGAACCATAGTCGCGCAAGACCAGGATTCAAGAGCGAGGGAGAGAAGTTTAAAGAGATGGAACGTTGTGAAGAAGATAGTGATTGATGTGTGTGATTTGTCAATTCCGGGATCGATCACTGGATGGCTGACGGTATCTCCTGGCAATGCAGGGATGTTGTGTATTGTTAGTACGGCACTTACAGGGTTGGAGATATGGGACAGAATCTAGAGCACTTCAAGATATACAGGAGATACGGTGGTAGACGGCAAGATATCAGAGGATACTCGATTCTCCCGGTAGGCCTCAGATACTAGATGCCTACACTTAGTCCTCCGTGTCATGACTCTTCCTCCACCAGAAGTCACATTCTCTTTTCACCCAATCACTTCCAAGCATCTGTGCAGCATCGCCAAGCCCAGAACCTCCAGCCCTCTCATCATTGCCTTTACCAAAAGTCATAACCCGGGCGCTCGTAGAATCATACTTTTCCCATTTCGGCCGATCTGCGAATCGTCCTTGTATGGCGCTGGGGTCACCGTGTGTGATGAAACTGGTAACATACGCATGGTACTTTCCGGAAACCTCCCTCTGGGCCGAACTGATGCTGGTGATTTCGTCCTGGAAGCTTTCATAGTACATATTGTCACCATGATTTGCTCCACCTTTGACGGTCTTATTCAGCGCCCAATGAAAGGCGAAGACCCCAGGCTCTTGAACAGTTGACGCCATATGGGCAGTTTGACGAACAGGGCATACATACGCATAATGTGCATACGAAGCCTCCACGCGCTTGAATTGAGGACCCACTCCAATAGCTCCCAAGTCCCGAGTGTCTTTGTATCTTTCATCTTTCGATGGATCAGGATACAAAGAGTTTATAGTGTTGAGATCTTCGTTCGAATAGTGGGGTAGCAATACATGCCAGAAATTGGTGAAGTCCTCCCCACTAGTCATTGAAGCTGGAACATAGTATGTTCCTTCATTGGTAACATGTCCGGTCATGATGGGGACTTGGTTCCACTTGCCGGACTGCCAGGCATCAATCGGACGCTGGTGGATAATTTCATTATCTATGACTGGCTGGAAAGCCCAGCGTAGACTCGGGTTGTACTTGTCAAACACAGTCGTAGAGGCTGCGACTATAGTTTTCTCTGGCCGAGACCGCAAACATGAAGTTATAGATTCTTCGGGTAAATCAGCGCAGCCACTTTCAGCGACAAAGAGGGCGAATTGTTCTTCGTGGACATGAGCGTTGTACTTGTGGACGGCCCTGGATGTAGGAGCGCCAGATTCAATAATAGCCTTATGGAACAGAGGAGCGACTCCCTCCTTGTAATTAAGGATATGATGGCCGATCTGTGGATACTTTAGTGGACCCTTTGAGCATGCGAAGGTGCGGTAGGGGGCTGACAGAATGAGCACCAGCGGAAAGACCAAAGATAGTAACATCGGTCTTGTCGCCTCCGAAAGCTTCAATATTATCTTGCACCCACTGGAACATAAATATCTGATCATGAAGTCCAATGTTGACAATGTCTTCATCGAACGAGAGCTTCGATGGGAGAAAGCCAAGTGCACCAATTCTACTAACTGTCAGCCACTCGTACTTTAAGAACAAAAGCTGGCGGATTGGCCACCTATAGTTGAAGCTGACTCCGATGAATGGGCTCTCCGACCATGCAACCATCGATCCGGTGTTGTGCATCATAGCTGCGACTTCGTCAACCACCAATCTTCACATCCTATTCAGAGGCTTGTAACTCACAACTGCCCCTGTTAAATGCACCCCCATGAATGTAAACAGCAACGGGGACTTTTTTTTGATCGGCAGCTGGTTTCTGTCTGAAGATGTTGACAGTCATACAATCCTCGCTGTGAGGTGCAGTCTTGCCGCTGAGCAATTGTTTGCCGGGACATCTGCAAAGATTTCAACATAATCCAAGGAAAGAGACTATGAGGAAATACATTGGCCCATAAGCTTGGGCCTTGAATATCTTGTTCGATTCCGGCAAAGGCACTGCCCGTCGAAATCTTCTATCCCCAACAGGTGCCTCAGCGTAAGGAAGCCCCAGGAAAGCATCAATCGGGGCTGGGAAATTCTGATCCAAGATCGTCCCAACAACCAGCCCCTGGGAGAGCTTCACCTGAGGGACAGCCGATGAGTTCCACGGCAGTAAAATGGACGATTGGAACCAGGAGGAGAAGAACACACCCACGCCAATGATCGGCAATGCAGCTATGAAAAACATCTGAACAAGAGACGGCATATCGTCTTAAAGAGAAAAGGAACAGCCGCTTTGAGAATCTAAGTTGGGGACCTTTTGCTCTGGATTCACTTGTCATAGATGAAGTCTTTATGTCGAGCACAGTAGCCAGATACGAGGGTACGACCCGCTTCTCGCCCGAAGAGCGCCGACTCGGGTTATCCGAACATTTACTTGACAGCTTCCTCCACGTCAAGCCGTCTTGTATGGGTTATGTACGTTCTCTCGCCTCAACTTCAAGCTGACAGTGTTACAAACAATCACTTGGTGCCTTTTTCTGCACTGGTTAGTCCTGGAGCAGAATAAATTCTCATCTGGAAATCTCTTCTTCAACTTCTGATGCCGCGGTTAATTGCCGTTGCCTCGCTTGTTCCCGTCTCACTCAGGGGTAAAAGGTCCGAGGGATGACGGAAAGAGCTCCATCAGCCTCTTTCCAGCCATACCATGTTTATCACCATTTAGTCAACTATAAAAGAGGAGCAGACTACTGGAGCGAATCAGGATCTTTCGAGCCATTGGCGAACATGACAGTATTAGTAAGTTACTGTAGCCAGGGAACCTGCGTGGCCCAGCCGTTGACACAACAGAACTGAAAATCCAGACAGCTAAAGCGTGCAGTAGTAAAGGGCCGCTATGAATAGTGCTTTCGGGCCTTCCCTTCATGACTTCCATTATTGTGTTTAGAGATCGTCGACGTAAAGAGCCCAATCTGTATATATGTAATTTCGACCAATTCGACCTTCACTTCCTCATCTGTACAGACTCCTTCTGCAAAGCGGCTGAAGGGGCATACAGTACCCCAAAAATGGGAATTTCGGTGACCTCAACAACAACAATAATCCTCAGATCGCAGATCACTCCAATTACTACCCCGCTTGGCTGCCTTGGCTCGCATCCAGGGTCCTTCTGCTGGGTTCGTTAGGCTGTTTCACACGTGCAGAAACGCATGGCAGCCCATGTCATATTCGTTGATGGCTCGGATGGCAACCTCAAGGCACTTCTCATTGGATGTCAGCTTCCATCGCCGACGCTACCAGGCATGACTATCATCTGCATTAGTGAGAATTTCGGACGACTGCCCAAAACCGCATACGGCAGACGTAAACTTCAAGGCTAGACCATTGTCTGGTTCTCTAGTGTCTGTGCCTGACAGAAAGCTAGAATCCACTTGGAATGATGCCCTGTTCCTGGGCTGGTGAGATCGACAATCAGTCTTGCTGGGATTCTCACGGAATCAAGGAGTGAGACTGAGGTCTCTGGCGAAGTGCATTTCTTTGTAGGAGAACTAAATTGTCCCTTTTAAACCTGTACCCAGTCCCGTTATCAATAATACTCACATCATAACGAGATCAACGGAAGTTTTCTTTTCACAACCTATTCTCGAGTCTCAACATCGCGGCTTTCAGGAAATGCCAGCAGAAAACCGAGGTCCCGAGGTCGCCGGAGTTGCAGGAGCCTTTCTGCTTCTGACCACAGTCTCAATTGCGCTGCGTTGCTACTGCCGTGCTTTTGTGGTTAAGTCATTTGGTTGGGACGACAATGTTGCTATCATTGCCTATGTTCGTACAGTTTGAACTTCATCCAAAAATACGGGATTGACATGCATTCAGATTTTTTTTGTGTTCTTTGCTGGGTTCGCCATTACTGGAGTTGAATATGGTACTGGGCAACACGCCTCCGTTATCCCTCCAGCGGACATTCCTATCGGATTAAAGTGGTGGTGGGCCTGTGAGCCTGTTTATGTCCTATCTAACATGGCACTCAAGTTGAGCATTGGAATTATGCTGATGCGAATTGCTGTTTCCACGATGCACAAGGCCATCATCTGGACGGTCATGGTGGTTCACACAGCCTATGGCATTTTTTTCTTTTTCCTGTTCGTCCTACAATGCCGTCCTAGTGCATACTTCTGGACTCGATTCACTGGAGGCAAAGGGACATGTATCGATCCGAACATTACTGTTTCGGCAACATACGGTTACTCTGCAGTGTCGTGCTGGACCGACTGGACGATGGCTATTCTGCCTGTGTTCCTGATATGGAATCTGCAAATGAATATCAGAACGAAAATCTCAGTTGCCATGATCTTGGGGATGGGAGCGATGTAAGTTACGAGTCTTTCTCTTTCAATATCGATCTCTGACATCCTGGCAGTGCTTCTACAGCTACGATTGTCCGAATCCCATATGTCAAAGGCCTGGCCAATCAAGAAGACTTCCTCTACGCAACAACCGATGTAGCTATTTGTAAGTGATCAACGAAAACCAATACTAACTGTCCTCATCTTATTCAGTCACTAAGCGATTTTTGTTACGCAGGGTCGACTGTCGAGACGGGAATTGGAATTGCAGCTTCGTCTTTTGCAACACTCCGACCTCTCTTCCGAACGTTCTTTCTACGCAGTCACCTCATGGGCGGATCATCAACACAAGGACCTTCAAGTCCTTGGCCAGCATCAGGAGCCCACAAATACGTACGGAGCAAGAGTCGCAGTGAAACCGAGGAGTTCGGACTGAGGAGCGATATCGGCAGGAACCACGGCATTACCACGACAATCGAAAGTCGTACCGCTGGAGAGACGGAGAAAAACGTCGGTGGCCTGAGCAGGAAAGACAGTTCGAGAGCATTGAACGGACAAAGCAAGTGGGGGAACAGCGAGACGGTGCTTCGATTAGGAGATAGTGGGAGCGAGGATGGCTTAGATTGGGAGTCTGGAATCAGGAAGACGACGATTTCGACGCAAGTTGCGCATGTTTGATGGACGGCAAGCGGAACGAGGAATATGGCTTGGATGCCTCGAGTTAATCATTTGTTCGGTATGCTGGCGTGGAATTGATTGTTACTACACTTTGGGATGGAAACAGTTGGGAACTTTTAATGGCTGGAGTATATCGGACTGGGAAGCAAAAACAGCTTGGAAACATGAGGTGGTTACCTAGCGACCATTTCGCTTAATGAAGAGGCTGCCCGTCCGAGGTAGGAAGGTACCTAATTTGGCAAATCTTCGGCGAGGCAAGGGTAAATCCTACACCTTCTTCATCACCAAGTGCTGTCTTGTAGAATAGTTCACTCACATATAGGTTAGTGTATCAGTAGCTCAATGAAATATACGAATCGAACCCCCGGGAGAGGTCCTTCACTACTTGCTGCTTGTCCCTGGAAGTGATGCCTAGACCAGCACACGCTAACGAGGATCTCAAAGGTCGGGAGTAATGCAAAGCACTGTATCGATTGGAGTCGAACCCCAGATTATATTAGTACCCCACAATAGCTTTGTTCTAGTGCGGGAGTGAAGCTGTTGCTGGAGCTAGAGGAACAACAATCAAACGATAAATGTACTAGTGCTGTATAAGAGACAGCTAAGTGGCGGTCCTGGCCAGAGCTTTCTTTCTTGTGCCAAAGAGGAAAATTTGTGCGAATGCTAGGATGTGCCGAATTATGGAAGAGGCAGACATGTTGAAAGACGTGGTACCTGTAGTACGCAATCGATGCTGGAACTCTTCCCGTCCGCTTGGATATTTTACTAACAATCTGCGTGGTTACAGTTGTGAAGTTTCTTAGAAGGCTTAGAATACAGAATCACGAGTCAGTTAGAAAGCCCATGGAACAACTTCATCGTGCAACACTAACCCTGCGACTGAGATCTGTCGTCAACAGCCACGAACGCCCAGTGAGGGCAAGTCCGACTAGTTCGACTCTCATGTAGATACTAAACTTCGCTTCCGGCTTCCATAGACATGTCTTGCAGAAAGATACCACCGAGGAAAACCCACCTTTCTTGGGCTGGTGGTGTCCACATCTCCTTGCTGCGTGGAGCTCTATACTTGAGCCACTCCCTAAGAGGTTGGCGAGCTAGTATGATGAGGACAATGGTAAGACTACGTCTCTGGAAAAAAAAAGGTTAACCTGGAACCAGCCTTTGTAGAACTTGTAGGTGTCCGAGGACTGTCCATCAAAGTATTAATGTTGGTAGTACGGAAGACAGATCATATAGCCTTTGTTCTAAGTCGGGCTCACCTTGCGAAGCTTACTTCCACGAAAAAGCTCTTCCAACCTTTGGTGAGGGTTCCATGTTAAATCCGCTGAAGTAGGACAATAATCGTTATAGATAGAAAAAAAATTCTCCTCAATTCCTCGGATGGCAGGGCGTATCTCTGCCTACTTCTAAGCTTTACTTGCCGGACTCGCTGTGATGTCAACATTCCGCCCGAAATATAGGTTCTGAGGCCGACAATCTCCTTTCCATCCCGTGTATCTTCAACAAGTCATATACAACGTCAGATTTGTTACCTTTTACCTTCCCACTATGCTGTCTCTCTGATCGTCTCTCGGCTCGTCCTGGGTCTAGCCTACACTCATAATCGCTTCATGTGAACCGCTCGATTTTTGCTGTTTTGATCATCAATGAGCCTTGCCTGTACAAGCAGTCAGTAGGTTCGATCTGCTACAAAGGCCAGGACTCACGACAACGACACACCTTTTGTTTTGCTCTTTTCATAAACGCAATGCAACAGTTTCAACGACAGCCGCATTCATACTCGGCCGTTCCAACCAATACCAGCAGCTCGTTCATCTGCACCTCCTCACTGAGCTCAAACATCAACGTCTAAGAACCGCTGTCAGAGCCGTTGATTGAAATAGCCGAGGGAAGATTTTGACGACAGTTTTGCTAGATGAGGCGAGTGCGCCAATGGTGGATCCAAGGCTGAATGCTTCTTCCGGCATTTGCAATCTTAGATAGATTCCCAAAATGCTTAGATTCCAGACCAGTAGTCCTGCAAGGTGACGAGTAAGTGGACTTGTTGGTTGAGAGTGATTGGTGGGCATACGTCAGGCCACAATCCTGGGTGCTAATTAAGTAATGGAAGTGAGCGGATCGGACGTTTTTATATCATCGCTTTGTCTCGCAGACCATCGCTATTGATTATTGAATGAAGACTCCGAGATATTTGGTCCTCGGAAGTGCCTAGAAAAGCTACAGTGGGAGAAGACATCGGTGAGAAATGTGGAACGTATCTCACCTAAATCAATAGCATAGGGGAAATGGGCTTGCATACGTGGTATCATTGAGCACTTCTATCTAAATGCTGCAGAGACGAACGAGGATTACTTAAGCCAATCAACAAGAATGCAGTGTCCTATCCTACAAGCCACACCATCCCAAAGATGCATGCTTGTTACAGATATGTATATATCAGAAAGTGCCTATGCCATCTTCTATAAAGTGACCGACCAATACGCTAGTACAAAGACTGACTTGGAGATCGGCTGCTCGAACCTCCGCACCAACAGCTCTGGTCTTCGCCCTTCTCGACCTGGACTACGACGTCGATTCCGTGGTTGAGAAGGAAATCTCTCGTTCGCTCTCGTACGTCATCTAGATCAGAACCACGTGTGGCAATTATGTGCATCACACCCAGCACCTGTTCACTCCCACTGTTTGTGTTCTTGTCGCCCATCCAGAATCGTGGTACAGTGTAGGTGGCAACTCCTCTCAAATCACTGACACCTGCAAGCGTGTCCCGAAGCCCGTATTCGATCTCATCGGGGACTGTTAGGAGTAGTTTCTTCGCACTACTCTTGATGAGAGGAATGGACGATAAGAATATCAAGATCGCGATAACGCAGGATGCAAGAGGATCCCATCCATTCCATCCGAAGAAGTGGATCAACGCGGTAGAAACCATGACAGCAGCGCTACCCATGGTATCCGCGAGGACATGAAGGAAGATACCGTGCATATTTTCATTGTCGTGGGAGTGAGCATGAACAACATGGGCATGTGCTTTGGCTGCAGGTGAATCAGATAGAAGGGTGCTATGGTCGTGGCTATTCTTGCAATCATGATCTTGGGCATGGTCGTGGTCGTGATGGTCGTGATGGTCGTGCAAATGACTCTTTTCATGCGAGTTCGAATGACCGTGTCCGTGATCATGTTCATGACCGTGACTATGCCCTCCATGATCGTGTCCGTGGTGTCCGTGGTGACCGAAACATGCCATGCCCACTAGATTGACAGCAAGACCCATTGCGCTAACCACGAACAGTTCCGCTAGTCGTTTTGTCTCTCTTCCCTCCGCAAGTCTCTCCGCCGCCTCGATCATGATCTCAACGCTGATCAACCTGTGATATGTTAGTATATGGCCAATATCAATAAGTAGGACACCTGCATCAAAAATACTCCATTTCCAAATCCCGACAAACTCTCAATTTTTCCAAAGCCGTATGGAAAACGTTCACTGGGTGGCCACTTGCTGGCAACGGCAGCAAATAATCCAACGCCCAGAGCCAAGCAATCGAAGAACATATGTATGCTATCGCTGAGTAGTCCAAGAGAATCCGTCAAAAAGCCGTAGAAGGCTTGTACGATCATGAACGCAAAGTTTAATGACATGAAATAAAATATCCTGCGAGAGTCTTTGTCTGCCAATATGGTATGGAGCAGGGGCCAGCGCATAGCAAATGGTAAGAGCAGGCTGGTAAATTTGGACCGCGGCGATTCAACCAGTGGGGCATGGTGATGGAGGTGGTCATGTTTATGGCTATGAGATAAAACACCGAGAGCGTTAAGGGAGGGTTCGAAGGAACTCATTGACGAGAGTGCAGGTGAAGTCTCGTATTGGTGGGCATGCTTTTCGAATTCAGCAATTGGTGACATGTCGTTACTGTTCGGAGGAGTTGGGAGATATGGAGACGGGGAGTGATCTCGCGCATAGCTGTGACCACGACTGGGCGAGGAACTATGGCTATGGTTGTGCCCATGGTTTAAGTGTGGTTCGGAGTGTGAATGCGAATGTAGACTGCCGCTTGATCGTTCTGACCGCAAGACCTTGGGGGTACTCGCCGGATATTGGCGGCCTGGTGAATGCGAGTGAGAGTGCGAATGGAGGTGTGTATGTCCATGACCATGGCTGTGGGTCATTGCCGACGCTGGCAGCGCATAAGATGAAGCCATTCTGGGCTCTGGAGATCAATCAGCTACGACTTCTGGCAAGTCGTATCGAGCTGTGAAGCCCGTGCAAGATCCTGCTCTCCTTCTCCCCGCATATGTTGCCGTTCGTTGCGTGGACCTTCGACTCCTCGCAATCTCTTTATTGCCCGTCCAGTCGGCTGTTGACTGTAGGTGAGGCTCGAGTGGAGTTGGGGGGGGGATAAGGGGCTTGCTTGGTGGGCGGACGGGCGGGCGTTGCGCTGCGTTGCGTTGAGAGAGGAGAGGAGAGACAGGCAGACAGACAGACAGAAAGCCCAATTGCCTGGTCGGAAACCGCCGTTATTGTTGTCGTTGTCGCTGTTGCTGTTGCTGTCAGCCGAACATATGAAAAGTTGAGCGAGCAGAACGGACGGAAGTCCCTCGGGGTGGTCTGGTCTCAGTGGTCTGGTGTTGATTGCTGCCCCTGACGCTTCCTTGGCGGGACGCCGCATGGGCATGGTACACCTGCATACACACGCCGCATGCGGAAGGTGATAGGCTGGCTGCTGGCTATCTAGGTAAATTTACCTTGGGTAAGGTAGGGAATGAGTACGAGTAGGTACTCCTGGTGGACTGGTGGACTGGTGACCTTAGGCAATAGCTAAGGTAGGTACCGGTACCTGTACCTAGGTCGGCAGTGGGCACAGGCACAGGCACAGGCACAGGCACAGAACAGCACAATGGAAGTTGTTAGTAGTAGTGCCATCTCATCCCATCCCATCCCATCCCATCCCATCCCATCCCATCCCATCCCATCCCGTCCCATCCCGTCCCATCATCCAATGTCTCTCCAGGGGCACGCGCTTAAGGTACCTACCTACCTGGGTACCTCACCACACTCACGTACACCACACCTGCAACACACCTCAGGCACGGGTCTCCGCGTCTAATTGTTCCACACTGGCGCTGGCGCTGGCGCTTGCTTCCACACCACACCATAAAATCATACCTACAGTGCATTGTACTTCTTCCGGCATGCATACATGCAACCAGTTCGGAACTGGGCCTGTCTCTCCGCATCTCTCGTCTCCCTTGTCTCATCTCGGCAATGGCGTCACATCTGATACGGTGATTTACTCCTCTGTCTCGCCCACATTCCTCGAAATCTTCTATGTGCTGCTACTAGAAGCTGTTTCGCCATGCTGGAAGCGCTCTTGACACTTGCAGTCTTTGCTTCCACTGTCCTCACACTTGTCCTTCTCATGTTGCCAAGTCGATATGTCAAACATTCACCTCCGAAAGAAGCCACGCAAGGTACCGCGAATGAACCCAAGATCTCCGTCCAAGTGCTGGTTCTCGGAGACATTGGGCGCAGTCCGCGGATGCAATATCATGCTACCAGCATAGCAAAACATGGTGGAAGAGTGGATGTAGTTGGGTACCAAGGCATGCATCTCGGCTCCTGTATTCCTTCTGCCATTGACCGAGCACTTAGAATCTACATTACATCCTGGCATGATCGACAATCCCCTGATCTCAATTGTGCCCTTGCCACCACCACCGCCTCTTCTTCGCGCGAACAAGCTTCCTTTCATTATCGCAGGCCCTTTGAAGGTTCTTTGGCAGATGTGGAGTTTGTTCCACGCACTTGGCTACCGCACGAAAGCTGCGCAATGGTTGCTGGTTCAGAACCCTCCTTCGATTCCCACTCTCTTCATCGCAATAGTAATCTGTTTTCTCCGGAACACCCACCTCATAATCGACTGGCATAACTATGGATGGACAATCCTGGCTGGTACTCGAGGCGAGACACACCCCTTCGTTACAATTTCGAAATACTATGAAGCAGTCTTGGGAAGTTGGGCACCCACTGCCTCATTTACTGTAACAGATGCCATGCAGAAACAACTTCGGAAAAAGCCGTATAGCGTCAAATCCCCAATATTTACTCTGCACGACAGACCTGCGTCAATTTTCCAACCAATTCCCAGTGCCGAAGCTCGAAGGTCTTTTCTTCAAAGAATACCAGAATGTCAGAAGCACGCGCAGGATATTATGGCCGGAGAGGTAAAATTACTTGTGAGCAGCACGTCATGGACGCCGGATGAAGATTTTAACCTTCTCCTCGAGGCACTGTGCACCTATGCTGCCTCCTCAAACAATGCGCCACCTATTCTTGCCATTATTACTGGCAAAGGTCCGCAGAGACAAATGTACCTGGACCGGATAGCTACCCTTAAAAAAGACTCGAAACTTAACAAAGTTACAATATGCACTGCGTGGCTGAGCGCGGAAGACTATGCCACATTGCTGGCATGTGCGGATCTTGGAGTGTGTCTACATATGAGTAGCAGTGGAGTTGACCTTCCCATGAAGGTTGTAGACATGTTTGGAGCTGGGCTACCTGTCATAGGATATGGCAACTATGAAAGCTGGGGAGAGCTGGTAAAGGATGGTATTAATGGAAGGTCCTTTGGCGCCAGTGAAGAACTGGCCGATGTATTGCAAGAGCTGTTCACGGAGGAGCGCGGCACACAATTGGCGAAATTGAGGCAAGGAGCAGTGAAAGAAGGGAGCAGGAGATGGGATGAGGAATGGGATAGTGTTGCAGGACGGCTGCTGGGTCTTTTGTGAATGCAATATGTCCATGTGACGAGACGGCATGAGCAGGTCGTTGTCATATGCCCTGACATTCGAATAAGAGGCACACAACGAACGAGATTCATTGCAACCAGTCTCACGACAAGAAGTCTCAACAAAGAGATAATGAGCTTTATTTCCAAGGCCCATCGCTAGGGTCAAACTCCGCATGTCACAGGAAGAGAATTTCGACCGTTCATCTTCTCAGCAGCGAGATTCATCATTGTTCACTATCTGCTACCTGCTGACAGGTAGACCCGATGCTGTCGGCCAGATCTGGGTGTTTTCCTGCCTTTCTGCAGTATGCTGCCCGGTTTGTCTGTACGTGTCCTTAGGGTCTGAGCTTAAGGCTCAAATCGGGGAATTATACACAGACGACCCCCCCTTGCAGCCAATAGAGGACTGCTATTAACACTACTTGGCACATTCACACTTATACTACTCCTGAGCATATTTCCAAAGGTTACGAACGGTTAGGGTTAGTTAGGGTTAGAGCGTAGGTATAGCACGGGGTCCCCTCTAGGGGTTTGCTAACCAAAGCGTGGGAGAATGTGATTTTAACACCTTTGTGCCTTCAATTGTTCGTGGATTTGGAAGCTTCTGATTCGTCTGACAAGGGGGGGGGGGTTGTCTGTGTATCAATCCTCCTCAAATCTTCCACATTGCCAAGTCTCTATCCTCGCCCGTACGTACATTCCTCCCTAACAATACAAATAGAGTTTTACATGTCGGCATTAATATCCATAAGGTGATTGGCTGGGCAATATATGCTGCAGTTTATGTCATCCCGAGCGAAATTTTAGGCGGAAGTGAAATGTTCTCGTTATGCTTGTTGAGTCGTGGATTTTTTGCTTCATATTAGGTAGGTAATCATCTCTCTGTTCTTTCTTCAGTGATCTTCACTCGAGCAGATCTTAACCATACGTGCGATTGATCCCACCAAAAGCTGGGTTCCATTTGTGGATCTAAGCAGCTGAGGGAGGGAGGCTTGAAGTGTGTAGCTTTAGCAATTTTCCGCCTCTCATCACATAAGCAGTGTATACTGCCCTTTCATATCCTACTTTCTCGGATCAGGTTTTGCAGAGACGGCTTTCACGTCTGCAACAATTCCCCAAGTGTCAGCGGATGCAACCGCGTCCTGTCACCAACTGCTGGCGTCAGCGTGTCGCCGCTATGTCTAGTAGCTATGAACTTTGGTGATGCTGGTATGTGTCTCTATATCATACATGAGAACGTCTTGCTCACAAATTACAAACATGAAGCAGGCCATGGGATGTAGGAAACTCATAGATTCGCCCGATATCTAAATGCTTGTCATCGGCAAGTATCGCACTTGCCTGCCAGTACGCACTCACATACCAACCTCAACCCAATAAGTTTAGCAGAAATTAGATCCCCTTTTCACTCTATCAAAAAATATAATAATAACCCTTCTGATTGAACACTCTTTAGACCTTTTTTATGTACAGTATTCTCCGAGCCACGTCGACAACCCCCAAAAGAACACACTTACTCACCTTCAAAAAGTGCCAAACTTGTACGATATCCAACTCTCGTAAGGCTTAGTATCGGGCCCGAATATCTGCTTTTCAGTTCTTCCCCACTCAGGATGATTGATACCATCAATCCAATCGTGCGGCTCAACGGCCACACAACCATTGCTCTTCACAAAGCCACTGGAAGCTGGTCCACCTTGAGATCTCTTCAACTCGTTGGCACCTACATATGTTAGCCCTCGGTCGGGAAGGACAGCGAGAGAGTCCTAATTCGTACCTCCCATCCAATAACAAGAATACACCACAACACCCGCCTGGTCACTATACAAATCCCATTTGATTCCACTCCAGTCACTTGACAGCGTCGCAATTGGCTTGTCCTCATCCGTGGCAGCCCGATCAATAATCCACTGGTTATTGTACCCACTACATCCAAACGCACTCCCACAATTCCCATTCCACTCGGGATCACTCATACTAGCACCTAACTGCTTCGGCTTACTGACGAAATCGTTCACGCCGCCTTTTTTGACTCTGGGTAGCTCGCCAGTCGATTGTGTTGTCCCGTCAATCCCGATCATGCGCTCGCTGAACGGAAGACTTAGCGTATGGTTCAAGACGAGATCGGTGGCAGGGTTGGCGAAAGCGTCGAGGTTCCAGTATGGATGGGTAGTCAGCATGATAGGCGTCTTGTGGTCGACTGCCTTGGCAGACAACTTCGTGCTCCACGTATTCGCAGTGATAACATGCGTTACTTCCCCCAATACCAGACCTGGAAATCCCAAAGATGAGTTCCCATCATCGCGGATAGTGAACGTGATGCTCGAATTTGTGACCTGGGATACTTTCCACGTGCGACGAGACCAGCCGTTTAGACCGCTGTGCAGTGTTCCATTTCCGTCGTTCGCTTCGGTAAAGTACCGAGTACCGTCGAGAATGTACGTGTGATTGGCTATGCGATTGGTATATCTGCCTGGCACGGCGCCGTAGTCAGGATGGTTGGGATCAACGGGGTAGAAGGTCCCGTTGTCGTAGCCTAGGATGATATCTCTCTTCACGCCATTGCGATCAGACACAATCAGACTGGTGATTGCTGCTGAGTATGCAATGAATTTGGCAGTTATGCCAGGTGCGGAGAGCGTGTAAGTTCCATCTGGCCCAGGACTCGGTACGGCGAAGGCTGATAATGGAAGCAGCGCAGAGGCGAGTAGTGGTTTAATCATGATTCCAGACTTCGAGGAAAACTTCAACAACAATCGAATTTGATAGAGTCCGAGAGGATGTTTAAGTACGAAACTCAATACTAGCTCTGACACGAGCGCTCTGAACATATGTTGTTTCGCTTCTGGCTGTGGTAAAAACTCCAGAATAGCCTGCACATCTTATATTGGAAGTATACAACAACCCCTCAGGTTAAAGTCTCAGATCATCTGTCAGCCGTCAGCTCCCTCTCATCTATATCAAACGAGTGAACGGCCAAGATATTCATATGCAGGGACCCACTTTTCCCAAGCTGTGTGACAGGTACCTCTAATCCGCAAATATCACGAATTGGCTGTAAACCTCATGAATCTCAGAAGAATGCCTGAATTTGGCAAATAATGCCCATTCGTTGTCATGATATCTTATTGAATTCCGGAGACACCGTCTGATGATAACGTGAAATGCCTGTGAGTGTGCATGAACGTGCCGGGATTGTTGGGCTCAGCCTATTTTACCCCACCATTGCTCATGACCGCAGCTATCCATCGATGTGGTTGGGACCATGTGGTGCGTATAGGCGCTCGATGATCAATTTATGATTTAGTTCGGGAAATCGATACAGAAGGAGGCAATTCTTTTCTAGTGGACGCTTGTCCGTGATTAGTCTGATGACAGTATCGTGCATGATCCATGTTGAGCTTCAGACAACAAAGAGCAGGGATGCGAGACGGAAGATTGATAGATGGGGATCTGCGAATCTAGTCCGCAAGCATAAGGGATTACGCCTCTCCAGCTTACCTGAATCCGCAGCCTATTAGAAAGGAAGGAGGTGCTACGAAGGAAAGGTGGCGGTCCTTTTCATGCTCGTGCCGTATTAACCGAAAAGAGCAACGTAAGCGATGTTTACCTCTGGAATGTTGAGTCTGGGTCAACAAAAGTCCCACGATATCTTAAGCATTCCCTCACAAATCATTAAGCCGCGGGAAACGTTGAATAAACAACAATAAATCGTTAGTACTCTTCGACTTACCTTTCGGGCAACATGATATCTGACTTGTCAACTGATTGGCAAACACAAGGAACGAACAAGACATACCCTTGAATATCTAAGATCTCACATATTATGATTATAGTTATAATTTAATGTAATTATTCATATTATTAATAAAGATGATATACAAACATTGTTATAATAAAGGTCTTTCTCTACGCCAGAAAATAAGTTATAAATATTCTTGAGACTTATTAACTATATATCATAGTCTCTGTGCTTAGTACAGTCTTTAGCTTCCTCAAATCCTTCAATGCTAACTTGTTCAGTCACTAGACATAGATCTCTAGTAAGAGGGCTCTCAGAGTCCACACATAACTTATCTCGTCAGCCTTGGAAGCTCAAGCTTTATGATCCAATTTCTCGGCAAGCTTTACTTAAATGTATATCGGCGTAACGGACCTAGACTAAATTTAAATATTGGTGTAAAATGTTCCGTGCTGATAGTTCAAGATCTCCTGTGCTTTTACTAGTGAATTTTAGTTATCCCTCAGGCCAATCCTAGCCCTCCTATGTCTATCTCATATTCCAAAATAAGCTGCTTTAACTGGAATTTTTTTTTTTTATATATGTTGCGATATCAGAGTAAGATCTCGCTTTTTTCCGGTTTTTAGCTTCAGTCTTGCAACAAGAAAATTCGAAAGGTGCTGTATATTACGCTAATCATAAGATAAACATGACAGAATGGCGTGTATCCCTAGATAAGAAGCAAAAATACAGAGCTTTAAACATCCCATTTGTCTCCGTATTGTTGCTGACCAAGTTGTACAAGTTGCTGGACCATTGTGAATTCTAACCCGAAAATAGCCACAAATCAACAGGACGAGTCCACAATAATGGACGTTCCAAGAGAACTCCGTTGCTCTTCTCCATAAACGTTTGGAAGTAGCATTGTGAAATGTGTTTCTGGTTTTGATTTTTCTTCTCTTCCAATTTATTTCTTGTAGGGCTAGGAGACCCGGTGCTGCCAATTGGTTTATCACAGAAGATTGCTAATTAACCATACAGCGCTGACAACCATATTTTCTCGAGAGCCCCTTCACTCTCCTCTCCTCGTTCCACTCACCTGAAGAGGCCACGAAATCTGCCGATTTGCTGCCTGCAAATGCCGTCACAATGGTTGACAGTCTTGCATTGTTCCTAAACCTGTCCAGCACTTCACACTCAACTAAACCACGCTCAACAACGAAAGAACACCGCAACACAATCCTATTCAATAGCGCTAACATATATAATTTTGCGAATGGAAGCTATGTGGACCAGATGCAAACTTCAAATTGCACATGCGTTGCTGGTAAGTCATTGCTTTGGTTTGTTTTGATTTGGCTCGGAGCGAGGCGGCTGCTTCCTTCCATATCACCATCAACTATCTTTCCTTCCTCTGCTTTCCGTTCACCTTTACAATTTTCCTTTCGAACGCGCCGCTTAAAAACCTTTTTTCTCCACTCGCAGTACGATGACAAAATACAGGAACAGCCCCTGCATGCAAAGACTTCATCAGTGAAGAGGACGCAGAGCAATTCGTAGGCCGTGATCCACAATAGGTTTTAACAAAGATGGAGGAGGTAAGAAGCGATGACAAAAATTCACCTTTCAGCTTCAATGCTCCAATCTCCGCTAAAATATCACAATTTCTAAGTCAAATGACACCTGCTTACAGGTTCAGAAACTCGCCTCCAAAATTGGAAAGGCTTTATTCTGCTGTCGCAAGCTAGTTCGCGTTGAGCGTGATGGTTCCGGCGACATCCTTTAGGAGACTGGACGTGATCAAATCCTCAGATTCATCAAGAACCTGAAATAATTGCCGAATTTGCAGGTTGCATCGGCGAGATATCCGGGAAATATCTGGAGGAGGTGAAATGGCTCTACCGTGTACAGCTTTCCATTCATGCTCCTTCCTTCCCTGACCCTCACCTCTGACACACTCTCACTTCAATCTTCATGTTAACCTAAATACCACTTGCCATACATGAGCACCGAACTTCTGAAGCTGACATCAAGTAGGTCAAGCGCATCGGCGACGACGGCACCAAAGCCATCTCCATCTACATCCCAGTCCAGCACCAAGCCACCAAAGGCTACATCTCCATAGTTAAATTCGAACTTCCACACACCTTCGAGCGTTCGGCGGCGCCGAGACCGGTGGCAAGAATGGCTTCCTTGCCTTAAATTTCCCGTCCGTAGGTATTAGTTCCAGGTTGGCTATTCGAAATTTTATCACGTTGGGAAGAATGGCACGATTGCTACGTCTGGTGATGGGAGACTGGATGCTATGATGAAGGTTTCGAGACTGGAAAGGTATAGTGGCATAGTGCTTGTATCTAATGTGTGGGGAAAGCATGGAAAGACGGCGGGAGTGGGTGACGTATTTGGGGTTGTTCTTTGCTGGAGTTGAGATGGGTTAGAACTGGGTTCCCCTTTCCATTATGTTCCCTTTCTGAGGACGGATGATAATTACCCCTTTCTCCCTTGCATTGAATTTTGACAGAGCCTCGGACGGCTATCTGGGGAGGTCTTTACGCGAGTGCTGGAGCAGCGGCTTTGATGACTACGACCTCCATTATAACCTCGATATATTCGTAAGAATGCATCGGGATCTGTAACTAGAAAGAGTATCTTGGCTATCGAATATCGCAACTAGGGCTTATAACATTGATTTATTGGGTAATGGGCCTCTTCTATCCAGCTTTCCTGGCCCGGAACTTGTCGCCACATGCTGTATGCTGGCTACTGGATGTTATGACGAGCCTCGCGACCTGTATCAGCACATATAATTATCCAAGACCCCTTGACAGAGAGTAACCGCTCTTCATATCTCCCTATATACAAACAACACTCTCCCTTCAACCTAAGCAGCCCTCCTCCTCGCCGTATCAACACCATAATTGAATGGATTCCTACAAAGCGGACAAGTACTCTGGTTTGAGCTCGAGAACCACTTGTAGAGACAATTGGAATGGAACAAATTATTGCATGTCTGGCATCGCTTGTCAGGAGTCTTCTTGTCGGGCCCGATGATGGAATAGCAGATCGCGCATTCGGTGTGGCCTTTTAGGGCGCCAGTGACGTTCTTTTGGAAAGCAGTGAGGCCGTCGACTATGCTTCCATTCTGTTGGGACGATCAGTCGATATTGAGTTCGTCGTGTCTACCTCTGGGCTGGAGGCAAGGGTGATGAATGGGCGGGTGAAAGGGGAAGACTTACCGAGAACGTTATAACACCCTGCGTGTTTCTCAACCAACTCAACCACTTTTTCTCAGTAACAGCGACACGATTTAGTCCTTCAACTTTGACACCCTCCAGAGGATAATTATCGGGGAAACGAATCACGATCTGCATGATCAACTCATCGACCTCATACCCCGCAAAGATCTCCTTGGACCGCTTCGACACCTTGACAGTGAGATCCTTCTCATCATCAGCAGGAGGTTCCTGGTTCGTTGCCCATCTTTCGACTTCTTCAAGCGTGTCATCTATCACAAGCGGTGTGAAGAATTTTTGCGTCCAGGAATCGACGGCAAGAGTGGTCTGCCGCGAGTTGCAGCTGAACCACCAGGTGCGGACTAGACCAGGTGTGTAGTTCAGACAGAGGTAGTAGAGGTTGACGAGGAGCCAGTTCATGTTTCGCTCGCTAGATTCCGAATCGTTTGCTTTCCACATGTCGTAGTGACGGATCATGCTGATGTCCATTCGAGCGCGTTCGAGGTTGAGTGGATTGGCATCCGAGTGCCCGAGGATGACGAACATAAAATCTAGGAGAGGGCCGATATAGTTTTCGGTTTTAAGGAGTTCACTGTAGTCGTTGCGGACTTTCAGTGAGGCTGTAGTGTAGGATTCGTAGACAATTAGCCAGGAAAGGAGGTAGCCTCGGATCGCGGAGGGGAACTCGCTGGCTTCGGAAATATCTTGCACGGATGGGGTGTTGAGAAGAAGGGAGAGTAGTTCAAAGGGAAGCTGGGCAGCTGATAAATGTTAGCATATGTAAAGATCGTGTAGAAAAGGCATTTACTTGTTCCATCCAGCAAGACATTGACGGAGAGTTCCTGTTGAACTTTAGGGAGTGCCTTATGAAGAACATCGAAAGCCGCAGATTGGATCATTCGGAAGTCCGACGCAAGCAAAGGATAGAAGTCTGTCAAATCCTTGATGCGATCTTCAGGTATCTTCGTAACCTCTCGCGACAGAATTGCATCGACGTAATCAAGAGGTTGAGTCTCCTTCAAGCGATCTAGTTTCAGAAGCTTGACCAAGCCACCACAGACTCGCTCATTGGAGAGATCAAACGCTTCTTTTACATCATCATTATCGCCATTCGCCATGTTTCGAAGTATGGAATATAGCTTTAGCGACATTCCAATCATCGGCAGTCGCTCATTTGACAGTGCTTTGTCCCCCTTTGATTCCCATATGGAGACGCAGAAATCAAACGCAGTTTCCCAATAGGTGCCGTAGACATACTTGATGGCAGGAAGAAGCTTTTGTAACGTGCGACAAGCTTCGGAAGCCAATCGAGGGTTGGTCTCTGCCAAGTCTTCCGTCCATGAAAGAATTTGTTTGACGGCAAAAACTACGCGATTATTTGCAACAGGTAAGTCCTCTTCATCGTAGACTGACAGAACTGAGTTCAATAACACAAGCAGACCTAGAGTTTTCTCAGACTCCGACTTGGCACCTGCTACGTCGCTGATGAGCCTGTTGCAGAGCGTATTGATCGTCTTGCTTGAGCGAAGACTATCCTCGAGACCAATGAGGACTGCGCATGCGCCAAGAATATTATTGGTTGAAGTTTTCAGGATGTCTAGCTTCGCAAGCCATTCTTCGCTACCATCGATTTGCCAGCCATGGGCAGACACCAAGGCTTGGATGAGGCCACCTAATGCTTTGGAAGCATAGTAGGCATTCGAAGTACTGGAACTTGATGTTTTGGTAAGCCTCGAAATCAATAAGTGAACCACAGCAGAAGTATCCCTTGGAGACTGCTTCCCAGTGACTTGGTCACGCCAGGAATTCGCATTGCCTGCTACGTCCCCAAGGATCTCATGAGCATTCCGTAGGAATTGCCTGACTTCAGTTACTGCTTCAAGATCTTGATGGGATCCGAATAAACCTTTGTCTTCTAGCAAGTCGATCTGGTCATTCACAAGCTCGCTGGTTAAAGTCAAGAGATAGTACAGTTCGACTGCAAATTCCTCTGGTAATAGTGAATGATTCTCATGGAAGAAGAGTAGCGATGTCGTATACATGGCCATTCGTAAGGGAACCGAATACCCGTTAATGTCTCGCGCAGGCCGAGTAGTTGGGACGGCTGAAGACCTTGACACCAAGAACACAGATCCGGCAAAAGGTCTCATGACACCGAGCGCTGGATTTGGAGCTTGGCTAAACAGTGGAGAAAGAGCTTCGGACCACAGCTGCGTGCTTGGGAAGATCTCCGGGTGAGGAGAATTTGGATCGTTCGCAATGATTTTGCTCGCTTCTTGAACGAGTGTCTCAATCCTAGACGAGAATTAGATCACTTCTGCAGATACTGTAAAATACAAACTTACGTTAACGACTGAGGTACTGCAGTCTCGAGATTCTCTCTGATGACATGAACAAGAGAGCTCTGTCGAGAAGTCTCTGAATCGGTAGTGATACTTGATTTCTCAACAATTTCCCTCAAAGCATTGGCGCGAGAAGCCAGTTTCAAATCGGATATCTCAGTCAAACCTAGCAATTTTGTGATCAGTATAACGTGGATGTTGCTCCGATTATTCAGTAGGCTAGGCTGGTTTTTGGAGATGAATTCAAGAGATTCCAGAGAACCATCTAAGCTCGAGTCCCTGGCATCCAGAGCTGCGAGGACTTGATTCAGTACCTTCATTGAAGCGTCAGCTGAAAATATGTCGAATGCGATGGCAGCTTCAAATAACGACCTGCACTCTGGATTCCCTTGGATAGCTTCGGTACTCCCTCGAACAAGGAATTCCTGAAGGCCAGGATTTTCTTGAGAAATCTTCGAAACTGCCTCACTTGCGATCAGCTTCGCAATCATTTGTGATCGGTTGCCATCCTCAGGCAATGCCAAGAGACCATCGAGCGTTGACTGCCAGATCCTTTCAAAGGTCGCTTCTTTATACGGTAAGATGCGGAACAAGTTCAGGATGGAGATCAAGTATGGGCCCGATGGAGATAGAACCAGCTTCAGCAGCTCCTGTTCGAGAAATGTCTCAAGGGCTGTCAGAGTCTCAGGGGAATCCTCCACGAGAGCTGGTGCAAGTCTTAGGGCGGTCTCCACCGTGGCGGCGGCGGAGTACGGTTTACCATTTCTACTGGTGATCGATCCCAGGCACGTTGTAATTATTCGCTGTGACGAAGGAACAAGGAGGTCCCTAACTTCGTGTTGCTCGGTTTTGAGAACATCTGCTACTAGCTTGAACCAGCGATGGCTAAGTGCAATGACAGCAGCCTGTGACGCATTATAATCTTTTGACTGCTCAGGCAATGATGTAAGAATTTTCGAACTATATTCCTTCTCGAGCCTCGCCCACTCACCATCGAGAGCCTGTTTATCAGTGTTTGATGACCAGCAGAGGGTAAGTGCTTTAGCCAGCGTTGAGGTATTGGCCCCAATTACCCAGGTCTCGTTGGCTACAGCGGGAAAGAGGTACTGCCCAAAGATGGGAAATATTCCTTTGGGCAAAAGCTTCTCTTGTACAGCTCCCGGAGGTAACAGAGTAATGAAACGCTCCATGATGCTGAAGTAGGTGGCCCAGGCGACATCAGCATTCATTCTTGGCTCTTCTCTGTTGGAGGCACCCCGACGGCAGGCATCGAGAAACTCTAATAGAGGCCCGGGTTCAGAAGGGAGCACTTCATCGGGAAGCCTGAGCACAAGCTGGCCCAACTTAATCCAATAATCCGGAGGTCCTCCCTGGGAACCCTTTGCGACGAAGGCACGGAGTCTTGAGAGAGGACCTTTCTTAGCCTTGTAAGATGATGTCCATATTTCAGGGTATTTCGAGGTCAGTGTTACCAAGAGAGATAGGAGCTGAAATGCAGATGTAGTCTGCGATGACTTTAGAGCTTCAGCAATAAATGAGTGGCTGACGAATTCTAGGTCTGACTCAATAATCGTTGGTAGCTTTGCCAAACAGACCAGCATCAGTTGGTCTGTTGCTCTTCTTACGAATGCATCATCACAGCTTGCAAACGCCCAGAGCTTCTTGTTGCCGGATACAATTCCTTCGTACTTTTCACGGTGCTTGTGAATGGCGTCCGTGTCCAAGGTACTTAGTAGATTGGATATAAGAGATATGCTAGATCCAATGACCCGAAAGTATTTGGCTTGCATGTCATCTGCACTCATAGTTCGTTCATCACTGAGCGTCTGTGCTGTTTCTTCCACAGCTTCTTGTGCATAATCCAGAATCGATGCTTCGCAGCGTCTGTACAAGAGGGCCATCTTGGCCGGTGTATCGAGGAAAGACTTGGTGCCATCATTTGCAGCTCTCGCTACAGCTCTATCTCTATCATACGTCCCTCCCAGCCAGCTACCAACAATCTTGGGTATGTGCCTCTCCATCCGCTTCCGCGCGGACTTCAAGAGCTCGAATTGTAAGATATGGGATAGTTCGCGGACACGACGAGAATTGTCAATGGAAATACGAGGATAAAATTTGACCTGTATTTTGCTATCAATATCATGCCCTTATGGCTAAAACATGGAAGGCGCACCCAGGCTTCGAGAACGGCATCCTCCACCCCACCATCCTGCTCGAAGGGATGTGCTTGAACATATGTCCGCAGATCCTCCAATGCTTTCGATTTCGTTGTGCCATCCTTCTTTGACAGGTTCTTGAATGCTACCACCACATTGGCATCACTGATGGCAGACAGGATCGGAGGTTCGGTCAAGTAGGATAATGTAGTGCCGGATGATGTCGAGCCAAATCCTCCAAAACCTGCACCTGACACCACTCGACTGCTCGAAGCCTGGGCTCTGAACTGTCGTTTGCTCATATTGGCAGGTTTGTGTGTACTTCCACCAGGTCTGGGATCAAGAGGTGGTGGTACGAGCTCGAGCGGGCGAGGGTGACCGGAGTCCTATGTGGTGATCTCAGTCCATATAAGGTACATAGGTAAGCAACCAAGGTGTCGTGGATGGCTCAGTGGGCACAATAACTTAGAATACAGGGCGTAGGGTTCCAAGGTTTTTTGGTTGCAACGAGTGGGCAAGAGCTGATTACGAAAGTCGATGTGCTGGCGAGGCTGCAGAGATGAGAGGAGATGTATTAATTGAATGCGGAGCTCAAGAAGTCAAAGAAGTCAAGAAGGAGTATCGAGATGTAGGTAGGTCCAGGTCCAGGTCCAAGGTACTTCAGAGAGCGCACAGCGACAAAACATCCCACGTCCATGCATCCATGCATCCATCCCACTTCGTTCGCCGAATGACGATACCTTCCTTACCTTACCTCGCTTACCTTACTGAGTGCGATGCGGATGCGGTGCAGTGCGGTGAGTAGAGGCAGTATCCTTTGTGGATTAGAGCACCGCACAGCACAGGACAGTACAGGACAGCATGGCGGAGGCCGGGACAGCGGGTGAATGCGGAGCTACCTACCTCCCTGAGCCGCTGAGCCGCTGAGCAAAGGCCAATGGAAGGCCAAGGCCCAGGCCGCCGGAAGCGCAAAAGCAGCACGGGAACCTACCAAAGGTACGAAAGGTAATTTACCATGGTCCATGAGGTCCCGAGCATACCTACCCTCGCTACCCTACCCTACCCTACCCTACCTGGCCTACCTACAGTACCTTATCTGTCGAGCCTGTCCTGTCCTGTCCTGTCTGCTTCCCTTTGTCTCCTGTGTGCTGAGGTGTGCTCCAGCTCCAGCTCCAGCTTATCACCCCCCCTCGCCGCTATTGCTACTTACCTACCTACCTACCTTAACTCTGAGACACCAATGGGCACTCACTCACTACTGTAACTGACCTTACAGGCTTACAGTACCTCCCCTCCCGCCTCTCCCCCCTCTCCCCTTGCCCACCTACCCCGCACCCGCAGCCCGGTGACGCTTGGAGTGGATAGAGCTGCCTGGCTGGCTGTGAGTGAGTGACTGACTGAGTGAGCATACTTGGGACCTTCCTCCCTCCCCTCCCCTCCCCTCCCCTTCCCTTCTTCCTAGACTCTCGCTCCCTCTTCGAAACTTCAAAAATCAACTCTTCTCTTTCCTGAACCTGCAATTTCCTCCGCTGTCCTCCCTCTCTGTCCAGCGTGATTCTTCCATTTATCCCTCTGAGACACTTCTTAACATTCGTCTGAACCACACCACGCTGTTCCTCAGCCTTCACATGCGGATACCGACTGATCTTCCACTGGCCCAGATACCGGAAGCTGCCTTGTGGCAGGAACACGAACACGAACACAACAGCTCGCCAGCTGGTATTGCACTCTTCCACCTATGCTGAATTCTTCCGCAGCATCTTGACTGGCTTTGGCTCTGGCTCTACGAGCTGAACTGCATTGTTTGAAGGAAGCTGGCCTCGGCAGAGTGTCCCTCAAACAGCTGCACGCTGCAAAACACTCCTCCACCATACGATACAATAGAATCCCATCTCACGCACCCTTGATTCTTTTGAACTCTGGCAGTAAAGCCCACACTTCTGGCTGGATTGCCACTTCCTGCTGTTCTTGATCATCTGCAAGATACCAAGGCTCAGAACTACCCCGCTCACACAGTCAGTCCCAGTCAACTGACTTACGTCAAGCCCTCACTTGCTATGAACCCGCACGAACCTACTATCAGGATACATCCGCGCACGTTCTGAGCGTCGTATTGTGAACGGTGCATCTTTTGGGTTGGTTGGCCTCCAAAGGTGATGGAAACTCCTTTCCACAGATCCCAAGCGACTCCACGTTCCTGAATGTAACTCCGTACTTCTAACAGTTTGAAAGCTCGTTCAAGATATAGCCAGCAACTTATTGCAACTGAAGGCTCTGTTGATTTAGGTAAGCTTGCAGAAGTACATCAAGCAACTGCGAATTACTACCTTCCACCTACATCTAGACTAACTTAGTACTAGTGTACGAGCATGCAACGAGAAAGATAACAGGAAAGATGCTTTCATCAACAATGCCCTCTACCTTGATGGCAACGACTCTACAGCAACCCTTACTTCCCTCCTCAACTCTGATTCTGTCCACGAGACGCTTGCCACGAAGACCTCAGTCACACCAACAAGCCCGAAATTTCCGCCTAAGTTTGTGGTCGTCATACCTTGACCCTACCTTCCAGAAGGAAACTCGACGCCGATATCGACGCGTGGAGAAACACAGACATATTGAGGCTTTAAATCGGAAGCTGTCGTGGGACCGCCACTTTCCTATCGGTCAGCATGCGGGACTGAAGGGGTTCATGTGTAGCGCATGGCGCGGTCACGACTCTAGACCAGGTGGACGATGGGTAAATGTTGAGGATCTCAAGACTATCAGCGAGAAAACGCAGTTCAATAATGAGGGTTCTCATGATAAATTTGACAGGAGTCGCTTCGAGAGCTTTGTGAATAACCGGGAGTCATTATATGACTTTATTCGTGCCAGGTCACGTATATTTTGCCCCGGTTGGACAAGCATGAAGCCCGAACCGAGCAATGCCACCTCGTCAACAGATCCTTCGCCTCATGGATTTACGAAATCCACAACATATGGGCAGGAGGGGTTCAGGAGACGGTTTCAGAAGCAGGAGGAGATTTCTGCTGAGCCAGCATACGAAATCGACCCTATCACTAATCGACGAGCTCCAAAGGAGACTCAATCGAAGAAAGCCAGCACTGACGAGATTCCCGTGAAGACGTTTGAGGGGTATCGGTCTCAATTTGAGGATTTCGAGCCTCCGAGTTCAACGGCAGAACCCACATCCCCTGAAATCATTCATTCGTTGAGTACTCGTTTGAAAGGGTATCGGAAGATTGGAGTTGAGACAAACGATGAAAGAGATCCAGTCCAGGAAGGTCTCAAGTCCTATGATGAAAAGGTGGATTATGAGTCTGGTCGGTTTTACGACTGTGCAGGCATCGATATAGATTACTCTGATCCAGTGCAGAATGGGTTGAAGCGCTACGACAACAAGATTTCAGACGGAAAAGCGTGCCCCGAGAATGCGGCGATGGCCAATGGCGGAGACGCAGCTCATGATGGGTATGTAGGTTACGATGCCAATACTTTCTATAGACAAGGTCGGCCAAGAGAGGAACACAAAGAGCAGCCCGGACAAAATGACCCAATCACTCAAGCCATGAAGGCCAATAATTCTGAAAGTCAGCAACCAAAAATGGTAAAGAAGACGGAACTGAAGCCAGAACCACTGAATCCAGTCGAACAAGCGATCCGAGAGTATGAGAAATCCGAATTGTATAGACGAGAGCGGAAGAAAAGGCATGCAGATTTGCTGTTGAAAGCAATTCAGGATTACCAAGTGAATTATCAGAACGTTGCCACGAATCTGACAGGCGCGAAGCTTGATGCAGAGAAGTTGAACCCCGTGTTGAGAGCCATACAGGAATACGAGAGCACTGCTTTGGATGAACACCAGGAACCGCTTGATCCAATTCTAAAGGCATTCCGAGAATATAAAATCGCGGCTCAGCGTACTCAGGACGACAGCAGCCGTGAAGATGGGATACCAGCCCCAGAGCAGCTTAAACAACTGCTCCAATCAATCGAAGAAAATAAATCCGTGGTATTCCAGGGCGCGGCAGCAGACAGTCAATCACAGGAGAAGTGCCCGGTCCAAGAAGGCTTGAAAGGGTACGATGCCAAAGTCAATCATTATCAAAAGCCATCCGAGATCAGGCAGGCAACTGTGAAGTCCTTGGCATTCGCTCCCAAACCTCCAGCTGGAACAGAAATGAGAATCTTCGCAGAAGATACGACTGAAGACCTGGATCTCCTTCGAACAAGCGATGTACGTGCCGCTTCAGGAATTATTAAGAGCCCTGCAAAGGAGACCGAGTCAGAAAAGCTCGCAAAGAGAAAGGAACTTGAGAATAATTTTGATAGCTTCCAAAACGTGACAAGCTCTGCTGACGAAGCTGCGGCTGCCGAAAAGGTACACGCTTCGCGGAAACTGGCCGAAGAACTCCGGATCGAGCACAGCGAGCTATTGAACCACGCAGCCCATGCTCGCGGACGAATCGATGATAAGATCGCAGAAGTTGAAGGAGGTTGGAGGCCTGACACTCCCACAAAGAAGCTGTCGGGTAACTTTGCTCGAGACTTTCCTGAAGAATTTGAGGCGAAATGGACTGCCACGGATGTCACTTCAGCAGGGCTTACTTCTCAATCCAAGACAGAGAGCGAGACTGATCCATTAGTTGGTCTTGCGCCGGAATCATTTTCTCGAGATCCCACAACTCCTCGAATGGAGACTTCCCTTGATCGATCGACTTCACGAATGAGGGACAGATCCGTGGAGACACAAAATAGCGCATCTTCGATACCTATCGGACTGGCTTTGGAAAAGCACGGCGAGAGCGCACGAAGTCGAAGGGACAAGAAAGAGATCCGAGATCGGAAGAACCTTGTGCGTGAGATCCGGGGCATATATGAAGAAGCATACGGTACCATTGATACCAAGCATCGCCAAGTCCAATTACCAAAGACCACAGTTGCGAAACAGCAGAGCACAAGTCAATCAAGTGGCCAAACTCTTCAATCCCCTGCGACGGCACCACCGCCAACAATGTACAAGATACTAGCATATGATCCTACGATGCAGTCTGTCAGCACGGCAGAGACTACGTCGATTGTCCCAGACTCGTCTGATTCGTTGACGCCAGCAGATGTCCTTCTCAGACTATCGAATCCATCGAAATTCTTTCCTCACTTTCAGTCTCTTCAATCCCAAGGATATGAAATAGTGGCGGGCAGTGGTGACGTTCTGGTTTTCCGGAAAGTTCGATCGGGCGCCCCAGTCTTGCCCAAGGTGGAGACTCCCGCCGAGGCACACGCTAAGGCCGTCACTCAGGAGCGCAAGAGAGTTACGAATCCTATTGATGGCATGCAAAGTACACCTATTACAGGTGACTTTGCTAGTCCAACCGGTTTCGTCAACTACGATCTTCCTCGTGGCACCGAGGCTCCCTTCAAGTCCAATATTGATGTTCGTCGCGAAGAGCCAGTCTTCAGTGGCCGACGGAATTGGGAAGATGAATCTGAGGAGGAGAAACCCAGAACCAAGGGTATAGGAAAGAGGCTTTTGGTGGGCGCGGCGTGGGTAGCGGCTTGTTCGTATGCTGTGGGTGTGGTATCCGAGTTTTTCAGGACAGGAGGGATGGATGGGATGGGACCGCAGGGCTTTTGAATGACAACGTGATGAGAGCATGGTAGCGGGCAATCTTTGCCAAACGAGCAGTATGTTCACAGGTTATTGATCACTATGCATCTTCACTTTCTATGGCAAGAGTGTTGGTTTTGGATGTTGGAGGAGAGCATTGTGTTGGTTCTTGTCCGTGGAGTGTTGTTTCTTCCTGGTTTTCTGCTACCTTTCTCCTCTCTCATGCACATCCACAAACCTACGCGCTACCAAGCAATTATTAGATACCATTATCCACTCCAAATTAAGACTTCTCTTCTCGCATTTTCTCCAATTTCGATTTTAGGCTCCATTTATGGGCTCGAGGCGTCGACTTTCCGTTCCATTTCATCTCAAATCGGTCCGACCATCCCTAAGAAGATAAATTTACCTTATCCCACTTTCACTTGTTGATTTTCGTGCATCATGTAAACAATGCCACAACTATATGTAACCCTCTCTCAAAATGCCCTCTCCTCCTTCCTCGTGAGTCGTCTTCTTTGTCTCTATCTCCTCATTCTCATCGCAACCTCGATCTGCCACACATCATTGCACATGCTTCAGAAAACACATCCTCATATCATCTTTCTGCTTGTTATCTCTTCTGCGCCACAAATCACAGTATCTTCCTACCCTACAAGTCACTTCCGATCTGGAGAGCACAAGCGAAGCACTGAGCAAGTAAACCATCTTCTACCATAATCCAGATTTCTGCTCTGTCAAATAGGCCCTGGGTTCTCACTGATCTGAAGCTGGGTCTCCTGGCCCGGCCTGCATGGCATGTCAATTATCCCAATTTTGGTGCTATACTGACAGTCTACTGGTGGATTAGGAACACAGTGAACTTTAGATGCGCTGAAACAAAGTTCAGGGAAAGAAAGTCGTTGCTATTAAGTTGTTGTGGGAGACCTCAAAAGCTCTGCGGTATTGGTAATACTGTCAGTCTCGAAGCAAAAAGTTTCGGTGAGCAGTGTTTAAACATTTTTACCTAGCTAAACTTGTTCCACCGCCAATCAGCTTTCAGTCTTGAAATCCGTCAAACCATGAAGCTCCCAAAAAAAGCAATACACGTAAATAATAGCGCCATTAAAGAAAGAAAAACATATACCCCTGCTAATGATTTCTGATATGCTCACGTACAGCCCAGTGCAAGGATTAGTAACGAAGAATATAGCCTTAATATTCACCAATCAGGATGAGTACTTCCGAGGAACGTACGGAGGGCTACTCTTTGAGAGTTGGTGCCTTGAAGCGGATATGTAGAGTGGTATTTCAAGCTGGCTCATCCTGTGAAAAATTGAGGGGTGTTACTGGCCGCATCGGTGGGCTGTGCTCCAATCCAACCACTGCCATGCGCTGCTTAGAAGCTGTAGAAATCTTTGGGCGTTTATTACTCTCGTTGGAGACGGTAGAACTCAACCCATGCTTCAGAGGAGGTGGCAGCATCGATCCTTCTTCCTTCACCTCGCCCCTCCGGGCCGGCTCTGAAACGAAATATCGGGAAATGTTTTTCGCATCCCATGGGCATGCTTCGCCTCCTTCTTTAGCAAGATCAATCATACGCTTTATGATCTGGATATCAAGAGTTTCACTTTCTCCGAAGACACTGCGAACTCGACGATCGCCAGGGCCGAAGTACGCTGCGCAATCCAGTAGAAAGAGCCAACACTTCTTGTCCTCCCAATATGAGACCTCGAGCTTCCCGTCTTTCTCAAACCCATCAGTGTGATTGGTTTTCTTAGAGATGAATGGACCAACACAGTAAGTGAGGCTTTCGTAGAAATCACTATTGGCAAAGTAGTACTGCCGCTTTTTCTCTTCAAGAGAGACACTCGAACGCCATAATGCGTCACGACTGAGCATCACCACAGCCGCATTCTGAAGTTTAGGACATTCGATCTTGGAAGCAAAGAGCCACATCTCGAAGAAGCGCAAGTCCTTGTCGTAGTTCAGCTTTGCAGTGTAGAGCCACTGAACGAACCAAGTAAGATAGTCCAAGATGTTGCGGTCACCATTGCAGGCGAGATGGTCATCGAGATCCATGAATGACTTCTGGCCACCCAAAAGCTCTTGAATTGATATCTCCCGGCGTTTGTGAACTCCATTGCCAACCAAGGTGGATATCCGGCTTGAGAGTGAACACCCAAGGGCTTCCGGAACTCGCACAGTAACAGGATTGTTGGCTGTGTCTGGGCACTTGATATCAATCGTCAACGAACTACGAAGCCTACAGATATCTTGTTAGCACGAAACTGCTCATCCTGTCAAACTCACAAGTAACGAATGCTACATACCTCTCCATGAAGTCTTTACCGTCCCGGCCGTCAGACAGCAGGCTTGCTGCCATGATTTGCTGGTCGATATCGAGTCTCGATTTCCTAGGATGAGGTTGGTGAGAGTGATGTTGAACTTGATTCCACCAAGACCGGATGGGGCTGGGGGATGGGGATTGGAAGTCAAGCTGAATCTTCGGCTGACCTAAACACTACCTACTCTACTCACAAGGTTGGTGGGAGAACTGCATTACCGTCCAACTGGAAAGGCGCCTTATATAGGTAATAGGTAATAGGTAGCTAGGTATGGATGCAGGAAGGGAAGGCACGACAGGAGAAGGAGCTACAGTATAACTACAGAACTGGAAGCGAGAGCGCCAAGAACACCCGCTTCTCCTGTGGATGAGTTCTCACATGGATGATATTCGAGTCTTATATTCTGTCGTGTGCTGTTGAGAGGAAGCAAGCAAATTGAAGAACTTTTGTCGATGTTGATGAATGTGCCCTCCGGAACGCCTCGCCTCAATCTCCCGTGAAAGGCTAGCCGATATCATGCACTCCTGACCAGAAATCAGCTTCCCTCGATGAACGTCCCCTCTGGTGCCTAGCAATATCTCCAGAGCAGCCTGCGCTCAGAATTTCAGGCTCGGCAGTCACGTACAAGGGAGGAGAAGAAAAATCGCCGTTGTTCATAAAATGAAGTGAAGGTTCGTCCTTGGCAGAATACAGTCTAACTCAGATACAAGCGGATTTTCTTCACGTCTCGCGTTCAACCAGTCCCTCCATAACTCGTTTTACGTAAACTGTTAGCAAGCTCAAAGACAAGCCTCGATCTCCTCATCACTAAAGAAGCGAGCGGTATGGACATGGCTCAAGTTGCTGAGAAGTGCCCATGAGTCGTGCTTTCTGTCTCAATAGGAATATCGTATTCGTGATACTGCATATCATCTTGTATGATTTCAGCAGCAGCTATGCTAGCCTCATCCTAGGAGTACCGAGACTTGTTTTTTCTCGTATCTGTCGTCAGAGCTATCTTCAAAAACAGAGTCGGCGACTGAACCTCGTTCGTAGCCAAGAAAGATTTCATCGACTTGATACTTCTGAAACTCATTGGGTGTCTCGAGAAGTAGGCATTGACAAACGAATTTTGCTTTAAAACTCTCTGGCTTCACAGACGCACATCGAGAAATGACCAGCAAGCGAAGTGAATATGTCGAGAATTGTCACTGCCATGTTGATCCGACCCTGAAACTAGATCTGAAAGGAGTCTTGGGACTAAAGTCCACCAGAGTGCCAAAAGTGATAGTATTATAGGAAATTGTGCAGACCATCTTTAAATCATATCCCTGGACTTTCAGCTTCAGTCATTGGTGAAATCGACATCTATAACTGAGGTAGAAGAGTTGGAATGAACTGTGATTGTCCCAGCGTGGACAGGTAGGCAAATGAACATACCATGAAACCTGAGCTCAGTTCAATCTAGGACCGATGATAAAGTGAACGCCCTTGCAGGGATGACAGATACAGCCGGCAACGCTGAACGTGTGCTTACCACGCCTCTCCCTATCGGTTATAACATCTTTGTTTCGCAAGTCGTCCTCCTCTACGTCTACCTTCTGCCTTTCTAATTGCTTCCTAAACTTCACTAGATCACAATTCCTAGCACCATTCTTGGCATTGCAACTATTAGCGACGAGCTCGAAAACCCCTTCGGCAACGACATCAATAACCTCCCGCTTGATGCGTATTGTGCAGAGCTTAGCCGGGAGCTAGATACGTTAATGAGCACAGATATCGGTGGCTTGGAGGCGTATCTTAAGGAGAGTAAGAGCCTTAATCAGCCGCTGTAGCCTTCGAGTAGTCAGGGCTTTGAGGAGTGGAGGGGGAAGTCGAAGGATGATATTAGGGGGGCGTTGAGGGCGGGAGTTGTTGCCGGAATTGGGAAGGGAGACGTTGGGGATGTGCCTGCTTGAGAGTAGGAAGTAAGTGTGTTAGAGAATACTGTTTGTTTTAGTTTTTTTCAAGGGTGCAGGACAGCAAGCAAGGTGTTATTTACGTACTTAGGTACCTAGGATTTAGCAACAGAAATGACTACGTCTGAAACCCTAACGAGAACAGAAGAAACAAAATGAGTTACACTAATTGCGACAAAGAAATAAGATGCCTACCTTGACTGTTATATAATTCAGTTCAAACGAACAACGCTATCTATAGTATCAACAGTCACCACAAGTCACGCTGCCAGATTGCCGGAGAGATCAGCACTCTTACCAGATGGTCACACTCTTCCAAGGGGTTTAGAAAAATGCGTGGGCAGTGATACCTAGCATTAAAAATCTTGAATACAGACCTCTAATCTCTAAGACCCTTGAGAAATTTTAGAATAGTTCCGTACGTTCAAATAGTAATAAATACGAGCCTCTCTCCTGAGTAGTGCTAGACGAAGGTAAACAAGATTAAGCGAAGGTTCTAGAAATCACACATTAAATACACAGTATATTTAAAACCCAAGCTTTTAGGACTTAATTCTACAAGCCATACCTATTTCTCCACCATCCCTACGTCCTCATACCTTGTTTCGTCACTACGGGTCTGGTTAGTAGCGCTAGCATAAGGCTTACTCGGTAGCTTCCAAGGTAGACTAGCCTAGCTAAGCAAGTTTGGCATCGCACGACGCTAAGCTAATTGAAAGAGACTTGTATGTGCAGCATAGGAAATCAAGTTTGGTAATTCAAAGTTTGTGATAGGCCGTGATTTACTATTACAGTGATGAAACACCTTGCACGATGGTTTCTGGCCCTGCGAGTACTCTCCCCTGAACGTCCGTCTCACTGCATTCCTGAACTGTAGCCTCCTGTCCCTTCATTCCCATCAGCCGGACTGTCTGTGGCTACTGGCTAGTGGGCCATGTCGTCCGGGAAGCTTGAGGTAGCGACCCGAACTAGGTACCTACCCTCGCTACCTTACCTACCATACCTTACGAAGGTTAGGTACCAAAGTTGTGGTACGAGTCACGTGCTGCAGCTGCGCACGAACTAGGTAGGTAGTGAAAATACCTACCTACGCGGAGGTCAGCCCCCCGTTTCGGGAAAAAAAAAGGTTCTCATCATTGCCACTTGGCTCATATCGTAACATCGGTCTTCATGGGGGCTGAGTATGCAGGGATTTTAGCATACCTTTGAAGAGGGAGAGGGACATTGACGAGCATTGATCAGTGATGAAATGCCACGAGATGGGTCACCTCTTGAATGCACGAGCCTTCGAGAGGATGCTTCCGTCCAAGGCCAGTCTGAGATCAAAAAGTTAGCACAGTTCGTACAGCACTGGCGATGCGATGTTACTTACGCTGTGGGGACTTTGCAGCATCGTCAAGGCTGGAAGGTGGAAGCTGTCCGTTGAAGGATATGATTGCATGCCTGCGAATGTCCCGAAAGTCGTTTGCCTTGGCGGAGAAGCTCTGCTGCATGGCTGGAGGTAGTCATCGATTGCTTCTTGTGTGGATGTACTGGAGGTTCGTGGGCCGAGTGGCAAAGGGAACATCTTCATTCTGCATGGAATCAGTTGGCTTGTGTGTAAGGCATTGAATGAGGAGGGCTGAGTACCTTTCATGGAAGCAATGATAAGCATTTGGAAGTTTCCTGCGTGTAGAAGAAAGTGTCGTGCACGGGGAGATGATGTGGTTGTGAGAGGAGAAGCCGACCAGAAGAGCGGGTGTAAAGGCGACGAGAGGTTGCGAATGCTGGGTTGGCTACCTTCGCAACCATTGATGAGCGTTTGGAAATATTCTGCAGACAGAAGATTGTGCTGTGCCAGGGGTGAGGATGTGGTTTAGATGTGCTGTGGATGTGGTCTGGATGTGGTGTGGAGGGGAGAGAAGAGAAAGAAAAGATGGGAAGATGGGAAGATGGGAAGATGGGAAGATGGGAAGATGGGAAGATGGGAAGAAATGTTGAGGGGAAGCGACAGGTATTTAAGCAAGGACTTCGCCTGTCGCTCTCTATTGCAACTGCCTTGCTAATAAATGCGCGTATCATGATTTTTGGTGGATAAGTATGGAAGTCACGAACTGGGTTTCCAATTTCCCTACCTAGGTATCTAGTTGATGATGCACCGTTCTTTCCTAGCAAGAACGGAAAATCAGAGTCACGAGCGAGTATATCTTACGCGGGGGAACGAACTCTCGATTCCCGAATGTTGTTCATGCTTTGTCTTGAAAAATGGTCACGGACTTGGGGTATCGTGATTTCCAACGAACACTTTGTTCGACACAATCTAATTTCCTTCGTCATCTGTTCATAACCTCAAGAGCCGTTTTCTCCCCATCACTTGCCATGAAGTCGGGTCTAGGAAGATGTCCTCGAGAGCACATCGGTATGTTCCCATCTCAAGGTGGAGTGTGCGATTTTCACACTACTTTGCGAGATGCTCATATTTGTCATGTACAGTTGCGAGAGAAAGCTGGAATAGAGAAAGAGCTATCGATCTGTCGAGTGATAAATCACAAGAACCTCTGAGACCGAGCTACAGCCTACCTGATAAAATCGGGTTTCCAGATACACAATAAACGGTTAATCTGTCGAAGAGCTGAGGAAAAGCCGGAACAATTATAATCCCACAGGGTTGAAAATGTAAGATGTAATTATTCTCATGAAAGCCAGATCCCTCCTTCTCACCCTTTGCATAGAAATGTGGGCATGTTCAACGGGTACTCACTTCCTCCTCATCGTGTGGTAACATATTCCGGCCCTATGCCTACTTGAGAGTGGGAACTGGGTGTAGTTAAGACTACTATTTGTTTTGATTTCTTTCAGGGGAGCAGGTAAGTGGGCGAGGGAGGTGTTATATACCTAGATACCTAGGATTTAGATTTGGAAATAGCTGTGTTTAAAAAAACTAAATTAGGACACTAGAAAAAAAGTGAGTTATGCTATATACAACGAAGAAGTAAGAGGTCGATCTTGACTCTTATATAATGGCGTCCAAACGGACAAAGAGAATATACTTTGTGTCCTTCTGATCTCCCTCTCCTCCCTGGACTATTCAACTTTCACTCAATCCAGCTCGTTCTTCACTAACATCTCATAACAAAAACTCTTGGTTATTTTCATTATTTCAACACGTACCGCCTCGAGTAGAAATGTGCAACCAACGTCCCGGCCTCTTCACCCTAGCTGCAGGATCCAGTTACTACTGCGGATCTCCATCAGATGATTTTAGGCTCGGTAACGGGACCATGAAGGCCACTCATTGGGAGTTCTGTACTTTGGGGCAAGAGAAGAGAGAAAGATACATAGTGTATGTGCGATGCGATGAGCCTTCAGAGGAGCTGGAGAGTAGGACGTGGCTGCGGTGTTATGACCCTTCACAAAAGCCCCCAACCTCTCCTTCAACTCCTCAACGTCATCCTCCAGCTCCCCCTCTACGAAAACACCTCCCGGCGTCTTCGGCGGTATAAGTATAGAAGTCAAATCCAGAAGAACACTATCCTTCGCAACACTATCCTGCACAGTGACACTCGTATATCCGTTAATCCTGATACTAATGAAACCACCCGATCGTGCGATATCGATACTCAAACTCTTGTCTTTAAGCAGGGTCGGGAGATCGACGTGGAAATTTCCCTTAAGTATACCCTCGCCAACTTCCTCCTCAGAGTTGTCATCCGGGCCAGAACCAGAGCTCTTCTCCTTATACAACGCATCCGAGTACAGCGTCTGATTAGTAATAATGTAATACTCCAAAAGCGCCTTTAAATACTTCTCCCTATACTTCGAGATAAGGAAAGCATTAATCCTTGTCCTTAGCTTCTGGAACGCCCAATTCAAAGGCGCGAAGATCGTTCCGCCTGTATAAGGGGCTTCGGCAAGTTTTTCGCCCAGCCAGGTTTTGAGGAGGGCGAGCTGCAGGGTAGAGAATTCGATAGAGAGGATGGATATAGTTTTTGATACGGGGGGTGGGGGGAGGATAAGGGAGTCTACGCCGCGGATTACGCCGTTTGTGGCGTACTAAATGGTGTCAGTTTTAGTAAGTGATTCGTGGAGGGGAGAGGGACGTACGATGTTCACGGCTATAATGCAGGAGTAAAAATTGACGTTGAAGCCATTCAAACCCAGTCCAAGACGTAGTCTTTGCGGGTTTCCGCCGAGGGAGTCCTCGCCGAGTGCGGTTGGGATTGTGTGCGATACTAAGACTCTGCCTGCGTCGTATAATTCCGGTGAGACGTGGTAGGCGAGGATATTCTTAATAATCTCTTTAGATAGCTTCTAATGGTGCTTAGGGATCCTTTCGAATGCTGCGTGGGTAACAGCGAAGACTGTGTAGTTTGCCGCAGTGCCGTTTAGGGTCTTAACCAAGTCTAAGTATTCGTTGATAAGGGCTACCAGTTTAGGGGTGTATTTACTGCATCAGAACTTTAGTACGTGGATTTGTCCAATGTCTTGGGATTCCGGGATTGGGAACAAAGAATCCGATCCCAGAATCCCAGATCCTGGAGTCTTGCAGGGCGGAAAGTACTGACCTGTTTGCAATCATTGAACAGACCGTTTGGTTTGGTGGGCCGTGTCCGTGGTGAGGGGGCCGTGGTGAGGCAGCTTGCGGTGAGGGTGGTCGAATATATCGGTATCTTCGATAGTTGATACGGCAGAGTCTAACCAAGCTTGACCGTCGAATTTCATCATCGAGTAGTAGCATTCAAAGATCGACTTTGCCTTTTCGGCAGCGTCCGAAGCGGCATTGAGGGTATTGTCGATGGTATTCTCGGAGAATGCAACGGTGTCTTTAAATATCTTTTTGGCATCGGACCGGATGGCATCGATGTTACCAGAGATTCTGTCGAGGAAGGACTATAGTTCCTTCTTAGACTCAATAATAATCTGGTGCGGTAGAAAAGTAGTAGCAAACTTCATGTTGATGATTAATAAAGTGGTTAAAAAAACGGGAAGAAGAGAAGAACTGGCTTTTTAGGTGTGTGGATTTATAGTGTGCTGATTTTGAGGATCAGCTGGAGCGGAAGCAGGAGATTGAGGGGGATAAGGGGGGGGGGAGGGGGGATGTTGTGAGGCCATTTTGCTGCAAGTATGTGTGGTCTTTTGCTCCGTACTTGAGTCCGTAGCATGAGACTTGGGGTAATATTACAAGCTATGATGGCTTGAAAGGAGATACGTCTGACGGACTTGCGACTATTGAGATGATGTGAGAAACGTTCCTATGGTTGAAAAATTTCATGACTCAATGTACAAATCTTTATAAAATAAAGACGGCAAGGAAGTAAACAACAAAATTGGGATAGTCTTGTATCTAGGCGAGATCGAGTGAGTCAAGCAGCTGAGAACTAAGCCGTGCTTACTTTGGAGGTTTCAATACAGACGGGAGAGTGAGAATGGCCCACAGAGTACAGGGGTAGGCAGTAAGGTCTCAAATGAATTGAAATAAGCAATCTGTAAAATCCTTGTTGCTTTTGTTTACTTACTTCTGTAAGTTGAGAAAGGGGGAGGATAGAGCAGGTCTAATCCAGCTGACCGAGCTCTTTCGCCGAGGTTAAATTTCTCCTTGAAGATTCAGCTGTGAGACTTCACATCTGAACAATTGTTGCGTTCACGTCTGCCACAAACATTTTCGAACTCTAGAGCAGCTTCAATTATCCAGGCTCTTAATTGCTGAGGTTTTATTGCTCTGCCGAGTATTCTCAACAACCCTGATCTCGCCGTCGCCCAGAGAAAGCAGCGAAGGAGCTCAACCTCACGTCCTCCCATCAACCTTCTACAACTGCACCATGATCACTCAATTACCTATACGCTCCTCTGCGCGTTGTGCGCAATCTGCGATACGAGCAGCGATACCACGGCCTACCCAGCGATGTCTACATACCCTCAATAGCCATATATGGAGACCCTCTCTCCAACATCACCGACAATACTCGACACCTCCTCCTCCCCCACGAGACCTACGCTCCCAATTCGAACCCTCCTCATCCGAACTCCCTAGAGCAGCCCCTTCAACAATCAAACCCAAAGCAAAACGCTCTCTCCGCCCCTATGTCTACGCAACACTCTTCCTCCTCCTCGGCCTAACATCCGGCTAATACACACGACTAATCCTCGCACTACCTCCCCTCTCCCCAGCCGGCTCTAAAGAAGACGACCTAATGGTCACCTACCTCAGATCCCAAGCCTCCAAACTCCCACTCGTACAATCCCTCTCCACAGACCCAGCCTGGATATCACACCCCGCGTACACTAGGTTCCCCGAATCCGAACGCTCCGCGCGCCTCACCATTAGGCTATTAGGCGGCGCTCGCGTACTAGGAGGCTATCAGCGCGTCTTCTAAAACGTAGAGACAAGTGAGATATTTATCGTCGTTCGGTTCGGGGGCGCGATTGCTAGATAGCCGAGCGTTTCGTATAGTGGTGTTATCACGACAGTTATTGATAAAAGTCTAGGAAGGTGTGCGGTTACGCAGCTCTTGAGTAGGACAGGGGTTACGGCGAATTTAGAATTTAATTATTTGAAGCCAGTTGTGACGAATAGTTTCCATATTATTGTATCTAATGAGATATTTGTGCTTAATGCTTGTTTTGGCTGCTTAGCAAGTGCCGCGGCTGGCCGGCGATTTTTGACATCCTGTCAGGTTTCACTTCGGACTTGGGATTTTGACATGGGGAACCAAACTACTATCTCTTAACGAAACCTCTGACTCAGTTCCAAGCCGTACAGTGATATTTCTTCCTTGGATTCATTGTTGACATCCTTCGTCAATGTTCATGATCTTCACAACACAATGTACGAGGCGCTGGATAGTGTACAAAACGGACTCGACTCTATCATCAAGATGTGAGATCCAATGCTTCTTCTACATTCCAAATACCCCTCAAACTAAAAATATAGTGCCTGGTTTTGTTTCTGCTTCCTTGGAGGAATCGTTCAACATGCTGTACTTGACTATCGGGTGCAAGAGGAAGTCGCCGATTGAGGTGGCAGGCTAGTCTGCGACAAACAAGTCTTTAGTATCGTATCTTCTGAGATGGTGATATAATATTTTGTCTTAGAAGTATAGAATAGCTAATTTTGTCGTATGTGGTAAGATGAAATTTCCGGTAGTGTGCTGTACGTCAATATATCGTAGGCTTAACACACTGAATTTGATATTATAGCGTGCCGCAAACAGCCATTTCCTTTTTCACCTGATAGCTTGAGTCTCTCGTCAACGCAATAAAGAAGTGGGGCGTTACCAAAACCGATACCGCACTCTCTTCGGTCTCTGGCTACATTTCCACTGGCAAGAATAACAATTACATTAATTTTAACACAAAAGCCAAGGACCTGGATCTAATCAATACTGGCCTGTTGCCATTCGATTATGGGCTGCGTACACCACATGATGTCGGAATTCCTGTGTGTTCGAGGGATGTTTTAACCAAGCATCTGCTAAATAACAAGGAGTGTGATTAGTATCCTTGCTGTGTCTAAGACAATCCGAACAACGAGTAAGTTCACAGCGAGTAACTTAAATGGTGCATGACAACAAATTGGAAGTTGTGGACTACACAAAGAGAATGTGGAATGACCCGCGGTCATGACAAAAACCACTCCAGATTTCCAGACAATCTGGTCGAGTTCAAATCCAATGATTGCCATCTATGCTAGGGCTCGTCATCAGGACATAATTGTCAGACTTTCACAGCGTCGCGGCTGCAAAGGCACAGCGACCATGACTTCCAACGCTGACCAATATGTGCAAGGTCAAAACCAAAACAAACAAATTAGCGATTCGCTTAAATCAGCCCACCCAATTAGGGAACAACGGTAGGGGACCAGGGGACCTACCCCGCACTAAAATTGCTTGGACCCTTCTAATGGACAGGGGCCCAACAGGGCCTATGGTGGGAGACTCGGGAGAGTACATGCAAGACCAACAGCGATCTTCCAAGCTTTGCTGTTTCCTTTGCTCTATCCATTTATCCATCATGCATGCAAGCACCGTGCTCCACCCATATTGTGTTTATGCTCACCCCTCGTTCACCCCCCAATCGACATGGGAGCCAACTAGCCCCAATCAGAGTGGCCTGGACTAAAGATATCCTGTTTTTGAACGTCGTCCGGTCATGCCATCGCATGTGCAAATAAATATCATTATTGGACGTCGCGAACCGATGAGCGAGGAGTGAGGTTGCTCTTAGTCAAGAATAGGTGATTTGCCGCATGATACGGCTTGCCACACTAGGATAGGAATTGTATGTATAAGAGGCTTGCTTACCCCGCGAACTCAGGAACACAACGTTCTGTAAACAGACCGACAAACACGCGAGCAAAAATTGTATAGAGTAAGTGAGCTGCTCTTTCATTACCCTTGACTTTTTGTTTGTTCTTTACAGATTGCTGGTGTTTGACTTGATTTATAAGTGTAGGAATACTAACATGGCGTGTTGTGGAAAGTCTGCATATTTCTCGACATTCCACAAAATCTCGAGAACGAACATCTCCAATCCGATACTCAGAATAAGCACGATAACCACCCTTGATACAGTCAACGATAACAACATATACCAAATCTATTGACAGCACAATATGACAACTCCAAAAGACACCAAACCTCTCCCCATCCAGACTGCCACTAGCTCCTCGAACTACGCCCACGCCCAGGAGACCAAATCCGCTACATCCTCCGGCTCACCTACGTCAGCTGGCAGCCACACAGCGAAGATGCCCGACGGCCGACGGAACTCCCAAGGCGAGATCCTTGGAAGTCCTGTGGAGGCCTGGAAGCCGAATTTCAAGAGGGTGCAGAGCTGGAGTAGGGAGGAGTATAAGAGGGCTGCGTATCAGAACGAGATGGTTGAGGAGCCAGGACAGGGAACGGGTTTTACAGAGGGCGGAGAGGGATCCAGACGGGTTTAGACTGGGGTCGTGTGATGATTGTACGGGCCTTGACTTGTCGAGAACCAGTCTTGTTGGCCTGCAATTCTGCAATTCGGAAACAAATGGTTCTGGCGTTTTTGCATCATGGTACGAAAGTCTGAGGTTGGCATGTTTGCAGCAAAAACAAAAAGTGCATGAACAAGGAGATTTGGGATTGGGTGGAGCTTGGACACGGACTTACTTGGCAGAGAACTTGGCCAACAATATATATGAGCGTACACAATGGCATCTTGCATTTTACGATAATGACAGCCATTTGCAATTGAGATCGCTACTTCCAGGTGCTGATGGACGAGCAAGTCTGTTGAGTGCGAAGAATGAATGATCGTAGGAATGAGCGTGAGAGGAGCTGTATGTGGTGGAGATAATGCTATATTGGAGAATAATTAAAGAAGCTCAGAGGATCAAACAACTCTTCTTACCCACAATGTACTTAAAATCGCAGAGGGCCTCAGTAACTGTCAGTATTTTCTTTCATTCTTTCCATGGCCAGGTCGATATCATGAGATGGAATCAAAACCTGGGCAGCCACAACAGACGAGGCTGAGAGGGTTGCTCCTACCATGTCTTATCGATAGGATAATACTATGGCCGAGGATGATAATCCGAACACACAACCAATGGCACTGCGAGATCAGGATGTCTCTCGGCCGTGGCTGGACCAAGCTTTGGGATTGCCGGCCAGCTGGACCTGGACCGGGACCTGGTCCCAAACTTCATCTTCAGCTTCATCTTACAGACGACAGCCACGGCGCCGACGAAGAAAGCGACGAGGAAATCGAGGACGAGGACGAGGACAAGGACGAGGACGAGAGCGAATGTACCCCTCCACCACATCAGGGCACCTCTCGAGCCAATACCAAACCTCCTACTGAGAAGTCATCCCCAAAACACCCTCAAGCACACCTGATCGGTCCCTACTCACGACCAGTCGCTATGGCTCCAGCAGTCGCTGTACCGAATCCCACGGGTCCGCCTCCCTCCTTCATCAATGTATCACAAGTATACCTCTTCCAGCAACAGCTGCAGAACCAAATGATTATGACAGGGACGAATCCCACTCGAGAGGATAACTTCAGACTACAGGGTGTGCAGTGGATCAACGAAGTCCGAACAGCCTTGCAATTGTAAGACTTTCCTCCGGCGCAGATGAATGATACTGAAGGCTAATGATAAAAGACCTGTCCGCACATTTTGCACTGCTGCTCACTACTACCACAAATTTCGCCTCTCACACAAAGATAACGAATATCAGTTCCAGGATGCCGCCGCTGCAGCACTGTTGACGGCTTGCAAAATTGAGGATACGCTGAAGAAGTCAAAGGAGATATTATGCGCGGCGCATAACCTGAAGGTTTCTCCTGCAGATAATTTGAGCCCAGACGATGCCGTAAGTGACCCATCAGAAGGTTGATTACAGGAGCTAAAAATATCATAGACCTTTGACCAACCTTCAAAGATCATCATCGGTCTGGAACGTCTCATGCTCGAGTCGTCAGATTTCGACTTCCGCGTTCGATACCCACATGTTCATCTATTCAAGCTTGCGAACGAGGCTGGTATCGAGAAGGACCTTACGAGAGTGGCGTACAACATGATGATCGATCTTTACCGGACTTTTGCGCCCTTGAAGCAGACGTGTTCGACGATGGCCTTTGCCTGCATTGAGCTCGCGACTTTACTTCTTCATAAGCAGCAAACTGCTATCCGTGGCGAGCGATCTCCTAAATACCGCAAGTGGCATACGTCGAGAAACGAGATCTTGGAAACTGTCCTCGACTTACTTGACCTCTATATCCATTGGCCAAAGCAATCGCTTGTCGGCGCTCATTACAATGTGGAGCAGTTTATTCAACTTCGTATCACTATCAACAAGGAGATGGAAGAATCCTCTCTAAAGCGCTATACCGAACAACATGAGATCCGACGTGTCAACGGCTTGCGACCTAATATTAAGACTCCCAAAACTCCAGCTACCCCCGCTAGCCCTACAGATGTGCGTACTACTGGCCGAGACGTGAATTCACCGGCAACGCTGAGCCCTCGTTCGTCTGGATCTGGTAGACGCGGTATCGGTGGGAGGGGTCAAGATGGCACGGTTCGTTTCATGCTTGACTCAGACCAGGCAAAGAGAGAGAAGGACACTACGGCCGAGTACTTCAAAGTCGAGTACGAGGAGTATGAGATCGAAGTTGAGGAACCGATTGAGCCGAAGAAGGAGGAGAGGGGACCGTCGGGGCCAAGACATGATCATCCGAGAAACAATGGGTTTGGAAGAGGCGGTGGGTTTGATAGGGGTGGTGGATTTGATAGAGGGGGCTATTATCACAATAAGCGGGCAAGGAGGTAGATGCACGGGAAAATTATGTTGTTTATAGTATAGAGTACTGCTGGGTGACATGGAGTTTAACGGATGATACCAAAATGGAACATTTGATTATAAGTACCTGGTGGTACTACTCGGATGAGACAGCGCAGGAGTATGATAGGTACGCTGCTCTCCCGTTCGGCAAGTCGCCCTGTGCCAGGAATGCCATGCAACGCTTGCTCACTGACCCTGTTTCCTCGTTCTGATACGGAAGTGCCCTGAGACCTGCACCTCATAGAGTCATGGACCCATGGTGCTCCATTAGCTGGGGATCTTGCCAGTTGCCTACTTTGCCTGTATATCAGGTATTCTAGAGCCTGGTAGCCTCAGGACATAGGTGGAAGTCCATTCTTGAGCCTGCAGAATCCTTCATTTTGCTTCCAGATCATGAACCTGATCTCTGGCAATTTGATCAGTTCCTTTGGTCCCCTGCTCTACTCGCTAGCATGTGAAGATCATTATTTTAAAAGGACGGCTGGCTGCGAGGGAGCGAGTTGACGCTGATGGGATATGGTCTGAGGCAATTGGAAGCTACGCTGCAGCCACAACGACACAAACTATGACGAAGGGGCGATGCAATGTGGCTTTCAAACTGCCGAATCAAGGCAGCACAGTTGACTCTGGCGGGATGTGGTATTTATGACTTTACCATTCCGATTCCTTTATTATTATTATTACTCTCTTCTCTGTGCCTTGTATTCACAATAGCTAACTTAACTATTCACCAACTCAATACCCAACCTATCCACTCTACTTGATCGATTGTTGAAATTTGTCTGCAAAGCGTAAGTCGCTTGCTATTCAAGAACGGTACATGCGGTCATATCACTCGAGCCGCTTCATTCTGTGACGTTTTTGCAGGGATTCAGCTAACCCGCCCTTCGGTCTGTGCAGCGCAGCGCAGCTCAGCCCAGCCATCCCATCTCCATAGCTTCCCACTTCACACCCACCAACTTTCTCTTCGCACACGACACCTCCTTGAAATCAAGAGCCACGTCGATTTCTTCTCAAGACACCGCGACAAAAACGCTTCGAAGACTATTCTCCTGCAGATCCTCCATTCAATACTCAGCAATGGCGCCCCCACCTTCCGCTTCGCTGCCACTGCAGCAAAGACTGATTCAACTCGCGCAGACTCTCCAGTGTAAGTTCGCATGTCTCGGGGTCTGACCTGACCTCTCTCATGCTGTGCATATGCTGATACTCTTCTCTGCAGTTGCTTGGTTTGTTGGGTACGTTATCTCCTTGCATATCTGCCTCGACCAGCAGCGTGTCGTATTCGAGAGGGGGCTTGAGCAAACATACATTTCTGAAGCGGTGTCCTGTTCCAAGCTCCACCATGGCCTTCAGCCTTCTTGACCAACGCCCACCCCCAACATCCCACCGCAACCAAACAGACACACTAGTCACAGAGAATGCGCAGGAAGCTGGCTAATATTTTGCAAACAGACATTTGACGCTCCTCTTCTGCATCGCCAGATATGGCCTGTCCTACATCACCTTCAACTTCGCTTCAAGATGGGCTAGGTTCTCCTACCGCACTGCATTCGTCTCGGCCGCTGTGACGTATGGAATCGTAGTCTACAAGGCTTTTCGTGCTCGCTCAAGAGGTGGAGCAAAGGCTCAAGCCGGCCCTTTGGCTCTGGCTTCTGATGAGAACGTCCAATATTTAGGTAGGTGTATATCTTCAACCAGGTGCACAATGGCAACTTTCTGACTTGGGAAATACAGCTATGGCACTGGTTTGGCTCTTCTCGCCTCAATACCCGCTCGCCATGCTCCCCTTCGGGATCTACTCCATTTTCCACGTCGCAACCTACACGCGCACAAATCTGATCCCCACTCTCCAGCCAGCGCAGAGCGTTGCCCCCGCAGCAGGAGCATCCCCTTCCGCCAAGGCCACGACAAAGCCAAACGCAACCGCCGACACTATTGGCAAGTTCGTCAAGGAATACTATGATGCTTCCATGGGCCTCGTTGCTCTCCTCGAGATCCTTCTTTGGGTCCGTATCTTGTTCTCCGCCATCCTCTTCACTAAGGGCTCCTGGATTCTCATCGCTATCTACACTGCTTTCCTCCGTGCTCGCTTTGCCCAGAGTAGCTTCGTGCAAGGCCAGTTCAAGCAGATCGAGGCTAGAGTCGATAGCTTGGTCGGTGCCCAGTCCACCCCTCCTGTCGCTAGACAGATCTGGGATACTGTCAAGACTGGATCCAGAACCTTCCATGATGCTACCGATGTTGGAAAGTACGTTGGTGGTGCCCCAGCACAGAAGAAGGCTTCTTAAAAAGTCATCACGCGCTCCATGTACGACTACAGCTTGAGCTGGCAACTAGATCCGCATGTGCGTGGTGGAGCCTATGCAGATATGGTCTTCTTCATAGATCAATGAGAGGATGAATCGTTTGGCAACAATCATGGAACATGAAAGAAAAGTTTCGCAATGGTACTTTGAGGAATAGTATTGGGGACCGGGTTAGGATTGGGGTCTTTGACATGTGTCGCATCATTGCGGTCCTGGTTTTGGCGCCTCTCCTCTCCGCTCTTCCTCTTTTCACTGGTCGATAAATGGGTTTTTTTGTTTAATGCGATCGAGGGATTCATTTGGTGGGGTTGATGGCGGGGCTGGTTTGATTTTACATGGTTCCGCTGGTTCATGATAAGCATAAGGGAGAGAAACGATGGACGGAAAGGAAAGCAAAGAGTGCTGTGGATGGGTGGATGGATGCATTCGTAGTTGTGTTTGTGGCAGCTATATTTCGCTTTCTCATATACCTTGACTTCTCGAATGCTGGTGATAAGTGATGGTGGTAATGATTGGAGTGTAAGCTGGCTAGCTGTGGAAGTTGCTTCATTGATACAAAGTTGCTTTCAACAAATTCGCTTGACTCGCACTGAAATGGCTTCTCGTGTAAGAGACTCGCAAGAAAATGCTGGCAAGCTTTGCCTCCTTTCCGTTTTGCAGTCTTCTCTTTTTGCTACCCCTTGAGCCAATTTCCGACCTCAGTTGGATGTTTCCTGCGCTGATGCTTTACAGAAATTAATTCTGTCAACAGGTCAACGATGACGAAAGAATACCAGTGATTTATTCAGTCCTTAGTATAGTCTTGGTATCCCATCTCTGTCTCTCGAGGATCATGGCCTCCAGGCTGGTGCTGTTAAGTACCTCGTGTAAGGAGGGGATAGTGGAGTCCGGCACCGGATACAGATTATACTTTGACACGCACTGAGAGGGTTTCTGAAGAATCGAAGTGAGAAATAGACAGACTGTGATTTACTGATTTTGCAATAAGATCTTTCTTGCTAGGGATTTATCACCATCTGGGCAACTGTCAACATCAATGGGCCTTGTCAGAAAGTGCTGACAGGGAAGCCTTACATCTAGCCCAGAAGTGGTCTAGCGCTAGATCGGACTTTAGATTACCGACATCCCAAAAAAATTCCATTATCGCGAAATTTCCAGATAACTGTCCCTCACCAACTTCCCTCAATTGCAGTCCAAATCACCAGATCAATTCACCGATCTGCCATTCTATCATTCCAGCTGACAATTTATTCTATCATTTGGACTTCACAAGATGGCTGCTACATCTACTGCGCTGACCACTAAGGTGGAAAGCGGATCGCCATACCAGCTTGATTCTGCACAGGTGAGCAAGCTCCTCCAACAGACTAAATTCCACAAAAGTCCGGCGCACATAGGCTGAAATATTCTTACAGACACTCAAAGCTTCCAAAGCTCTTCTAGCGCACATCAAAACCAGCGAGAAAGCCACTACTACTGCCTCCGGCAAACAAAGTCTCATCAAAGATGATGCTTCTGACGAAGCAGACGAAGCAGACGACGAATCGACACCCATCTGGCTAACTCTCACTACCAAAACGCACATAATAACACAAAAGAAATTCAAGCCGCTGCGCCTCTCCGTCCCCCACGCCCTCAACACCTCCTCCAACACAACCATCTGCCTCATAACCGCGGACCCTCAACGCACCTATAAAGACCTGCTACAAGACCCTACCTTTCCCCCAGACCTCGCAGCTCGCATCACGAAAGTGGTCGGTGTCAGCAAGCTGAAGAAGAAATACAACCAGTACGAAGCGCAGCGCAAGCTATACGCCGAACACGATATTTTCCTCGCCGATGACAGGATCATCACGCAATTGACCAAGCTCTTGGGCAAGACATTCTACAAGGGCACGACGAAAAGGCCTATTCCCGTGGGTATTGCAGAGCCGGCACCGAAAGAGAATGGCAAGCGCGTGAAGAGTTCTGGTCTTGGAGACGGTGAGCGGAAGGGTGAAGGCAAGACGGGAGGACGTGGTGCGGGGAGTGCGAAGGCTGTAGCTGCGGAGATTGAGAAGGCTCTTTCTTCGGCGGTTGTTAGCTTGACGCCTTCTACACAAACGGCTGTTAGAGTGGGCTACTCGAGTTGGAGTGCTGAGAAAGTTGCTGCGAATATAGAGGCTGTTGCATCAGGGCTGATTGAGAACCATGTACCCAAGAAATGGAGAGGCGTGAGATCCATTCTCGTAAAGGGTCCTCAAACAGCAGCACTTCCCATCTGGCTCGCTGACGAGCTGTGGGTTGACGAGAAAGCTGTGCTTGGTGAGGAGGAAGCGAGCAAGATCACCGCGCAGGCGAATATCGGAAAGAAGAGGAAGAGCGGGGTTTTGGACGGTGTGGATGCTGCTATTGAAGCTGGTGAGAAAGCTGAGGGCAAGAAGAGCAAGAAGCAGAAGGTTGCTGCGGAGACAAAGACGAAGGTGTTGAAGGAGAGTAATGATGATAATCTGGACAAGGAGATTAAGATGCGTAAAGAGAAGCTGAAGAGGCAGAAGGAGGAGGCGGCCAGTGAGGCGGGTGCGGATGACATGCCGAAACCCAGTAAGAGAGCGAAGAAGACCACGGCTTATACTGCTTAGGCGAGAAAAGGAGGCTATTACTTCTGCTTCATCTTACTAGATTAAAAGCTAGACAAGCATGGCTCGGCGTATGAGGCGTATGGGAAGGCGGTCAAAATCACACTTGGGATGCGTGCTTTTTGCGATGTAGCTGTGAATGGATGGATGCTACGTGTAGGGAAGGGATAGGAAATCAAATATTGTATTCTCACTTTAGGGTTGCTCTCAAGTCCATTCAAGTGATTCTCATAGCTCAACATTCTGCTTTCCTTCCTTTTGGAAGCATGTTCTTCCACTTGCTTGCTGAGTAATGTTGACTTTCAAGACCTGAATTGTCTCCACCCAAACGCCATGTCCAGATCCAACCTTTTTGATACAAGATACATTTCTCATTCATCAGTAATTACAACTCCAGCTGCCACTCCTCTTCCCCAATATCCACAGCTTCATCAACCTCATCAAAGCTCCTCCCAAGTCTCCCATAATTTTCCTTGAATGTCTTTCTCAAAATCTTACTACTCAACTGCATATGGCCCCCTTCCGTCTTCTCAAATTTCAACGCACCCTTCTTATCCAAACCTTTCAAGCCGATCCAATCCTCTTTATATATAGTCCTATCCCTCAACTCCGTAACCTTCCCGTCCTCATCCACATCCGCAAACCAACTACTCTCCTTCGGTACAACTGTTTCATCATCGTCAAACAGCACCATGGTAAACCTCTCTAGCTTTTCCAAATTCGCTTTGTAACTAGCGTTTTTGAGAAGACGCTCGTTGTTGATGTCGGCAAGAAAATTGGAGAATTCCAGGTAGGACTCAAGTTGGGCAGGGTCGCGGAAGTATTGCGCGGGTACCAGGCGGGATTGTACGAAGGAGGACCAGGTGTTGGAGCGGAGGAGGCCTTGTGCGCCTTTGCAGACCCAGTCTCCTGAACTACAAGTCTGGAATTCGGAGATGCCGTTGTGTTGCGAGCCGAATGTTACAAGGGAGCGTACTGGCGGGATGTTGCACCGTTCAATATACCCTCTTAAGAACTGTCCGCCCTGAGAGAAGCCTAGAGCGTCAACAGCGGGTGCGGTGGATAAAATGGGATGGGCTGCTAGGTCGGCGCAGACTTGTTCGATTTGGAGAGTTAGGTTGCCGAAGAATGTTGCCGTGCGGTCGGAAGAAGCGTCTTCGTCGAGACGGATTATATATGTGAATGTACCAGGGTGAATCTTTTCTGCGAGGGAGGCGACGTCTGCAAGACCATCTGCTGCGTAGTTGTCGCCTAGGCCGTGCCAGATTATGAGGGGAAGGGGATTGTCATCATCGTCTGACGTAGAGCTGGTGATGGAGGGGTTTGGTGGCGGGAGGGTTTGAGAGCGTAGGATTGCGGCGTAAAGGAGTGGAGTCGCAGAGAGAAGGGCCAGGAGGTTTGTGAGGATTGCCATAATGGCGTGGATTTGAATCCGATGAAATGCTGGAGAGTCAAGCTAATTCGAAGTGAGCTTTCGTGTTGTTGATGCAGAGGAGGAGAAGCTCCAAGGCTCGATAACGATAAGTCACTCTACAGTAGCGCCTCGGCTCCGATGTATGGACCAGGCTAGGACAACATAACGTACCCTGACGAGCCTTACCTCGCCTACCCAGCCAGCCAGCTACCTTCTTGGAAAAATCCATGGGTGCATTATTGGTATCACAATCTTCTTCGTTGATGCCGGCAAAATCATAAGGTCCACAAACCTTTCTGTCCTAACTTTCAATTACAGCTGGCTTTTTCATGGCCATACACTACGGTGGCAACAGCTCCATTGGCATGGAAAGACTCTCCATTAGCATGGAAAGAATCTCCATCCCTATGGAGATTATTCCATAACTATGGATTTTCTTTTTATACCTATAGATAATTTCTATCCTTATGGAGAGTCTTTCCATACCTATGGAACCTACTTTCTCTGTCAAAGCGTGTTTCATACTCAAACTTTAATCCTTCCATATGATCCCCCTCCCCTTCCCCCCCCCCCCCCCCCCCCCCCCCGCCCTCTTTTCTTTCTCTCTTTACCTCTCTCCACGGTAGGTCTCTCTCTACAGTAAGTCTCTCCAATCTCTCCACGGTAGGTCTTACAGTAGGTCTCTCTATAGTAGGTCTCTCTACAGTAGGTCTCTCCAATCTCTCCACAGTCACAGTAGGTCTCTCCACAGTAGGTCTCTCTAATCTCTCCACGGTAAGTCTCACGGTAAGTCTCTCTATAGTAGGTCTCATAGTAGGTAAGGAGGTAAGGAGGCAGGAAAGTGGGAAGTTAAGGTAAAAAGGTAGGGAAGTAGAGAGTAGGAAACTTTAAATATTATCTATAGAACTAAATATATAAAAATAGAGGAAAATCCATAATTATAGATTTATAGATATTTCTATGTTTTATTTTATATGGCATGAAATCCATAATCATGGAAATATTCTCTATAATTGTAAGTAACGACTCTCTATTCCTATAGAAAGATTTTCCATAAAATACCTCTATATTTATAGAGAATATTTCCATTGGAATGGAGAGCCGTTGCCACCGTAGTGATAGCACCTTGAGATCCTTGTCTCGTGTGTCCCTTGTGGTTGAGCTCAGCCTTGGTCGTGGCTTGATTATGATTGCCTGTCCGCTGACATGCGGGCCAGGTGGAAGAAGGTATACCTTGAGGGAGCGGTCTTGGTGATCCTAAGCTGGAGATGTTTACTGGCTTCAAAGATATTCCGCCTCATGCTATTCTTTCGCATATATGGGGCTATGATAAGGATGAATTCTCCTTCAGGGCAATGGCCCAGGGCGTTAAATCATCGCCGATTGCAGACAAGGAAGGATTTAAGAAGATCAGGATGACTTGCACTTTATCCCAGACAGAACACGATCTGGATTATGCTTGGGTCGGTACCTGCTGCATTGAAGATTCCAGCAGTGGAGAGCTGAGTGAAGCAATCAATCCCATGTTCAAGTAGTAACAAGAAGCACATGTATGCTTTTCCTTTCTTGCCGACCTGGAGGAAGACGGTGAGACTCTGGCAGGCTATAGATGGGTTGGCCGAGCGTGGGCCTTACAAGAGCCCATCGCGCCTAAGCCAATGCAGTCTTTCGAGGGAATTGGGCATGTCGTGAGCCTGTGTTGTGAGATTGTACAGATTAGTGGCGTCAGCGAGGATATGTTGACAGGCCGCAGGAGCCTTCCGAAAGTAGCAGTTGCTGTATATATCTCATGGGCATGCCTCCGAAAAGCAACTAGGGAAGAAAACATAACATACTGTTGGCTTGGAATATTCGACGTCAACATGGCAATGCTTTACGGAGAAGACTCTCAAGCCTTCGTTCGATTACAGTTGAATATCATCAAAGGGAGTTCAGCCATGTCTATCTTTGCGTGGACACCTTTTGAAGACGATCTTCCCGAGTACAGTGGCTTACTAGCAAGGCCTCCTGTGCATTTTCAAAAATCCGGGGCTTTATTCGTCTTTGAAAACACAGCGCATAGTTCCAATGAAATCTTGGCTACCAATCAAAGAATACATCTCATGTACTCAACAATGTATTCTTACGGATCTGGCGATCATATTATTTCACTTTACCATCAAGACTTATTGATGCAATTTTCGCTTAGCTCTCTCAGAGTCTCCAATTTTTCAAATTCCACGAGGATCATGCTCCGTCCAGTTGGACCGAATTCTCTTCGTACGAGCATGCCCTCGGATTCTTTACAATCATGACGCAGTGAACACTAGTGTTCCCGTCATAGCGTCCGTACATACTGCCAGGATGCTGTCCAAACAACAAGCCGTGTCTATGAGCAGACGGCTAATATGTATCCGCGATCCGAGAAATCTCGTAGATTCATCTGTTTTCCAACTGTCAGCCGCCAGCCACTTGGCTGCTGGAATCCCCAGGAACAGAGGTTCTGTGCAGGATACGCAGGAAGTTTCTTAGAACTCTTGAAGTTGTACTTGTTCTGGGAGCATTTGCTCTTGAGATTTGTTCTCATCTGTCCCTTTGACAGCTCCAGAGCCAGATAGCCGTGGTGCTTTACCTTGGTGCTTTGTCCTGGTGGTCGGCTCAAGTTGGCAAAACGACATGCTCGCTGATCAGAGAAGAAACACTTCCTATGATCAATCGTTCTTTCAATACAGAGGGAGATGACCCATTCCCTAGGAAGGATCATCGGAACTTTTGTAACCCGAATTATACTATTACCAGTAGCTGCGGAACCAGTAGATGATAGATTTCCCGAGTATCAGTCATTTTACATACATCTTGGACGAATAGGTGAAGTTTTAATGGTAGAGATGAATCTACTTAGTCATTGTTGAGATGTTCAGTCTGAAGCAAGCAGTGCTTCATAGCCTTCCAAAAGAGCTCTGACCGAGCCGCGAGCTCACGCTTCAGGTTCATCTGGTCCAATTTGCCATAAAACACACGCTTGAAGATCAAAGTGCAACAATCATGATATCTTTAATCGCTTGGTTTATGCGCTCTACACATTGGATCTTCGATCGATTTTTTGTTCAGGAATAACTTGCTTACTTCGCATGTATCGACAGTTGGAAACTTTAAAAATCATTGTTCTAAACGGCTCAGAGGATTTGAAATAACAATTGGCAGTTAGGGAGTCCTGACTACGGCTTGAAAGGTACTTTTGAGCTCTTGGTCACAGTAGCTGAGCTCGCCTGAAAGTGCGCTCGTCTGATGTGTTAAAAACAGCTCAGAAGCCACAAACTCCAGTTGCGTTTATACAACAGTAAAGGTTCGCGACAATACAGCTCCGATAGACTCAGCACAGATTATACGTTAGAGGCTTATGTTCATTCAGGCGTTAATTGTCAACTCCACGATTGCGCAGCAACTTCGTGGCGAAGCAAATTATGAGAGCTTCATGGACAGGCAAGTTATAACTTAATTCTCAGGTAAGCGCGTACGCTGACCAGAGAGGCTTTTTCATCTCGAGCTACTGATATAGCCATGCTCACACGAGTTTTCCCAACGCCGAAACTGCTCCTTTCCCGGAGGCATTAGCTTGTCTGCCTTCTAGGATATGATATTGACGTCCAATCATGATAGAGTAGCAGAGGAAGATAAATGAACATCGAGCTTCAATACATTACAGTTAAGAATATCGACTAATAGGGATAGCTTTCGTAGAAAAATTGCCGATCAAATCACTCTTGAAGATGGCAAAGGTCTGTGGATGATTCTCGCTTGCAAAGGGGTTCGCTAAACATCGGAGATCGCTGGATTCTCGCCTAAGTCCGGACAACCCCCTGAAATCGACTGTTTGCAGCCCGACGTCATACCGGCCTGGCATGGGGTAAAGCCGTGTGGGTGCCGGCTGACTTAGATATGAAGATATATTTCAAAGCTACGCCGTACGCCAGGCGTCGCGCTTGGATGGTTAGAGGCACTTATCAGCTAAGTAGACACCGACTTTCCGTGGCTTGTGAAGCCGAGAGGTATTTAGTACCGTACTCCTCGCGTACACATGGTTTATGATTTCCATCCCCCTCTGCTCTCACGTTCCACCCTTCTTTCTCAAAATCAGTTCTTTACCCCTTAAAGCTCACCTATGTAGCAAAATGTCCAATCTCCCACCACCCCGCCTAGTAATTGCCTCAAACACCTCCACCGGCCAATCCACCATCTCCTCTGAAAGAACGCTCACTCCCTATCACCCATTCGGACCGCAAGCAACAGGCTTCACAACGCTATTCTCTACCTCATCCTTCCCACCATCCAACATCGCTCCGCCACTCTCCTCAAGCACCACATCAATCCCTCGACCTGGGGATAACGGAACCGTATTCTGCACGTCCGATGTTCCGCCTAACACGACGAGTGCGTTTCATAGAACGAGAACGCTAGATTACATGGTTGTTTTGAAGGGAGAGATTGTGTTGAGGGTTGATGATGGGGATGAGATAAAGATCGGGCAGGGAGAGATGTGCGTTCAGAGAGGAAATATACATTCTGTACGTTTTGCTCCTGATTTCCTTCTGTTTATCTTTTCATATTTTCAGTGTTTCCTTTTTATATTTTTCCTTGGTCCATGTTACTAACTGCTGACTCAGTGGATCAACAAAACTGATCAATGGTGTCGTATGCTATTCGTAATGTTAGATTCGGAACCAGTGACATTAGAAGACGGTAACGTGCTGGAAGATGCATTCTTCCCACATAAGCCAGCCTCATGAGTCATGATAGGGCTTTGGAGAAGTTTCCGCATTTCGTGGAAGGAGCAGAGTTCTGGAGCTGTTAAAGAGTTGTCAAATCAAGTTCGGCAAAATGGGTGATCAGGACCTTGAAGATCGTCTGTGTATGCTCAAGGTGGACAGAGCAGTGATCATGTGGAACAGCCGCAATTGTTCACACATCAAATTTAGAAGACAATTATTGATTTCTACCCGTTGGGCCATATTTAGGACCAGTTGTAATCCTTCCAATCACGCATCGGCTTGAGAAAATACCTTATCCAGATATTTAAGGTCCATTACGTGTTGTGGACTTGGTCCGAGAAGGTGCAGATCGCGCCGCTTATAAGGTAAGATAATCTTTAGGGTCTTGAGTCTCGGAACAAGGTATTAGAAATGTGCTCGCAGTTGAATGTACTGGAGTCTGAGAAGATGATGGGTTCAGTCATCTGGACCAAGCGTTTGAGTATTATGTACGGAGCGCCGCGAGACAAGCAATATGGGTTCAAGGATATTCGGATTCTTAATTCCAATTTGCACTGCATTGTATTGCATGGTTACTATCTCTAACTACTCCAAGCTAACTGTATCTGGCATAGGAGTCCAATCAATACAAGCCAGGAAATTTCGGCTCAACAAAGTTTTCCAAAAGCCATCTCATTTTCATGTGGCTACGAATCCATGATAGCACGATCGAAGACCATACCCAGAATAGGACCAAATTGGAATTTGGCTCAGTTATCATTAACATTCTATTGATTACTTTTCGATCCCACGGACCAGCAGACCAGCAGACCAGCAGACGTCCACTTGCATATAGCTTCCTTCCAAACAAACTCCAGACCAAAGTCCTATCATCTATTCCACATCCCTCACAACATTACGCTAGTCAAACCAACCATTACCACACCCTCCTTTCACGCCATAATCAAATTATGCCAGTGCGAAGTCCTAGTTTATGCAATAGCGAACTTCGACCTCGCTCTCAGCTTGGCTCCAAACACGTAGAGTGCAAACATCCCAATGATACCAATGACGCTCAGACCACCAAGCACACTGACACCCTTTCCAACGCCCAAATTGATGAACAACGGTCTGCCAAACAGAATACTACCACATGCAAACGCACTCCTCAAGAAATCGTTCCCGGCAAACAAGCTAGCTGCGTATTGCGGGTACGAAAGCGGGACATAGACGAAGATACATTGCATGACGATGAAGACCGATGCACCATAGATCGTGATGCCTATCGTGGGTGCGATCCAGTGTATTACTCTATTATCTCTAGCTACTCCTAGCTACTTGTATCTAACGTAGGAGTCTAATTAATATACGTTAGGATATTTCAGCCCCACAGTGTTTTATTAGCTAAAGCTTCAGACGCCGTCTATTCCTAGGTTGACTGCTTAGAGTTATCACTTGTGTATTTCATAGTGATTTGCTGAGCCTCTTCCAGACTCAGAGCATGAACTCCCCTGCTCAAATGGCGTGTCAGACTTGAAGCATGCTTCCAAATGGCTTCGCAAGTCGGTGATCCTGCGATTGGGATCAGGCATGCGGTTGGTCGAAACGGCACTGCCGATGACAGCCTCTGGGACGGTCCGCCTTCTGGCAAGTATGGCTTCTGATCCTTCTGAAACGCGAGCCGATGTCGAAGCTTGAGATGTTGCGTGTACTTGTGCATTTGATCCCACAGGGTCTGCGAAGTGCATCCGGGAAAAGAGCAGTGGATTGGTGGTGCTATGGGACGATGGAATTGCTGTAGGTGATTAGAAAGATCGTTGCGCTTCTGGAAAACCCTATCATTCGTGCATCCGGCAACATGACATGCCTTCGGTTCCCAGATATGATCACCCGCCACGTGCGCTTGGAGAGACGACACGCTCATCAAGACCTTTGTACAACCTTCGCGCGTGCAGGGGAATGACTCCTTTTGCTTCTCTTGCTTCTCTTGCTTCTCTCCGGGTTGTTCTCCTCCGTTCTTACGCGTGCAAGATAGCTGGTGAACCTCCAGGTATTGTTTGCGCTGCGTGGTGTAGGTATCGCAGTTGCTGCAGCGGTACACAAACATCGTTGGATAATCTCTTGAATTTCCCATAGGACAATATTGCGGGAGGTGCTCATCAAGTGAACGGAGGTGCTCTTGGAGTCGGACATTTCGGACACAGTTGATTCTGGACAATGCATTCACAAACTCAGGTCCAGGAAGGGTCAACACGCTGACAGGGCCCTTGGAGACGATGTTCTCCAGGAAGATATCAAGGACCATTGCTTGTTCATCCTCCGCGGCATCCTCGACGTCATCGTAGATCATGGCACACAATCTCTGAGCTGCGGCATCCTCGTCATGCGCTGCTCCATCGGTTGGCGGAGGAGATGGAGCATCTCCGTCAAGCAGGAGAAGGCGTGGGTCGATCAGAGAAGTTGGGACGCTGTCTGACGTCGTCAAGGTGGTGGTGGTGGTGGTGGTGGTGGGTAGTGGTGATGGAACCGACAGTGGCTGGAAAGTACTTTTGGACGAGGACGGTTTGAGTGTCTTGGTGGGTAGCTTTGGGCGTTTCTTCTCAGACTCGATCCAATCCGCCTTTCTCTTGCGATGGATTGCGTCGCCTGCTCTCTGTCGTCCGTTCTTGTCTGTGGGATCGATGTCATGCTCTTCACAGTACAGGGACACTTCAGCCTTGGTGAGCCGCGTCTTCTGAAATCTCTGACCCATCTCGGGTGCCTTTCGACTGACAAACATCTGTGCAGCGCGTGCAGTGTAGTTTTCCCGCTCAACGGGTCCCACGTACTTGTCCGTGGTCCCTTTGAGGTAGCTGCCCATGGAATGACCCGCCGCAACGGCCACCTCCTTGCTTGCAACACCCATCGGGGCCATGGGAGCGGATGGGATTTTCAGATTTGCCAGATCACGAAGTCCACCCCGCCGCACGTCATGCGAGATAATATGCGCTAGCACGCCGGCCACGAGCCCTAGATCCTTCGTGTTCTTGTTGACCTGTCCTGGGCCTGCCGGTTTGTCCCACGCGATGAATGCACTGGACTTGAGGAGTTGGGGAAGGACCGGGCGTTCTGGGTACAGCCACTGGATGGTCCGGTCGCGGCGAAGAGATGCTTGTTTGAGCGTCTCATCTAATGAGGAGGAGAGGTTTCCCGAGCGGAGGGCCTGGATGAGCAGAAGCTTGACCGGGCAGATGACATTCAACGAGGCGTCGCTCAAGGGCTTCAATGGAAGATCTCGATCATCATTCGTCTCGAGTCTAGACCTCTGGTCAGCTTTGTAGCACATCGAATGGAAGGGAGACTCTAACTTCTTGTTCTTCTCGAATCTCAGGGTGCACGTCAATTCGATGTCGTCCAATGCATCTCCATGCTCTGAGAGCTTCATCACCAAATCGCTCCATTGCATGTACTCGGTCGTGTAGCCTTTGCTCAGTGTAATGTCTCCACTCCTGGCAGCCAAGGCCGTCTGAAGCGCAACGCAAAGTACTTTGTGGATGACGATGTCCCATGACAAGCATCCCTCATCCAGTGCTGCCTGCAGCCAGCACCTGCACATCTTCTCAATTATAGCCACGCCCACCCACTGATTGGCTTTACGTCGTCGACCTCGCTCTAGCTTCCCTTCCATGGCCAGTTCGTCAACGACAGCGTCGATCTTGACCGACTCGTGCTTGCTCAGGGTGAAGTTAGGATACTCAAACACTAACGCCGAGCACAGGCGTCCGATCCCTCTCTTGATGCCCTGGCGCATTGGGACGTGAGCATGAGCTTCGCGTGCCTTGATGTGTTTGACCACTGTGTTGATGAAGCGTATGATCATGGTGTAGTCGGGGCCCTTGTTATGGTCGATCCTAATCGAGCAAACTGTCAGCTACTAGTCTCAAGGTCAATACGCAAAGGGTTAAGCAAGCCATGCACTGATACGAAGAGTATGCCATTTAATGACATGTTGACCAAGCCAAGCAGTGTAAGAAGAGCATGCCATGTAATGATAAGGAAAAGCCATGCATTGATAAAAAGAGTAAGCCATGTAATGATAACGGGAAAACATGCAGTGGCAAGAAGAGAAAACTATGCCACGTTTAAAGCAAGCATACAATAGTAAGAAGAGCAAGCCATGTAATGGAAAGAAGAGCAAGCCATGCCATGATAAGGGAAAAGGAAACAAACTTACGTGCTGCGGTTATTCTCTGCGTACTGCTGAATACGATTGAGCCATAGACGCCGACCATACTGCGTTTGGGGGGCACCGCGAGCGTCTGTTAGACCGTGAAGCCTCTTCTTTGATGCGATGCGATCCTCGAAGAGAGAATCTCTCATGGATGCAATGCTCTGGGCGCCCGCATTAGTGAAGCGTTGCACTAACGGGCGAGAATTCAATGTCGGAGGAGTTGAAAGGATCGTCTGCCATGTTTTTCTCTGATGAATAGATGATGATCAGACAGTGTCGGAGGAGGAGGGAGGAGGGGAAGAGGGGGAAATGAGATGAAGAAGAAAGAAGAAAAGGAAAGAAAGGAAGAAGAGAGTGACGTTACTTAGCTACCCGCCCCCCGGAACAGGAAAGAGGAGGAGGGGGGCTTCCTCTTTCCTGTTCTGTACCTGCCTACCTGACAGTTCCCCTCAAAAATTTCCCCGAACTGCTGACTTACTCTCAAATTTTGAAAGATAGTTAACACCTTTGCAGTACGTAGGATCATTCCTATAACTGTAGGTATAATGAAAAGTACTTTTGGGCAAGTGGTTGTTTTCGTGATAAGAACTAATACTTTCCTGCAATTGTCCTCCATCTGGAACATCCTACTGAGCTCTAGCCATGACTTTCTATTATGCAGAAACTACTCGGCCTCCACGGCAGTGGCCCCCGGAGGGAAATTAAACTCTCATAGAAACTCCTGTTTAAACGTTAAGGGAACTTTGATACCGTACCTTATGTATTTCCCTCCGGGGGCCACTGCCGTGGAGGCCGAGTAGGTAGGTAGGTAGTCAATCTACACGTGATATCTCGCTTGCTTAGCTTACCTTACCCTTACTATACCTAATAAGTCGGTCTATAGAATTTATTACTCTCACTTCGATGCCGGACATTTCGAAAACCTCGAAAAAGGAGTAGTACACACCGTATATGATTGCGGTGTAGACATTGACGAACGCGATCGCGGGATCTTTGATTGTGATTTCGATGGGCTTGACGATGGCATCGACGAGGATCTTGGAAGCTGACATTTCCTTCTGGTCGATTTCAGACTGAGAGAGAAGACGATTGTCGCCTGTGAGCTTGCGGAGACGCTTGGCCCGGCGGAGGAGGATATTGGGTGTGGAGGTCTCCGGGAGAAGCATGAACATTACGAGGAAGATGGGTCCGGCTGCCCAAAGGATCTCCCAGAGGGACCATCGCCATCCTTTCGCGGTCACTGCAAAGCCTGACAGAAGAGGGCCAAGAGCAGGGCCGCAGTACGCTGCTGACACCCAGGCGACGAGAGCGTAGGGAAGGTATAGGAGAGAGTACATGTCTTGCATGGTTGCTGCACCGTTGGCAAGACAAGGAGATCCAAAGAATCCCTGGAGGACACGGAGGACGAGGAGACCAGCGAAGTTGTCGACCATGGCGGTTGGCAAGGAGAGGATCGTGAAGAGTGCCATGGTCGAAGCATACACTGGGGAGCGGCCGATGATGGGAATTTCAGAGAGAGGAGCCCAGATCAATGGACCCATTCCATAGGCGAGGACGTATAGGGAAAGGGGCAGAGCGGCATCGACTGGACGGAGACCCCATTTGTGGATTACGCCTTCTTCGCTGGAAGTGTAGATTGCAGAGCCGGTGTAGACGACGAATGTGTATAAACAAATGACTATCGAGACAAAGGCGCGTTTGCCATTGGACCAATTTTGAGGATTCGCTGGATCATCGGTAGTGTACCAGTCAACGAGGATGTTTCCATCGGAGGTCTTGAGGGGAACGATAGGTCTAGTTTCTGTGCGAGCAAGAGAGAGTTCTGCCTCAAGCTCGAGTCTTGCTTCGGTATAAGGTACGGTTTCATGACGGCTCTTCGTTCGACTAAGGGAGAGAGCTTCGACGTCCTTGTCCGCTGGTGTATATGCGGAAGGTTCTTCTCTCTGTGTCTGAGCCTTTTCGAGTTCAGAGGTGTCAACAGTCTCGGAATCACTTGACGAAGTGGACTGTGATCGTTGACGTTCAGCTCGCTCCTGGGTCCCTCGGGTATTGGTCCTGGTGGCAGCAACCGTCTTTTTCTCTGACGCGTTGAGAAGCGCGTTGTATGTGGCTGGGAGTTCGAATCCCTCTTTTTCTTCTGGATATTGGAGATACCTGCCTTTGGTGACCCAGCGAATGATTTGGCCCAGTGGGGCTTCTCTCAGCAGTTCCGCCATGATTGGGGATTCCTGGGGCTTCGTTTCAGGTTGTGCTTGGAGAGGAAAGACAATATTGAATGAGCAACGCTGCCAAGGGATGAAGATGAGGCTGAGAACAAAAAGTTCGAAAGAGACGGGATAGGTCAGACTGAATCTGAAGCGAGGATGCGAAGAGGAGAATGAAATTGAAATGGTTGCAAGAAAGCGAATATAGGCAAAGCTCCAATACCTATATACCTTCTACTCGCATCAAGCACTACTCGGCGCTCTCCCATTCTGATATGAGGTCCTAGCCATACCTCCGTTCAAGGGTTATTCCGCCGCAAGTAAGCAGCCTTCCTGACAAACGCACGTTGGCAGTTATCGCCGAAACCACCAAATGAACTTGCACTCCAGGATCCAATCACGAACTGACTTACTGTAGCCCAGTATGAAACGGATGTTGAGAAGAAGGCTTGCAGCTATGCAAGCGACGTCGACAGCCCGTCCACGGATGTAAGCAATGGTGGCTTGCGCTCGCTTAGGCGAATTACAATTCGATGGCGTGTTCAGGATGCCGCAGTCTGCTGAATAATGAAATCTAGCGATGAGGCAGAATGGCAGCGTCCTCAGTGAGACGGGACTTGCTTTAATTTGTCAGTGCGGCATGCCCTTTGATTCGCAGACCCCTGGTTTGGCGTGCATTTGGGGTGAGATTGGAGAGACGATTGATTACTGAACTGGACTGAACTGGACTGAACTGAACTGAGCAGTGGAATTCCATCAAACGACAAAACCTTGAGTGGTGAGATTTGGACCGCCGTCTGACCGTCGAATGCGGATGAAGACCATGGACGTCTACGAGTAATTAGAAATAATCGGGGTGCGGAATAATTGTTACAGTAGGGCTTGGTCAACTTAACTTACAGTACAGTACTTGATCGGAGATCCAGCAACAGGTGCAGGTGCAGGTGCTGAGTTTGACGGGTGGCCTTTGGATGGTCCTCACGGTAAGGTGAGGTTGGTGCACTGTGAAAGGCGCATCCGCATATTCGACCAGGGCTCGTAAGCATACATACAGTAGCTAGGTAAATTACGGTAATTCACAAAGTCAAAGTCGAACGATGGCATGGCGGAGACATTTGATCATTGGCCTTCTCTTTCTTCGACCAGTAGCAACATGCGCCATTGCTGCGCGTTGGCCCTCCATGTGAAGAACTTCGTGATCATGGTGTGATATGGTATGGTATGGTATGTTGCGAAAGACCACCTCAAGCGCAGACAAGGCAGCTTTGGCGAAAAATCCCTTCCGTTTCTTCTTTGGGGCAATGCTCATCACATGACTGGGGTATTGGAATCTACCTGGAACCTACCTACATAGGTCCCTTAAAATACCTTGCCTAAGGTACCTTACAGACCTCATTTTGGGCTTAATTATGCGCAGGATCACGTCCTGAATTCGAGATCTCAGCCATAGGTATATGCACTAGACCGGTTTCTATCATGTCTTACGTTCTGCGGAAGGTACGGTACCTAAGCTACCTTAGGTAAGTATTTGGAGAAGACATGAATCGATATAGATACAGCATCGAAATCGATGACCAGCATGTCCTACCTAACTGTTCCTCGGATATTCACCCCAACAGATGCATGCCGCGATCAAAGTGGCGATGGAATCCGGAGGCACGTCGATCCAGAAGTTGGGATTTCATCCTAACGGTCATCCTCAACCGCCGATATAACCATACACAGGATACACCTTCGCATTGGTCCAGGCTGAATAGAAACTTTCCGGCTCTCTGATTTCATCCCAGTTCAGATGATACATCTTTTGCCGCTGCGCATCATAGTGATCCGGCTGTCTATGGTCCAATAGCTTCTCTGAGAATCTGGGAAAGGCATTCGCTTTCCTGTTTCCGGAAGTCCCCCTGATCTCATACACGATGATCAATTCCTTCAACCCAGTCATGGCTCGGACCGTAGACTCCAGCGCCTCGAGTAAATGAGCTCGCGGTCCCCATACGCGATGCTCGTCGAAATGCCAGTGAAGAGCATGACTGAGAGCCAACAAGCGGATCCTGCCCGCTAACTCACTCTCACGCAACGTAGGAAGATATCTCATTAGGTCCCTTTCCGTCCATCCTGATAATATCATCGTATCAGTCTCAGTGTTGAAACGAGATTTGGCGACGTCGACCATGGGATATAAGGAGTGGACCAAATCACGGGACTCCTCATTCACGTGCAAGGCAATTGGGAGGCCACCTCGGTTCCAAAGACTAGGTGTGTGCCAGTCATTCACAGGGAGCAGACGAGGCGGAAATGTGTGCGTCCATATCTTGCGGCGGAGTTCTGGTGGTAGGAGGGAAAAGATCGTGAATTCCCTGTCTAGCGGCGGGGTTGGCGATGGAGATGGCGAGGCTTGACGAGACTCAGAAGAGGAGGAATCAGAGCCTGATGCAGAAGCTGAAGCTTCATTTTCAGAATCTGAAATGGAATGTTCAGACATGTTAATTGTTTTGGTAGGCGTGTTAACGAGGTCAGGAAAGATGATGACAAAAAGATGTACTTACCAGAGGGTGAAGTGGGGCGAAGCTACCAACTTGGCATTGATGCATTGATACTGCTGTGCCTCGGCAAAATTATCATTTATTTAGGCTGTATCTCGAAATGTTTCAATATGAGACGTTTGCTCTCCGAAGAGCGGAATTTCTCCTCATGTTTTTTTCCCATGAGTATCCCACGTATGATTAAGTGATGCAAGACGAAACATGGCCTGCGAACCTGTTCACCTAGCCTTGATTGACCGTTCGAGCGAAAATAAGACATAAAAAGACCGGCGCTGGATTCCAATGGAATATATCCTGCTTCTGATAACTTTTCTGGCTTTGTTATCAACCTAAAGGTATTGTGTTGGTGCTGAATGCCCACCACCAAGTCTCTCGAGCTCACTTCTCCAGACTTTCCTCGGAATACTCATTATACTCTTGTCCTCCCATGCATAATAATGTGCGTTTCATCCTCAGACCCATCAATGCAAATAAACATCTTCCCAATGGCGCTTGCAAATCGGTGTGATACTCCAGAAAATATCCCTCAACATGTGCATCCAGCTCTCGATTTTCTCGTAGTGCTCAGCAATACCGGCATGATAAGGTGGAGGAGTTTCTTGTAGCCTCTGCTCTACAGTCAAATATTTTCCCCATTCTCGGAAGACCAGCTTTGACAACAGGCGACTTTCCAGGGACAGGATAATCGAGTCACTCAAGACATTTATCTCACGATACCTCAACATGTCTTCTCTCGAGAACAGGTGAGGCGTTCATCCTAAGGTAACTATCAACATGCTCCAAAAGCTTTTCCAAGAGGAGGGTCCACACCCGTCCCTGCCTTCGACCTCGCGGTGAATCTTGTTTCCGGTAGCTTTGTGCTCAAAATCGTATAGAAGTTCAGAAGCAGTTCAAGCGAAGAATTTTGATACTCACAATCATCCCACACCATGCTTAGTATAAGTTTCTATGTAATGGACTGGACCTGTGGGATATACATCCATCCTTCATCTGGTGTGGATTCCTCGCAGGGTACGGCATATGCTTCCCTCTTCTCTGGCGTTTCCTCTACCAGACCGAAGTCACTCCAGACCAGCTTAAAAGAAGGGGGCATACGGTGATTGCATTTTGGAGTGCGTCGTACCACGTCGAAGAATGGGCATGCTCAAGGCATCACCCGTTGATACATCAGTGGGCTATTCGTCACGACCTGAGGCTGTCCGTTACTTTCACTACTACCTGGCTCGGCGTCTCTGTTGACGCAGCTGGGATCGAGAAGAGCGTTGGTACGAAAGAGACGGCTTTTGGAGCTGTCCATTATCTCCTTGTGCTTATCGCCTTGGCAACGACCCCTGAGATTGCCGCTCAATTGAGTATTTTGAAGGGATAAGACCAACGCAAATTTACTGTAAAAACAAATCTTCCAACAAATGATTGGGGAAAATGTATGATTCATATGATCTGCGCTCCTCCACCTGAAAATAAACAACATATCCACAAGCTCCCATCCACAGTATAACATTCCCAAACAACCCACCACCCTACTGGCGTGGCTCTTGACAGGAATTAATGATAACTGGGCTTCGATCATGACCCTATCAGTAGGACAAGTCTTGCGAGGTCATGTCGCTTCCTACCGCGTCATTAAAGTCCTGAAGCACCCGATTGTATACCAAGCTCAAATCGTCCCCTTTGGGAACGAAGATGCGTCACAATCCTTAAGATTGTAAGAAGTTGCGTTCTCTGACACCGCAGATGGTCATCGCTGATATGTCGTAGAGCGGCGATCAAGCACTTCCCAGAAGAAATGAGCAAAAGCCAATACAACCGCGAACTTCACAACTATTCGTTCCAAAGCATCGCGAATTCCCCTTTTATTCGATCTATGGTCGACACTATTGGACATGACGGAAATGCAGCTTCCTCAACATTAGGACAGCCACAATGCATGGTATTTGAATGGATGGATACGGATTTGTGGCAGTTGCCATCGAAACCCTTTCGAAATGGTTCAGAGCTTCCCCGCATCGTAGCCAGATCATTGCTCGAAGCTCTAGTCGTGATTGACAGTGAACATGGTGTTCATACGGATGTAAATCCTAACAACGTTTTCGTCTCTGACGTGCATACGCCTTTGCCTGTTGCGAAGCTAGGCGATCTGGGGAACTGTGAGTGAGGATGAAGCTGAGAATCTAAGAGAAGAAAGTTGATGATTATCAAGTAATGTCTGCTGGCCCTATGCTTGAAGTCCGATTTCAAGTATGACTATTACTATCTTTTAATGGAGGAAGAATCTAATCGTTGGGTATTGCAGGGCGTGGTTATTCGAGCCCCAGAGGTTTGGATTGACCTTCCTATAACGCCAAAAGCCGATATTTGGAGTGTTGGTGTAACAGTAAGAATTTCCTCAGATATGATAACAAAACAATGCTAAATATCTCCAGCTTGCGCATTGGCTGGCAGGCAAAACCATCTTCGGTCCCTCGGACAAGACTATTGAGGACTGTGTCAATCACTGGTGTATTGCCAAGCTTATGAGGCTGGTGGGACCAATTCCCAAACCAGATTCTGCAAAAATGGAAATCGTGGATGAGTTTGCCCTGGCGGAGTATCTTGCGAGCGATAGTTTCGTTCGTCCTGACACCGGTATTGAACAAAAGTTCATAAGTGTGGGGACAATTAGACAAGAGTTGGAGAAAGTGGAGGGGCCGATTGACCCACAATGCATTGACTTTACCGAAAGTCTTCTGACGGTTGATGTGGACAGGCGACCAAGTGCAAGAGAAGCGTTAAGCCATCCTTGGTTTCGAGGAGAAGAAAAGGAAAAAGATTCGGATTGATCTGTCGACTAGTACTAATAGTATGACCGCTAATAGTAATCAAAATAAATTTATCAGATAATGGCAGCTGCATTCTCTTGCACCTCTCTGACGATTTCCCCAATCGCTCGAAAACCGATGTCCTTGAAATACTTCTCTTTCTGCCTGTCCATCTTCTCAAAAGGCAACTTGCTCGTTCCAATAAAAGTCTGCAAATTGAATTGCGCAATCATCTGCTCCTCTTCATTTCCGTTCTCCGCAACACTCTCCAGCTCCTCCTTCGCAACATGCGACACTTTCAGGCCCTTTCCCCACGGTGTCCCTGCAAGCAAGTCTCGAATACGATTCCAAGTCGTTCGTTCTCCGTGAGCATAGATGATCGGTTCCCACTTCTCAGTGGTGAGACACAGTGCCACGATCGCCTTGCACATATCTCTCGCGGTGGTGAAGTCCATCTCGTCGTTTCCTGTACCAGGGATCACCATCTCTCCTTTTTCGAAATCAACGGGGTATGCAGGACCCATGTTCTTGAGATAGCGATTGCGTGAAGGGACTTGATAATCTGATAACCAGCCTATGTTCAACAAGGTCCATTCCACGTCAGTCTGACGTTCGAGGGCTTGGCGAACAGGAATGCGGTTGAACGAATAGAATTCTGGAAGGTCAGGGAAGGAGTCCAGGTTGCCTCCGAACTCAGAGGGGATGAAACGTTTGCACTTCAAGGAGTTCTGACAGGCGATTAGAAGCTTGCGTTGGATATCCGCGAGTTCCATGGTCCAGTCTGCCAAGGTTGAAACGAGGACATCACTATCTGAGATTGCCGCATCCAAGGAGGGTTGAGAAGTGAAATCGACGACCTTGAAGGTCAGATCTGGATGATCCAAGTTCGGGAAGTCTGGCTTGGAGCGCCGGGAGAGGACGGTAACCTCTAAGGAAGCTCCGAGAATTTCTTCGGACAGGTAGTGGGCGATGTCGCCAGACCCTGCGATTGCGATGCGCATCTTGTAAAGTGGATGGTACGGGAAGGAATGGTGCTTCTTAGGTTTGGAATGGAATTGTATGAATGTTGCCAGCTTTATGTAGGCAATGGACTTTGTCTTGCAATGGCACTTTATACACAAATCACGAAACAAAAATACGGGACATCAAGGTCGATTTCAAAGCACTTGGCTCAAATTACTAGCCTCAAAGAAATGTGATTTAGTGGCCTCGAAAGTTTAAAGCTTCGGCCGTAAAATGATGTAGGTTTAGTTGAGCTTGTGCAATTGTTTTGGCCCGCTGCACCGCTTCGGCGCATGATCTTTGCATTGTTAGTTTAAGGTATTTGCGCCACCAAAATTTGCAATCAGAATAATCCGCAGATATGAGATGGCCTTGCCAAATATGTTTGAAAGCCAAGACGCGAACTGCGGTGGTCGGGACAATTGTTTGTTTTGCTCGTCAACGCCAATCCGGGGATCTGGAACCCGAGAAGGCCGAGCTAGCTTGCCATGCTCTGTTCGGAGTAACCATTATCCCATTTCGGATCTCAAATTATACATTTGTATATTTTTATGCAAGTACTAGGAGTCTATGGGAGGCGAGTAAGTAAGATTCGTAATTAAGATTGGAATCTGCGAATTATTAAGCTTGAATCACCAAAGTCAACAGTCGGCCCACTTTCTAAGCGAGCATCTAAACATCCACCTGCAATCACTTCATCACCACCGCACATTCAGCAGGGGACCCTCCAGGCAGAACAAGAAGCCGCATCCAGCTCGCAAGCCAGTCAAAAAACTTTTCATTGCTGTCCACTCGAAGAGCTTCAGCCCATCCACCAAATTTGCACGAATCAGTATATGCCCCCCCCCCCCCCCCCCCGGTGCCTAACGTACAATTATTTGACTCCTCAATTGTTCGTGTCACGTTCTAAGAGACACATTTGACAAAAGCCCATCACGACTGAGAAGTCAATGGAGACGACTTGAATCTTGATTGTCATACTGAACCAGCAGCCCCATCTCTTTCTCCTCATCTCTTTACCAACCCCCCTCGCCCAAAGACAACAAATCAGAGATGGCGGCCCAAAAGGTGGTCCGGATCCATGAATGTGATCAACTCATGCCCATCAATAGAACCATTCATTCATCAGAAAATGGTAACACCGTGTAAGAAGGTGTTGGAGAAATGTGTCGTTTAAGTATGCGTGTCGAGCAATGTGCCAGGTTGTGAAAGGTGAGACTTTTCGTGCTTTCTGGTCCAGCGGGGTTGAGGCTTGAAGGGGAAATAATGGGCTGACTGGTATGGTTGGGGCTGGCACTGTAACTGTCCTGGGTGACGCTCAGCGGCTACTGGTTGGGTCGTTGCGACATTGGGGAGATGCGTTCACAAATTGCCGCCGCTTTGTATCTGACTAAATAGGGAGCACTGGGTGGTGGTAAGGATTTGAGAGATGGCAGTGCTTGGAAACAAGTCGGCAAGAGGGGAGACTTTTAGCTACGTCTGGTCATGAGCGGAAAATATGGATTTCGTGGGTGCAGGAGCGACATGGGTGATGGTATGGGAACGGGATAGTAATTGGTAGATGCAGATTCGATAACGACTCAGGATTTTGGGTCTTTCTGGGGAATGACTAGGACGAGCTGAAAGGGGGTATAGAGTCCGAGGAGTACGTCGGGCTGTTTATTGGGAAACTTGGATAAGTTGGGATGCCCCGCCCGCGTCATGGTGGTGGAGAGTCATCAATCTTGCAAAGTCACTGGTATTTTTGCGAGGCACAGGATATGTGGTAGTTCTTTGGTGAGTATAGCTATATCATTATAATTTAGTCTAGCAAAGCAATAGTGCCCAGCTGCTGGGTATTCGTAAGACATCAATCATTCCTCCAGTATAAAGACTCCGCACCAGCAAGATTGGGTATCTGATAAAAGTGAAGCAAAGCAAAGCAAATAATGAAATCATGGCCATATCCCTGGCACCAACCAACGCTGCGGCTTAATAATCAGTGTTAGAACCATTTCGTACGGGGGTCATTGGTTGCCCCATTCCCTTCAGCAGTGCTCGCGGAAGCCAGGAGTTATGAAGTTGAAAATCTTTGCTTCAACCCGTGAGTGGTCGCCATCCCCAAATAGCACCCATCTTAGGTACTTTGAGTCCGGCTACCTCGCTGGTAGCGTCTGGCACTCGGTGGCATTCACAGATGTAGTCTTTGGATTCATAGCAGTACAGCTCTGGATCACAGCAATGCTGCTCCCAAATTCCATCCGGCCAATCCTCATAGAGCATCATAGGTCCGCTTCCACCATAGAATTCTTCATCAGTGCAGTAAGCAAGGTTGTGGACGATACGATATTCCTGAAGAGCAGGCATACTGGACGCCAACTTCCTATACGCAGCAATCAGATCCCATTCTATCTTCACACCAATGTCGAAATCTTCATTGAGAAAATGGTCGACCGCAAGGGATTGCATTTTGGCAACTTCTTCAGCACTGAGGCTGGCAAGGAAATAGAATGCTTGATGCTGCAGGTCTTGATCAACGTAGAGAGTGTCAAGTGAGAAGTTGAAGACGGTACTGGGCTTGTAGAGGACATTGCCGAAGCAGAGAGGATACTTGGACTTGACAGCATCGCGTGAATCCTTGCAGACTCTCAAAGCGATCGGTGTTGGGACACGGGTGAAGAAGCCACGGGTTTCGGACCACTGTATTTCCACCGTACGAGCTTCAAGAGAGAGTTTCCAGATCATCATGCGGATCTCAGTAGGGAGCTTGGGAAAGAGATGGAAGCTTGTGAGAGGGGCTCGCATCTTGGCAGCTTTGCGCTCTCGGCGCTTGATGTCCTTGTGTCTAGCGCGGGCTGCTGAGCACATGTCGAGGTACTTGGTGATGGAAACCTGTGGCATAGTTGTAGCTGGTGCCAGTGTTGGCAGTTGGCAGTTGGCAGTTGGCAGCTGCTGGTCCAGCTTGTCAAGTGTGATCCTAAGTGTCTCCGTCAGCGTTTCGGTTTTTGGGGCTGCTGGTCCCAACAGTCAGCGGATTGGTTGTTTGATTGCGAGAGAAAGAAAGACTGTTTGCGACTTACACTATGCTGGCTTGAAGCTTGAATCGAATGCACGAAACGTGCTTCTTCTGCGTCGTCACGGGACCTGCCAGGCTCACTGCTTTGCCGTTGTAGTTGGGCGGGCGCCAGTGTCAGGTCCTCATCCGCCTTTCGCGGTGTCTGACGCGTCGCGCCGCAGGAATTGGGAATTGGATTGCACTGTGCACTGACCTGTACTGTAGGTTCTTCTGCTCACAATTTCCAGCTCGCCGCTGAGATGTGTCATCTGCAGGCTCCTCTCCTCTCCTCTCCTCTCCTCTCCTCTCCTCTCTTCTTCTCTTGACTCTGTGTGTAACTGCACAGGGCAGCGCTCATGCAGTGAGTGGGTGAGTGGAAACGGGGTGAGTGGGTGAAGCGTTGGTGGACTTGGACTTCCACTTTCCCCTGAGGCCCTCAGGCCCTGAAGCTTTGGGCTTTGGTCCAATGGAGTCTCTTTCGGCAGAGGCAGGCACGCTAAGCCGGGCTCGCAGGTCAGAGCGGGACTAGTCTGTACTGGGCTAGCACAGGAGATTTACTCCCAATCAGCACGGCAGAAAGGAAGACGCCATCACGTGCTGTAGCCTTGGCATCCATCGCGAGCCCCTTTCCGGTCCGCCCCAGATATTTTCTCGACTGGGCTTGCTCCTAGCCCATTCCCATTCCATTCTCAACTTCACGTCTCGTTCTCCTCCCGAGATACATCATCGTACTACTCTACTCTACTCTACCCTTCACTTCTCGTCCGTCTCTCACCTCACCTCACCAATTCAATTGTTATTCTACGCCGTCACTCTGTGGTACGTCTTTCTGATCGGGTCTTCGCTGTTGTCTCTCCATCCGCGCACAAACCATCCTGGAGCAAATGACAGCTCGCAGATCCCTGCAGCCCCTTTTACCCCTTCCCTTCCATCCCCTTCCCAATCTCCAAGCCAATCTCCAGACAGACAGAACTTTTGTCACTTCACTTCTGCTCCAAACCACCAAGGCACAACTGACAGCAAACGCGCCGACAGCAGATCGATATCTTGCGTATTTACTTATTCTTCATCAACTGCGACTGCGCGTACCGCAGCGGATCGTTGACTGAGGTACATTCTTTGGTATGTGCCGATCGTATTCATGCATTGCGCACACCACCCCATCATTACGAGCAGGACAGCATCTGCCCGGATGAAGGCCCTTTTCTTGATCTGGGAATTATTTCATCCTGCGCAACTCATATGCGAGGTTACATAGAAGCTAATCTTGAACCTTCTTCCATCCAGAATTCTACCTCGCACTTTCCTTGACAACCAAGTCAATCGATCCTTCTACATCGTCTTAGTTACCATGGGTAAGCAAATACTTTCATTTTGTGGGATGAGGGCCTTCGAGGACACGGGATCGAGAATACAACACACATCTGCAATTCACTCTCTGGACCTTCGACACCACTCCGGCCTGCTTTTGTTCGCCTTCGTCTTGTTCGTAGGGAGCTTGCATGCTCTCACCTACAATTTCAGGAGTATTGGTGCAGCTTGCAAACGGATTGAGTAAGGGACACAATACGTTGGTTGGGTACTTGAACAACATGGCGTCTGCGTTCGCCAGTCTACTCCAGCAGTCTCGTATCTCACAGTCTGAGAGCTCTTCCAAGCCTACCATCGTATCAACCAAATACGATGGATTGAACGACCCTAGAGTCTATCCCGGAAGTCTCCATCGTCACCAACGATAAATCACGACTGCAGTTCCATACCGCAGTATGCTTGATGTCGACACCCCAGTCCTAAATGATGTTGTCCTACCACCAGAAGAATCCATGGAAGATTGGGTTGCGGAGAAGCTCAACCAGACCGAGCGAAAGCACAGAACAGAGAATTGGGCTGACATATTGTGTTACTATACAGCTACTAACGGTGTTGCCCCTGCGGCACCTACGCGAGCATCCCCTGCGCCTGTTCCCAATGGAAAGCCATCTTCTCCCATGGAGGTACCACAGAGCGTGAGCTCAAGCGACCCCAAAGTTGCAGCTCAACAAGCCAGTGATATGCGCAACATTGTGCGAAGAAAGTTGACCGGTTATGTTGGATTTGCAAACCTTCCCAATCAATGGCACCGCAAGAGTGTCCGAAAGGGATTCAATTTCAACGTTATGGTAGTCGGTGAGTCTGACCGAAATCTGCCATGTCTAGATTTCTAACACTCCTAGGCGAATCTGGACTCGGAAAGTCGACTCTGGTCAACACCTTGTTCAACACATCCCTCTATCCACCGCGCGAGCGCAAGGGACCAAGTCTCGACATCATCCCAAAAACCGTTTCCATTCAATCCATTAGTGCTGATATTGAGGAGAATGGCGTTCGTCTGCGTTTGACAGTTGTTGATACCCCGGGTTTTGGTGATTTTGTCAACAATGATGAGTCGTGGCGACCAATTGTTGACAACATTGAACAACGATTTGATGCCTACTTGGATGCCGAGAACAAGGTCAATCGCATGAACATTGTTGACAACCGGGTTCACGCATGTGTGTACTTCATCCAACCTACCGGGCATGCCTTGAAGCCATTGGACATTGAGGTTATGCGTAGACTTCATACCAAGGTCAACTTGATCCCAGTCATCGCAAAGGCCGATACCATGACTGATGAGGAGATTATGGCGTTCAAAGCCAGAGTAAGATCGACTCTATAAGAAAGCTGAGCTTGTACTTACTTTTCTAGATTCTCGCAGATATCAAGCACCACGACATCCAGATATTCGAGGGCCCCCGGTACGAGCTTGATGACGAAGAGACGATCGCCGAGAACAATGAGATCATGTCCAAAGTTCCATTCGCAGTGGTTGGTGCCAACTCTGAGATCACCAGTACTGATGGTCGTAAAGTCCGTGGACGCAAGTACCCCTGGGGAATCATTGAGGTCGATAACGAGGAACACTGCGATTTTGTCAAGTTGCGCCAGATGCTTATCCGAACACACATGGAGGAGTTGAAGGAGCACACCAACAACGCCCTGTATGAGAATTATAGATCAGAGAAGCTCACCGCCATGGGTGTTGCACAAGATCCAAGTGTTTTCAAGGAGGTCAACCCCGCTGTCAAGCAAGAAGAGGAGCGCACACTTCACGAGCAGAAGCTCGCAAAGATGGAAGCCGAGATGAAGATGGTCTTCCAGCAAAAGGTCGCCGAAAAGGAGAGCAAACTCAAGCAGAGCGAAGAGGAGCTGTATGCCCGCCATCGCGAGATGAAGGAACAACTCGAACGTCAACGGATGGAATTGGAAGAGAAGAAGTCGAGAGTGGAGAGCGGGAGACCACTAGAAGAGAAGGGAAAGAGGAAGGGATTCTCTCTCCGCTAAACTGCGAATCTCGCAATTGCGCCGGACGTACCTCCGTTACCTTGGTACTGACACGACCAATAACTACCTTACTTTCGATTCTTGTTGTCTCTTTAATCACTGATCCTTAATACTGCGAAGAAATCGACGGGGATATTGGGGAGCACTTGGGAAGGAGCATAATTTTTCGGGCTTCTGAGAGGCCAGATTTTGTGCTATGTGATTTTTCGTGGCAAGACAGATGATGGATACGAGGAGTTTGCACTGGGGCTTTCATGCATGTGGGGGGTTCATCGACAAAAAGAAAGGAGATGCGAACTGTGGTGGGCGAGAAGGCACAAAACTGGGCTGCTGCTACTTTTTTTCTTCCCTCTATTCCCAGGTACTCTCTTCCCTTCCCTTCTCTTTTTTTTCCCTCGGGATCGACCAAATCTGTATTTATTATGATAGCTTCGAGATCTGCTGGCTCGCTATTCCCTTCGGGTTGACTCGGCTCGACAACCTTCTTTCTTTTGCTCTGGTCTGACGGTCTTTTTTATTCCCTTTGCTTTGTTATTTATGAGAATGAAAATGGGATTGTGATATCTCGGCTGGCGTGTGTCTCTGTAATCAACAATGTGATTTTCAAAGTTTAATGCTAGTAGATCAGTTTGTCATGATGTTGCCTGTCTTTTGTCACAAGGTTTCACAAAGTCGGCGTCCATTCGCTACCAGGTGTACCTAAGTGGCGAGTATTTTGGTCACACGTAGGTACACCAAGTCAGCACATTCCTGCACTATGCTTTGCTGAAGCTTCCAGCTCTCTGCCTGCCCTCGCCGCGGTTGCGCTGCGCCCTGCTTTGCTTGGACGGAAACATGTTTCGGAAGTGACAATGATTCTCTTCTTTCACATACTGTTTCTACACTGCTGTGACGCAGATAGAGCTACGGGAAAGCGTTGCACAGGCTAGGTAGTTATTGGCACAACAGGCAGCTTGCTTGGACAGCGTTCTCAAGAACTGTCATGACACCATCGTTGAAGTTCGCTCCATTTCACTCTTCTCATTTGACATATGTGATAGCCAGAGCAACTTCTTCCGCCTTTCCCATCCACTCCCTGCACTGTTCCAAACCCCTCTTCGTCATTTCTTGTCGGTATGCGCATGTCCTGGTGCTTTCGCCAGCCTGGTGAACGAACGCCAAGTGGCAATGCAGTCCCTCCCTTCCCTTTCACACCCGTATCCACAGAACCTCGCCTTCATATTGCGTCCAGTACATCTTGCCATCGCCATCATCACTACCATAGACATCTCACTCTGGCAGGTCCAAATCTGACACCGACTATCTACCACACCTGAAATCCCGCACGCCCGATTCATTCACACATGCACATGCATCTCGGGCGTAGCCGCGCATCCGCATCGTTGATTAATACAAGGTGGTGTGGCGTGGTCGGTGCGGCGACAACGCCCCGTTCAGCCTTGTGCAACAAACCTGTGATACTCGCTCCCAACCCAGCTTGCATCCGCTGTGCAGATATCCATTTGAAACATGCACGAGGCATATGACGCCCGGTAAGTCAGTAAGATAGCGCTGGTTCCGACGAACTGGGCACTTATAGACGACCGAGTAAGTGCGTGTGTCTGTCAGGTGAGAGAGGAATACTGGGCAGAGCCGATCACAGCAGAAGTTGAGCAACTGCCCTTTACAAGAACAATGTGGCTGCAGCCGCGCAGCTGGAGAGGTTGAGATCAGGTCAATGACAGAGCAGAGTAGAGCCTCGTCATTCCGACTCTAGACATAAATTCGGTGGTTGCATTCGGTGAAGATAATCGGGCGTTGATGGGTGTGAGGGTGGGCTGGTTATAAGGTGTGTTGTGGAACGGGATGGCTATCTATTCGTGCGCCCGGTGTATGTCAGAAGGGAATTGCATAAGGAGCACGATTTCCAGGTTCTGAAGTGAGTGCCCGATATGTTCTATGTAGACGAGGGCGTTTTGGTTCTGATCTACTGCACATTGACCGACGAAATCCTTGCTGCTGAATGGAGGTGAACGGCGAGCAGCACGAATTAGACATTCTTACTGCCTCCACTGAGAAACATACGAGGACGATCATGGGGATAGAATAATTCTTCGCCCTGCTGTCAGCTCATTCGGACAGTGGATCTAAATCATAAACTCGTCTTCACACCACCGGCAGAAATGGGTATATACAGCACCCCTCACAAAATCCGCCCTATCTCCTCAACCAATCCCCAGAGGACCAACCAAAGCCAGGCTCGAATTCAGAACCACCCCGTCAACAACAACAACACTCACCCTGGTTTTCAGACACAGACACACACTTACAGCCCACTCCAGAGCGCATCACCAACTAACCTCACTCTTGAAAATGCGTCTCTACATTCTCAGCTTATCTCTCTGAGACGCGAACTCGCACGCCGAGATGCGCCGTCATTGAGGGAGAAAAGAGAAGACCAAGTAGTGGCTGCGAGGTCGCAATTATCGCCACAGTTTTACTCCAATGTCCCTGCTCAAATTCCCGGCCAAAACCGATATCAAACACCAGGTCAAACTCAATACCAAACACAAGCACAATCACAAGCACGTAGCCTTCCTGTAGAAACGGACCATACCCTCCGGACTGCAATCGAAGACCTCCACGCGTCGATCAAGGAATTTGCGGACGTGTATTCACGTTCTAATCTAGATGCACGAGGATCGGACTCGGGAAAGAGAAGAGAGAAGGACAAGGGACGGTTGGGAGAGAAAGATAGAAGTAGAAGGACAGGCGGACAGGCAGATGTATGGACCGAGATCCCGGCTGTATTGAAGACATGTTTTAGGGAGGTGGAAGTGCACAGAGATGTCTTCGTACCTGCTATTCTGCAAGGCACTCGCACCCAGGATCAGAAAATTAGGAGAGATTCGATGACGTATTCTAGCTCAAGTTCGAGTTCTTCTGAGGGTAGGAGGAGAGATGGTGGAGGAAGGCGGGAGAACAACAATCCATCAGCTACGCAAACACTTCTTGCAGGGCTTCTGACGAGAGAAATCTACCTCGCGATGTGGGACACCGCATTTTTCTTAGCAGATGAGCCGAATGCTGTGAGGACGAGGTATAAAGAGAGGAAGCGGGCTAGTATGAACCAGAATACTAGTTCGGGGTTGAGGAATGGAAAGAGAGATGAGAGGGATGAGAGAGGCGGTAGGAGGGATTCTAAAGACTCAAAGGATGGGAGAAGAGGTGACGAAGTTGACACTGAAATACGGATGATCACCCGGAGTACAATTCTGGGCGATACATTCCGTGATCTATGGAATTGTAAGACCAAATTTCCTACTGTTGCTAGGCATCGTTTACTACCGTAAACTTCATGCCAAGCGCTGCCTCGCCTAGCCACTCATAACTGGTGAGCTATCCACTGACAAAAATAAACAGACTCACCCCCCTCAGCCCTCTCCTGGCGAACCCAATACTTCTCCGCCATATACCAAGAACTTCTCGCCTCCTCCTACTCGAGCCATGCCTCCCTATCCCCTACCACAAGCACAAGCGCGATCAACCACACTCTCTTGACCTTCACTTCGACCCTAACATCCAGCATCCTTAGCGGCGAACTTGCTCCTCTGATTAAGAGAGTTTCGTCGAAAGAGGATATGGCTATGCGGAAAGAGTTCTGTGCAATTTTGGGGAGGGCAGTGGGAATATTTGTAAGGTTGAGGGTGTACGGTGGCGGAAGGGGGGAAAGAGTGGAGGTTGGTGATGTGGGGGAGGGAGTGAGAGGGGGATGGAGGGGTAGGGAGATGGTGGAATTGAAAGATATGGGGATGGCGGTAGGTGTTGGTGGGAGGGATTATAATGAGAGGTTCACGGACGGGGCGGATGAGCTTGAGGGGAAGGGTGTTGACGTTGTGGTTAGTCCTGTGGTTTACGTTTGTGCGGAGGGCCTGAGGGGTGAGAGTGTTCGGAGGGTGCTTGTTCCTGCTGTGGTTGTTGTCGAGAATGAGTGGTGAGTGATGGGGGATTTTGAACTAGAGTAGTCGAAAGGTATTTTCGGATTATTCTGTTCAGAGAGTTCCCTATCAGTTTCGAATAATTCATTGAATCATTTTCATGGATTGGTCTAATTACATGAGTGCGAACGCTGTATTAATGCAAGACTTTCAGAGCTCGAAATAAAGAGAAATGCAGGGTAAATGGTTGTGTAATACTAGGATGCGTTTGATGTTGCTGACACATGGCCATACTCAAGCACATCATGGCTGGTCTGCTTGCGAAAGATCAACAACGAAACTCGTCAATCAACACTCCAGCCCATATGAATATTCAAGAACCGCTCCACGTCTCTGGCCTATGTTGTCGTCTTTTTCAATCTGTTCTTGAGTTTCAGTGTATGATACGGCTCCTTCCAAACCCGCCGTTCAATCAAGTGAGCAGACAGCACCAGGCTCATATGAAAGATAATCGCAATTGGGTATATTAGGGGGATTCATCTATACCTTCCCATTTGGGCATCTCAGCATGGGCAATGCTCAGTCCCAGAGTGTTGTTGGTAGCCGCAAGGAATTTCATCGCTAGGATCAGCTCGTGTCTGCCAGCTTGGAGGGGCAGCAAGCTGTAAAAGTCTGCGAGCATGTCATCGTGGCCCTTGAGAAGTTTGACAAAATCTTCATTCTTCCACAGAGGCCGCCTATTTGTTAACTTGTAGTGGGAAGGGTAACGCAACGTGATGAACACAAGAGTCCGATGGGCGAAAAGACTGAGTTTGCAGTTTTGGTGAGTGAGTATATAGCAGGGTCACATGGCTCTCACACCAGGATACCAATTCTTTCTCTTGAGTAAGCTGGTCATCAATGGTCTGATCTGCCAGCTAAAATACCTCGTACTTTTCGGCCATGCAGAGAGCTGGCAGAGCTGCTTAGCTTCTCCTATCCTTGGGTCTATCTCGAGAGCTGCAACCCGATTCTGGTAAAGACAGGCCAGGAATAGCTTCAATGATATGGTTCTTCATTTCAGTTCCGCTTCCCTGATCGTAATTATCAAGTTGATCACAGTGCATTTGGATATAAATTAACATAGCCTCTGGATCCTCAGCAACGACATCGATCCACTCACAGACCTTGGTGTAGCCGGGGTTGTAACCTTTGTTTGACATCTCGATTTCCAGTTGTGTGGCAGGCTTGGGCAGAAAACATCATCAGTACGAAGAACAAGCTGCATCATAAGCGAAAGACAAACCTGATAGAAGAGTATCGTCGCCAGATTCCACGTCTTAAATACCCTGAAGGCATGTATGCCGGGATCTAGCGAATGGCAACTGCGTAGGATCTTGGCGTACAGAAATTGAGCCTTTATTGCAGGTTCAAATGCATGGACGAGCTTCTCTTGCGGATTTTTGGCGCCTTTCACACTGCTCAGTTGGTCCTTATAGACTGCAGCTTGACCTTCAGACAGCCATGCCTCAGGGGCAAGCCTGACGATGGCAGCGACGGTGTCATCGTAGGCGTCACTTCGCGTCATACTTCCAGCGTGTGAAGGCATACAATCTTTGAAGCGGTTTTCCAAATCTTTCATTGTAAATTATGGCTTGAATCAAGTGATGAAGCAGTGAGAAGAGCCAATGGTATCATCAAAGTTGGAATTTCTTGATACTTTGTCTCTGAGCGTGCATGGGCCAGTGGCCTTTGGGATGGACTTCAAATGGAGCTCGTGAAGGAAATGGCGACAAGGGAACGGTCATTTTCTGAATTTGAGCAAACAGATTTGTGAGATTATCAGTCTCTTCGAAGGCTAGTGCCTCACTGAGGGGTCTTTGGCTGTGAATCCAGGACGTAGCTGTGGGTGGTGGAGCGACGCGATGGTACTGCTGAGTATTGATTCTGCTTGCAGGATGTTGCTTTCACAGTCAATTCTGGCTAATGAAAGGTTGGCGAAATATTTTGATAAAGATATCCAAATGGAAGGAGAAACATAAACCAGGATGGCGGGTGGATGTCGCAGGGGAAGTGCATGGGGCTGAAATGATAGAAATGCTGTAGGATATTGTGGCTCTGTTATGCTATCAAAGACCCCCGTAGGCTGAGACTTCTAAAGATGACAGCAGAGACAGAACAATACTAAATAGCCCATGGAAAGAACGTGGTAAGTGGCACCCATATTGGTGAATTAAATTGCTGTGGCTTGAATTGGGCCGAAGCAACTTTCCGCATTCTATCCAATGCAAATTAGTCCTGCAAATCTTAGACCGATGTGAGGCAAGCTCTGAAGCTATTCCATACGATTCAATAACATTAACATTATGATGCCCTTAACAGAACGCACCGACAAGACAGCTGGATTCTATTGCATCAACTCGATAAACATTCCTGGAGCCAAGCGGGGAGGTAGGATACGACTGGGAACAGTACAGAAATAACGCAATGACAGCAAAACAGATAGGGGTTATGCTGGTTGTAGCAGGATGCCAACTGATAAGTTTAAACGAGAAAGTGTGGCAAGAATGAAGACCTGAGCGTGATGCTATGTTGTTCTCCACCTGTGCTAAGCGAGAATGTGGCGATTCAGCGCCAAGCGGATTAGCGAGTTGCTGCCTGACCAACCCCTGCTTAAACCGGGCACATGATGAACTCGTGCCTGGAAATCCACTTATCCCAGCAGCTTCGCCTCTGTTGCCTGACAACACCTCGTGATTCCGTGTCCGATACGTGTTGGGCGTTTTCTATTTTAAGATGACGCTTTTGCTGACTTCCCAACGGAAATGCATATAAACAGCCTTCAGACCTTCAAGTGACAATGTTAAAGGCTCACTTGACGTTGACAGAATTGCTGAGAACCTCAGAACTCTTGCTCAGCATCCAATTCTTGTACAAAATCAATTTTTGAGACGAATATATCAATTTTATCATGTCTTTCCATCTCTTCACGTCATTTCCTGCCGAGATCCAAGGTCTGGTACTTGAAGCTTGTCCGCCAAATGACCAGATCTGCCTCCGTCTCACATGGTGAGCCCAAAGAATCATGCTGCAACAGATACAGTCGAGCTAACAACTCAAAGCAAAACACTCTACTATAGTCCACCTGCCAGAAAACCCTTCTCGCTTGAGGCCATTGACTTGGGTTCCGAGGTACTCTGTGGTTCAAAATCCCAATCCACAGACTGGTCCAGTAGATGGAGACACCGTAAAGATTGCCACAAGCTCTCCTACGAAGCGATAAAAGCAAGAAACGAGCAGCTGGGGAAGGCAACGCCAGAGATGAAGCAGAAATGCAGGACACGGTGGTCGTCGCATCACTGTGAATGCTACACACGAAGGACAAGGCTGCATTACAGATTGCAGTCGTGGATGCCAAAAGGCTTGAACTATTGCGGAACATGTCGAAAGTTTACGAAGAGGAAGAGAAGTCATCATGGAAGATGTAAGTTCATTCTCATGTTCTTCGTTGGTATGTTGTGCTGATTTCTTTCAGGCTATCACGGTGCGGCAAAGGTGCGAAGATCGGGCAACCATTTCTGGACCCATACTTCGAGGGGAGGGGCATTTGGAAGAAAGATCTGGAAGAAGTGGTTCAATAACCGGGCGATGAACAGACTTGAAGCGAGACTTGCTTCGGACAAACCGGCGGTGGCGAGAGGTGGGAGTACGAGATATTCCTTGAGGAGGCTGGAGCCACTGGACGTGGATACTGTGGATGTGAGAGATAGTAAAAGTACATTCAGAAGGCGATAGGATGACGGCAGGGGATCTACCTAGTTGAGTGTTGTCGTTGGCTGGCATTGCGGAATCAAAGCATGTGAAGCGCATTAGGCGAATTTATCTTTTGTTTGTTGACGGAAACACAACACATCTGGTTTGCAAGCTTTTAAGTAGACTATTATGCTTGTGACTTTTTTTTATCAATTTACAGCCGCTATCGGCTGACTTACATGATTGTTTTTGATCCAGGAAATTGCGTCGTTTTGATTGATTGCTGTATTTGTTGCATGTGTACTGTTTGTGCAATTTGAAAGTAGATAATTTGGCCATGAGCACTTATTTGCCACTCGACTCTCATTTCGTTGAGTCTCCTTTAATATTGGCAGGTAATTGAGCTATTTTCATTCCTGTGTTGCTTTGTAAAAAGTAACAGAGGTGGTTCGTTGCTTAATAATCCCAGCCATGGTCGAAGCTTTCCCGTGCTTCATCTAGAAATATTGTACTCTATGCGTTCGACTCGATCATTGCGTTCATTGAAGACGCTAAACACGGATCTTGTAATAGACGCCTGATAAGATCTGTCGTTACGTCCCTCACTATACTATGCTAAGATGAACTCCAAATGTCTGCCAGGCCTACACTATTGACAATGCTAAGCGAGAACTTCCGAATACCCTTTGAGAGGGAACGGAAACTCGAGTATCAAAACCAGATCGAAGTCGGGATATTCAAGATCTAGAATATCCCAGACTGAGCTCTCCGAAGTCAGTCTCTTGGAGCCTACCAAGTTCAGTTCTAAAATAGCTGGGTACTTGGCGAAAGCCATGCCAAAACAGGCGATATCAAGCAACAAGCCAGTCCTGGAGTGGCTTGAAGGGGTTGATGACCCTTCCCCTCCTCGCTTCCGGCTTATGGTGGTAACCGAGGCAGAGAAGAAGGCGTTCGATTGGCTAAAGCGTGTAAGTCAGAAAACATTGCCCCGCTGCCAATTCTCCATTGGGACGATACTCACATCAGTTCAGATGAATGGTGACAAGTCCAAACCTCACGTCCCTCTCGTTCCAGAACTACTCGATGGCGATGATGGCCTCGTCTCCCGCCAACTACACCAAGAGATTACAATCCCGTTCGTTTACGAGATAGTAGTCAACGACCAGGCCTTGGTATTCGAGTGGGTCATGTCATCGACCGAGAACGACAGTGCTGGTGCTGATGGATACCTCGAACTGCCCGGCACCACCAGAGAGTTTCCTCCTGGCTGAGGAGTATGAGGCACCGTTCATCGTGAGTTGCTCCTGACCCTTCCAAGCATTCCAAATGATTACAGGAGTAAATCCACGACAACCAGCTGTAGCTAATCATACTGTCTCGTGGGTCTCCTTCGCATAAGATATTAGTTATGGGCATGCAACACTGACTCGTGAACTAGTACATGGTGAAGTTGATTTGGAACAAGCACAGACGAGAGAATCGGTGGATTTCAAAAGCAAAAGCCAAAGTTACCAACTGGGTCCTTTGACCTGAAGTGCCGTTCATTAGAAGCAAATTTATGGAACCAAAGGTGTGGAGGGAAGAACGTGGGAGATTCACTTGGGATCCTGCTGGACTCGAGCCGATGCATGAATGAATGAATGAATCGGAAAACTGCGTTTTTGATGCCAAAAGAGATTTTATCAAGTTGTCGGATTTGAAGATTTCCACTTGGCGGCGGGAGTGGTGGATGCAAAAATCGGGACCGGCTACGTAGCTCTGCATGAGTCCTTCTCGGATCCGGGAGAGCCTCAAAACTCCACGTGACGGTCTCAAAAGAAGATGTCTTGATGTCTTGCTGCACATTTCAAGCTACCAGTCTTGACAAAGCAGCGAAATGAACATTTCTAGGTGGTTAAATTATAATAGTAAGTACTTTGCGTAAGTACTTTGCGCTTAAGGTAGATGGCAAAAGAGGTTCATATTTGGCATCACGTGCTACCAGAGCTCGCCTCTTGACCATCTGCTGTACCTATACCTAGTCAGGTCAAGATCTGGTGAAACATCTCGGCAGTATTGTCCACCCCAACAACAAATAACTGGGTCACTAAGTGCAGGTGGAATCGACATAAAAATGGGCATTTCTGCTATATCAATGAATCAAAATTGACCGAGAATTCCTTCAAGTCCGTCGCGGCCCTATCTCGGTGACCCTGTATTATGACGATGGAGAGAGATAGGAACGTTCGGCATAAGACCATGATATTGACGCTCCATAGATTGCTGACTTGTTCTAAACTTCCTTTACCTCAAAAGGACATTGCTTATTCCTGATGTTCTTCTTCAAATACTCGTAGCATTCTGAATCCTTACAGATCACAGTATGGCAGATATACACCAAAATACGCTCAACACTCCTGGCAAAACGAACGAGGGAGACAAAGCGAATCCAATATCTACGAAGAATTCATCAACAGCAGATCTCCTCCCCCACTCGAGACAAGAAGAAAATACAGCGAAGAACCATAAGCATGGCCGAGTTATAGGAGGGTCCTTCCTGAATGATTTGAAAGGAAACGACTCTGTCACCCTAGATTCTGGACCTTTGAACGAGGTGGACATCGCCATTCCACTGACATTGACTGAAATAATTACCAAAGATGGCCAAGAATACATCCTGTTGAGATTTACGGACGACGATTCACAAGATCCCTTCAATTGGAGTAAAGGGAGGAAAGCTTGGATTACCCTTCTGCTTTGTCTCATGACCTTATTCATTGGTCTCGCAACAACAGCCTACAGCAGTGGAATCAACTCGATGGTCGACGAATTTGGCGTCTCAACTTCACTTGGGCAATTGGGATTGTTTTGCTTCAACATAGCATGTGCACTGGCACCGCTTTTCCTGGCACCATTTTGCGAGCTGGTGGGCCGAAGGGTTGTGTACGTTGGGGCGTTCGCTCTCTTCGTGATTTGCTTCATCGGCTTAGCATTAGGGAAGAACATTGCCACAGTACTTGTCATGAGAACACTTTCCGGCCTTTTCGGGTGCGTTGGAACTATTCTAGTGGGAGGGACGTTTAGCGAGATTTATCGCCCGCACGAACGAGCTACCCCCAATGGGATGTTTCTCCTACGTCGCCATCTTAGGCACGGTTGGAGCACCCATCTATGCCGGATTTATCAACGAGACTATTGGATGGAGATGGATTGAGGGCATTCAAGGACTTTCAAACATCCCATTGCTCCTCATTATTATCATATCTCTCAAAGAGACACGGGGAGGTGTCACGCTTCACAAGCGAGCGAAAGCCCTTCGAGCCAGCACTGGAGACACGAGATACAAAGCCAAGATGGACCTCGAAGCCAAGAATATCAAAGAGATGTTACACAACTCCTCTGTAAAGGCTGTCCACATGCTTGCTACAGAGCCTGTCGTCTTTGCCTTTGGTCTATGGATCGCCTTCGCTTGGTTCGTGACATTTCTGTTCCTGTCAGTCATCCCTATCACTTTTCAAGAAAAGCGTGGATGGTCTGAAGATATCGCTGGCCTCCCCTATCTATCTCTTTGCATAGGCGTTACCATTGGATTCGGCTTGAATTTCCTCCAAATCCGCAACTACGAATCCATCCTCAGGTCTCATGATCGCAAAATCCTCCCTGAATCCAGACTCTACGGTGCAATGTTCGGTGCGGGACTCCTCCCTGTTGGACTCTTCATTTACAGCTTCACACAAGACGGATACCTGCCATGGATAGCACCAACCATCGCCCTTGCCCCAATCTCTATGGGGATATTCTTCATCTTCGAATCAACATATAGCTTCACATCGGACTGCTACGGCGAGAACTCTTCCTCGGCTATCGCAGATCGAGGGTTGATGCGAAACACTCTTGGTGCTGTGGCACCTCTATTCGCAAGCCAGTCCTTTCACAATGTCGGAAGTCAGTATGCTGGCCTAATCCTTGCGATATTGGGGACGTTATTGACTTTCATCCCGCTCGTGATGTTCAGATACGGACATAAGCTACGGGAGAGATCAAAACTGGCTAGCTCACAGAAGGAAGGTGATGAGTAGAAGGAGCAGACGGGGCTTTATACTTTGCCCTTGGTGTAAAAAAATGTGGTAAGAGGCGGGAAGCCAAGTCTGGGCTACCTCAGGTTATCTGGGAATGACGTGACGAATTAGTTTATTTGCCTTAGATCGGGATACCGGGCGGATCTGGCTCCAAATACTTTGCTGGTCCTGTAAACAGCTCAGTATTTGCATGGATCGTAAAACAGGATTGTGGGATTTATTTGCCATTTATGTGCGATTTGACCGATCTTTTGGCACTGTACAATATGTAAGGATCGGATGGCAGGCATTGCAGGCGTTACTTACGGAATTAAGGAGATATATACAATGAAATATGACTTCAAATACCTGGTTGCATGCCTTTACTCTGCTTTAAGGTCTTACTGTATCCCTGCAGGGCTAGAGGGTAGATTTTGGTGGATGACGATACTTCGTATGGAGCTAATCTTACAAACCTGTTGAGGATTTCTTACCATTTTGGCTTTCTCGTGGACCAATCAGGCTCTAAGACCATCTTTTGCTCACTGAGAATGTAGCGGTGAATGTCGCGCAAGTGTTCGGCTGGCTTGCGCTCACTTCCATACCTAATGCGTCGTTCGGATTCTGCTCTTAAAAAAACGCATCGAGCCGAACGGTATGAAACCTTTCTATTATTGATGTCGAGATACTCAACTGCGATCTTACGTCTCTTCTCCTCTATTGGTAATCTCTCGCATACCGCGTGGCACGAGAAACTTCGGTTGGGATTTGTTGACAGTTTCCATCATTCAGTCAACAAGACATGAAGGAGGATGTTTCGCTCGGTCATCAAAGATCAATAGACTGTGATGTAACTATGGATATGAATCGGAATCTATCTACCGCCGGGTCTTTGGTATGTCTAGCCTCATTCGGGCCAATTTGAGAATCTTGCTGCTGACACTACACAGATATACATTGACCCTTCTGCTGCTAAAACCTGGTCCTCGACTGCCAATAGTCAGCATGTATGTTCCCCAAGTCCGAGAATATAAGAATGTCTCGCATTGCAGCAGAATTGATGACTGAATAATACTTAGATATATCAATTGGCAGTTCTACGATCCCAAACCGCTAACAATAGACACAATGCCCAATTCGGAGCAGCCACCAAAATCGATATTGACCAGGTAAGCTTGGGAATTTCCACGATCCCCGCACTTCCTCTTCACATGATAACCAGGTTTTGATCTCGTACCTGACCAAGACTGATGCCAACTCCGAAAAGCTCCAGTCTACAGCCTATGTCAGTCCATATCCAACCACTCCCTGGTTTAATTGTCGAGCTTCCGCTGCACAACCTCCAACAAATCCCCAGAATGTTCAACAGTCACTTTCTAAGAAGAAAGTAAGAACGGCTTATGGGCCCATGGTACGATGGAAGTACGAGGTTCTTGAAGCAAGTTTCAAGAAGAATGAAACCCCTAGTGCGGAAGAGATACACAGGATCATGGAAAAGACGGGAATGGACTGGAGAAAGGTCACTGTACGTACAAAACTTTCTCATAACCGGAATTACGGAGTGGAGAGACTCTAACAATATGCAGAAGCATTTCTCTGACAAACGATCAAGGATGAGGAAACTCGGTCTGATTCAGCGTCAACCCCAACGCGAAGTCCAAGCCGAGTCCCAGCTTCAAAGCATTTTTCAGTCTAAGACAATACACTACAATTTCCAGAGACCAGAATTCGGCAACAACATCACTGACCAGGTCATCGCAAAATGCGAAGAATGCACTGCTTGCATAAAACCCATGATCCAGCGCAAAATTGTCAGAGCAATTCTTCCAGCACCAGACGCACTGCCGCGGTATATCAGCATGGGTACATCTGCAATCACAAAAAGTATTCAACAAGATATCGACCATGAAAAACGTATAATCACCATTCTCGACAAGGATGTCGCCAGAATGGAGAGAGATCACTTCCGGTTTGGATGCGTTTTGGAGATGGTCAACCTGCAACGCATTGCCCACCAAGCTCGCACTGCTGGACTTACGTTCATGTTGCAACGACTGAGAAATGCATCGGATCTGCCAAATCAGAATGATACCACTAGCAGCACCAGCTTCTTGGCTGATCTAGACGCTTCTCGTCTCTGCCTTTCGACATCCAAGATTCTTGCCAAGGCTCAATTCCAATCGATTGTCAATAAGCTCAAGGAGCACAAAAAGGACGCCTTGAGAATGGTCGAGGATCTGCAACACATTGTTTCACAAAAATCTGTTTGCGTGTCGAAAAGTCAATTGCAAGGATACAGAATATTTCTTGTGGAGTGGCAAGCGAGGTGTCTTGTTTACCGCCTCGCTTTGGTGTCGTTCATTGCGACGTATTATGATAGTGAAGAGCGAGTGATCACACACAGCTCCGAATAATATAATTTGTAATATTCTATGGGAGGAGACAACTTCTAGGGACCTCTCGCTTGTGATAAAGGCGAAGGCTGTGTTTGGAAGTTTGTCTTTATACTTGTCAGCGGCGCTCAGCGTGTCTGAGGACTGAACGGCTATCAATGGAGCCTTACCTTAAGGTAAGCCATGGACGAGATCAGGAGATGATTATTAGAGGTTTCCTTCCTGTTGTACTCCTAGAAAATTGATGAAAAATTGTTCTTTGAGCAACTCAGCATTCTATTCTGCGCGTGTCCTCGAACGAATTCAGTGGCTACGCTGGATTCACTCATGAGTCGTAATTCAGACCTGGCCAGAAACATGTGATGAGTCACTCTAAAGTATCTCAGTTTTCAAATATTTAGGTAAAGATGGTAATGAATCACTCTCTGTAGCCACACAGTGAATGCAGTGAATGCAAGGCATCACATTCAACACTGGGTTCTTGGGTCCCCACAACCAATTCTCCGATACAGTCTCAAGAATTTTATTTCAGAGCCTAGAGACATATTGGCCAATAGTACAAAGTAGATAGGGCAAGATAATTTCAGCAGGTTTCCCTAAGAGTAGATTTTGATCTCGGCTGATTCACTTTTTGTTACTCTGCAGGCAAACATGAATTCAGATTCATCAAACAACGCAATTCACGTTGATAGGTCAATGGCAGCTGCAAGAGAAGAACAGACTGTCAATATTGAAGTATGTTCCCCACGTCTTCTTTGAAGGGCCATTTTTCTGACAACGGTTGCAGGACGCACCCATAATTGTTCCACAACTGAGCGCCCTTCTTTAGTTAGGTACTGGGATTAGGATTCCTAGTGTGTGCCATCCTAACATTACTCAAGTGCTACTTCTATCAAAAATAGCACTCGGCCGAACTCTTGTGACAGTGGCTAATCATGATCAAAATCCAACATCTGTAAAATACCCAAATCGAAGGCTCGATTGACTCAAATGGGAAGGAAATCCAGCATACTCAGAAGAGGCGAAAGGCAGGCTTAAGTCTAACGGTCAGTATCACTATACCCTTATTTTACTTCGAAATTAGCTCATGTAATTAGGGTCAATCAAGCACTTCTACTCACCTTTCCTTTCTCGCGACCTGGATCAACAACTTCCGCCACTTTCCTAAGAGGCATAAGAAGCGACCAGACGAGATCCCGACTTCAATCAGCTGCCAACCACATGTAGAATCGACAGGATTGTGTCCGTATAATCCATCATGCGTTAACCACCAAATTTAACGTCCCACAGTAGAATTGTTATCAACTCAACCGACTCCAAATCAATCTGGACATCGACAAATGACAAGTAATTCACAGGGTCGGTCAATGCTCTTCCCGCATTCAACCCAAGTTTGTCACCCTCCACTGACACGACGCCAAGACCCTGCGAGACCCTGACAAGTACCAGCGCTGGAAACACCAGAACGAAGGCTCTGCAAATTCTCGAGAAAGAGGCCAAAATTGGCGAACCAAACTTACGCTCTGCAGCTGTGTTAGTAGAAGTGCTAATCAGACTAACGAAGCACTCACTACCAGTATACATCATTACCTTAATTACGAAGCATCCAGTGCAACTTTGTCAGAGCATTCTTCATAATCCCTTCGGCGTATAAGAGGGTATGGGTCCTTGCCCTTAACGAGCAACAACTCTGCTGTGTCTCGAGGCCAGATTACAAGCCATCAGCCAACGTCGCGCTCATATACCAGTCCCTATCTCACGATGATGCCTGGACAACCCAGTAATGCTCCTTCAGGCAACATTCAAGGTTTTGCCTGTGATTCATCTATGCCGTCAAACATCGTCAGTGGTGGGTCATCAGGTCTTCGAGGTCCAGCCTTTACCAAGGAATTTGTTCCAGCCCACGCACAGCCATTACCTCAATCATTTATGGAAATCAGTCAGATTATACGTGCAGTCATGCAGACCTTACAGTTGACAAAGGCGGAAGCTAACACTCTGAGGCACAAATCTTGCCTGAAAGCGCCCGGACTTGCAGGAAGAGGCACCAGACTGTCAATTGTCCATGCCGAAGCAAAGATCGCAGGATGTGAATACTTTCTTGCCGAATTGAAGAAGCCAATTCCCCAGATTTTACAGCAACTCGAAAACGTGTCCAGCCGATATGGAGAATATCGACTTCAGCTTAGCGTCAACTTGATACAAATAGGCGTGGCTACTGAAGATCTCATTGCCTTCATTATTGTTCAGCTTCAGAAAGTAAAGAGCGAGCTGGCGACTCGAATCAACAAGGTTGCGGTTACTGCCAAGAGTGTCAAGGATCAAACTGAAAAGGAGACCGTGGATGTCTACAGAGCATGGAATATAGAGATGGCAGAATACGCAGCTAGGGCATTCTTCTTACAGCACTGTCTTGATGGCTTGCGTCCGAAATTTTTGAATTGGGAGAAGAAAGCGAGAGCTGAGGAAAAGGCTTTGCCACTGCCCGAGCCTGCGGGGTCTTGGGATGAATTTCTGGCTCCGCGTCTAGAACATTCTCTCATTTGAATTGGCTTGTCATAAATAATTTATCAGCTATGGCTCTTTGGAAAATAAGGAGTTATGCACGCTCTTGATTGCGCAGAGATTGTGCAATACGAGCATGGCAATATTTTCATTATCAGATGCTGGATTTGGGAATTCATTGACCTTTAGAGGGTCCAGGAAGAGAGGTCTTTGAGAAATCTTAAACCTGGGATTCTAGAGCTTACTGTGGACCTTGGAAAAGTCGTTGAGCCGAGAAAACAAAGGGTTTGCTGTCATATCCAGCTTGTCCATGAAAACTGGCAGTCAGGTGATGAGTGGACCAGTCAAAAACAGCTCATCATTGCGGACCTTTCTGGCGTCGCGATAGACTGATGCAAACTGGTCGAGACTCTGGTATCCTGAATGTCTAATCAACAAGCTTTACATGGGAATGAAGATGAGAAAATGATTTTTAAGTGGTCTCATTGACTCGTCCAAGGACCAAAGCGAACAAAAGTTTCATGACGAGTAATTCCATTGAAAGAAGTAGAGGGTCCTCGAGACTCCGCAAATAAAATTAATTGATAGATTTATCCTTAACTTAGGCATAGGTTGTTAGGGAACAGTAATGTTCATCCTTTCAGGATTAAGCGTAAGCTCGGAGCTCAATACCGAATTTAGAAACTTCTGCACACATCGCGGTGCTGCTCTCAAAGTCGAGAAGCAATATTGTAAGTCTTGAATTTGCAGAATCAACACTCTTGACACACTTTTCGTAACCTTTCAGGAGCATTCCAGCTCAGTCGGTGTTTACCGTCAAGGTAATAAATTTCGAGCCCTCATCGGTTACAGCGTCAACAAACCCAAGCTGTGGAGATATGAACAACAAAAATATTTGTCTCTGCCAATTCTCAAAATATTTGACATTCCATGTTAGGCTTGGATATTGCCCAGTGGAGATATTTAGCTTCGCAGCCTTTTCTGATCTTTGTAGGGCCTGCACTGGGACGAAATTACGGGGGCAATTTGCATTGTTTATGTCATTCTTATCTGGTCTCCACGGCAAATTTCAATTCGGTTTTCCAGCAATTTTGTATCAAAAATTCTTTGACAAAGAATTCTGCAAGCCGGAATGTATCGCCATGGAAAGACAAGGTGTTTTCATGGTCCCGAATATGTTAGAATCATTGATTCCCGTGTCTCGGATAAGCGACTGGCACCAACCAGCAACTGTTGCGACTGCAAATCCTGTCCTCACAGAGAGATGGCGTGCGCAGTGAAAGGCCAGGAAGTCGTAGTGAGTATCGTACTCGCCTTTCGCAGCACTTCAAGATCACGCATGGCACTGTGACTATCGCGGTGCATGAACGAACACGGTTGTGCATTCCTCTGGGGCTGGCCCAGCGGAGGTTGGAAATATGTCCTTAGCCGAGATCACGTCTCGCTTAGCATTTTTTATTGGAGGCGATGCGATTTCCTAAACGAACACCTGCAAATACTTTTCTGAGATCGAAACGTCACCCTCTACGACTATCAACAACACCATCCCCGCCACACTTCAACGCAACCTCAGCCATGTCGCCCGCCGTGCAGGATGCTAAGCGCACTCGAGGAAGGCCCAAAGGTAGCAAAGATCGCGTCGCTCGCAAGTCTGGCCTCTCAAACAATGATGACACTCGTGAATCCCCATCGAAATCTTCATCGTCCACACCTGCTCCGCCATCAAATCACCCGGCCTCTTCATCAGCAGAGACATCCCAGTCGAGCTCATTCACACCTATCAATCTGGGTGATCGCACGACTTCGCGATCCGGTCGCTCGCTTTCGAAGACTCGTAAATTTGCTCACGAGACCTCTGAGCCAGAGTCGATGGGTCCCGCACTGAAGAAGCGAGTTTCGGCTCGATCAACATCTCAAGCATCATCAACCAGCATCTCAACACGGAAGCGTCTTCCAGACCATGGTTCCCAGCCCACTGCGAGAGCATCCCCAACTACTCAGGTCGCTCCTTCTCCTACTACGCCTTTCGGTGTAAATGGCTACAAGTCTTTGTACGGCCAATCACCCTACGGAACTCCCGCCACCAACGGCGCTAGCAAATATCCTCATGGCCGCGAAATAAATTTCCCTCTAGAAATCATCCCGGAGCCGCCCATTAATACCATCCAACCTGCTCCAGGAAGCATGCCGGCACCTCGCAAGAGCCTCCCCGCAAAACGAACCTCGCTCCCCGAGCAAAGAACAGCCCCATCCCCCAGCTTGCCCATCATCTCACGTCCCATTTCAGAAGTGCTAGATACGTATCAAGAACTGTACGATAAAGTTGACAAGCATTACAAAGCTTTTGAGAGGTACACCTGGAACGTCAAAATCCACAATCTCACACGATCCATCTTCACAAAACTCGCTGCCATGCGCTCTCGCCGTACTCGTCTTGCTTTCATGCTCAAAGAAATCAAGAACCTCAAAAAAGCAGGCGCTGTCGCCGTAGAAGTTGATCGTACTGTAGCTTGGCCTCCTATCGGGGACGACTATCCCATCTGGTACGGCGAACTGCCCAACACGCCTGCTCTGAGGGCTGAACTGCATCAGCGCATCCACGGTTTGACATTCAGACTTACGAGTGAGTTGGGCAATTTCGAACGAGCGAAGATTCTGGGTCAAAATCTGAGGCGTGAACAGAGTACTGCGACAGTGGAGGAGATGAAGTGGATGGATATTCATGGTCAGATCAAGGAATTTGAGTCGATGCTTGAGCGGTTAGGCGGTATCGACCTCAGACCTCAACTCACTGCTGGCAGCAGTGGTAATTAGGTGATGACTTCGGAGGCAATAAAGGCGGCGTTCTGTGAGGGCTTAGGTTTTTGTATGATGTTGTATTATTACCACCTCTCTTTTAGCTTATTGGGGCCATTTTTATCATATCGCGTCGCATAGGGTTTGGGACAGGGTAGTGAGCTTTTAATGGCTCTTTTTTTGCATGCCGAGATTGTTACCAGGCAGTTAATATTATACAATTTTGCATATCTAATTCAGACAAGCCGTGAAAGCTCTTGATGAAATATTCAAGTCACAGTTGGATTGATCCATTTACTGATGGCTGACTAAATGTCCCAATACGCCGCCGTACTCTGCATTATGTCTAAGACGATACTACTGCTCCACCCTGTTTTAATTATTATTCTAGCAGTTCTCATGAACTCAAATCCACATCGGCAAGTATTTTGTATTAGGAGGGCGCCAGTATTTTCTTACAACACATGGAAGAAAACAACCGCCCTAGATTTCCTGGGAGACAACAAAAAGAGTCCCAGGGCTATCATATCTTGCCTTACAAAGCATGAAACAGTGGCATTGAGCTTTATTCGAATCTCGTAGCTACAAAATCAGCAACTGATGTCTAGGAAACCACACGGTCGTTGGAGTCGATGATTCGCTGTATTTGTTCTTATGATATCCGATTGTGGAAATGATGGATAAGCCAGCGGCTGCCGAAATGTGCATTATTCTCCATCTCGCTTACTGCAAATTACAAAGACCGGCTTTCAGAAGCGGAGAAGCCGTACAAAGTACAATTCTCTCAGAATTCTAATTTTGGATAGACTTGATTCTGCCATAGTTGGGCTAGATTTGTACGGTGCCGTGGTAATAAGGATATGACCGCTACGCAGACGAGTGGCCTCTGCTATGAACCATCCTGGAACTTCTCATATACGAGAATGTGTTTATGATGTACATTCTCATTCGATATGTGATACATTATCTGACTCTTATATCCTTAGCCAAGCAGGGCTTCTCCCCGCAGATTGGGGCTACCGGTCCTCGCCTCAACAGCGGGGCCCTTCCAATTCTGATGCACCCAATCCTTCATCTTGAAATTATCCATTCCTCTCCTTGCCATCTCATCGAGTAGAGTCCAAGCTCGCGGATCCTTCTTTTCTACACAGCGCTTGATGAAGACAGTTGCAGTGCCACCTCTCATCCACCACCCCCCATCAGGTTTATCCGAACCCACCTCAACCATCTCTTCAAGGTACTTAAATGCGTCTTCATAGTCGTCTTGCATGTACAGACAAGATAGGATGAGGCGATCATAGGTTAGCATATCGGGTTCGATACCCAGCGCTCGCATTTCACTAGCCAGGAAGACACTCAAGTCTTTACGTTCCTGTCTTGATGCTCCTTGAAGAAGAACGTTGAAAGTGTCTGTATTAGGACCACTTCCACAGATATCATGCAAGCCCTTGTAGAGTTCAACAGCATGTTCAAATTGTCCAACTTCAATATGAGCTTCGATGATGACATTGGCTGCTGCGACGGGAATTGTGTGGCCATCTTGAGCGAGCTCTTCGAGATCTTTCCAAGCCTGTTGAGCCGTTTCTCGAGATTTAGATAATGTTAGGTATAGCGGACGTGTTGTACTGGTGTCAGGTTCGATGCTGGCTTTGGCCATAATCACCAGCACCCGCAGAGCGGTCTTGAGGTCTCCTGCTCCAGCGTAGGCAGCAAGTAAAGGTTCGTAGTGGAACGCAGTCAGGGCTGATCGTCGGCCGGAGAGAATACGAATGGTGTTTGTTGCGAGCTCGGGGTCGGAGTATCGTGCTGCGCAATTGAGGACGGCTACACACATGCCGTCTGAAAGGACTAGACTTTCGTTTTCAACACGCCTCTTCCAGATAAATTTGACTCCTTCGTACTGGATAACTGTTAGTGGGTATCTTTCCTACCACCAAGAAACAACATACATGCAAGGCACTGCTGAAAGCATCCATGAGGTAGTACCATACAGAAGGCAATATCTCGTTCCTACTGTTCTCGAACCTGTATTTCAGCAAGTTGAAAGCTTCGTCCAACTCGCTAGCTTCACATAACTGGAACATGAATATGTCATACAACCAGGGCTGTACTGTAATCCTGTCGGAATGCATCTCGTCCAACTTGTCCATCGCAACTTCGTATTGGCGGTCTCTAATCAATCCCACGACAAAGCTATGCCATCCTTCAGGTGAGAGCCCTACCCATCGTTCTTTCATCTCTTGCATGATCTCAGCACGCAGTACGTAATCTGGATGAATGGCCAAAACTTGCAGTGCTCCATGATATAACCCCGAATCGGCACCAATTTGAAATTCCTTCATCTCTTCCAAGAGAGTCCTCACTGCGTCCGCACTTCCTTGCATAGCGCTCGCGTTGGCACGTATCAAGGAATCGTAATGTATCAAAGCCGGCTTTTCTCCCCTTTCGCTAATAAGATACGAAACCAGCTCCACGACTTTGAAATATGACTTTCGTTCCGTTCTCGTCTTTCGGAGGAGGTCATGTATTTGTGGTATTGACATCGAGTCCAGTGTTTCGTATGGAATCTTGGAGTTCAAGCGGGAAACTGTAGGAACTCTGAACTGTGTTGAGGGTATTCCAGAGCCCTGACTGGAAGCATAGGACGAAAGAGTTGCAGCATTATTTGGCGTGCTATTCCAATTCTCTCCAAAGCAACGCGAAGAGCCCGTGGAGTTCTCATTTTGCAGTGCTCGAGCATGGGTCGAGGTGTGGAAGGGGTGGGTTTGAGGACGATTCGTTCTACATGTGTAACCAGCCGGAAAGATTCGAGAAGAAGGCGCAACTCGCTGATGCCGTACTATGGCAATGCCATCGAGGGAAGGGCAGAGGCATCGCCATAATCCATCAATTGGTATTCGAGTGGTGGGCATTGGGAGTTGTTGAAGCTCTGGGATAACTTGAGGGCTGAATTATTTTGGGTCCGATTTCAGCCTCGCAGATCTGCGAACGTTACCTAATCAGCCTTATGTCCATACGCATTGTACCTGCATCATGAGCGCAATCGTCAAAACTTCAGCTGGCTTGGGATTTTATTTTAATTCTGCTTGAGCTTGGAACTCTAATTTGCAGTGCTATTGCTCTGCTCTGTAGCTGTTGTGTTTTGAAGGTGGCGACGAATCATTGCTTCCAGCTCCCTTTACACGCCATTCATTATTCGAGAGCATCGAGCTCCGCAAAGCCCTTGTAAAGTTTCCCACAAGCCATTCCTTCAGTTTAAGACCGCAGAACGCTATGCAACCCGTCCCTTTGCGCCTGGTATTCCAACTTCCAAACCCGACATCAGTTACCCCTCCCTCCTCTACCCCTCCCTCGTCCTCCGCCTCGTCCTCCACGTCCCCTGTCGCCTCCTCTTCCTCCGTAATCACCTCTCTGTCCACCCCTGCCGCCTCTGTATCCGCCGCCTTGATCTCGTTGTTGCTGTTCTTTTACCACGTCGATAATCTCGTCTGGTACCCGCAGGTATTTGATCTATGCTCCCCTCAGTCTCTATTCTACCCAAAACTTCAGCTACTACAGCAGGAGACCAGACATACGTTGTTGCCCTTGACGTAAACTTCCGGTAATCTGAAGAACTTGTCACCGTCCTAGAGACGCACACGAATTAGCACGTTATCCTGCCAGAATGTCCATAACTGCGAGCCTCGTCATAGTTGGTAGCCCAGCCAAACCAACATCCACAAGGGAAGACGTGAAGACGTACAGGACTTGTCTGCACAACCTCCTTCAGCGTCAAGTTCATCCATGTATCGCATGTGACTAGATGTCCGTTCAAGGTTTCGCCATTTTTGAGCTCGACGAGCATGGGGTGGCCTTGCGCCGCTGTGAGGAGTCCAAGAGGAAGCTTGGGATGCGTCAGCAAATGGTATTTAGTACACAGTAATATACAAAGCATAGCCTTTTGGTAAGATGTATTGCGCAGGCATGGAGCACGTACCATTGTGGGGGTTGTGTTGTTCTTTGTTAATGTTGCGCCAGCTGTCTGCGACCTGTGCAATATTGCAACTCGACGCTATCGAGGTCCCCGGAGAACCTGCACCACGTGACCGCTTTATTGTTGACTTCCGGAAATATCTCGACCTTAAGGCGTCCTGTTACCCTAATTGTGCTCTAAGAGAGAGCTCTAAAAGATATTGAAGCTAGAAAGGGATTGCAACTTGCGAAGCAAATTGTAAAGCCACGGGCCTTCGAATGTGTCTTTGAAGAAAGTTGTGTATTACCAGGCTTCATCGTTCCAAATCGATCCATAATAACCAGTAAGCTCCACATGGGGTGGTTATTTTCATACAACAAACAACATGCCTCAGCTGTTATTTAGCTGGTGCTTGCTTTCTGGTGTGTGTTGATTCCGCAAACTAAGGCATCAATTGAAGCAACTTTGAGCCAGGCAACACGATATTTAAGGTCATCTAACCAACGAGATCACCATCTTTCCCTCCAAGTCTTGACCTCAAAATCATCTACCACCGATCTTCTAAGCCCACATTCTTTTTTGTTCTCTGGATAACATACGTACCATACGAATTGAATATGAGACAGAAATACTAGACCCGCACAACTCAACGGCAAATGATGGCGATTGGCTCCTTTTCGATCCTCAACATTTTCCCCAAGTGCCAATATTCGATGGGAGTGTCAGAATTCCGTAACTACTCAGAAAGTCGTTGTGAGGACGACATTCTAAGGCTGTTTCTTCATGTAAAGGAGACATTCACAGACGTAGCGGATATATGCCAGACTCCTTGTCTGCAAAATCGATGGTCAGATGTAAAGCAAGATAGCTCATGTCACATTAAGAATGCCTTACCATTATTTCATATTCTAGAATCCTTAGGACCTTCTAGCAGGGTTTGAAAGCATCCAGAAAGCATTTTTCATCTAGGTCCTCCCGTAATCCTTACCCGTCGTAGACCTTACAACCTCGCCTTGACCCCAATACGCAGAGCCTCTGTTTCTCGTTCGCCTTCACCCTTTAAACATGCCATAATGGGTCCTGCAATCCTACCATCCTTCACGGCCTGGTAAATACAACTAATCCGATTTCCGCTATTTCGCTTCTCCAACTTTTCCTCGGCACTCACGTCGCCATAAGTCGGATGATCAACAACGCCTTTGTGCAGTGGTACACCCAGTTCTTTTCTTACGAACAGATACATACATTTCGAAGCTTTACCTAGATACGGCGTTGCGTCTGGGTTGGCGAGGTACGAAGTTCTGTTAGTGCAGAAGGTAGTTCTGAGCGTGTCTTCGAGACTGCTAGTCCATTTCGTGAGTAACTCCAGTGGTGTGGTTGAGAAACGAGTGTCGGTAGCTATATACTGAACGACGATATGTTGAAGCGACTGAGCGACGATTTGGAAACGTTCGTTGGAATCTTTTGAACGCGTAGATGCTAGCGACTCTGGTAAGACTTCCCAGATGGCGTTGTGCAACTTAGGATCAGGCGTGGTGGTGCCGAAAGTCTTTGACGTAAGATATTCGACCTCTGGCCTTAATCGGGCCATAAATTGCACATTCATTGCTCGCAAATCCAAAGCCTGGCACAGACAGTAAAGATATGCTGACGACATGAGCGATACCAGGTCCACAGCTGTATGCGTGTACCTCGCACTGATCAATGCCAAACTGTTCAGCGATTGATTATTCATTTCTGCGGAATGCACATGGTTGCTGACGGGATTGGCGATATATGCAAGCTCCGACATGTACGCTGCCATGTTGATGTCAACGCCTTTCATTGGGTATGAAAGACTTGGCTCGTCGACTGCCAGATTAGGTGGGAGATTATGGGCAAGTTTAGAATCGAGAAGCTCTGAGCTTTGAGCGAAAATCATCTTGCCAATTTTCTCCAGCGCTGTGCGAGTTTTCTCAGTCGATGAAGTGACCGAGGCGGCTTGAAAGTTGCCTCCATGATGGATTTGCTTGTTTTTCACGTCGATAAGAGGATTGTCGGTAGAGGAATTCAGTTCGATCTCAAGCTGACGACGAGAGAGGGCCATATCTTCGATTCCAGGTCCTAGCCATTGGCTGCTCGTTCTCAATGCGTATCGATCTTGTCTCAAACGACCTGGGCCAGTCTCCTCGTGGTGGAAATGGGCAAGCTTGGAGCCTTTGAGGAATATGCGAATGTTTCTTGCTGCTTCCATTTGTCCTGGATGAGGCCGGACAGAGGCGATGAACGAATCGAAACTCTCGGCGGTGCCCAATAACGCTTCAACTCCCATCGCCGTCAAGATCTGAGCAAGCATCGCCAGATTCTCTGCTTGATAATGTGCGAGAGTTGCAACTGAAACCGAGAACGCAGTGCCATTCAACAGCCCAAAAATCTCCTTCGGTCCAAATCGCACAGGGGTCAATCCAATGGATCTCAAGGCTTCGTCTGCTGGGAGTAACTTGCGACCTCTGCCCTTCCCGCACCAGACCCTTATATCTGAGTTGCCTTCAAGCGTACCTACAATATATGAAAGCGGGCAAAGGTCTCCCGATGCGGAAACACTGCCTCGTAGGGGAACAAGTGGGACCAGGTCATGTTTCAGGAGCTCGAGAACGTTTCTAATGATGTCAAGGCGAACCGCCGAATGCCCTCGAAGAAGAGAATTGCATCGAACAAGCATGGCACCTCTGACCCAGGACTCCGGCATGGACAGTGTTGCGACATCAGTACCGGTAGTCTGACCAGTCTGATGAGATGCATATTCAGTACCGTGCCATTCATCAGGTATTGGAAGGATAGCACTCAATTGCATTTGCCGGAGAGCAACTTGCAGGATATCGGTCGCAGTTGTGTTGGTATCGGCGCTGCCGCCAAAACCCGTGTTGACGCCTGGAACTCAACATCAGCTTGATATCGAGGGTCCATGGAAGGAAATGACACATGCCATAGATCGAATGGCTTTCCTCAAGCGATTTACGGAGGAACTGAACACTGTCATCAACCTTTGCAACAATCTCAGCTGATAAATTGTCGACATTGACACCTGTTTTGTATCTGAAAGACCCCGTCAGTAGACTTTTCTGCTCACAATATTGATCTAATTCACTGTGCGGCTGCGACCACGTCTGAAATGGTCAGAGACTTTCCGTCCAGTTTGATCGCATCCTTTCTTGCCAGATTAGCCATCTTGATTTCCCTCGGAGATTGATTTGTTGGTTCTGTAATCTCTATACTTGACTGATGTCGGTGTCCCGCCAAAAGCATGATTTGACTTTGTATTTGACTTCGAAACTCTCTCTCTATGGAAGGTCGGTAAGATTTCTGATAAAGTCGCCGACGAGGTGAGATCGTGTAAATGCCCGAATCGTAGGCGGACACTTATGTTGATCTCAAAATCTACTGGAACTGTTCAAAGAGTTACTCGCTTGCCTTATCAAACAACGTGGAAGGATTTTTTGAATGAATCCAAAATCATGTGCAGCCCTTGTACCCAAGCTGGTAGAGGATAATTGATGTTGACAAACAAGAAATGGAGAGTAAGCGTCGAGATAAACATTTAAAGTTCACTGCTCACCGTTGAGGTGTGATTATCCTTGAGCTTTGTTGATTTATTATTTCTCCTTCGAACCCGTCATTCTATCAAAGCTGTGCCAACAAGCCGACAGAGGATTTCCGTAGGTGAGAATTGGAAATTGAAAACAAATCAAAGGAAGAAAGGACCGGAAGCCACATGGAATCACAGTCAAATTGAGAGAATGTGTCTGGCTGTACGTGTGCGCGATGCGAAGAAGAACCTCAACATAAGTGATTTTGTGGCGGTTGCTGGTAAGGAAGGAACCAACATAAGAAGCAAGCAACGTGCTCACGAATATCAAATGTCCGAGTTTCTATGGCCATGTTTCGCACTGTGCAAAACCAACAGACAAAGCAAAGGCTAGTGAGGACCTAGAGGATTCGCCCCGTCATAAAACTGTGGATGAATCTGTATTCCAGTATGTCTGGATGCATTGCAACCCACAACCACCACGAGCTCAAGGTAACAGCGAAAAATATCAGGTCGTTGCGAGATGATTTGCACCAATGATTGCGATGCCAGTGAACTGTCTGGTTGCAATCACGGCTTGGTTTGGGCAAGCAGAGGCTCAATACGTTTGAGTGAGGAGCGCAAACGAATGATGCCATGTACAGACAGTGTGACGACGCAACCCACTGTTGCATGCCGGTGGTAGAAAGTAAGACACGGCCAGGGTAGCACCAATCAGCGCCGCTGCGTGTTGGTGACACAGCTCAGAATCCAGCTGTCCGACTATTCAGTACCAATCGACAAACAAGTCTTGCATGTGAAAGCATGATCGGTTGATGAGTAGAAACGAGGAGACAGAAATTCCAACTGTGGAAGAGGCTTGGTGCTCAGTGAAAGGGAAAGCAGCCAAAATTCCACGTTCGGCCCATTTCGGAGCAGCCAATCAGCGACTCACTGCCCTGGAGGCGTCTCGCTTAGTAACAAGCGGGTAGGGGTGTTTGTTTATTCGGAAGAAATATTCTTGCTGCTTATCAAGCTTGGGGAATTAGGAAGGTGGTTCTGAGATTCCCGGGTTGGATTCACATGACGGAATTGCCAAGTGAGTGTGGACATTCACGCCTAGCCGCTGCCTAGGCACTACCTACCTACAGTATTCAAGCAGCCCCAGCCCCTCAGAAATGTATTCCGCTCTCCGGTTTGAAGTCTTTAAGAACGGAAAATCTCCAAAATGCGATACTCGACTCGGATCTAGATATATTGAACAGAACGCAAGAAATCACTTCTCGGACATGCTCTTATTTCCATGGAGTCTTTAAATTTACAACGATGTCTGTTTGTTACGCTTGCTTGGCAGGTACGGGCACTAAGTTTGGTCCATCTGATCTGACAACACGCCGAGAGACCCTTGACGCAACGCAGACGTTGCAGTGCTGCACCAATTCTTGGACTGATGTCGTTGAGTCGCCGATACCATTGTCACGCATTGGCCAATAAGAATATCAAAAGTCGGAAGACAGTCCAGAAGCAAACGAAAGATATACATTTTGTGTACTGTTTCCATAATCAGCTTCGTCCCTGTCCGTTCACTTTACCTTCGGTCATTCTTGATGCGCCTCGTCATAGTTTCAATAAAGAAATATCAGATATGGGAGAGAACGAATTACTTCTATTTCTCAGAGCGCCGTCCTCGGCCAATTCGCTTTCGTTCCAGAGAAGTTGCGAATATCTCGGCTTAAGAAACTGCAATGAGCTCACCCGTGCCAGGAAAGATAAGAACAGTCATCGAATCTGACGGCTAAGCAATTCCAACACAGAAACATGTTCGCAAGCTCTTGTTTCCTTCCTCTCAAAGTTTCCGCCAAGAACCCAAGATCTTGTACCCCGGAACACGTGAATACCCAGCACTGATTTCTTGTGACCTTCCGCTTCGGGTCACAACCGGTGGGAGCCCAAGCGATCACGTCCCTGCAAAATCTAACATGAACACCAATTTTTTGGAAATCCGCCGTTCCGATGATATGTAGCCAAGAGAACGCGAGCGGGGTTATATGTCGCTATCCAGGAAACATGTTTGCAATTGCGCTGATCGATGGCAAACTGGCGCAAAGTATAAATGACAGCTCCTGTTCCTGCATGTCGCAGCGAACTCTCTCAATCTCCCTCAAAAGTTTCACTTTTCTTATAGAGGTGCATTGTTTTGGCTAGATACCATGGTTCGCGCCTTGTCTCTTAGTACCCTTGCCCTGCTCTGCTCTGCAGTGGCGGGCAAGGAGATCAACATGATGGGAGTGGCACATTCGGAAGAGTACATCTCTGGAGCCAAGCATAACGAGATCATGAAGATCAAGATGGCGCATTGGGATTTTGAAGTCGCATCTGGGGTTATGAACAGTGAACTTTACCCGGAACTTGGGTACACTAAGTGTGTTGATGGCTTCGCTGCTGCAATTCCTGGCGACTTCAACAATACCTTCAGGTGTAGAAACGTGAATTTATTCCCAAGAAGACTTAATGCAGCTAATCTCTTCTTTTAGATGGATCTCTATCATTTCCGCTCTCATGCAAGCCTTGGAAGTGCCGTTCAAGGGCAGGCTTCCTCCTCATGGGGTTGGACTTCAGCTGATGGCCGGGAATTTGTCGCCGTCGGTCAGTTCGACGGAACTGCATTTGTCGAGATCAGCTCTGAGGGCAAGATGATCTATCTCGGTCGTCTTCCCACTTGGGATGCTGTCGGAGCACGATGGAGGGAAATTCGAGTCGTGAAGGACTTACTTGTTGTTGGCTCAGAGGCTTTCGCTCACGGCATTCAATTGTTCGATTTGACCAAGTTACTGACACTGGACCCCGCCAACCCAACAACTTTCACACAAGATGATCTTGCGAGCCATTGGGGCGTTACTTCTCAAGGAAATGCTTCCGAGCCATGGGATAAACTTCCAGTGGGCAGAACCCACAACGTTGTTGTCAACGAAGAGCTAGGCTATGCTTTGGCTGTTGGGTCTGTTGGTGGAAACGTCACGACTCGCGTGAGAGAGAATATGCCATGCAATGGCGGACTTATCTTCCTTGATATTTCTGATCCATCCAACATGAGATCAACTGGATGCGCTGCTGCGGATTTCTATGTCCACGATGCTCAGTGCGTCGTTTACAGAGGGTAAGTTCCTTGATATGACAAACACACGTCTGCAATACTGATTATTCTCTAGACCAGACAAGAGATATCAAGGTCACGATATCTGCTACGGCTACAACGAAGACACCGTCACAATCTTTGACGTTACAGGCGACAAGAAGATCGGCAACCAAACGACCATTATCGCCCGGGTGTCCTACGAAGGGGCTGAGTACATCCACCAAGGCGTTGTCCTTGACCTCCAAAACCAAGAATACCTGATCTTGGACGACGAATACGACGAAGTCCGTGCCACTGTCGGCCCAGCCACCAACAAGCTCCCCACAACTCACATCTTCGACATCCACGATCTCGAGAACCCGAAATACACTGGTTACTATCAGAACAAGGTCCGCACCATTGATCACAACCAGTACGTCTACGATGGATTCGCGTATCAGTCCAACTACGGCGCTGGATTCCACATCTACGATATTAGCTCTATTCCTCGCGATCCTACCGGAAAGTCTGTCTACGAAGCAGCGTTCTTCGATATCCACCCCGAGGACGATGAAGCGCCTGGGGGAGGCGAAGTGGTTTTTGCCGGAACGTGGTCTTCCTTCGCAGGATTCAAGTCAGGCTGGATCTACGTCAACACAATCGAACGTGGCTCTTTCATCTTGAAAGCTACAGCTAAATCACCGGCCAAGGCCCCAGTTTGTAACGCAGATAATTGTCTGAGAGCGTTCCGCGCGGATCATATTCCTGGACGCTTGGAAGAGAGTCAGGATTTCTGTGCTAGCTATCTGGCGAGGCAGAGGGATGTGCAGGATGTGACGAAAGCGTATGCGAAGAGTGCCTGTACGCGGACGATTGGGTTGAAAGCCCAGGTTTCGAGTGCATGTGCTTGTTTGCCGACGGCTACGGTTCCCGTGTAAGGAAACGTCGGAGCAGATGTTATATACTGAGTCAGTCAGGGAAGAAGTCTTGTAAACTTTGTAGAAATGATTAAGGCCTGGGGGTAGGCTTTCGCAGCGCTCTTCTCAAAACTTAGCCGAGAAGCAATCAAAAGTAAACATCTGCTGTACATAACTTCCGTTTTCAAGATGATTTCCTATTTATAATCGCCCGTATCTGCAAGTCTCACTGGTCTTGCTACAGTGGAGTCTCCTTTTGATCTGACTTAACAGCGCCCGTGAGTTTCCAGCGTGACAGGGTCGTCATCACGTGATATATGTCATTTCCCTACCGTAATGTTGACTTCAAAACTAGTAGGCACTTACGGTTGTTCTTGGGCGCAGTACGATTGGATAAGAGAGCTAGTGGTATATCTACACGTCCAGATGATGGATAAATAATCAAGTATACTTCAGGCTCCTCGTTGAGAGGATTACTTTGACGCCAACACACTGAAGCACATGAGGAACGAGAATCGCAAAGCACGGTCAATTTCAGGTTATCTTTGATATCATGCATATCCCCTCATTCGCACTCGAATCAAAAGACCCAAATCTATAACGCCATCCAATCGCCAGGAACAAAAGAAAATATGCCACAAGCTATCTTGTCGGCCGCTCTGCCATACCATGCAAAGGCTCCAAGGCTGGGGTATTTCAGATCAATACTACGACTTGATATCTGCCCCAAGAACATCACTCAGACTGCCCTCTGAGCTCTGGCTCGGTGTGTACAGCATACCAGGTCTATATCCATCCGAAATGACACTGTCCATCTCTGACCCATCATGATCCTCGTAAGCTGGCAGCTCCTCCTCGAAGTCCTGCATCAAGGGTATGGGATCCGAGACGGGGATAGATACCGGCTCTGAGACAAGAGTAGGTGTAGCAGCAGATACTGAGAGTGTTTGTGGACGTACTTGTGCTGTGACCTTTTCATTAACAGCAACATGCTCTACCATGTCTCCCACCACATCCGCCGCATTCCTCAACTGTTCGATATCCTCACTCATAGTAGTCGACATGCCATCTTCCGCATCCTCAAGTAGAGCCGCCCTCTTCTCGTCATCGTCCTCATCATCAGAGTCGTTACCTGCCATTCTAACTAGTAATCTGGTAATGATATGTTTGTGTGCTGCCCTTCGTAGGGCACGTCTACGACGGCGTCGCTCGTGCCGATCAGCTCGTCGAGCGGGTGCGCAGACTCGGCGGTGGAGGGCAGCAAGTACAAAAGCGAATAGGAAGCCAATGGAGGTGAATTTTATGACTTGAAAGGTGTGGCCGGCGTTGTGGCTTGGTCCGAGGTGGTGTGGCGGTGGACCTGGAGGTGGAGGACCAAGTCCGTAGAAAGCTGAGGGGGGAGGGGGGCCTTCGTGATCACGATCGTGTCCTGGGGGCCTGCTGTGATGTGGAGGAGGGGGTGATGGTAGATGGTCAAACTGAGGGGGTGGAGGGGGAGGAGGAGGACTATGATGGCCTGGTTGATGACTTCCATAAGAAGGTGGAGGAGGATATCTGCAAATAGGCAATGGGCGGGAGTGTGGTCGCTTCCATGGTGGAAGGTGGTGGGTATGGTTTCGATGATGAGTGTGATTGCTGCCTTCTTGTTCACGGAAGCTTTCGGAAGATTCATCCGCATGGTGTTGACCATGTCTCGGCTCGTCCTCGTTACCAGTAATCTTATTATAAATACCGAGAGCAGCATGTTTGGTCTTACGAGCCATAGCGTTCACGACACATTTCAGACTATCACAGTCCTTGATATCGGTCTCGTAGTGCTGATTTGCGTGATGAGCGATCGACCGCTCCTTTTGGTGAATCAGATATGTAAGCTCTCGCAGCTGACTCCACAGGTAATGCAACTCGGCGAGATCCTCCTCGATTCCTCCAAGATGCTTGTGAGTGTTGCCATGGTCTGGAAGAAGACTCTCGGGATTGGGATTGGCTGCAATCTCGTCAGGAACCGTGGGGTCGGTCTCGATGTTCACGATCTCTGGTGTGCCAGACTGTCTGAACAGCATCGAAAATCCAGAATCCTCCATAGCCATCCCATCAATATAGTTGATTGTGAACTTCAACAGTTGTGCATCCGGTACACCATTGACACGAATGCAGTGGAACTCCCAGGATGCAACAACGACACCCTTGGTGATTGTCGAGACGGAACCTTTTCCACGCGATATATCACCATCGACGGTCTGGGGTAGAACCGTTCCATCGACAGTCACATTTCCAAAACCACATGGAGTCTCTGTATCAAGGACTTCGAGCTGGAAGTCCAGCGTGGTAGGTACAACATCAGGTGATTTATTTGGAACATCGATTTGGACGTGGGCGAAGGCTTGAGCTTCTTGAGTGCGGAGTTAGCAAGGAAGTATAAAAGTGGATGGGAGACATGTAGCTCTTACCAGGCAAGGACTTGATACCTCTTCGATCCCATTCTTGGTCAACTTGGTCATCGGGCACAAATGGTGCAGCATACACAGCTACTGGCAGGAGCACCAGAGCATTGAGGAGGCTGCGCATGCCTGAGAGCCAGATGGACTCGCTTATCAATAAAACGAAGGCCTGAAAAAATACACAAAATGAATGATAAAGCGAATTTGCGACCCGACCAAACCAAATGTTATATGATTGATACCTAAAAATCCGCGACAAACGAACCGGAATAAAGGGACAAGTTCGGGGAGGCCTGGAATGATAAAGCAAAGTCATCTGGCAATCCCCTCGTCTGAAGTGGCTGCGCACGCAAGCCAATCTCCATGCAATGCAATCTTGCAGGCGTCGTCGCCAGTGGGGGTGCCTCTAACCGAATTTATGCTGGAGGGTGACGACGCTCAGCACCGGCCCTGCAGAAAACGTCCACCGCACGGTTCTGTCCACAGCCAGCCAGCGAATCAAGTATCCAGAACCATACTTCAAAACAATTGCCCTGTACAGTACTCGTACATCCGACACCCTAAATCCGGGACGGGGAGTAGGTATTTTCGATTTTCGACGTTTGGTGGACGCGACTCGAAAGAGATCAGATAAGCCAAAATTCGACTTTTGATCTGGTGGACGCCCATGATGCAAAGCTTGTTCCGATGATGGAATTCGCACTGAACAGTCTGTTAGTCGATTATGTGACCTTAAGATTGAGCTTCCTTTCGTTTCTTTCGCGGGTTTTGCTAACTCTTCCTTGAATTCTTTTGCTGGATGTCAGGATTAACATGCGACAAGTTATTATGCGTATTGTTCTGCCCCATCGTTCTCCGAGTCGAGGTACTTGGAAATATTTCGAAGTCGGTCCCTTGCCATTGCCCCTCTCGTCCATGGGGAGCACACCGGAAGAGAGGAATTTTGTGCGTGGCTTTCCTGCCCAATGTTGCTCCAAATACTGACGATATATGGTTGAGATGGAGACTTCCCAACACTAATTAGGAATATCCATCCAGGGTGCTGCAGTCAGACTCACGGGGTTGATGGTTCCACCTGTGACAGAAATCCTGTTACAGGATGCGATAGAACAGCTGCTGAATGGCTGCATGGATCTGAAAATAGAGCTCTGGAACTTCTAAGGCGTGTCTCTTGGGTTCTGATATGCAAATAACCGCAAGATCCTCATAAGTGGAATTCGATCGGTCGAGGGAGCAAGTGCCAAGCTCTTGGAAGCAGTCCAAGATCCCCAGATTGATGAAGCTCGGCAAGGAGGGGGAGGGGGTTTCTCTTTATAATTCCTCCGGGATTCAGCTTTATACTCCACTGACATAGAAGAGTGCCAGATCTATTACTCTCAATCATGTTTGACAGCTTTCGCTCAATTTGTGGAAAATTTATGCCTACAAATCACCGGTTATGACATGTCTGGCCAAACCAGCAATGGTCAATGGGACTATGAGAGGATAAGTACCCGATCTGGCCTTAATTCGAACTTGAGTAGATGCACTCTCGACTCTTGATTAATTGAGTTGATTCCAGTTTTTCGTTTTTCAGTCATCATGAGGTTATCTCTCCTTGCCATCGCTTTCTTGAAAATTGTTCCAGCTTTTGCTGCATGTACCGACTCTGCAGATGGATTCGCTTCGTAAGTCATGCCTATCGACCGTATCAATTCTTCCGAAAATATTCACTAACGCCAATTCAAGCTTAAATGGCGGTACAACAGGAGGATCTGGTGGCACCGTTGTCACAGTCTCTAATCAAGCCGATTTAAACACCTATGCCACAGCGCAAGAAAAATATATCATTAAGGTAGCCGGGAAAATCACCATTGCACCCAAAGGTACAGAAATTAGAGTTTCAAGTGACAAAACCATCATCGGAGTTGGCTCTACTGGAGAGATCTATGGCGGAGGATTCTTCTTGAACGGAGTCAAGAACGTGATCATCAGGAATCTCAAGATCGGTAATCTTCTTGAAACACTGCACACCAAATCGAGAACTGATATTGTAGGCAACACATATGTGGATGGGGACTATGACGGGAAGACCCAGGACTGGGATGGAATTCAAATGGTATGTATGTCATGAGCGAAAGAAACACCTCTCTGACCGGACCAGGACACTGCTTCCAATGTCTGGATTGATCACTGCCTTCTAGAAAGAGGTGGTGATGGCTTGATCGACAGCCGAAAAGACACTAATTTCCTCACCGTATCTTATACTATTCTCCGTGACCACAACAAAGCATTCGGCATCGGATGGACGGAGAACTTAGTCGCACAAGCCACTATTCACCACAATTACTTCCAGAACCTCAACCAGCGCAACCCCAGCGCCGACAATCTGAAATATGCCCATCTTTATAACAATTACGTCAATAATGTCACTTCATATGGCCACTATACTAGAGGTCAGACAAATGCGGTTATTGAAAATGTGTATTTCAAGAAGGTGAAGAATTCGATTCAGAAGGATGCGGGAGCTGTGTTGCGTGCGAGTGGTAATGTGTTCGATTCTTGCACTGGGACGATTGCTGCAAATTCCGGGACTGCTTTCAAGCCTGCGGACTTCTACAAATATACTCTGGATACGAGTGCGAACGTTCCTTCAATTGTTGAGGCACAGGCTGGGCCAAAGGCCTCAATTTGTACCTGAGGGGTATGGCTGAAAACTGCAAGCATGGTGTGTCTGGATGTAACTCTCGATTCTGAGATGCTGGCTAAAGAACGGGCATGAATACCTGGCAATTTTGTGCCTTCCACGCAAACTTATGAGATACAATCGGCCCTCATCAATAGATTCAATCAGATCTCGCAATGAAGGGAGCATTGGGTAGACTTCTTGTTGTCGGTGGACCCTGTTGGCTACCAGTCTTATCCAGTACAACATTGATCAAAATAAAAGAAGCGAAGATACTCAAACTACAACTCACCAGTAAATTACACGAGAACTAGAAACCAAACAAACGTTTTTCTTTGCCTGGAGCTTGGTAACTGGGGCTGATACCTAAGTACCTCAGCGAGAATATTGAGACGTGACCTGGAATGATGACCTGGAAAGACTGTAATAACCAGGTCTCTTCTGCTTTCTTTGTGCGGAAGCGTTCACAATCAATCTCTAGTAATCACCAAACAGTTGTTCTTATGTTATAGAGTTAATGGATTCCCATCTTAGCCAGCTCCATGGATCTAAAAGAGGGATATCTTCCTTGGTAACAAAGAGAGTATCAGGTATGATACAAAAAGCAACTAGACGGATACAATGCAAAAAAAGAAGCCGGAAATCATCTTTAGTAATGCTCTACAAGACCACCGGGATCTAGTCCGTAGCTTTTCTTGATTCTCACCCCCATGCACATCCATGTCAACAGGTCTTCGCTTCGTCTCATCGCGTGTACTGAAAATGACGATATTAAGAAAGAACTGCTCACTGAGTAAAATGATCAATGATATACGGAGAGATACCGTTCAGACCACGATACCTCATCATATACTCAAAGAATAGTCTCTTTAGGTAGTACCGTCAAACAGAAGGTGTTGTCCCCTGCCTCGCTTCGATTCTTAAGGGCCCAACCGAAGCGCTAAATTGTTGGCGTAATTTAGCGTCTGACACTAAATCTACCTAATTCCAACGCGACGTGAAAACTTTAACCACGTCGATGATGCGTTGCACTGCTCTACTTCCACGTCTACATTATACAAGCTCTCATGCACAGGACTTCAAGTGATATCTTCGTGCTCCTATCTGTGGCGTAGTTACCCCCTTTGCTGCTGTGTCTATTTGCAAAACTCATTTGGATGCCCTCGCGGGGGTTCTCAATCCGGATGTGCCGGGTGCATGCTGACAGCATCGCAGAATAACCGCTTTGTCTCAGGGTTTTGAAGGACTGTACAGAGTATGCATTTCTCTAGTCTGTATACAACATGATGCTGAGAGGCCGTTAAATACAGAAAGATGGCTATATAGTCGTTGGTTCACCACCCTCATAACGATACAAGTGATCGCTCTTGAAGCCTTGATGCATTATCTCAAATTCGCATTACCCTCTCTGAGAATTACATGCTATGCAAAACCTCGTCTATCCTTTCCAGACACCCTTTTCTGCTGCATGCCATGCTAATTTGCCGTTGAAGAATCAGGCAGATGACAAGATACACTGTAAAAGTTGCGGCATCTGTCAAGGGAATGGAGTTAAGCGTCCGAAAATAGTTTTGCCCAAGAGAAATTCAATTGAAGTCGCTACCCGTCATTTTTTACGCCCTGGGGTATATACAACGCCTTTTGTGTCGACAACATAGGAAAGTCGTCAGGGAATACTTTTCGTGCCGAAGGTAGACGGCAACTTCAGCACGTATGCGCCGTCGAGATGATGTTTTGACCTTGGAGATGACCGAAAGCTGGAAGTAGCTGGTCATTGGTGATCCATATTCTCATTTAGGTGGCCGAGGAGCATTTTATAGACGTTCTCATTCCATGGAGTCGTATCGACAATGTCACTGCAAGCGATCGTTAGCTCTCGTTTCGAGAATTATATCATGAGGCGGATACATACTGGTCTAAGTTGAGAACTTTGGTGAGATCATCATCGAGGTACCTTAGACGTTCCATACCAATTGGATCGCTGCCAAAGCTTATAAATTGTATCCCGATCTGCTCTCTGTCCTTCCTGAGGTCTTCAAGTTTCCGTACCACATTCATGATTGGAATTTCTGGCTTGCATTCCTTCTCCCATACTGCATTGGTCAGAATATACAGGCTCAATGGCTTTGGCTTTTTGTTCCACCATTTATCTTTGTCAAGTTTGGCTTTGTACTTGTCCAGTATCTTCGTTAGACAAAAGTTGATGTCTGTTGTTGCAGTTGAGTTGCGCTGTTTCTGATTCTGCACCAATTGAACTAAGTCCTTGGTGTGCCTTTCCTCTAACGCGGTTCGTTCTGAGATGGTGAAGTGAAGATCGAGCCCATTCTTATCAAGATCCTTCAAGATGAATGACAAGCCCTCAACAACGTCCACCACATTCGGCCCTAAATACACAATATTAGCAGTTGTTATTCCCCGTACTGGCTCAGAAATGGTATGGGCTATTTGCAGGAAACCCTGAGAATTTGTTGAGGAAATTATTGGCCGAACTAAACTTACAATGCTGGACCATGCTATATGAGTCGTCGATAAGGAATACCTGACTTCAGTGTCAGCGCCTTGTATAATAGGTGGAGGAAGTCCTTACATGATCTCGGCCTTTGAGCCGGTCTTGACGCTGCTGGTTGAGGCACGACTTCTTTGCACCACCTGATTTATATCTTCGTTTTGAGTCCAAGACCTCAGTCAAGTGCAAGTAATCGGACGTGGAATGTTGGAGAGCCGGACGATGATTGGGAGTCTGTGGTTGCAGAGTTTCATGTTCCAGTGCTGTTGAACTCGGGCGAACCAGAACGGAAGTTGCACCATCTACGCCTGGATGGCCACTGACTTCTGTAGTGGTAGTAGTCATGCTCGAATGATGCGGTGTCTCCCGCTGTGGATAGTCTAGCGACGATACCGAGTATGAAGCGATGGTTGTGAGTGGTCTTTGACTTTCCGGGCTGCCATTCATGTTCGAGCCGAGGCTGTAGCGTGCCCGGTGTTGATGATTGCGCCCAAGACTTCCTGAGTATCTTGGGCTGATACCTGAACCAGGTATGTTGAACGCACTACTGTTTGACAGTTCAGGGGCGGCGCCATGTGGCTCAACAGATCTATAAGGTAATGCAGTGGCATTCTGCTGCATGGAACTAGTAAATAGATCTTCGTTTGAGCCTTTTGAGGAACTCTGAAGTGGATAATGAGACTTTGGGCTGAAAGGGGGCGTCAAGGGCGAATTTCCTCCAAAAATTTCCACACTCGCCTTTCCCTGCACTGGCGTGGTCTCCAGGCTCTGACTCTCACATCCAATATTTTCAGGGCTGTGATGACGAGGAATGTTGTACCCCAGCGATTCGTTTACGGAGGGATAGCCAGACTGCCCTTCGTGGACGAACAGCCCCTGCCTAAGGAATGTTGGGGAATGTTCGGGTGGAAGAACTGGTGGTAGTCGTGGCTCGGAATTCGACGAGGGGCTAGGTACGGGATGCGTCACCGATCTTGGTTGGATGCGCTCGTTCAAGTTCGAGTCAGAACCGAGCAGATGCGGTAGCTTTGAGGACTCTCGCAGATTCTTCTTCGCAGCATCAACAATACCTCGTTGCTTGCGCCAAAGATTTTCAGCAGTTGGCCGGTGCTTAGTCTCGACGAGCATATCTCCGATCATATCAACAACTTTCTCGGTGATGAAATCCGCCTTTTGGAGAGTCCGAATGCGATTCAATGCAGTCTGGTGCGACCTGCGAACAGTTTCCAAGGCTTCAGTTCCGTTATGGAAGCAGTCAACCTCTCCGCCAGAATGTATTTGAGCAAGTTCAACCTTACGCTCTCGCCGGTAATTGATGACTCCGAGTTTCTTTTCCGCCATCCACCGGACGGCTTCGCTAAATATGCAGCCCAAGGACCAAATATCGATGTTTTGCTTCACACGCAGTTTGTGCCTTGCTAAGTATTCGTCCGGTCTAGAGGTTTCAGGGGCGCCTGTACTCCACCTAATTAGCACATTTTCGGTTGAACTTGTCTTAGGGTACAATTTGAGGAAGTCTTGACACACCGTAAGTATGGGTCCCATACGAGTCACTAGCAGTAGATTCTTCTCTCAACGAGTTCTTTCTCTTGAAATGGCTGATTCCGAGGTCTGCGAGCTTGAAGTTCCAGTCCTGAGGGTTGTCCGAGCCATTGCTGAGGACCAGTATGTTTTCTGGCTTGACATCTTGGTGCCATCTACTCCCTTCAGTTAATATTGTCCCGATCGAAGACGCTTCGATGAACTTACCCTTGGAAGATCTGTGGACGTTCTGTTTCATCTGCATCAACTGTATGTATCTTCAACAACGCATCTATGAGTTGAAATAACCCCTCCCAGAATCGTATGATCCCTTCCCCTGAAGTAGGCGGCAGCTGCTTTTCAAAGAATTCTTTCAACGTCCCCTTGTCCGCATATTCCAAGATCACATTGAATGTCCCACCACGTGTGAAGCTCCCATAATAGCTTATTATGTGTTGGTGTTTCCCAATCTGACCGAAGGCGGAAGCTTCGTTATAGTAATACTTTTGCGCATCTGCTGTGGAGTATTCTTTGAGGACGAAAGTGTTTGCGTTTTCTTTTCCTACTTTCTGTTTGATGCATTAGTGTATTTTTTATTCTTCTCAGTACAATGAGGAACTTGTGGACTTGCCGTTTTGTAGTCCTCTGAGATGAGCTTGTTGTAAGACGGGTGGATGTTGATGAGCCAAAGCTTCGCGGTTCCACCATCACGCAACTTCCGCTTGTAAGTTATCGGTAGTACTCTTTGTTCTTCAAAGCACAGGTCCGATACTGGTGCTTCCAATGTTGGTGCGCAGAATCTCCACTGTTCTTTGCAGAAGTCGCTCAAGAAGTTTGGATCATCAGGGGTGGGAGGCCAGTTTTCGGGAGGATTATTTAAATGAAACGGCAGCCTGGAATCCTGCAGGGACTCAAAGCGGGTGAAGTGTTTGATGTAGCTGCCTCTTCCCGAGTGGAGAAGTGTGCAAAATATGGCGGTATATTTGGGTATTATGTGGCCAGGATTCACGCGTGCTGACGGTACCAGCTTCAGCCCGTCAATAATGTTATGAAGCTCCCGATAGCCTCTCTTCTCGAAGTATTCCTGGGCTAGGTCCCGTGGAAGAAAGGGACGAGTCGTTGGACGTAATGAATCGGAAGGGTCGCCTGGGTCAACCACCTCTAAGGCACAGCTTCTTGTCGTGTAGTTCAGGAATTGTCTCCTCGCGGGGTCGAAACTGGGTGGCTCAGAGCGCTGCTCCATGTTGAAGAGGCTCCAGAGTGTGTGAAATTAAGTTGATGGCGCGATGGGAAACAAAGCAGGTTTATGCAGATTGCATACAACTGCGCATTGGAGTGATAAGATCATTGGAGAAAGTCCTTCACGATGACTGAGAGAAGGCTCGCAATGGTCTGAAGAGAGAGCCTCATAGAATGGCCAGCCGTATTTGCTGGGCTGTTAAGATCCAGCTTGAAGCGGCGAGGGGTAAATGATAAGCAGCGCAAGCCCCCAGACACAGCAGCAGGGGAGCTCAGTGGCGACCCAATGAGGGAACACAGGATCCTCGGTCTGGGCCGTGCCAGACGGTAAGTCATTGTAGAAAGCTTGGCTTGGAGGGGATGTCGGGAATACCCTCTTGAAGCCCGCTTGAACGCAAGTTGACGCAACACGGTCAGATTAAGCAGAACATCTCAACGATTGATAAAGTTACCAGTACATGGGATCAAGTTGAGTCTACCAATGTTCATTCTCTCAACAACATATATGTTCCACTGTCCAGGGCAGAAAATGTGCATCCTTAACACTTTGACCGGAACACTGTGGGCATCGTGGACGAGATACACGGGGCAAAAAAGAAACGACACTCTCAAATCTTGTGTACCACAGGCAGGTTTACCGTCTTCTCCAGCATCTGGCCTTGCTATGCCTCCAGACTTCAGGTGCCTTCTCTAATCTCATTGTACTGAGGAAGCCAGCGACGGAAAGTGCCTCCACTCTGCTGTTCTTCCCTTCGGTTCACCAGCCAGTAGACCAGCCACCACGCAATGAAGGTGATTGCCATCAAAGGAAGAGTGATAACCAGCCACAATTGGAGAGCTCCTGACTGGAATACTTTTCCAGATTCCTGCTTGGAGGGGAATTTTATGATATCTGTACTCATCACCGTCTGGGAATTCAGGTCAGTCAATCTGCTCACGATACGGAATGGCGAAACTGGTCTGACGGGTGTAACTATTGAGTCTAGGTATCTTACAGAGATAAATGTGCCAGGTAAGAAGAACAAAGTTACAAGCGTAATAATCCTCATAGAAACGGTTTCTTGTTTGGTTTTCAAGGCAAGATGATGCATTGCTTCAGTGATAGCTTCCATTTTGGATGCTGAGTGCTGCGAATGTGTCGCAAACTCCTTACTAGCCTCGATATTAGAGTTATTGAGAAGTCCTGAGAGCTACAAGTAACGCGAGTTAGATTTTGCCTTCGAAATGTGCCCGAAGTTGAGAAACTCACTATGCTCTTTCTATTTTCCAGCAGTCGAAGCAGTGTCTGAGCACTAGAATGCTGAATTTCGAGATCGCCAATGATGTTTGCAATGCGCTTTTCGAAATAGGAAATTTTGACTCTGGTTTCAGACTTCAATTCAGACGGGCACTCGTCTGATGCAAGAACTGTCTGATAGTGTTTTCTTATGTTTTTCACTATCTTGATGTTGGCCTCGATGATGAGTAGGACTTCGTTTGTTTTGTCTTCGATGACCTGCACCTGTTGCAGGGTTCTTACCGAGAATACCTCGTCTTTTTCGGGTTTCTGATATGTTGCCTGAGATCCCATTGGGTCCATTCCAGGTGGCAATACAGGTGGTAGTTGAGGTGCTGTCTCGTCCAGTGGGGATACTGGGGGAGACAGCGGAGACATGGGTGGCTGCGGGAACGATGGACGATATTCTCCTTTCTCCATGGAGGAGCTGGAACTCGTATATTTCCTGGAGGAAGACAGTGTACGCTTCGTGTAAGCAGATATCGTTCTCGTAATTGACTTTGTATGCTGCTTTCGTTCCTGGTATGCTTCTGGTTCCACAAAGCTTCGAGCTTTTGGAATGTCAACGACCAACGCACGTCGTGTTAGTCGTTGAAGTTCCTTCTCTAGAAATGTAAGGTACCACCTCCAGTCTTCATCACACCAGTCACAAAGAACCAAGTGCGTTTCGAGTGCTGAGCCAAGGGAGCTTGAGACAGAATCGAAGGAGCTTAGCTCTGTCGAGGAAGAACCCTCTTCAATAGCGCTTGACGCTGATCGCACACGATCTCGGATGAGATGGCTCCCCTTCATTACAATCCAGCATGCTTTGCCTGTCACTAGATCAAATGAATGATAGACAGCAGTTTGTCGGATAGACCATGGGAAATCTTGGTCGATTATCTTGGGCTCCACGGACTTCAGACTGTAGCACATTCGGATCTCGACGCCGGAGCGACCAAGCTCCGGTATGATCAGACCTCCATCTGAGGGAACTAATTTTGTGTCTTCCCTGAAACCACTGAAAAGAAGGTCTTCAGCGTATTGTTGGTGCCCAAAGGGGAACACAAAGTCTAGAAAGCTTGGCATCACTTGGTGATGCGTAAGTGCCCGTACAAACATGCGCCGACTGGCTCTTAGGCATTCACGCGAGTTACGTGCATGTATGAATCTATTACAGTAAGCTAAGTGGATCTCAGTGTATAAGAATCAGTGGTAGCATACATGAACCGGGATCTAGGATCGTCTCGGACAAACAAGCGCTCCCCTTCAAGTCGTGCTATGAGCTCAAATTCATTCGCAACGCAGGTATTGTGGAATTCTAGCACATTTATTAGAACAATATAGTAAATCTTCACAAAGTACGAACCTTTCGCGAAGTCATCATAATCCCAAAGGTCAATACTCGCTTTTCCATCGACGCAGAATAGTCTCCCATCGTGGCTGTTCAGTCGCTTCAGATAGCCTTCTAAATGATGCCTCGACGTCGTTGGCCGGACTGTGTTTCTAGGGAAAGTTGCTGCTTTCAGTGTCGCGCCTCTGAGTAGTTCTTGATCCGGTAGAATAGTCATCTCTTCACATTCGGAAACAATTAAATTCTACAGTGCTTGGAAGACTGCATTGATTGAGAAGTGAAAGTCCTTGAAGAAGATTGAAGAGTATGAAAGCTCTGTGGACCCCTATGTATCTGTACGGAGGAGTGGCGGTGTTGAGAAAAAGGCATGCAAGGCCTCAACCGTCCAATCGGGGCTGTGAACGGTACACACCATGCCATGAGCACAGCACCACGAATTTAAGAAGTCGGAGCCCTCCACGTTGGCAAAACAACCTTCTCATAGCCCTGCAATCCGTGTCTAACCTCGTACAGCTAAAGCCTTGAAACCAGACCGTCCAACCCATCCTTGAAAAAACATGAATTTGTGAAGTCCCGCGCCACTTCCCTGGAACCTCACAGTACATCCTCGCCCTACTACCCAGTCTAAATCTGTCGCATAACCAAGCTCTGACATTCTCAGATGCACAGCCTGGTGAACATTCCCCCCCTCATCACTTACAGTCAACGTGAAAAGTTGGAGAAACTGACATCTTCAATAATACCCTCTCGATTTCAGCTCATCCTTTTCAGCCTACACAAATGAATCAGCCCCATCAATTGCCTTACTTACATAGTGCACCGGCTTACATCGGATAATTTCCTTGGAACCCAGAATTTTATTGTGTCGGAATCAGTAAACTAGAGAATGTCGTTTAGTATTCGTGTGAGTGTAGAAATGCTTGAGATTGAGCTAGTACCTTCGTAAGAAAATTCCAATTGCCAAAAAGTTCCTTCAGATAAGTGTTGACAATGTCTACCGTAAGACTGTATCGAGCTGTTGAGTCCCAGCTGGCATGCGACCAATCGAGGGTGCCCGACATCGTGGAGTTTGAGTGCTTGCTACGCCGAGGCGCTGTGGTGGGTTGTATGGCCGAGTAAACTTCGCCGCCCCGAATGACACGACGGAGGCAGTCCGTTGCTGCGCAGAGTTTGGGATACACGGCTCAGCTATCCTTGGGGCAGAAAGCCTGACTTAATAGTCTGGGGCTCCCCCGAGGCAAATTGATGCCTGTAAGGCAAAGGCTGCCTTCATGCGGGCGCAGCAGTGACACAATCACCCAGCCAGTAACATGCAGCCAGGATGGGTAATCAGCAGACGGGACAGGTGACCATGAGGCTGAGAAACCCGCTGCTGTGCTGTCGCACAAAGATACATATGTCCATCCTAATGTCCTGAAAACACCCCAAAGCTTGAGGGCAAGAACCACAGCCCTCAGGTAAAGACCATGTTAGTATTTCCGCTTCAAGGCCCTGTCCATAAAGTCAAAACATGGTTGTAGAAGCCTTTTTCGCAACTGAAACGGAGAATTATATGCTATAATTTTGAGTGCTATCAAAATATCAGATATTCTCGCCTTTCTGCAGCTTGAAGGCGTTGGAAACATTGTAGCACTGGAGTGTTTATCTGCGTTGAACACCACATTCGCATTACCCGAGAGTTCAACAATCCCAGAAAAGTCATCGGCGTCTTCCAAAATCATGAATAACGCCCTAATCCTGTTTGAGCTTAGTTACTGTTAGATTGAGAGTCCACAGCTCCATCTGCTTATGAAGGATAGCAAGACCAGGGGGGAAAATACACATTGACAGTGTTCTTGTTGTCTACTATATACCCTATGGAATCGTCCTACTCCAGGGATCTAGTGGTCTTAAATGTAAGAAATGTCTTTAAAAGGAGTGAAAATGACTTAGGTGTCGAAAAAGGCCTCCACCCGTTTTGACAATTGCCTCTGATAGTAGGCGTCTGATAGCCGATAACAGTGACATTCTTCATATCAGCTGCAGACCCATGCCAGGAGTGGAAAACACCTACAGCTATCCTAACCATACCGATGTAGATACCGATATAGATACCGATACAGCTCAAGTAACTTTCATCTCCGTCTCCCCGACATTTTCTGCATCACCTTCGCTTGCAGACTGGGCCAGTCGCTTAGTTGCTCAAAGTCAACAAACCAGTCCCACTAGTCGCAAAACACGAACCTTGCAGAGACGTAAATGACCAAGGCAATACAAAGAAGGCTGCACATTGGATCAACTCGATTGCTAGTAGTTGGTGAATTCCAGACCGAAGGGGAGATATGCCCGGCATATTTTTGAGATGAAAATATGCCGACAAGTAGAGCTGTCACTCAATATCCGACATTGGTCGGGAAGTGTGGTATAGGAAGCAGTGAGATTAGGGCTCGCACTGTCAACTAAGAAGACCTGCATCGACCATGCGATGCGCTCAGGTTTGATCTGGTGGTGGAGATTCACGCAGGTGGTTTCCCACGTATGTACCTATCCTGGAGCTGTAGCCTACTGCGAGGATTTTACCTCTGCAACGGACTCGTCAGAGCTAAACGAAACTCTCTACCTCGCCAAAAATCAATAGCGATAAGAAGAGATGTCAAATAAGCAGGCTCTAGAATCCGTGCAACTTTGTTCGACTAATTTGATGGTATGTAAGTGAATCTAAACATGCCACTGCTCATGTGAGCAGCGATATCTTGCCACTGCTGTACAGAAAATCCCTTTCGCTTTCCTTTAATGGCACCGAGAATTCTGGGATGTTGTCTGGATTGGCAGCGTGCATTTCGTTTCCTGGTTCGTGATTCCACGCTTGTTAGGTGCCATATATGAATTTAACAGCACAAGAGAGATGCTATAAGAACCATTTGTGCCAAGGTTCCGAGTAGAAGTATTCAGTTCAGGTCCGACACAGGAAGAAATCAAAAGCCGCCTACATCGCCAAGCCCAAGAACCACCGGCATCCGCATGAGAATTCGCTCCAGTGATAGTTAATGGAATATCTGAAACCAGGTTAGGTGAAAGGAAACTCCCATCCCATATTTTCTTCCTAATGACATATTGAGGTGTTGTAAATAAAGGTTCATTTTTGGGAATGTGGAATAGAGGCACGAAATATCGGCGATTGGATTGAAATCTATATATACTCCAGGACATGTCTGACAGGCTTCAAAGCTATTCCTGGGGTCTTACCCGGCGACTTGCTTGACAATCCTGCATCCCCGACATCTGCTTCCGGAAAAATCTGTCACTGCAGCAGCCCGACCCGGAGTATCAAGTAGGACCAGCTAATTGCTCGACGTCTCTATGGTCTTCGCGTAGGACATGTATTCAAGAAGACGAGGAAACATACTCCACTTACTTGAGTGCCCTACCTGTGATATTGTGAAGCAAGAGGAAACCGTGTCATGTGACCATGTCGTGGTCTCGTGGGTTAAGCGAGGGAATATTCGCCAAGCCTTTAATGCAAGCACTCAACGCGACCTCCTCGCGTGTCGACGCGACCTAATTCCGGTTTCGCGTCAGCCCCTTTCAAAACTTCAACCTCTCACTCTGTCCCTCTCCTCAGATACGCAGACGCAGCACAGCACAACACAGCACAACACAACACATTCGATCACAAACTCGAATATGGATCCAGCACAGTTGAAAGATGAAGCCGTCGCTGACCGCGTTCGCGCTGCTGCAGAATTTCTTGATCCAAGTATGGCCCCTTTCCAGAAAGACCCCGCTCATGCTAACCGCCGTCCGTAGGTGATCCCACTACACGCAGTTATCGATCAGATATTATCTTGATGCTGCAGAAGTTCCAAAGACGACTGGTAGTCAGCATTGATGAAGTGCGCGCACGCAATGTCGAACTTGCAGAGGGTTTGCTGCAGCAGCCGTTTGACTACGCCCAAGCCTTCGACCGAGCTCTCAAGGAGGTCATTCAGACCCTACCAACGACAAATTTGAAGCAGATTTCCGATGATACTATGTACTACTGCGCTTTCTCTGGGAGTTTTGGACAATATGCTTGCAATCCACGAACCCTCTCCTCGTCATACCTCAACCACATGGTTTCGCTTGAAGGAATTGTTACCAGGTGCTCTCTCGTGAGGCCCAAGGTAGTCAAGAGTGTGCATTACAATGAAAAGAAGAAGATCTTTCACTTTCGCGAATACAAAGATCAGACCATGACTTCTGGAGCCACTACTTCCAGCGTATACCCACAGGAAGACGAAGAGGGGAATCCTCTTGTCACTGAATACGGATATTGCACATACAGAGATCATCAGACTATCTCAATACAAGAAATGCCTGAGCGTGCACCAGCCGGGCAGCTACCTCGAGGTGTTGATGTCATCTTAGATGATGATCTGGTCGACAAGTGCAAACCTGGAGACAGAGTTCAGCTTGTTGGCATTTATCGATCTCTGGGAAACAGAAATGCGGGACACAACACTGCTCTTTTCAAAACGGTCATCCTCGCAAACAATGTTGTCATGCTATCATCCAAATCAGGAGGTGGAATTGCTGCTGCCACAATCACGGATACCGATATTCGTAATATCAACAAGATTTCGAAGAAGAAAAATGTCTTTGACCTTCTCTCCCAGTCACTGGCTCCAAGCATTTATGGTCACGAGCATATCAAAAAAGCCATCCTGCTGATGTTGCTCAGTGGGCAGGAGAAGAATTTGGAGAATGGAACGCATCTCAGGGGAGACATCAACATCTTAATGGTTGGTGATCCATCGACTGCAAAGTCTCAATTACTGCGGTTTGTCCTGAACACTGCACCCCTTGCCATCGCTACAACTGGCCGAGGATCGTCTGGTGTCGGTCTTACAGCTGCCGTCACGTCAGATAAGGAAACCGGGGAACGAAGACTCGAGGCTGGTGCTATGGTTCTTGCTGATCGCGGAGTTGTGTGCATCGATGAATTCGACAAAATGTCCGATATCGATCGTGTTGCTATTCACGAAGTCATGGAACAGCAGACTGTGACAATTGCAAAAGCCGGTATCCATACCTCGTTGAACGCTCGGTGCAGTGTAATTGCAGCCGCCAATCCTATCTTCGGACAGTACGATACCCACAAGGATCCTCATAAGAATATCGCCCTTCCAGATTCTCTCCTATCCCGTTTCGATTTGCTCTTCGTTGTTACGGATGACATTGATGATGCGCGAGATCGTCAGATATCTGAGCACGTTCTTCGTATGCATCGTTATCGACAACCTGGTACCGAGGAAGGAGCACCGGTCCGAGAGCAGTCTCAACAGACTCTAGGTGTCGGAGTTGAGCAGGAAGCTGATGCCAATCGCCCTACCGATGTGTTTGAAAAGTACAATCAGATGCTTCACGCTGGTGTTACGCTTACCACTGGTCGTGGTGCAAACAAGAAGGTCGAGGTCCTAAGTATACCTTTCGTCAAGAAATATATCCAGTACGCCAAGTCGAGAATAAAACCAGTCTTGACAGTAGAGGCTTCCGAGAGAATCAGCGAGATCTACGTCTCTCTCAGGAACGATGACATGCAAGGGAACCAGAGGAAGACAAGTCCCATGACCGTCCGTACCCTTGAGACCATCATCCGTCTCTCCACAGCTCACGCCAAGTCTCGCTTGTCAGCTCGTGTCGAAGAACGAGATGCTCTTGCTGCAGAGGCTATTCTTAGATTCGCTCTTTTCAAGGAAGTAGTTGAGGATGAGAAGCGCAGCAAGCGCCGCAAGACTAGACCCCTCGAGGATCTGTCTTCTGATGACGAGAGCTCGGATGATTCCGACTCGCCGCCTCCAAGTACTAGAGCAGGAACCTCGAGGACCCGCACTCCCGGCACAACATCGCGAACTCGTGCTGTGAATGGCAGAAAGGCAGGTCAGAATGGCTCTAGCTCTCGTACGAATGGTGACAACGGTGGAGATACTATTTCTGATGATGAGGAAGATGATCTCTACACTGCGTCGCCAAGAACCACAACTCAAAGATCACGACCAAACGGAACCAATGGCACAAGTGCATCTCAAACATCGTTCGCGTCCTCCCTACCTGTATCTCAATTACAGAGCCAATCTCAATCTCAGGAAGAAGATACTGAACTTGCTAGTGGGGCAGCTGCATTGAGCATTGCACCAACAATTACTCCTTCGAGGTTGACGCTGTTCAGAAGCACTCTCGGTCAACTGCTCAGTTCACCTCTCTTCGAAGACGATTCTGCTGAGGTTGACAATATCATCACTGCGATCAACAGAAGTATTGGTGGCTCAGGTGGAGGTGCCTTTGACAGGCCAGAAGCTGTAGCTGCCTTGAAGAAGATGGATGAAGCAAACAATATTATGTGAGTGCCACCTCTGAACATTCACAACGTAATCAACTAATATGATCTAGGTACACTGATGGAGACCTTGTGTACAAGATTTAGACAGAATTCGTCTATAGGGGGAGCTTTACTGGTCAGGAATATATTGAATTTTACGATTGTTACGTGGTGGTTGCAGGCGTTAAGGTGATGCCTGAGACCAGCACGGTTCGATTTTATGGCGTTTTGCTTTATGTTTGTAATGAGATATAGACGCCCCCTTGACTGATTAGGGCACAGCGAATGAGAGCAAGAGTCTATGATATTGCCTTTATTTCGATGATGCATTACCCCGTCTAATGCTCGCCAAACGTGCTCCACAAGGGATAGGGGGAAAAAAAGAAGAGGAGTGCTTATTCCACACAAGTCTAGTCAAAATCACAACCCAATCTTTTTCAAATAGTCCTCCAGCCTTTTCTCCACAAGAACACCATTCCACAACTCCACTTCTCCCTCATTACCCTCTTCACCAGAAGCAGCAGAGGTAAGTACTGGCACACCAACCTGCTCAATCATAAAACTCGCCGCCACACTCCCCCAAGCACTCGCCTCCACCACACCCCTCCCCCTCGCGAGCGCAATAGCCAGGCCACCCAGAAACCCATTTCCCCCGCCCGTCGGATCAACCACCCTCTCACTCTCCCCTCCTCCAAAATAAGCAGGTAACCACTTCTCAATTCCTGGATCAATTGGCACTTCTTCCTCCCTCACCAGCTCCCCATCCTCATCCAACAGTCCAGCAAACAGCGCCGTCATATCCATATCAAGCGTCAGTCCGCCCCTGGCATGATTTGCTGGCCGTCTCGCCTTCCGCATCATGCTCGGACGACGCGAATGTCCGCCATTCTTTGCTACGTAGCAGCCTTGGGCGCCGCACCGGACTACCAACGCGTAGGATTGTAGGGGCATGGAGCCGAGGAGTTGGTCGCAGGCGCGCTCGACCCAGGGTTTGGAGATTTGGTTGGTGAGGGAGTCGATTTCGGACCCGGTGTCGCCCATGAAGCCGGCGAGTTCGTTGGCATTGGGACTGAGGATGTCGATGTATGGGAGGCAGTTGGTGCAGTTTAGAAGCTCAGTGGGGAGGCAAAGGTCGGGGACGGGTTCCTGGGGTGTGTTAGACTTGATACTCCTCCTGAAGATGTGGGTTATAAGAGTTTGGGTATGTGATACTAGTAGTTTATTTCGGGAAGACATGAAAAGTAAGCAAGGGGAGAGCGTAAGGTGACAAATCAGATCATTCGGGGAAGGAGGGTTCATGTACCCAGATGAATAGTGGCTTCTCTATGTTCTTGTGAAGAGCTTTGCGGGCTCGAAGAATGGCTGTCACGAGTTCGATGCAGCGGGTTGGAGAACATATTAGGTGGAAGGACTTTGAGAGAAGGAGGGAGGGGGTCAGAGAGTCGGTTGTTAGGCGAAGTTTGGGCGTCGTATACTTGAAGGCACGATTTTGGGATGAGTCGTAGCCATTCCATCCGCGGGTTCTGTAGGAAGTGTTAGTGCTGTAATTGACTCGCGTTGTTGTGTTCTAAGGTTGTGAAAGGTGGTTGCAAGCGAGATGTTAAATTGGAAAAGTCCACAGCACAGAAGCCTAAAGAGCTGAGGATGATCCTGACAGGTTGCTCAGTGTTTGGGGGATGTTGCACTCACGTTAATCTACTATCATCTTCTCGAATAAGGCAAGAAGTCTGCCATGAAGTAATCTGCTCAGTAAGACTTGGCGGGAAATCAGATCCTTTATCAACAATCCACGAAACAGTTCGAGATAAAGGCGGAGGTGAGAACAAGCGAGCTCCTAATGCTGAAAACGATCCTGCTCCTCCGAGGATGTCGAAAACTGGTGGCTTTGGAGGGAGATAATGTATTTCATCTGAAATTGGTTTGTCAGACTCGATATGGCTGGCTGCATGCTGACGGAAAAAGGAAAATATAAGTCCGACAACTGGTCTTGGAAGGGAAAGAGAAAGTCGAGCTTGAGAGCTTTCCGACTGCTTGAACGATTGGAAGAATTAAGATGATGGATGACTGAGATATGAGTCGCGCGGGACAACTTCTTGAAAACAACCCTGCACTTCTTGATCTAATGTTGCTAAAACATGCGGGAAGACTGTGTACATTCCGCAACTTTGCAGAAAAATACAAGCTCATGTTAAGGCACACATGCAGACTTTAATATGGTGAAAGGATGCATCAATAGTACACAAGTAAACGAGTAAACATGTCCAATTCTATCAGAGCTTTCATTGATACAGCTGCCCCCATGTCTCACCGACACAAGGATCCACAGAAAATAAACAACAAGCAAAAAGCATGACATAGACAAGCAACAGGCCGTCTCACCTATGATGAACATTCCAAGTGTACAGAAATCGATCTCCTGATCGGGACAAATCTGGTCCCCGTCCTCCATAGTCCTTGAGTGGGAAGTTGGGGGGTGACCACTGTGGACTTGGTGCCTTCCAGTTGTACCTTAGAGTAGTTGTCTCAAGTGCGTCTCGGGGGGCAAGGCTGAATAACATTTAGCGATGCAGTTGGGGTAGGTACAGACAGTATCTTCGTGCCTGAGTTGGGCGATAGGCTATAGCCTCTTGTCGTGTTGGTGCCCGTGAGCCTCAGGCGTGTGCAGGCACGGCGAGTTGAGGCGAGGAGGCCCTGGAGGCCAAGGAACTGGGCCAGGGATCGCTGGACCTCATGCCGCTGGCTGCGTGGAGCTACAATATCACGCCTCCACCCCAGGGCCAGGGCCAGTACTACTAGTCAAGGCAAGGCACCAACCTAATAATGTCAACATATTATAACAGAGCTTGGGTCCTGTCCTGTGTTGCAATCGTTTCTTCGTCCTCGTCCTTTCACATCGCATCCCGCCTCTCGCAATTGCTGTCGCAAGCTGCACTGCACTGGACTGCAAACATCCACCCCTTTTCGCCCACGTCAGTCAAGCAGTCAGCCAGCCTGCCAGCCGTCGACTGCCCCAGCGCATCGCATCGTTGATCATTCCTCAATTCTCTCTGTCACTTGGGACACCTCAGCATCGCTGGTCCCTGCAGCCACCATGGCAGCCAACAACATGCATAATCTGACTACCCTCATCAAGCGGTACGGTGATACCTTTTTCTTATTCCTAATTTCATACGCATACGCATACGCACTCATTCTGCCCTACCCCTACCCGCAACAGTCATGGACGACAACTCCGTGCCCACCATCCACAGAATGGATCTAACAGGTATCCTGAGCAGGCTCGAAGCTGCCACCTCCCGACTGGAGGACATGGCATCTTCCTCCGTCGAAATCCCAGCCATCAATGGAGCTCCCACGCCCGCCCCGACCGGCCCTCTTCCTGCGCCGCCTGTTGCAAAAGCGCCCTCGCCAAAGCCCGTCCAGGAAGCTCTCCCCGAATCGGTTGAGGACTTCGATGCCTTCATTGCCGGCACTGTGAAGAAATACGTCAACCTCAGTGATGAGTTGGGAGGGCCAGTTGCCGAGCAGGTAGGGAGATTGGCAGATGATATTGGAATTGAGGGTTGACAGATTTACAGGCCTCCAGCGTGCTGCGAGCATTTGCTGGACAACGAAAGTTCATCCTCATTACGACGAAAGCGAAGAAGCCTGATATGAGCAGTCCGGTCTTTATGCAACTATTGAAACCTCTCCAGGATTCTATCACGTCTGTCAGCGAACTTCGAGATGCCAACCGTGGATCGCCCGTCTTCAACCAGCTCAGCGCTGTTTCCGAGAGTATTGGTGTGCTTGCTTGGGTCACAATGGATTCAAAACCACACAAGCATGTTGAAGAATCTTTGGGTTCTGCACAATACTGGGGAAACCGAGTATTGAAAGAGTTCAAGGAGAGGTGAGGCCACTATGGCTTTCTAGGGCGTACGAGCTGACTTGTGACAGCGATCCAAAGCAAGTTGAATGGATTCAGTCATACTACCAGGTATTCAAGGATTTGGCAGAATACATCAAGCAAACTTTCCCCCAAGGTATCCCATGGAATCCAAAGGGGCTTTCTGCGGAGGAGGCTATCAAGGCCGTTGAGCAAAATCAACCAGGACCTCCAGCTCCCCATCCAAAAGCTGCGGCGGGAGCGCCCCCACCACCTCCTCCACCAGGACCTCCTCCGCCACCTATAAAGTTCGATAATGCTCCTCCCCCACCACCAACCGCGGGAGGCGGTCTCGATGCGGTATTCAGCGATCTGAACAAAGGAGAAGCCGTCACGAAGGGCCTCCGAAAAGTTAATGCCGACCAAATGACACATAAGAACCCAGCGTTACGAGCTGGTGCTACAGTACCGCAAAGAAGTGACAGTGCATCAAGCGTCTCGTCGAACCGTGGCAAGAGCCCTGCTCCTGGGAAGAAGCCCAAGCCTGAAAGCATGCGGACGAAGAAGCCTCCTGTCAAGAGACTAGACGGAAACAAGTGGATCATTGTAAGCTCATACTGCCAGACTGTGGAAGTTCAGTTCTAATTGATCAGGAAAACTACGATAACGAGTCTGCTCCAGTCAAGATCGATGCCACTATGTCACAGTCTATCCTAATCAGTCGCTGCAATAAGACCACCGTCATGGTCAAGGGTAAAGCGAATGCCATTTCCATCGACAACTCACCACGATTGTCCTTAGTGATTGAATCTCTCGTTTCGTCCATTGATGTCATCAAATCCTCCAACTTTGCTCTGCAAGTTCTCGGCACACTACCGACGGTTATCATGGATTCCGTCGATGGTTGCCAGATATACCTCGGTAAAGAGAGTATGCAGACCGAAGTCTTCACCAGCAAATGCTCTGGTGTGAATCTCAACATCATCTCAGGAGACAGTGAAGAAGATGAGGACTACAAGGAGGTGCCTCTACCGGAACAGCTGCGCACTTTCATCACCGAAGATGGGAAGATTGAGACTGAGATTGTGGAGCATGCTGGATAAATGAGTGTTCGTGGATGTGTAAGTGGTGGGCATTGTGAAGGTTTAGACTTTCTTGTAGAATATGGGGTGTATATATCAGTTCAGGAGTTGAGCCGGGGAGCTTAGCCTCTGGTCAAATCCCAGGGCAAGTCAAAGCATTTGACAATATATGTTGTCATTCTGTCCTTGATGCATGCCATGTATTATGACTGAATTTACCAAGTGAAGAATAAAGCGCCTGCTTGGTGATAAGAGTACCGGCTTCAAGATGTGCACTTCGCTTAGCCAAACAACAGAGAAATTTTGCAAGTCCAAAAGAACAACTCCTTTTATTGCCAAATAGCTTCAGAGCAAGGACGGCCCCCCTAACGAACAAACTGTGAAAAACAAAAAGAGAAAAAAAATTGTGTTCGTGTAATCAAGGTAACTCCTCGATTCGCAGATGATGCGGCTTCTGTGGATCGAACACAGTGCCTCCAGATATCGATATTCTTGAATTTCGAGGATTCCTGAAGTTGGGCTTCAGTCTGGCGCTCTCCCAAGTGAGCTAAAGCCGCTTTTGGGGGTGTTTGATGAAGAGAGAAGAGGCTTATTTGGCTCTATGTCCGGGGAGAGCTAGATCGATGGCTTGTTGTGGGGTGGGTCGGGAGGATGTCGGCTGCTGGGAGGGAGTGGAGTGGATAATAGGCGTGACTTTGCTGTTGTTCAGAATTGGGAAATGTGTTTTGGGCATTGAAGGGGTCAGGTTGATAGAGATAGGTAATTGTGTTCATCAGGCGTTTGGGCATTGGTTTAAATGTTGATGGCTCGGCAGAAGACAGAACTAGTACTCGGCAGGTGATTATGTTTGATGGCTACTGTGTTCGAGTAACTTGAACGGGAATGAATGAAAGTTGTTTCGAATGAGTAGCCAGGCATAGCAGATTTGCCGTACACCTTTCCCAAGTAAGAAAGCTTGTGCTAATTGATATTTCCTTAGCTGCAGGAACATTGCGTACTTCGTACTTGGACCATTTTCCTGAAAAATGCGACGACGAGCGGTGATACGATTTCAAACAAGGAAACTAGCCTGGATAGGTACCTAGAAAATCCGAATGATAAAATAGTTCCACGGAATTCACGGAGGTCGAAAACAACTTATCGTTCCGTGGCTCGTACAAACTAGATCCTGGATCCAGTCCGTTCTGACGCTCGGCCAGCCGTCGACGAGTATCGCCGCAAATGCTGTGATAGTATGCTCAGTGGCAAAAGGACATTTCATTTGCCAGTTCTCTTTTGACCTAGTCAATTCATGACTCCGTAGATATGTACAAGCGCCTGCCCATTATCTAATGCCCCTTCTATGATCCACCACTCGCTTTCTTCTCTACTTCGTGCTCCTTGATCTGTTTGCTCCAGCTAGAGGCCCATCAGCAAAAACCCTTCCCGTATGAATATCAGAATGACATACTACCGACTTGGGAAGAATCGCCCTTCTTCAGGGAATTTCGACCGGAACTCTCTCTCCGCGCTCAACTTCCACATCATTGCCGTAAGACCAACGATGAAAACGCCGAAGACTGCCGTGTTTGCTTTCCAGTTCGAGGGTTGCGAGTACCAGCCACCAGCTGGTGACCAGACATGTTTGGGATATCTGCACTATGAGTTGAGCTTGTGCCGGTGTGGTTTTTGAGGTTAGGATGGAAATTGAGGTTGGTTAGGAATGGTGTTGAATATGATGTAGACGAGCGATTGACTTACGGGATCTTGCCGCCGCCGCCCTATAAGCTGTTAGTAACGATCTAATTCAAATGCCAGAGCTTGGAAGCATACCATCTTAATCAATTGCTTCGATTTGCGGGTTTGAATCTGCCTTTGAGGAGATCGCGACGTCGAAACTCGGATTAAGCTCCATTAGCCGGATCCATCTTAGACGACACGTGACTCAAATTTCTATCCATGATCGTGTGAGAAAGCTCCAAGAAATTTTGGGGACTTCAGAAGGGAGCAACACAACGCCGCATCCTACTCAACCAGCCTCGCTTTCCCTTTCCTTTCATCTGCAGGGCTAGAGTGAGGAGGAGTCAGGACTGGACCGATGAAGAGAATTAGATTGGAACGGTTGGGCGGGCAATTGCTCTCGCCGCGCAAGAACACTCGACCATGTTGTCTGCGGCCTCGAAATCCTCCTTCAACAAGCTACGTAGCTAGCTTTACAACCCACCAGCAGATACGGTCACAGTCCACAGTTTCTTCGTCTATCTCAGACGAAGTCGTGTACGAAGATGGAGAAGAATCAGAGATACAGCCCCCGAGCAAGAGACATCCTTCAAGCCCCTATCCCTCACCACTCCCGGACGCAGCATTAGGCTCTGCAAAGCTCGCTGCTCTACACGCCCGACTTTCCCTTCCTAAGATACTGCCTCTACAGACAATGGCACGCACGCTGGTCGATCCGTCTGCAGACTCGAACACCCGCTTCAACAATGCTTCGCTTGCTCAAGTTGGGGGCTCCTTGATATCTTACCACGTCGCAGAGTACCTACTCTGTACATACCCACGTCTACCTATTTCAGTTCTGTTCGCAGCGGCATATGCGTACAACGGGCCCAAAACTCTACAAATGATTGGGCGGGAATGGGGTGTTGAATCCGCGGCAGTTCCAGGCTCAGAAGTAGATCCTGGTTACTTGCAATTCTCGAAGCTACAGGCTGGAGCGGAGATCAAGGCGCAAGGAGGGACTACGAGGCCGGACAAACTTTTTTTCTACAGGAGGGGAATGAGCAGCAGAGTGGTATACGATGACGAGTTTGGAGACACGATCGCGAGAAACAGAGATGAGACGGAGCCTCTACCTTCCGAGACAGCATATTCGAATTTTGTGAAAGCGGTAGTCGGAGCGCTTTACTTGCATGTCGGGCGGGAAGCGGCGAAGACATTCGTCAAGCAGCACATCTTGAGCCGACATCTGGAGATATCAACGCTGTTCCAGTTCAAGGAACCGATGAGAGAGTTATCGAGATTATGTGCACGAGAAGGGTTCGAACACCCAGTCGCGAGGATGTTGAGTGAGACGGGACGGAGGAGCAGATCGCCTGTGTTCGTGGTGGGCATTTACAGTGGGAATGACCAGCTTGGTGAGGGTGCTGGAGCGAGTTTGCAGGAGGCGAGGACCAGGGCTAGTGTCAATGCTTTGAAGGCCTGGTATCTCTATAGTCCTGGCAATAATGTGCCTGTGCCTAGCGATACGGAGTCATCGAATGCAAAGCCTTGGGAACCAGTGCATATCGATATGGGAGAGGTCATCCACTAGTGCCCAACTAGGGTTTGTGGTTCAGTGGTGGAAGATGGGGCAGATGTATGCATAGCGAGCGCGAGCGTCCGGCATTGTATGATGGAGAGGGATGACTGGCGAGCACTCGAGATCAGAGTTGACGCCTTGTGTATTATTGGAATCTCCTTGCTTCAAAATCATGCATTGTAGGAGCCTCGATCATTGGGTTGGAGTAGATGTGTAAACAGCTGTAGAATATTTTGATGGACCTGGTAGATTCAATGATACACTACCCTCCTCCTATCTTTGTCATTACCTGGAACAGTGCTTGTAAACAAATTCCCATTAGAAGAAAGTGCGAGCCATGAACAGGGTTGTGGCGGCTGGCATGCGAAAAGGATTCCCTTCTAGCCATCAAATCTTTTCCTACGAAGAGGGATACTTTGCTTTTAAGCTTTGATAGCACTCCCAAGATTCCTCATAATCCAGCACTTATCCCAAAGAAGAGAGGTTTGTTCAGAGGATGTGATTCTGATTGGCCGATTGGAAGTGGGAAAACATCAAAGAGAATGAGAACGAAAATGCCATGTACAATTGAGATCCATTCTTTGGTGTCTAAGAGTTTGTGTATGCTATGACACCTTTTTCAATCACATCCTAGCAATCCAATGCTACTGCTCTCGTTTTCGCATAGTACAATGGTTCATTCCGTGTTGCCCAAGTAATATGAGCAAATATGGCCATAAGTAGAATAATGACCTTCTGGAGAATAGTTAAAAGAGAGAACAAAGATTCCCTTAACGCCTGCCGTGAATGGATTCCATACCGCCCCGATCGATGCATGAAGACAAACTGACTGCATTGTCAGTGTCTGACTCGAGCTAATTTTTGATGATTGCATCCTCAGGATTGTGTGAGAATTCTTACCGGAAATCAAAAAGATTCGGGTATCACGAGTCGGACTTGACGTCGACTTTCTTGGCTGGCTTTTCCTCTGCTGCTCCAGCATCTTCCTCACGAGCACGCTTGTTGCCGTTAGAGGCTGGCTCGTCGGTCTTGGTGTCGACCTTCTTGGCGGCACTCTCTTCACCACCATTTGCTTCCTCGCGAGTGCGCTTCTTTTCGGAACTGTCCTCGAATTTGATCTCCTTGGTGTCAGCCCTGAAGGAATGTTAGTCAATGCTTTCGCTGAGTCTTGGAGCTCCTGTAGGAGGCCCTAGGATTGCGTACTTTTCCTTGTCTTCACGCTCTTGATTTCTGTCGTTGCCACGATTGTCACGTCGGTTTCCACGACCCCCTCGGCTATCTCTGCCTCGGCCTCTGTTGTCCTTGCGGTTGTCTTTGAATCCGCTGGCACGATCATCCTCACGGCGCTTCTTCCAGTCATCTGGATCACGATCACCACGGGGCTCTCGTGGTTCCCGTCGGTCTCCGCGTCTATCACCACCACCACGACGATCTCCTCCACGATCCCCACCTCGGCCCCGTCCGCGACCTCGTCCTCTGTAGCCGCGTTGCTCCATAGGCTCGATCTTGCCAGACTTGATTTCTTCCTCCTTCTCATCCATATAACTGGAAGTTTGGGTCAGAGAACTTTCAAAGGTTGGAGGTGCCATTGCCATGTTAAGGAGATAGGGAGTTCAGGACCAATTGGGATGGAGACTTACGCTCTCTTCGACTTGATCAAGAGGGTATTTCCCTTCCAGAGAGGCTTGGGGTCTAGAGCGAGGAATTTCTCAGCAGTCTCATCATCCTGGAATTCAACGAAGACAGAGCCTTTGAACAGCTTCTGATCGGTACGACGAAGACGGACAGAGTTGGTAGGGCCATAAGGAGCAAAGAAAGCCTCTATATCGAATTGCGAACCTGGCTCCTCATCGCCGAAACCCTTGGCGTAAATTGATCGGGACTCAGCTCTGGACTTTGGAGTGGTAGGATCGTATGCAACTGCGCGCTTGACCTCTTCCATGCCCTCTGGGCCAGATACAACGAGGAACTTGCTAGCGCGAAGAGCTTCAACAACGGCAGACTGTGGCTGGAACCGCTTCATGCGCCCAAACTGGCAGATTTTGGAGATTGCGACTGGAAGGTTCGAAGATCCTTGGGTCAAGTCGTTGAGGTAGGTGTCGGTGGGCAAATTGGTGTCAGAAAAGTAGAACTCAACCTTGCGGAAATTGTTAGTGAGGTGGGTGAAATACAGGAGCACTGTGGATGTCTACCTGAGCCCTGATCTTTGCTGGATCGTCAGTAGTAGGCAAGATAGATGGATCGTATTTGCTGTTATTCTTGTAATTATCCCAGTCTTGTTTGGCACTGGTCTTCAGAACGCCGTTCTCATCATAGCGCTTGCGATCTTGCTTCTTGCTAGCCTTCTCGTCCTTAGATTCGGATCCATTCTCGACCTTCTTCTGATCAGCATCCTCCTTCACTTGACCATTGGCCGGCTTGGATTCAGTCTCGGCGGCAGCCTCTGTTGGCGCAGAAGAATTGCCTGCTTCTTTATTGACGCTTTGGTCGTTTGGGAGAGAAGTGGCAGATGGGTCTGGCTCAGTAGCTTCAACTTTGAGGTCAGACATCTTGGGTAGGCTGTATCTTGAATGTGGTAATTGCAGTTGTAGAGTATTGCGAATGGAGATGTAGTAGATTCTAAAGCTGTCGCCGATGGCCAAAAGTTTATGCGGTAGCTCTGCTGCTGTGGGCGCGCTTTTCCTATTGTCGGCGGTGAATCAGTAACATGAAAAGTGACTCGCAAGGTGAGCAATGGCGGGGTACAAAAGCCGCTCCAAACCAACAAATTACCAATACGAGTGAGAGATACTTAGGGTCGCATGAGGTTATACTTACGGATATCTGTATTCGCTTCAATCAACTGGATAATACTGTTAGTCGATTGAATTGAACTGTTGTAAATTTGCGCGGTTCTGGTTCTTCACCAGAGCGAAGTGGGACATATGCAGCAGAGAAGAGAGCTTCGAAATTTCATTCGCTTCAAGCGGCCGCTTTTAGCTTGCGGCTAATCCCGAAGAAGACAAGCGCGTATCTTTTGGTGCAGTAGAACTTTGGACCTGACATTCGAGGAGCTTGGATTTGAAGATTAAAGGTTTCTAAGCTGCACTCTATCCACATAGAGTCAATTCTTCCAAGATGGGAAGAAAGCGATTTCACAGTTTAAAACAGGTGGTATGTGCTTGCGTTTCCCATCTGCCTCTCTCATGACCTAATTAATATCTCCAGAAATTTCGCGCATCATGGAACAAATACAATCTCTACAACCTCTCACGTCTAAAATCCATCAACACTCCGTACCTTACCTTCTACCAGCAGAAATGGAAAGCCAAGTCCATGTCCCGAGCATACCACGGCGAGCAGATCCGGGAAAAACAGTGGCAGAGGATGTTCACGCCAAAGCTCAATGCAGTAGTCCCCATGGACCCAAGGTATCTGGCGGAGAATGATGGATCGGAATTGGCTGCTGGCCGAGGGTCTGGACTGGAGCAGCCTATTAGCCCGGATGATATATTACGTGTTGGGAGGAAGCGTATCCCATACATGCATATGACTTATGCCCCAATTGAGAAGCGGTTGGATATGGCCATTTTCAGAGCCTTGTTTGCTAGTAGTGCGAAGCAGGCAAGACAGTTTGTCACCCATGGCAAGGTGAAGGTCAATGGCAAGAAGGTGTGTCCGTCTTTTTAAGTCCCCAGGTCTAGCGACTGATATGATACGATTTAGATGCCCTACCCAGGATATCTCCTGAATCCAGGAGACCTTTTCCAAGTTGAGCCTGACTCCGTTTTGTTCGCCACAGGAGCACCAAAGGAGATGGAACAAACGAAGAAAGGAAGACAACTCCGACGATCCTCAACAAGAGTCAACATCACGATGGACAAGCTGCGTACAGTACGACGAGAGAAGAGGGCAGCAGAGCAGGCTGCTAAAGCCCAAAAGGAAGCCGCCGCCGAAGCAGCAGGAGAGCTTGTCAAGCCCCGCGTGAAGGTTGAAAGGCCGACGCTACAAGACAACATAATTATCCGCCAGCAACGGCAAGCCGACGCGGTCGAGCTCCTCAATCAAGCAGACCTTCTCTTCAATAACAGGAGGAAACCTCTTAGCGCCAAACAGAAGCAGGATCTCAGAGCCTTGGTCAAAAAAGTACGAGTCTTCCGAGGGCAGTGTTTCCGGCTACCCATCGACAAGCTGGAGAAGACACGTGTCGAGATCTCAGAAGAATGGAAAGAAGTCCGAACTCACCCCAGACAGCAAGCCAAACGGGAAAGGGCACAGGCAAAGAAAGCCGCCACGCCTAAAGTGGTAGATCCGAATGCGAAGCCGAAAATCACATACAATCAAAAGATCGTAAAGCAGCTAGAAGAGGAGCGCCAGCTAAGGATGAGGAAGATCAGAGAAGAGGTACATGATCCCACTAAACCATATGCGACACCCTGGCGCCCAAGACCGTACATGAGTGCTTTTGCATTCATCCCGAGATATTTGGAGGTCAATCATAAGATCTGTTCTGCGGTGTACTTGAGAGATCCAGTTGCGAGACCGGGACTGACTGAAGTTCCAACACCTTTCCCACAGGATGTTCAGCAATTAGCCTTTACATGGTATCTGAGGAGGAGGTAGACAGGTGAAAGATCATGTGGTACTACATAGCATGGCTTGGGAATGAGTGGAGAAAGGCTTCTATAGTGATGTGGGAGCTTTGTAACTTGTATTATAGTCGAGGTACAAAAATTAGGTCCTTTCCCCTGCACTATACGCCATGATAACATTATTCCCAATGTCAACTCTCATCCGGGACTTGGGAGCATCGTTACATTCAAGCGACAAGCCAGCCAGTGTATGTGGCCCATCCTAACACTGCCTAGAACATACACATAATGGGCACCCCGAAATCATCAATCAAACGACAACTGAAGACATTCCTTTTCCCTCCTCACCTCTTCCTACCTCCCACAATTCAGTACCCTGTTTCACACCCCTACTAATCTCGTGACAAAAATCACCGACGACCACAACACCAGGTTCACCTGCTCTCGCCTATGCACTCGGCAATGTCCTATCATCGTACAACTGCCACTTCCTCAACTAGCGCCTCTGATTGGCCGGCTCCCAGCACCACGGACCGTTCCGAATTTGTAGATGTGCAACAAAAGTTCAAAGATTGTGAGGCAGGGCGGAGCGGTCCGTTTTGTAGACATGCAACAAAATCTCGAGGAATATAAGATAGGCGGTGTGGTGGAAAAGCGTGAGGCGGTGCTTTCCAGTCTTTCGGCTGCTAGAGAGTATGCGATGCTAGGTAGCCATTGTAGACGATTGGCATTCTGGCCACGGCTCAGGGAGGAAGATTCGTGCTGTTCTCATTCGGAGAAACTTAAACCAGGTCGTACCTACATCTAAATGGAGAAATCTGTAGCAGTCAAAAAAGGTCGTAGAATGAAATCTTAATGGTCCAGGAAATCTAACTACACGGCGATATTTGTACAGCGACAGTCGACGACATGAAAATTCAGTCCATTCACCACTCCTGCTTGTACCTATAAGGACAGCTCTACCCAAAAGAGGTATGTTTGTTTACAGCTTGGCCTTTGGTGCCTCGAGCGTAGGGATAAGCAGATCTCTAATGTCCCCAGCAGCTTCGTTCAGGTAGAAGCTCATTCTCTCGCTTCCGAGACCCTTGGATACGACATTGAATTGGATACTAGTAGGTATTAGTATTTCATGCTTTGAAGAGTATTATGCCCTTAAAGCAGCCAACTCACCTATTCTCGTTGATCATATAAGCAATTCCCCACCCATCGTCGACAACCTGACTCCATCCATAGCCATTGAAATACTCAGAGCTCAATTGACTGCTAGAGATGAACCACTTGCTCGAATAAGCGAAAGCTGGATCTGTGTATATTGATGGCAGCTCCTCATCAGGCCCGATAAGCTTCTTCAATCCGAACAGATGTCTATCGACACCCTTGCCGTCAGAGGCAGCAGAGATGTATTCCACGTGCGAGTTGACAGCTTTACGGAAAGCTGCGATAGCAGTCTCGTTATCAACGGAGTGGTCAGTGACTGCCTTGCAGAATGCCACCGAATCATCAGAAACCGATCGGCAGGTTTCGGTTCGTCCTTGCTGGAATCTTCGAGTGGCCGCAGATTCGTATGTTGGTCTGTTCTTGCCATACATCTTGAAATAGGCGAGTTGGATAATCATTTGCACGTAGGCGTCCGGTGAGCACTTGAATTTCTTGATCAAGCCTTTGCCGTAGCCCTGATATGCTTGCACGCGGAGCTCGTTGGACCCAATGACCTCTGTAAAGTCCCTGGTCGCTTGCTCTATCTCGTTTTGTACCTCCTTATTGATGTGAAATTTGACAACCGAAGGCTCTGGGAGATTCGAGCGGATTGAGGGGTTCGAGAAATCAAGTTTGTTGCCAAAGATTACTTCATTAACATAGTCGTTCAGACGATGTGTTGGTGTGCCATCCATCATAGAGTGCTCGCCTGTGAAGCCGGAAGTTCCATTGTCGTTGATGATGAATTGGAGTGGCTTGTCAAACCATCTGTTTGCGCCGTCTCCGTGCCAGTATTGATGTGCCCGCTCCTCAAGAGTAACAGGGCTAGCATCATCCAGGCAGACAACAAAGGAGGAGGCTTCAACGGTCTTTAGAGCTGTGGCGTTTGACGGGTGTGCCTTCAACAGAACTTCTCGGGCATCCGTCCATACGTCTCGGTTCTCCGAGGTCAAAATACCGACAGCTGGAACCTTCTCGGCTCTCTGGTATATAGATGTGAATTGCTGCTCCAACTCGCAAGTATTCAGTTGCCTTCCATCCACTTCATGGTAGACCTTGAAAAACTGGTTCTTGCGTATCACTACAATGTACTTGTTCTCTTGGGCAGGGTATTTCGCAGGGTAGTCGGCGGGCTTGGCAGGTATTCTGCTGCAGTTGAACATCCATTGGTAGCTCTCCATGGAGATAGGAAGCTTCTTCATATATTCGGGCTCCAATGTGCCAGCATCGACCTGCTTCTTAAACTCTAGGACAGCGGTACTGATCGCAGCAGCTCTCTTAGCTGGATCCCGCCTCCGTCTATCATCTCGGTGGGAGTAGAAGTAGCTAACATATGGAACGACAGGATCCCGGTATGTGAGATATGCCGCATCATTCCACCATTCATAGATCCAGTTCTTATGCTTTGGGTCTCCGCGTCGAGCAAGTAGTTTGTCCTGGAGCTTGCTACCAGCACCACCTGGCCTTATGAAATCTTGTACTGCCTTCGAAGTGGATTCAAATTCGGACGAGGACAGTAACGGGTGAACGGACTTCAGGTATCTGGCACTCGTCTCTTCAAGAGTCGGCACGGGAAGTTTGGGTAGAGAATCTTCGAATCGTAACATAGGTCCTTTGGAGGAATCCTCCTTGTACCCTGAGTATTGTTTCAGCCAATGTTTATATACAGGTTAAGAGGGGGAGCATACCTGCTGGCAAGGCAGAGCTATTGCTCCGCACGTTTGCCGGTGCCATTCCCAAAGACTGCCGAAATGTTAGCCAGGAGCCGGTGAGCAGAGCCAGATAGCTGGATACTAACTCGTGAAATTGATGGCCGTGTCGCGGTGAAGCTGCTTCTGAGCAACGGAGACGTCCGACCTCTAGAAATCGTCTTCAACATTCCCAACGGTCTTATGGAGAGAAACGAGGGGATTCTGAGATGTAGATTTGAAAGATTCAGTAAAGCTTCACAAGCCTCGTCCGGTTCAGGGTACAGTAGCGATCAACTTCGGCGGTTCTCTTCCTTTTGGTTGGTGGATGACGGGCTGTATCGGTTGTTCTTGGTCCAGCCGAGGTTCGATCCCAGCTGCCAGCTGGCCAAGGAGAAGCTTGCAACGTTGAACGTCCACCCCACTGCCCCAGACCAGCCCTTGTGCTGCATGCCATCACGCCGAGCCGACAAATGACGCGCAATTTTTCTGATGGGACATTTTCTTTGGATCGGACCGAGGGATCGTGCGAACACCCGGATGGCAAGAGTGAGATTTATTTGTTTTGACGCAGCATGATAGGCACATGATGTTATCTAACCTCATCAATAGAAATGAGCGAAAAGCTCTTTATTTGTACAACCCACTCTCAAGCCTTTCACATGCGAGTCCGCTGCCAGGCCCCTTCGTAGCCTCGCAGTTCGGAGAGTCACATCTGATATAGTGATATGCCCCCAGGTCCCAACGTCCCAAGACTCCATAATATGCCATGCCGAATAGTATGCCCAACGCCTGATCTTACACTTAAAAATGCACTCTACTTCTTCCTCCTGCTTTTCCTAGTTGTCCGCGGATCTGCCTTTGCCTTTGAGGCTTTGGAAGGCTTTGGAGAAGCAGTCCCTTCTTCCTCCTCGGCATCCTCATCTTCCTCTGCCACCTCCTCTGTTTCTTCTCCTCCATCATCCTCGTCTGCCGTATCCGCAGTAGCAGACGTATCTTTGCTATGCTGTCTCGAAGTCGAGTCTCCCTTCAGACGCCCTATTGACCTATTGGTACTTCTCCCAGTTCGTGTTGACTTCGGTGGAGAATTGGCTGGCGATGTCCTGGCCTCATCTGTATCGTCCACGGTATCCGCCCTATTCTTTGTAGCAACAGTGTCTCCCCTCTTGCGTTTCCTTGCTCCTGACGGCGATGGTAATCGGCCTAGCTGAGGAGGTGAAGATGGAGCCTCACTGGCCGCGTTTTCGGCAGCGGTTCTCTGCCCCTTCATAAACATCATATCCTCAAATTCCTCTTCCGGCAGCTTGAATTCCATGAATTGATCTTGGTCATCGATGTAATTTTCCCGGTCGTCAATGATTTCCAGGTCGTACATCGTGCGCAGCTTCTGCCATATCCCAGGTATGCGCGTATGCTGCTCAATTGTAGGATCGTAGCCATGATTTCGTAGATGTTCTGATATTGCGATCATACGGAAGTGCTTGTGTATGCCTGGTCTAACGTTAATTGCGCTTTGCTGAGTAAAATCGGGCAACTAACCAGCCGGTTTCCACCTGATGATCCCCTTGAAGAGTGATGTCTCCTGCTCGTCTGTCCAAGGGTCCTTCAGTAGATCGTAAGGTTTTGGCTTCGCTCCGGTGGGATCGGTTTGAGGCGTGTCAACAGCCATCGAATCGTCATCTCTGGCAGGAGTCGACGGCGCACGCACACTCCCTTTGGTCTTTTTCCGAGGAGGCATGTTCAAGATATGTCGGCCTGAGACTGAGAGTGGGATGTCTGATGCGTAATCCCAGGTACAGATGGGATGGGCTTTGCATGTCATAGAAACCAGTCAGTAGCGTCGGCTCTTCCCACTGATGATCCGACACTGCAGAAACGCGTCAACCCAAAGAAAACAGTCCACACTACGCGACTTGCGATGAAATGCGAACATGACCGACGACAACATCGACCAGGGAGACGTATTTGCGATACCAGATCTCTGGGCACCTTCGAGATTTCTAAGAGATGGTCCAGAAAGCCTGCTGTTCTCAGATCTAAGACTTGTTGGTAGGTAGTATTGGCAAAAGAGGGGGGAGGCTTTGTTGACTAACAATAGCCAGACATCGACGAAGCTCTTCCAGAAATAGTGGAACAGTTTCTCCTCCAAGAAGAAAATGTATTCTTCAGTATTCCAGATCTTCCGTTCGACCTCGCGAAGCCGGTCCCAACGCCCGGCCGCACGACCGATGTCGTGAAAGAGTCGATTTCGGCAGTTGATTGTAAAGGCGACGAAGATGCTGATGTCTGGATACTTCCAAATGAAACTCCTATAAAGATTGTGAACCACCAGACCTGGGAAGGGTTTGAGAGGCAGAAAGATGAGATACTCTGTACGTCATATTTGGCGGAGGCTGGCCCATCGGTTCTGGATACCGTCATTGCTTCGAGGGAAGACTCGTTACGTATCAAGAATACCGAGCATCTCGTCGTGGACTCCAAGATATATGCGTCATCTCTCCTTGCCTTGGGCTTGGGGCGGAGTTCTGTCCTTTTCTCATGGGACGAGAGAGGGCAGTCGTTTGTGCCCGCTCGTTCCTTCATGAGGATAAGTGGCTACGCAGGTGACTCTTTGGAGAGCCTTTCAATCATATTCATGGAATGTGGAAATATCACAAGGTCGCTTCAGAAGTTTGTTGAAACGACCTATGCAAGCGAGAAGTCTTCAGGTCGTATTGCTCTAGCAGATGGTGTTTCCACTCTGCTGGCAACGATTCAGTCACGACTAAGTGCGTCAGCAGTGGGCTATAGTAGTATCTTGCAGCTGCAGGCTTTATTTCGGCCAGCGCACTCGTTACTCACCTGCTTTAGACGCATCGTCGTAAACACTTCAGCAACCAGAAGTGACGAGTCGATGCTATCTACAATTTTCGAAGAGATCCAACTTCTCGAGCACAGGACAGATGCATTGAGGGAGATCTTGCTTGAGATTCTTTCACGAGTGTCACATCCTTGGCTTGCATTTGCGAGTGAGTGGCTTGGTCTGCAAAGGGAGGCTGGTGTACCTCTCACTAAGGATGGACCTGGTAAAAGCTTCGTAACGGTTGACACCAAAGAATGGGTAGACGATCAAGGTCTGGTGATGAACGAGCCTGACTATGTTCTCGACTATGACAAAGTTCCAGCATTCATCGCCCCGGAAGACGCTCGAGCTATGTTTGAAGTAGGAAAGAGTCTGCGATTCTTGAGATCATATCATGCAGGGCATCCGCTCGCCAGGTTAGATGTGGTGGCATCGGCGAATCCGCCAATCCTTGAATGGAAATTCTCCTGGCAGGATATTGTTCATGTAGAGTCAAAAGCTTTGCGGTACGAGAGAGACTTGATCCAGGCTCTACAGAATTTCTCACAGGACGCATCCTCTTCCGTTCGTCACCTGGCCGATCCAGTCCCTTTTAGTCTCGATTTCTTTGGGAAGCCAGAAGAGGACATGCAAGCCCACGTCCTGGCTTCAATACATGCTCTCAATCAGCCGTTCGCTTTTACCGAGCAGCAAGACCACCTTTCGTGCTGTCTGAATACATATCTCACCTCTAGTCAATCCGTAATCGACAACGATGACTCTGTTTTTGCTCCACCGATCTCACTAGCACCGGTACTGTCATTCAACCCGATCATCGCAGCTCAGGCTCGTCTCATCAATGGAACTTGCATGCGAATGTTCTTCCAGTCTCATCAAATCCGAGAGCATCTTTCCATTCAACGAAGCTTCCAGCTTCTAGGCAATGGCGTATTCTCAAGCAGGCTTTCACATGCACTATTTGATCCGGAACTAGAAAGTGCTGAACGACAAAGAGGCGTTGCAAGGTCGGGAGGTATGATGGGTCTCCGACTTGGCGGTAGAGATACCTGGCCTCCAGCAAGTTCCGAACTAAGGCTTGCTTTGATGGGAGTTCTCACCGACAGCTATACATCCAGCCAACCACTGAATAAATCCCGTGCTGGCACTTATCTGGACCAAAGTACGATTCCGGGTGATTTGAGCTTCTCAGTTCGCGATATGACAGCAGAAGAAATTGACAAGTGCATGAATCCTGATTCTGTCGAAGCTCTGGATTTCCTTCGCCTTTCTTATAAGCCACCGCAGCCACTTGAGGCTGTCATTACACCTATGATTCTGTTCAAGTACGACCAGCTGTTCAAACTATTGCTTCGTGTCGTTCGCATGCTTTACGTCGTGTCAGCCCTCTTCAGGGATACTACCAACCGTTCATCCAACTGGCGAGGAGTTGAGCGCATTGCTCAACGATTCCGCATCGAAGCTCACCATTTCATATCAAGTATAAGTGGCTATTTTTTCGACACTGGAATTGAAACAACATGGCGGATCTTCGACCGCAAATTGGACCAGATTGAAGAGAGGCTAAAGACGGACGGCGACTACATCACTCTCGGCCAGAACGAAGGATTAGACAAACTCAGAGAATACCACGAGCGGGTTTTGGACAGAATCATGTTCTCACTTCTGCTACGCAAGCGGCAGCAGCCAGTCATGAACCTGCTTGAAGAGATCTTTGCACTTGTCTTGCAATTCTCGAAACTCTCCCGAGAGCGAGATCTGGTCATTCAAGAAGAAAGTGCGAATGACGACCTAATGACGTTGTATTTGAGGTTCCGGAAGAAGGTCGAGGTGTTCATTAATGTCTGTAGGGGGCTGAGTGAGAAGAAGGGATACGGAGAAAGGAAGATTGCTGATAGCAGGACGACGGCACAAGAGGGGCTGTTTGATGGTGATGATCTTGCAGAAGAGAATACAATTTTGCAACTTCTGACGAAGTTAGAGATGTCGAATTACTATTCAAAATCTGTAAACCTCTAGAACACACATATAACCCACTCTTTCCAGAGAGCATACCCGAAGAAAACCTGTCCAACTTCATGGTCTTCATGTCCAGTGAAGTGGGATTCTGCACGTCTCATTTCCTGCACCCGACGTCAAGTGTATGAATGTGTGCTCTGTAGAATGAACTCTTCTATCCATCATGAGTTCCAATCTTCCATTCACTTCCAGCTCATCCGAAGCACAATTAGTAGCTGCTACTACTGCTAAGCAAGTAAGGAGTTTTGTTTATAAGCACCCACGTCTCTACGTCACGGTGATGCCTCTTTAAAACCGTAGCAGGTTTATGGTTTCTGATCAGACTGGTCGCTTGTTGCTCGCATAGGTCCGCCTCATCGCGATCAATCTGTGAGTTTTGCTGTTTTAACCGCTGAAAACTCATTGTTTTTGATACATTCAATTCGACCGGCAGAAGAGAAGTGAAGATATACTTTTTGCGAACGTTCTGTTTGTGATTTATCTTGGTCATGTCGAGACTCCCGCTAAGCCAGCTCTCCATAATTCCATATCTGCTTTCGTCTTCAAGGCCTGTGTCAGGATAGAATATTGTTTTTGATTGGAAGAGAGCCGTGCTTAAGAACCTGGAAGATATTTACATTTAATTTCTGGCAACGTGACAATTTCTTTTGGAGAGGTGGGGCCAGAGGAGCAGTTGCAAGCTGCTGCCAGGTTCCTGATGTCTTCACGGCCAAAGATTGTTAGGGTGGATATGATGATAGCGCAATTTGATGTCGCTGCTCAGTCTTATTGGAAGGTATCCTGTGATCGCATCTCCATTGTTGACCCTTCACGTGTACTGTAGTAAATATATTGCTACATCTTGAAACACGACCATTGATATCGTGACATGGTACCACTTGGTGCCATCCTTGTGGCCAGTGGCTCTCATGCAGACTGTGCATAAGTTGCCGTTCGGACCTTCTTCACAGGCTGTCGCATCATTGTCAAAACTGGCTCAGTTGTTGATTGTGCGGCATCTTGTAGGTGATTTATGACGACGAAGGGCTAGCCCAACCTTGAGGTGGTGCCACTCGGGAAATCATGCAGCATGTCTGCACCATGTCCCGTGCTCGCCGTTCCGTGCTCGAGGTACCCGTGGGAAGGCATTCCCAAACCTGGGCCGAGACTTTCGTATCGCATACCGTCAGAAAATAGACTTTGAGTAAAAATTCCGCCTACTGGAGAGATGTGGCTTGTACAAGGTTTTGCGCAGGTGAAGATTATTCAAGCGAGTACCGAGCGAACAGGGGTTTGGCCGAGGTGCAGTTCATCTTCCAATCCAGTTTCCAGAGCTTGTCGTAAGTTCCTTACAGACACGGGTCAGTCGATATGGCAGGAATTCCTGGGACGCAAATCATGTATGTTGATGTCTTCAAGCCTTGCTTGCTTGCTTGCTTGCGGTCCTTCATCCTTCCGAATCCTGAACTTCTTGTGAAGATCACGTGTAGCCAGACAAACTCAGCCTCAGCGTCCCAGCTATTTCGGCTGACAGTCTTTCCTTTCCCTTTCCTTTCCCTTTCCTTTCCCTTTCCTTTCTTTCGCCGCCCAAGGCTGAGGGTTGATGGCTGACATTTTGGCCTTGGCCTTTGACTGATGCTGACGAGCTCCAATCATATCATAGGCCGTTGCTCCCATGCCCAGGCAATGCAGCAGCCACTCAGGACCACTTCCCGTCCCCAAAATAGAATTGTCCGTCAGACTCGCTTAATGCGCCCGAGCGACTCAGCTTAACCTCGCGCAAGCCGTCCTACCAACGACAACCTAGATCATCCCTCCATCAGACAACCCGCGCCACGATGGCTGTTCCTATGAAAATAGCTAAGGTTCGTGTTGGGCTCGTATATCTCCAGACTTCCTGACAGCATGATGAGTCTAGATGGTTTGTATTGAAGAGCCTTCTTTTATGTCCTCCCTTGCCCCTCCTCCCCGCTTCCTTCTCCTGGATCTTGAATCCTCTTTCTGTTTCTGATATCCATTGAATACCAGTATCTCCTCGTTTTTTTTTTTTATTTCACTTGTATCGTTTCCTTGCATGCAGATATCCACAGCTATGGATGCGTCGACTCTTTTTCCCGGCAGCCAGCTTGGCCACCCAAAGGGATACGAGCAGCCAGTAGAATCCCCGGACAGCGCGATTTTGATGGACATGATTTTTCAGTACCTTAGAGAAGATCCTCCAAAAGCCTCACTTTCAACTCCGGTCGACGCGAAGGTAAAGACCTGGGCTGCTACTCTCCCAGACTTTCAAGTTTCTCCAATCGGTGTCGAAATGCCAAAGTATTCAGAACACGATGACTCTTCAGTACACTCATCCTCGTCTCCTCTGGAGTCCGCGTTCAGCGATTCTTCCAGTTTGAACGATTCAAATGGTCCCAAAACTCCACCTTTGACGAAGAACATCACAGCCACAGTGTCCAGTCCAGCACGTGATGACGAACTCATGTTTCCTGATATGCCTAAACTTCCTCCGCCAGCTCCTCCAGCGAATAAGCTCAATCGAAATTGTTCCCTTCGCCGGTCCTCAGAGGTTGTCAGAAGTCCATCGCGTGCTGCGAGTACCTCTCGTAGAATGAGCTTTGGACTTCCTCCCAATTCAAGCAACTCAAATCACAAGCCTGAATCTGTTCTGAAGATTCCTGCAGCCCATCAAAGGACGTACCCAACCATTGCAAGCTTGGTTCCTCTTCCAGAAACTGCTCCATCTCCATCACAAGCTCCTCTCAACAAGACATCAAACGTTCCCCCTCAATTGAGAATCTCAACACAGAGCTCTGCTCCTTCTCAATCACCTCCCCTCGTGCATCCGGAATGGGAACTGTGTTTCCCAACGACCCGACCGACCTATGCGGAACGGAAGGCCCAGAAGTATCGAGACCAAGTTCGACAGTCAGCACCAATACCTGATCACACAAAAGAGCTCTTGAGGACACTTGAGGAAAGGAAGATCTCACCGAGCAGGCAATCCATTACATTTTCTCCTGCATCTTCGCCAACTAGCCGCCTAGAGTCCATTAATCGCCTCAAAGCAAGCAGGCAGTCGATGCAAATTCAAATCCCAGCCCAAATCCAGAGACACCCGATTCAGGAGGTCCCTATTCATACCCAAGCTCAGAAAACTTTGGATGAGGAATTTCTGAGGAGCCTAAAAGCGAGTAAGACTTCTCCAACCAGATACTCGGTTCAATTCCCTTTGCCTCGACCTTCGATATCAAGGAGAAGTTCCCTCCAAGTGACTCCTACGCGTTCTCCTCTGCAGACTCTTCCCGAACACCCGATCCAAATTCCCAGGAAACCCGTAGCAACTGAGCCGACAATGACTCGGCTGCAAAGGAAGGCGGAGATCGAGAAAATTCCCAGTGTTCGGTCGGATTTACTGCCTGCGCCACCGAAAACTTCAGTCCAGTCCGGTATTTGGTTCACAAAGGGCTTTCTTGCTGGACGAGAAGGCATGCAAATCAAGATGACGAGGAGAGTGACGAACTTTTCCAAGATGGAATGGGTAATAGAGAATGATGATGGTGCCAAAATACTCAAAAGCTTTGGACACAGCAATTCATTGAGTCGCAAGACTGGTAAGTACCTCGCTTGATCTTCAAATGCAATATGCTGACTACAAATAGATCTCTCGGATATTGATGACACACCAATCTTGACACTGCAGAAGAAAACAGGCAGTACTAGAGTGGCCGAAGCACCAAATGGCACTTCTCTGTTCACCATCAGGAATACATTGTATTGTGAGCAGTCCTGTCAATGAAGGGTCGAATGACATACTGACATGATTTTAGCGAGTCCGTACTGGATAATAAATCTTGGAAGCAATGACGCACTGGCGGGCACTGTGGAATGGTCAGCTCGAGGTGATGAATCTCTAGAGAATGTAATTGTGAGCTGGGGTGGTGTCCAAATTGGGCGTATCTCGCTCGAATCGAAGGCCAAGAAACATTCGGTAAGCTGTCGAAGCCCATCACAGTTTGAAGCCCTCGCTAAGTCTATGACAGTATATCTTGAACGTTGCGCCAGAAATCAACTACTGTATTATAGCGGCACTTGCGACGGTGTTTGATGACTTGAGGACTGATGAAGGATGTTAAACATGAAAATGACCCTGAAAAGCCTGAGAATTTTGGATTCCCTCGTTCACAATTACATGAGATTGCATGGTATCTGCGGTGGCAGCGAAGTATGTTGGACTTGCACTTTCGGCTCGTTCTACACGCATTCAGCGGAGCGACGTTACGTAGGGGTTTGGTGGTCGGCGTATTGGGGGTTGATATTCGGAAAACACAAATATAAAATCAAGAATCACATTGTTCTAAAGAACTTCGACAGTGATCCAGTCGACGAGACGTTGCGCGGAAGTTTAGCACGAGTCGAGTCAACAGATGAGGTATACGAGAGGGGCAAATGCCGAGTAGGAACCGAAATGGCTGGTTTACTCCAAATAACAAAGGGGCACATCTGCTCTTAAATCAAATCCAAGAAAGGAAGGAGGAAAGCTCAGGTGGTGCAGACGAGAATCTTGCCGAAATGCTGCCGCCGAATTCCCGACAGCCAGGTACCACTAGTTGCGAGGCGTTCTGAGCACAGATCAGTTAGAGACCTATGCTATTTAAGGCATTTGACCGGTGATTTGCAGTAAAAGCTTATGATTTTAGGATAACCTGGGTAAGGCGTGGAGATCCCCCTCGAAGTATCTTTTAATCTTCAACTAAGAGCAAGGCAATTGACAGTTGGACTCTTCAGATAAGTCAGAACTGTGTATAACAGATCGTTGTCCTTGAAGTATTGGGGAAGACAAAGCTTTGTCGTAATCGAAAGTTCGCTTCGAGTTTCATGCGAGTCATTTGCAGGCTTCATTGAAGTGCAACTTCACCCTGACGGACGAGTGACCCAAGCTGCCAACAGAAGCCAGGACCATGTATGTGCTATTTTCATCTTAGCCCATTTCTTTGCGAGCAATGCCAAGTAATCCAACACCCCACTATCAAGGCTGTGAAGAGAGAAACGTGAGATGACAAGAGGTTGACACCATCCAAAGGTCGGCTTCCCTTGCGGAGATCATTGGCAGGTGAGCCGCACGACTAGCCACGTTCTCCCACCCCGTCAAGATGCAGTCAATGAGAGTTTAGTCCAATCTTAGTGACATTTCCGTTATCTTGCCGATATGATCGGTAGATTGAGCTGGCCATGGCCAGAAGTTGAAGGTTATGATATAAGAAGACCAGCTTCCGGTCGTTTCCTCTCACCACCAAGCGATCTTCTTCGACTCCTTGTCATACCACACTCTTTTTACTTCGCCCGCCTTCGCTGCTTTAACTAGTAGTGATCAACACCATGCAGCTCTTCAACATTCTTTCCCTCTTGGCTACTGCAGCAAGCATCAATGCCTCGCCTGTAGCACTTCAATCAAGAGCAGTGGTTCCCCATGATTCGCTGTGGCCACTGGCGGAGAGTCTTCCTAGCGGAGCCATTGGCAATGCTATCAGAAGATTTGAGCCTTATCTACACATTGCCCATGGTTGCCAGGTGATGACTGCTGTCAATGCTAAGGGAGATACGAGGTTTGATATATCCTATTCCGTCCATTGCAGAATTTGGTCTGACTGGCATACAGTGGTGGGCTTGACGATACTGGAAACCCTTCAGCTGGGTGCAGATATACAGATCGTCAGCAGACTTATGTCAGAACTGCTTGGTATAATGGACGATTTGCGATCATGTATGCGTGGTAAGTAACAGCATCTTCATGAAGTTTGACACTGTCACCTTGCTTGAGAGTTTGCACTGACTGGTCACCATTTAGGTACTGGCCAAAAGATCAGCCCGCAGCAGGAGATGTTGTCAGCGGTCACCGCCACGAGTGGGAGAGCACCGTCGTCTGGCTCAACAACCCCGCCGTTGCAAACCCAACACTGATTGGTGCAGCGGCGTCCGGACACGGTGGATATAAGAAGTCGACCAACCCATTGAGAAAGGGAGATCGCATCAAGGTCGAATACTACACCGAATTCCCCAGAAATCATGAGTTGCAATTCACGAATACCGAGGGATTGGGATTCTGGAAGATTGACTGGGAAAGTCTACCTGGACCAGCCAGAACTGCTCTTCAGAACACAGATTTTGGCATGGCGAATGTGCCGTTCAAGGATGCTAACTTCGTGAATAACCTTGAAAAGGCTTGGGTATAAGGATTTACCTCTCGAATGCGAAGTTGGCAAGGTGCGAGAAAGAGGTCCGAAGTGGAAGATTGAACAAATTTCTTGTATATAGGATTAATATTCTGGGCTTTGCGGGCAGGAAGGAGTGAAGGAGGGAATGGGGGTGGGAATGGCTCCAGACGCACTGGTAAAACCATGACTTAGATACGAAGAAAGGAAGGGGCAAAATGCATCTTCAGACTCCTCAAATTGATTATATTGTTCTGCTTCCATTTTCCAGCCTTTGCAGATGATTAAATAATATCATCTCGATGATTTATTCGGAGACTTGAAACCGACGCTCGGCGAGAGGCTTTCGCTTACCATTCCGATGTTTACATTGCCCAATGAGGTGAATGATCGACATACCTGGAAGCGGGGGTTGCCTCGGTTAAAGATTATAGCTATTCGTTCTGCCTGTCTGCTTAAAAACCAAGAGGTCTTCAGGTGGGGGAACGCTTGCGAGCAGCGGATGTCCTCAATGGCTTATCCCACCAGCGTTAGCATCCTTCTAAAGTCTACACACGGCGACTATTGATTATTCTCGCCAAGAACAGTATCTGGGGAACAACATCCAATATTGGAAAGGAAGCTAGAACAGACTGCTTACAGTAATACTCACTTAGTAAAGCCACGATCTGAAACAGGTGCTTAATTGCTCCACAACGTCCAGATACATGCAATCTCGTGAGGCCAAAATCGTATGATGTGCATGGCTCAGCCCTACAGATCCCAGCATAACGGATAGTGAAATAAAGTCACAGGCAAATCCCCTGAAAACGTGAATGATACGCCCTGAGAGATTTAAGGCGTGCAAGTGTTACTTCCCTGCTAAGCCAGACATGCACCTGCTCTGAGCATTCTTAGATGAGGGGTAAGATCGGGTGGCGGGGTGGTGATGAATGGCTTCATTACTAATCAGATAAGCTGTAAAGTTCATTGGATCTTGGCTGTCAGAATGAATACTGTAATCCCGTAAAATATTTCTTGTGGTTGGAATGTCCAGATGCGGGGTACTGTAAACTTGCTTAGATCCAAAATAGCGTTGGTGAGAGCGCCATGTGAAGATCGACGATCAATCAACGGGCCATCGGTAGAAGCCGATCCCAGATGTCACCAGCCACGGCGGGGGAACTGAGGCTTCTTCCGTTGCACATGGATCTGGTCTCAAAATAAAGACCCTACTCGGCTCAGCTTTTCGAAAATGTGGCCTGACACTCCCCCCGGAGTCTGCTCACTGTCCAATGAAGGCTTGGAAAGACTGCGCACGTGATGCATTGTTTGGAGATGTGGGCAAGTGCAAGAGAAGTTCAGTGCCGCACATCAGCAAGATGGAACAATAACCGAAGCTACTCGGGTATCCCAAAATGCCAAATCATGCTTTGCATCGACGTTTCTGTAAGCCATCGCCTATTCTTTACAAAGTGGAGAGCTTGTTTTCAATAGTACTTCTGGACATTGGGATCATGGGCAAGAGGCCCGAAGGAGATCACCCTAGATCTATGCCGTTCTATAACCACCGTCGATTGGGATGTCACTTCGAGCTAGCTCTGGGTTCATCTCTGTGAGAACGATTTTGGGGCTGTCAGGTAGAAGGCTAGAAGCTAATGAACCCCTCCCACGTTCGTGAAAAGCCGTGTGTTGACCGGACTTTCCATCCGGGATACTAGACCAATGCACGTAAGGTCGAAATTTTGTGTTCCAGTAACAGCTCTTGAACTTCGGAAAATATGAGCTCATAAAGTGGTGCTGGTCCAGAAACAACCCCGTGTGTCTGTGCATCTCCGCAACATCCTCTTCCAGGCTATCGAATGTTTCTCGCAGAGGCGGAATCTATATCTCAAGCTGTGCACCCCTCGAAAACCTGTTTCTTCATTATCGACCCAAAATAAAATAGACAACCCGAAAACAACATACTTGTATCTTCCATGATGGCTTTCAATAGAACCAACATCAGAACCGTCGAAGAATGCTACATGAGCGATCCCATGGACCAGGCCAGCGTAGAACCCCGCCATACCACCACAAAACCACATGCTAAAAGCTTATATAGGGCTACCTCGATATCGGCCCAGGGACCTATGGTATGAGCCCGCAATTATGCAACTCTGTGAATATCAACACATGGCCATTCTCGCCACTGTCTTCTCCAGAAAGTCCATATCTTAGCACGCCGCTGTCAAGCACATATCAGGACAGCAGCTGGAACCCCTTCGACCGTAATTTCGGCTCTCTGATAACACCAAACTCCACCGGCTTCAATACACGAGAAGAGCTCGCCACTAAAGCATACAATAACGTCCCTGGCTTTCAGCAAACAGAGCCAGGGCCCGCCGCTCCAGTAGCACCACATAGCAGTTGCGTTTCGGCATCGCAAACATCAGCAACCCTGTCAAACGTTTGCTCTCCAAATGAAAACTCAAATGCCTGCTCGGTCCTAGACGTGCACACCGGCTCGGGCGGGTTTATTCCTACCAGGAAAACGTCAGCCTGTAATACGAAGCATAACAAACAGTCTAGATCTCAACATGAGCCGGGACCTACGAAAAAGAGTGCTCCTCAACAGCGGTTACGCTCAACTTCGACCGCTGTTGCATCGTCTTCCCGTCCCAATGTCTCCTCAACATCTTCGTACAGCTCCAATTCCCCACCGAAACACACCCGTCTGAACCACAATCATGTCGAAAAGCAGTATCGGAATCGGCTGAACGGCCAATTTGAGACGTTGCTGTTGGCTCTGCCAAGGGAAGGTGGGGCAGATGGAAATGGGAGGAAGGTCAGTAAGGCCGAAGTGCTGGTGCTTGCAAGAAAGTACATCCGGGATTTGGAGAGAGGTAGAAAACGATTGGAAGAGGAAAACGAGAGATTGGTCGGTAGGATGGGGGTGTTGAAGAAGAGGTGGACTGAGTCGGGTGGGGTGCTACTTCCGTAATGGAGCGAGAAGGGGGTTTGAAAGGATATTGATATGATTTGGGAGCAGAATTTAAACTACCCGACGAAGGAAGGCAATTGATAGAGCCTAGGCCACAGCCACTCGTTTCGACAGCCAGAATCTTGGACAACTGTAAATTATCTGGGCGAGAGACTGTCAGACCAGAGTACTTGGAGTTTCTGAACGTGTCTGGGGCAACGAACCAGGGGAAAATGGTGACGCGGACAAAGAGCAATTCTCGCAGAGTATCCGCGCTTGTTTGATGGCCGAAAATGTCAGCCCTTCTGTACTCACTTGGCTGTGTGATGGATGGCTCAGCAAGAGAGGAATGTGAAAAGCGTTAAATCGTGAATTAAATCACGATCGTTAAACTCTCGTTGCGATACAAGAAACAAATCGACGGGCGAAGAGCTAGATCTTAACATAATACATTAAGTTGAGAATTCCGGGTTCGATGCCATCTTGACCTCCGCTGAAACTGCTCCAGAATGGGGCCGAGAGACCACCTTAATTTCTTGTATCATGAACGTCACGTAGGACGAATTCTGGATGCATTGCCAGATCTTGCATCAAGGTAGAAACGACCCATACACTGCCATTTTGTCATACCATACCATAGAAAGATCTAGGCAGGCTGCAGTCCGACCCATGGGTGATTGACTGATCAACAAAAAGGTGCACAGGCAGGGTCGCTTGAGACTTTTTATGTTGCATGCATATCGACCAATGTCAGACTTCTTCAAAAAGCCGCGCCATACCCTCGTAGCGACTCAATACCTCACCATCGGCGCTGCACATCATACCAGACTGTACGAAGCCGTGATACATCTTCATATCCTCACCAAGATATTTGGCATTGTAGAAGTCTCTGTCGAGATGTCTTGTTTGCCAACCCTTGCATCCCTCATTCCAAGTTGTGACAAGAGCAACACTGATTCTTGGATTCCAGAGACCTTCTGAGGAGGCGACAAAACTTGGGAACAAAGTCTTGTACTGTTGAGAGTGGTTCAGTGCTGTCGCAATAGTGGTGACACCCCTTTGAGCTTTCTGCTTCAATGTTCGGTCTTCTATACAGCATCTTCGAAAACATACATAGTCAAGAACATTCGAGTCCAATTCTATGAGGCGCACATTATCATTCACTGCTGCCTTGAACCTTTTTAATGGTGACCCATCGATTTGCGTGCTCGGGATTATGGTCAGGGTCTCCAGTTCTGGGGCGCAAGCTTGCAGCACCACGAAGAAAGATCCGCCGTTTTGGCGAAGTACATCAAAAGCAACGGCCAGATGCTTAACATTTGCTAAACCAGTAAATATTCGAAAGCACCCTGCGTTGAATTCTGTAGTTGTTCTATCGAAAAGGTTCTTCGACGGTTTGTCAGAGTCTGGTGTTGACAAGTCCCTGACTATGATATCATTGTCGAGATCAACCCAAGTAAACTCCATATTCGTTCCTGTTGTCTTGTATGTAGGGCTCAATATTCGAGTATAAACCGATTTCACAACTCTGCGAGATTCGAGGCACGTCGATAACAGCGCTAGATTTCTGTTATGCCTCGAACTATGTGTGAGTATTCTTTGACCAGGAAGAGAGAATTTCCAGATCATGGCTCGGACCTCTACTGGTAAGCTGAGAAAGCATGTGAAATGGTAGAATGATGTGTTGACTTGTTCTTGTACGTTTGGTCGTGGCTCTGGAAGGGTCGACGGAATGCTTTCATAGTCTTCGCCAGCGGTCAATCGAGCGAGAGCAGTCATTCTGGGGAAATCTATGGGAAATCCTGATCGAGGTCAGTATTTCAGATTTTGGAGGGTACTTGGATGCCTTACTGCCACCAACATAGTCGCCCCGCGTACTTGCATTGGCCTCCAGAAGATTGATATTGGCGAGAACTTCGTGAAGCGCCTTTTTGGAGAAATCCAAGAAAGTCGCATGGCCTGCTAGGGCTTCATCCACGCTCTCCAAGTCATTTTGACTTTCCGTCAAGAGTTTCTTTTTGATTTTTAAAGCATCGGTGCACATCTCGCGTGTTTCCGTGTCCGTATCAGCACGCGACAACTGGCCCGCGGCCACGTGCCGGATCCTGAAGTGGGAGAACAAGTCACGCAAAATCGAGTCCCTAAATTTAGTGAGTTTTGTTGTGATGGATAGGTTCTTGGTAATGAGGTGGTCCAGTCGAGCTCGAACATTTTCTAGACATATAAGTGGCAGGCGAGGATTATGCTCGAACCCAGTCGCTTGGTCATGTCAGAATATACGAAAAACTGTCCTAAAATGAACTCACAGCACACTTCCCCGCGTAGCCCTGTCCTAACGCAGTCTGGAGGTTGTGACTCCGGTATTTGGATGAGTCCTTTCGATGAGAGGGGTTCTGATGCCAGACATGATGCCGAATAGCCTCCCGGCGGCTTCGCCGGGACTGTCTGTTGGTGATGCTTGCGCCAAGGCATCGGCCTCTCCTCTTGATCCATCACTCGGTGATCTCCCAGGCTTGATGGCGTGTTCCGAATTCAATTTATATCCCAGTATCGTTGATGATGGTTCAGTGATGTTTGGTTTGAGATGATGAGTCGTGCGCTCATTGCCATGCATCAAAGTCCAAGCTGGAAGGCACATGACCTGGCCAATCAGATCAGGCCAAGGGAGACGGACCTGATGCACAGGCACTCGCTTGCTTCCTCGCTTCCATTGTTTTGATAGGGAAATCCACGGGGTTTAACCGATCATAATTGGGAGCTCCTCTGTAGGCGCCTTTTATTCTCACCGTATTTTGTGTCCCTACTTCATCTTGCGATAGGCCAGCATGGCGTCTACATCCGGGAACCGGATATAGGGGAGATAAGCACTAGCTCCGAATGACATTCTTCACCGATAAGTGATTCCATTACCGGTCAACGAACGCGAGCTTTGATCAAACGACATACAAATATAAGGCACAGGAGGAATCATCGGTAACAGAAACGTGTATCGCGCTTTTTGGATCGTTTTGATGACATAATTGGGAGCGATAACATCGAACCACTGGTCGTGACTGTTGGGGCAAGACGACATCCTTCAACTTCACGTCAACTTTGATTACAAGGGTCCAGAAATATAAGATCCTCTGATACCCAGAACTACAGACCAAGTAAACATAATCATCTCGTTTCCAGCCAGCAACTAAACGCTGATCAGCATTAGATATCCTCATAGCAAAAGGATCATGTCTTCAGAAATCAATTACGCAGCTGTGCTTGAAGCACCTTATGCCAGAATGACGCTTGTCAGTCGACCAATTCCAACTCCTGGACCTAGAGAGATTGTCGTTCGCAATCATGCGGTTACCGCAAACCCCGCCGACGTAAGGACGCCCTTCTCTTGCTTTCTTACCGCTTATGCCAAGGAGTAAAAGATAATTCTTAAATTCATGCGAGCAACAATGCCTCTCTTCATGTACTCAGATTTGTTAACATCCCCGGTCATGATCCAGTGGAAGATGCAAGATTTCAATGTCTTGATAAAAGGGTGTTGTGGCTGCTGTGGGGTCATCGGTGACAAAGTTCAAAGTCGGAGATAAAGGTGAGTACTTTGAGGAGGTGGAGTCCTTTTCAGCCGTCCTTTTACCTTCATAACAAAAACTTGTAATAACAACATACTGATACGTAACAGTGACCGGGTTTGCAGGGGTTATCTATCTTCAGGATATCAACCATGGAGCTTTTCAGACATTTACAGTCCTCAAAGACATCGCTACTACGAGGTTACCCGAATCTATGTCGTTTGAAGAAGGCTCAGTCTTCCCAATGGCAGTTGCAACGTCAGGCATGGCACTTTTCGTAGATCTTGCAATCCCGCTTCCGACTCAGCCAATCACTCCGCAAAGCTCCGGACTCCTTATCTGGGGCGCATCCTCCTCGGTGGGAACCACCACTGTCCAGATAGCAAAGAATCTGGGCTTCAAAGTTTTTGCTACTGCAAGTCCTACTCATCACGCCTATCTAAAGTCTCTTGGAGCATTCGAGGTTTTTGATTACCGCGATCCTTCTGTAGTTGAAAAGATCGTCTCTGCTGCGCAGAGTCATGGAACCCCTATCAGTCTCGGGTTCGATACGGTTACAGAGGGAGATACAGCCAAATCAAGTTCGGAGGTCATCTTGTCCTCGGGTGGCAAAGGTGGAAAGCTCGTATTAGCGACTGCCTGGCCCGAAAGCGAGACACCAGAAGGACTTCAAATCTCTCAGACGATGGCTTATCGACACGGAGCAGATCAAGTAAAAATTGGAGAATGGCTGTTCAATGAGTACCTCGAAAAAGCACTGGCAGATGGAACTATTGTCCCTGCTCCAAAAATCGAAGTTGTTCCAGGCGGACTACGTGGGGCACAAAGCTGCCTTTGACAAGTTGAAGGCTGGTGTCAGCGGGAAGAAACTGGTTGTCAACGTAGAATGATATACGACGGCATAAAAACTGCCGATTGAACCTGAATTTGAAGCCAGAAAACTAAACCTGATGCGAGACAAGTGACCCGTGGAAAAGGAATTGTACCTAGGTAGGTAGGTAGGAAGTCAAAATACATGCACGTGATCTCGACATCTGAAACAAGCGCCAAGAGGTAACTTCCATGGAAAGTGATCTATCTATTACAAGGAAACACATTTCCTCGTTCCATTCCCTGATCTCCAAAAATCTTGTTCCGCGCTAACCAAGCTTTCACATCTACGATTTCACATGGGCCTGGATATAGATTTCTGCAACTGGTGCGGCACGTTCACTCTTTATCGCGGCCCGCACCGTCTTCAGCAGCAGATTTCTACCTTCGGAGCTCTAGACATCGACAGCCCAAAACTGAGCCAGAGTGATTGCGATGGGGACCTACCGACACACAGTACATTGTGCGCAGATCCGTCTGAAGCAATTTATTTGATGGTTTCACTAGAACTTGAGAGCTGCAAACTCACGAGCATTAGCTGGGGTAGCTACTTGCTTTCCGGCTATGTTCTTGTCGAAGATACCCTAGGTATATGGGATGACGGCGGCTCGCGAGTCATTCAAATCCTGCATTGTTCAATAGTCTGAAGGCTTTTGACGTGTTCGAGTTGAAGTGATTTTCCTTCGATTGCGTATGGTAGCCCCACATACGCTTGCAAGAGACTTTCGTTGGCAGGCCCAGGGAACTGATATGAAGTGTTAGTGAGGTGATTGTGGGTACTAGAGTGCTCTTAGCCGGTCTGAAATAGACCACCATGTGTCCCAAACGACTCTGCAGATCAAAATCGATCTCTCTGGGACAGTCCGCATGCATCAACCGTGGACACTGCGCTTGGCGCCAAGCTCCTTTGTTTCAGTAAGGAATCCTCTTGCTTGGAGACATCCTCTCATTAAGTTTCTTCTTAATCACTGTTAATCAATAGTAAACCAATGTTATGGGGACGAGACGACTACCACGTCTTGTGAGAATCTAAGCAGTCAGGATTTTCTGGACAAATATACCCCTCACCTCTAGATATGTCTTTCTTCATCCTCTATCATTCTACACATCCACTTTCACTTTTCACGCCTAGCTTCGCGGCTTACACAAACTGTGCTGAGCATCGTATATCAATCAATCACGATATCTCTTATTATACATCCAGCTTGACAAGTTTCAAATCCCTTCCAACCTGACAGACAGCAGCATGAAGTTTTCTACTGCTCAACTAGTCACTTTGGTCTTTGCACTCAGCGTCTCCGCCGCACCATCCCTTGCTCGACGTGATTGCGACCTTGATCTTCCATCCAACAAAACCGATTCTTCTTTGTTGGATACTGGTGGCGTGGAGGCAGAGGCTTCGACCACCAAAAAGGCTTCTGTAAAGTCCACCAAGGCATCTTTTACACCCGGACCAGAGGCCTCAGCAACCGGGGATACCACTCCAGAAAGCACCAAGGCATCATCTAGTGGATCTCAGGCGTCAAAAACAGGCGATACCAGTACCCCAAAGCCAACCAGTGGAACATCTACTGGTAATGGCACTTCCTCGAGCGGTGGCAGCCTGCCACCATCTTCTGGAACCTCCGTTCTGTCTGTAGTTCAGACCATTGCCGCTGGTGAATCTTTTGATGGTGGAATGTTCACCTTTGATCGTGGTGTTTCTTGCACTGGTCAGGCAGAGGGTGGTGGTTCTGATGCAGTTTTCCAAATTGAGAATGGTGGTTCTATTTCTAACGTCATTATCGGAAAGAACCAAATCGAGGGAATTCATTGCCAAGGTAACTGCAAGTTGATAAATGTTTGGTGGGAAGATGTTTGCGAGGACGCTTTTACCATTAAGAAGCAAGATGCCGGTGAGACCAGCACAATCACAGGAGGCGGAGCTTTCGGTGCTGAAGACAAAGTCCTCCAACATAACGGTGCTGGAACTCTTAGCGTCACTGGCTTCACCGTTGGCAACTTTGGAAAGCTCTACCGTGCCTGCGGTAATTGCGCAACAACCGCGGAGCGCCACGTCATCTTGGACGATATCACGGCAACTGATGGTGATGTCTTGGCCGGTGTGAATGGAAACTTCGGTGATACTGGTAAGTCCATTGGCTCAACAACGTTTGAACAGTTTCTAATCGTTACCAAAGCTACCATTACCAACTCCAAACTTTCCGGTGTCAAGAGCGTTTGCACCAATTTTGAAGGTGTTTCCAAGGGCAATGAGCCTTCCGAGATTTCAGAGGGCGCTGATGGTAAGGTCTGTATCTTTGGCTCTGATGTTGTCAGCAGTTAAATGCTTTGTGGCTGTCCAGCAGTTCTCCTATAAAACATTAAGAGGTAGTCTGTTCATTAGGATGTGTAGGTTGGGAAAAGCTTGTTGTTGTACATGCCTTTCGTTTCTTCCGTTCTCTCTTAGAATTCTTGACACTTGTCAAAGTCTTCTGAGAACAACACCTTAGATCTAAATACGAATCTTGAGCGCCATGGTTCGAAAGACTGTGGCCAGTCAAACAAAATTTGTCAATTTTGACATCGCCGTGTCGCTTAACTTTGTGCTTGACACTACGGAACCAGCGCAGGCTGTGCAATATTTCCTTTCCAATGGAGCTGGAGTCGAGTCACGGATGCGATCTTTTCCCTATCGCTACGATTTTATTAACCTCTACTGCATTAGTACACCTTGAAATCTCACTCCTGTTTTCTGAGTCTCAATTCTGGCTTTCAGCTCAAGATATGTCTTGAGATAATAAATCGATGTCGTCTTACGATTATCATCCAATCACAGGGAGCTCGATCTACCAGATTTACCTTAAACATTACCTCAAATAAAGCCAAATGAACCGGAACCTAGGCCGAGCTGCGTGAGGAAATACCATGTTTAGCTGCAGCTGCACTGTGGCCTTCTAAGACGACCAGGTCGACCTCCCAACAAAACAAGGAAATCAATCCACTTGCTAATATACAGTTCTAACACAACAAAAATTGAAGTTGTGCAATGCGGCGGGCAATTTTGTCATGCTGCAACTTTAAAGTATCTACCTACTACCTAGGTACCTAGGTACCTAGGGAAGGTTTTGGGGAGCATGTGGTCAGATGATCTGATGGGTGGGTTATCCGTGGCGCTGCCATCAGGATTGGGTTGGTCCAAGCGCCACCTTGAAGCACGCTGTAGAGGTGCCATGAAGTACCCCGAGGCAAAGCCTGCCGAGAATCCCAATCCTGATGGCAGCGCCACGGATGACACAGGGGCTCGTTGGGCTTACACAGGGTTGTGATTTTAATTAATTATATTTTTAATTAATTAATTAATTTTAATTAGACCTTTGAAAAAATTAAATTCATTAATCAATTCTTATAATTAATTAAAATTAATTAATAAATACTAAAAATTAATTAAAATTAATTAAACAAACTAATTAAAGTATATACTAGTAAAGTAGAATAGTTATTAGAGACTTATAACCTAATTAAAACTCACTTAAATTCACTTGAAATTACTTAAATTCATTTCAAATCACTTAAAATTACTTAAAATTATTAAAAGTTACTTAAAAGTTACTTAAAATTATTAAAAGTTATCTAAAGTTATTTAAAGTTATTAAAGGTATTTAATTATAATAATTATATAGAAGCTTCTGGAACTAAGATTTATCTATATAAGCAGAGTAATTTCCCTTAAAAATTATAAAATCTTTTATCTTTAGTTAACTACTCTAATCACTTTAAAACACACTACTTAAAAATATACTACTTAAAAACACGCTACTTAAAAATACTATACTTTATAACATACTACTTTATAATATACTACTTTATAATATATCACTTGATAATATACTACTTTATAGCTATTATAATTTTCAGTTTTTATAAGAAAAATATTATATTAATTTTTAAAAAAATAGAGGGTTTCTCTTAAGATTCTTATTTTATTATTAATAATAACTCTTCTTTTAATATAGAAGAAGATAATAATACTTCTAATATAGACGAAAATAGTAATATTATTAATATAGAAGAAGATAATAATACTTCTATTATAGAAAACAATAATAATACGTCTAATAATACTATTATAGTAAATAATAAGTATATTAATTCTAAATATAATAAGTCTACTTATACTTTACCTTCTTTAGATAATAAGAAGATTTATATATTTAAAAATAAGCTATTTACTTGTACTTTATTAGATATTAATTATAATAAAGAAAGACAAATTAAAATAGTTTGTTCTTTATGTAAATATAATAATATAACTAAATTAGATAGATTTCAATCTTCTAATTATATTCAACACTATAAAATAAATCATCCTACTATAGCTTATAATATTAAAACAGAAGATAAACTAGAGTTATTAAACTTAAATAAGAATAAACCTAGTAATTTCTTTAATTTAGCTAATAAAGATTCTAATAAGCAGATTCGATCAAATACTTTAAATGAGTTTATAGAAGATAAAGCTTTATATAAGATATTAAACTTTATTATTAATAATAATCTCTCTTTTAATATATTAAGCTCAGAGTCTTTTAAAGACTTACTAAATTACTATAATAAATCTTCACCTATTATTAATAGGTGGAAAATAAAGAATATTTTAGATACTACCTATAAAACATCTATAGATAAGTTTAAATACTCTATTAAAGAAAGTATTAAAGAAAATAGTTCTTTTTCTATTACTTTAGACACTTAGAATTCTAATAATCAAAAATCTTATTTAGGTATTATTTTAGTTTAGATTAATAAAAAGACTATTTTAAACTATAAACTTATAGGATTTAAAGAGCTATTAGAAAGTCATATAGGCTTATATTTATATAATAACTTTATTAAGATAATTCATAGTTATAATTTAGAACTTAAAGATATTAGTTCTATTACAAGAGATAATGCCTCTAATAATACTACTTTATTAAAATATATTAATAATCAAAACTCTAGTATTTATGATATTAAGTGTATAGCTTATATTATTAACTTAATAGTACAAGATATATTAAAGAATTATATTCTTAATTATAAAGCTGAAATAGATCTTTCAGATTTTACTAATAATATTACTAATAATATAAATTCCGACTTAAGTATAATTCAAAAGCTAAGAAAGATTATAACTGCTATTAAATATACTCACGAATATCAAGAGCTTTTTAAAGAAGGCTATAATAAATATAAATTATCTAACGATATTCCTAATAATTTTAATATAAAGAAAATCCCTTTAGATAATACTACTAAGTGGAATTCAACTTATAATATACTTAATATTTCTATTACTCTTAAAAAAGTTATTAATTATATATTTAATAATACTTCTAATAAAGAGTTTAAAGCTTATATATTAAGTAATAACGATTGGCTTATTTTAAGCACACTAAGAGATATATTTTATATTTTTATTTATCCTAGTATTAAATTACAAGGACAAGTTTATACTACTATTAATTATAGTTTACTTTATATATATACAATTTTTAATAAATTAGAAACTAAAAAAACGAGCTAAGAACAAATATTAACCTATTAAGTAGTAGTATAGATATTAATAACTTTATTATTGCTATTAATATAAGACTAAAAAAGTTAGAAAAATATTTTCCAGCTAAATTAAACTCTAGCTCTTTGATATTATATAAACCTTATATATTAGGCCTTATTTTAGACCCTAGGTTTAAGTTAAATCACTTTAAGTCTAGAGGCTTATTATTTTTATCTAAATATAGAGAATAATATTATTAACTTATTTAAAGAAGAGTATTTTGTTAGTCCGCAGACTTTTACTATAGAAATATAAGGGGAAATCAGGGGGTGTAGGTAATCCTAGTTAGGAGGTAAACCTTTTTTAGATATAAACTAAAGGTTATTTAAGAGGTAGTATATATTCTGACTTATAGATACTCTTTATAATAGACACTTTTTAAATACCTTTAAACTGAACCTTAGATTTTAATATATATTAATATATACTTATTATTTATTTACTAGTATAATACTAATACTAATTAATAGTTATCTTATACTATAAAATAGATAAGTTAAATATAATAAAGTTAACTCTTAAGATATAATACTAAATTAATATTAGCGAGCTCTTATTAAAACTAAGTAAAGTGAGCCTTATAAAGTAACTAGAGAACTTTTATTAAAATTAAGTAAAGTAAGTTCTATACTACTAAAGAATAATAGCTACTTTCTAATAGTTATTAAGATATTTCCAGAGCTATTTAGTTAGATATTTCTGAGATATAAAAGATATATCTAAAATACTTATAAATCGCCTCTAGTATAATAACAACTCTAATAGACTAAGTTACAAAATAACCTAAAGTAAAAGTTAGAAGTAGTAAAACCTTAATATAAGATAAAACGCTAGCTCCTAAAGTACTTTCAGCTAGTCTTATAGTAGCTAATATTAATAGTCTAGTTTAAGGATTCGTAGATTATTCTATAAGGAAAGGTATTAAAGGAGAGATATTATTCTAAGACTTTTAAGAGTACTTTCTAGATTAGATAGCAGATAATTTTAAGAAGATAATAAGTAAGTAATAATAAAAGCTCTAAGATTATCTCTTAAAGAATTAAGTCTATATTTAGTATTAAAAAAGATTATAGATTTCCTAAGCTCTTATAGTAGTAGTTTAAGCGTAAGAGAACACTTAACTAAATAAATAGGAAACTAAACTACTACTAAACCTACTATTTAGCTCTTTTTCAGATAAGATTCAGACTTATAATTAAAGAGAGAACTAAGTATAATAAATACTTTATTAAAACTCGCCTAATATATTATCTCTATTTATAAAGATTATAGCTCTTAAGAATATAAAGATAAAGTATTAAGATAGCTAAGAAAGAATACAGATAAGCGATCTCTTAAAGGAATAAGTTTTATTTCAGTATCCGGACTCTTAAGGACCTTTATATATTAAACTCTCTATAAAAAGTAAAGATCTCTATAAAGCCTCTCCCCTTATTAATATTAAGAGAGAGAAGTTATTTCCGATAAGACTAAAGAGATAGTATACTAATTAGCCTCTAATATAAAGACTAAGAGATAATAGTTTACTAGATCCTACCCTAGCTTTCGTGATATACCTAAAGGATAAGATATTACTTTCTTTTTAAGTACTTAGCTGAAACAGATCATATTCGGAACTTATTTATCTGAGTTAGTATATTATAAAACTAATATCTTCAGAATAAGCTAAGTTACTTATAAGCCTTAGTAAGATATATACTAAGGAGCTTTAATATAGTAAAGCTAGAGATTATCTTAATAAGAAGCTCTATATTTTTACTAATCTTTACTAATAAGTATTAGTAAAGTTTATACTATAGTATAAGGTATTTCTATTTATACTCCGGGATAAAGCTTTATTATACTACTACTAGTACCTCTAAAATAAGAGGTACTTATTCAATAAGCTAGTATAAGCTACTTGTAATAATTATAAGATAGAGAAGAGAGCTAATTAATACTTAAGCTAATAGTTTAGTATAACTTTTTCTATATTTC